CCCCCCCCGGGCGCAGCAGCGGGTGGTTGTGTTGAGACTTGAGAGGCCGGACGTGCCGCCCCGCTGTCAAGCATTTTCCCCATTCTGCTGATTGCTAGCCCGAACCGGGTGTCCAGCGGCGTAGCTGTCTGCGAGGCGTCTGCAAATAAAATCCCACGGAGGCGTCGAAAACAAGGCCTAGTGGAGCGGTGCTGCCCTGCTGTGGCAGACTCCCTTTCTTGCAAGCTTGGCTTGGGCGGTTTCCCTCCCCGTCAGACTGATTCCCTACGTGGTGCCAAGCGATTATCGTCTAAAGTGGCCCTGACGTCCCATGTGCCGTGCGGAAGGTCAGGGAGAAACATGAGAGGAAACAATTGCCACGGTGGCGTCGGGAGGATGAGGCTTTTCGCGGGCTGCTGTGGGACGGCACTTGCACAAGTTCCGTGCCGAAACGCCTGCGCCGGGGTTGAATCCTGTGGGAGGACAAGCGGTGGCGGGCGGTTTATGGGGGGGCCGGGGGGGGGCCGATTCAAGACGGTCGATTCTGCCATGCCCTCTCACGCTGGCCAAGCTCGCTGTCCGCCGCATTCGGCCTCCGGGGCCACGGGTGCAGCTTTAATTGCTGTTGTGCGGTCCGAAGCGCAAGTGGGGCATGACCTGCCGCCGCATTACGCCTCTGGGAACCCCAACTCGGCGTCGGATATAGGTTTTAGACATAGGTTTTAGACATAGGTGCCATGCAGACGCCCCAATCAAGCTCCCGCACCTCTAATTAGTTCGTGTTCACGCTAGACTATCTATATTGACTCGTTGTGGTGTCTGCTACCTTGCCAAGGCGTGATGAAACAGGCCTCATGCTGCCTCTGGGTGCATGGAGTCGGTGCTCAGGTGGCCCATTTTCAACTAATTAGACCTGATGGAGCTTTGTCTCGGGTGAGATTCCTTCTTCACGTGAAGTTCGCCCGAATCTCCTCTGCATTGTGTCGATACGGGGCACTTGAAGAATTCAGGATGAAGATGTGCACGAAAGAGACCGTGAGCGCTTTGGGGCTTCTCAGAGTTGGATCTGAAGGTAGTCAAGTCGTTCCGACTAGGGAGATGAATGGCTCAAGTTTGTCATTCGACTTTGACGACTACAGGGTGACAAAGACCGATTTTTGTTTGATTGCGGTGTGTAGCTGCCGTGACATGTTAATTATTGTAGTGGGAAGTTAATGGCTTGAAGATCAAGGGCCGCGATAAGGATATTCCATGTTGATGATATCGGAAGCATTAATTATACCGGCCCAGGAGTCACGGGTCAAAGGATAATGGGACGGATACGGGAAATAAAGATTCTACCGAATATACGATAAAATAGAAATGATTTATCTGAACGTATTTTGTCTGTAATACATAATGAAAGGCCGAATCGTGACCATAACTATTCGTTGTTTCGTTATCATTAATGGAAAAACGGAGTTCCAAAGCGTGCTTCCCTTTGGATGCACACGCACCCCCTTCTCCTCAGTTAAACCGGGTTTCAGTCGCAAACAGTGCGGTCCACTATGATGGTGCCGGCGGGAAGACCGCGGCGTGGTCTGGGTGTGATCTGGGTGCGGCGTGCGTCATGTTTAATATTGCGCCTTACCGGGAGACGGAAGCACAGCAGCGACTGAAACCGGCACCTTCTAGTTTTACCTATAGTAAGACCCGGGGAAGGGACCTAGTTTTGACACTTGTCCCGGCAGGCAAGATGCAACCCGTAAAACGATTCGCCCTGATACGGTTGAAACATGTGGCTGCATCCCGAAGGGCCTCTGGCCCTCTGCAGCGGCTGCTCGGCGCCGTCGGCCGGAAAAGCTTCATTCAATGCCCAACCAAGGGACCCGATACCTGCCATGGTACCTTCTATACGATCGACGTCTGAATGAGATTCTGTGCCTTGAGGCTCGCCGCAACGATCCTTGATCAGCTCGTCTAGCCCGGGTGCCTCAATAGCCAAGCCCCCAATCTAGTTCCAGTATGTTGTTCTTATCTCTCGTGCACCTGCGTAAGGGGGCCAATTGAGCCCGCCACCCGAGAGGTTCTGGCTAGGTACCTCGGTCGAATCAGTTTGACCGAATAGGAAACAGACACGCTGGCTTGTGTGAGCCAGTGGCCCGCCAAGCGGCCCCCAATGGCGAGCTTCGACCGTCTCTCGACTTGGCCCCCCACTATGCTTATCGCAGCATTGATCGCATAGGGGCTCCCTTCCCCCCCCTTTTCCGAGGCAGGCCAGTTGAATACGAGCTAATTTACTTGGAATGCTGATCTGCTAAGTCCGACGGCGGAGTTGGGCCTGTTATATTCAGGTCAGGCCGGCACAGAGACATTTGGCACCGCGGCAGGCAACGTCCTCCGACTCTGAAAGATCCGTGCCGCCCCCCCAGATAGTGTGATTCGCGATAACCTGCCAACCATTTAGGGGGGTGGTCCGGGACTAAAATGGGATCAAAATGTAATAATCAACGCAGAGGCGAGAGTGGTGTGGACGGTTTGGCAAATGAACTTATGCACGACTGGAAGAGCTAATCTCCTGATGCTCACCAGTCACAGGCCAGCTGCTCTTAGCGTCTCTTATCGGAGTTGCAGCGTTGCTGTTGAGTTTCAAAAACGAAAATGTGATAAAGGGATGGCACAAAGGGCACCGCTACCTTTATGTGAACTTCTGTTTGGGTGACTGAATCAAATGTGCCATCTTCCTCCAACTTTGGGTGATTGATTACTTCAAAGACTGTGGACTCTGGAGTATTGTGGTGGTTGTGACTCTGGTTACTATGGGGTATTGTGGTTGTTGTGACTCTGGTTACTAAGTGTTTCCTTCGTTGGCTTAGCTGAGCAGAACCAAGATACCTTAAGACAACCGCTAGCCAGCCATTATAAAAGGCAATGAGGGAGGTGCCTGGATTGAGTGAGTAGGAGGGCTTCAAATCTGTTGTCAGTGTTGTAGCCATCAATTCGTGATAGTCAAAGTCGCAGCTGTTGTCGGTGTTGTAGCCATCTACTTGTAATAGTCAAAGTCGCAGCTGCTCAGAGAGACAGGCAACCTGTATCTGCTTTGTCTATTGGCGCAGCCATCGCTAAGCACATTGGTCACGGAATCCCAATAGCTTATAATTGTCTCTCCACAAACGTCCAAGATATCATATAGCCTTGTGTATTGCCAAGCCGTTCTTTCACATTCCACGCTAACTTTTTTCCCTACTATTTGAGACGAATAGGCGGAACAGCGCTACCAACCTCGCATTTTCGCTGTATCTTTCAAGACACTCTGCATCGCAAGACACTCTGCATCGCAAGACACTCTGCATCGAAAGCCCCGGCCTCGTGTCACTGAAAGACGCCAGTCATTGAATCGTCTTGTGTGAAATACTCGCAGCTCCTCCATCTCGTGCTGCTGCAGGCCTTGCCATTGTCCGATGGCTGTCATTCTCACAGTTGTCTCCTCAAGCTGTCACATTACTGCTACTTGACAGGGCCTCCCATCGCTATCATGGTGGCCGAGTGAATGCTTCTGGCTCATGCCCGTGCATGCGTTGCAGCCGATTTGTCAGGTGGAAAGACCATCTGTACCCACCGCACGAGATAACGCTGCACATAGCTACTTCATGTTTGGCGTACACTGAGGTCAGGAAAAAGCAAATCAACTGGCAGATCGACAAGGCCAGCTTGGGGTCCGAGGGCGGGGACTTGATTACGGAGAAGATCTGGTGTGGGTATCATGGAATTTCTTTGAGCAGAGATGACGGAGAAGGTAGAATGAGTTGCAAAAGTAGGCGACCACCTATTATACCTACAACACAAGCTATTCGCAACCTAATTGTTGTGTTGGTAAATAATTTAACTATCTCACAATTATCTCAAGATACTACCACGAACACAACTCCGAAGTAGAACAGAGAGGGTTATCTCTTCATTTCCGAGGTTCCATTTAAGACGCGACGCATCGAAGGCACTGTTCTGGGCTTGACACGAGTCGCCGGGAAAGGCGGTGAATAATGAACAATTATGGGCCCGAATCTGCTTTTTTGGCATCTATCGCATCCAGCATTTGCAAGGTCAAATGCAAAACGTCTTGATTGCAAATCTGCCAACGGGGAAGGTACCTGGGGACAGAAGCCGAAAGGTTCCGACTTCCGAACCGGCTTGCCGCCCCAGCTTCCGAACCCACTACCAACGCTACCCAGGTCGGCAGCCCTGTGATACTCGCTTTGACCTGCTATCCGCTACCCGTATTGGCTACTACAGCGCGAGTGGTCAGATTTCGTTTTTTACATGGTCATGCGGGAAGGGGCTCATGAAAGCTGCGCAATTTGGTGGCGGGCCGTATTCGGATCATCATGCACCTGCGTATAGCGTATCCTCCCTCTCCCGAATTTGAATGAGCACGTCCATCAAAAGCCCGCCAAGAGCTTAACAGGGGAGCCCAGGCATTCCAAATAAGTGCTGGCGGACAGGTTGGCAGCCTGGAACTTTGCGACTACGGATTACATTTTTCTCCAACGATGAAGATGTTGAGCGGTTTCACGACGAACGAACTTGTTTCTCAGTTCGGAGAACTGTAGGCGGTTAGCAACGTCTCTGCAATATACTAGACAGAGAGCAAACTAACTTATGCACCTACGTAGTTCACACTGCGTCTTCGAGTCCGTCGACATTTGGCTCACAGTCAGCCCCTGAGTGTGGTTGGTATAATTAAAACCCCGGTCCGCAGTGTCAGAACGCAAAACACCGTACTCGGAGACCCTGGGAAAAAGCCTCCGAAGAAGCAAAAGCTGGACATACGCACCGCCCGAGACCCCGAGCAGCAGTCCGTATGGCCTTCAAAGCCTCCGAACGGAACGCCTGGGAAGAGGTCGGAACTTCTTCTGCTGCCCGTGGTTTCGGGTCTGCATTCCCTCATAGAAAACAGCCGTGTGTCTGCGGCTTTCTCTTTTGTGTAGCTTGTTCATCACTTCCATTCTCGTCCCTCATTTGCAGCCCTATTAATACTATTGAACCACGCCTTCGGCAATTCCGCTTTTAATCCGGCATCTATTCCCGCTCACGTGCCTGTACGACCGTTGACATAGTCGGAGTCGAACCTCGACCGTCGTGATGGAGGCGACGAATGCCACGAACGGGGCCGACGATGTGACGAGCATAGAAACCAAACCGCCTCTGGCACCGCTGACGCCGACGCCAACACCGCCGACGCCAACGCCGCCACCGCCGCCGCCGGCATCCACTGCGGTAGCCGACCCTCCTCTGGCCGCCAACAAGGGGTTCCGGTTCTGGGCCATCATGGTGGCCATCTGCTTCACCGGCCTGCTGGGCGCCATGGAGGCCACCATCACGTCGACAGCGCTGCCGTCCGTCATCGCGAGCCTGGGCGGAGGCGACCTGTACATCTGGGCCGTCAACGGATTCCTGCTGTCGTCGTAGGTGCCCATCTACCTCCAACAACCTGCCTTTTTACCTTGGCCAACTCGGGCCTCTCGTATCACAAGGACGATGTGCTAACGGGCGGACGAACCCGCTCCACACGAAACAGGACAGCATTCCAGCCGCTCTTCGGACAGCTGGCCAACGTGTTCGGTCGGCGGTGGCCCGTGATCGTGGCGGTGGCCACCTTCATCCTCGGCAGCGGCATCAGCGGCGGCGCGACGAGCATCGTGATGCTGATCGCGGGGCGCGTGGTACAGGGCATCGGCGGCGGCGGCATCAACGTGCTCATCGAGATCATCGTGTGCGACATCGTGCCGCTGCGCGAGCGGGGCACGTACCTGGGCGTCATCTTCGGCTTCATCGGCCTGGGCACGTCGCTGGGCCCGCTGTTTGGCGGCCTCATCGTCGAGCACACCACGTGGCGCTGGGTCTTTTATATCAGCCTGCCCGTCGGCGGCCTCGCCCTGTTCCTCCTCACCGCGTTCCTGAAGGTCAACTACGAGAAGGAGACCACGCTGGCGACAAAGGTCAGCATGATCGACTGGACGGGGAATGCCATTTTCGTGGCTGCCCTCACCTCGGTGCTGGTTCGTTGCCCCCACCTCTCCTCCCCTCCCCCCCTCCCCCTCTCCTCTCCTCCCCCTCTCCTCTCCTCCCCCTCCCCCTCCCCTCATGCTCTGTCAAAGTCCCACGGCTGACGCTCCCTCTCAGATTGCCCTGTCTTGGGCTGGCGCCGTCTACCCGTGGTCTTCGTTCCACGTCCTCGTGCCTCTGATAATTGGCCTGGCCGGGCTGGTTGGGTTCATGTTCTATGAAGGATCCAGGTTTTGTCCGCAGCCCATGATGCCTCTCAAGCTGTTTTCCAACCGCACATCCTCGTCGTCCTTTGCTGTCACCTTTCTCCAGAGCCTCACCACGATATGGCTGCTTTACTTCCTGCCCGTCTACTTCCAGGGCGTGCAGGGCGTTGACCCGCAGGAGTCCGGCGTGCGGCTGCTGCCGACGATCCTGGTCGTCATCCCGTTCGGCATCGCCGGCGGCGTCCTCATGACCAAGACGGGGCGGTACCGGCCGTTCCAGCAGGTGGGCTTCGCGCTGTTTACGGTGGCGATGGGCTTGCTCAGCATTCTCGACGAGGACTCGAACGCGGGCGAGTGGGTGGGGTTCCAGGTGCTGGCGGGGGGGATCGGGCTACTGATCCCGGGGCTCCTACCGGCCGTGCTGGCGCCGCTGGCCGAGTCGGACACGGCGCTGGCCACGGCCACGTTCAGTTTTCTGCGCAGCTTCGGGATGGTCTGGGGCGTGGCCATCGCGGCCGCCGTCTTCAACACGCGCTTCGACCAGCTGGCGTACCGCATCACGGACCCGGCCGTGCGTGCCGACACGATGGCCGGCCAGGCCTACCAGCGTTCGACGTCGGCGTTTCTCGCCACCCTGGAGCCCGGCACGCGTGCCCAGTTCATGTCGGTGGTCAGGGACAGTCTCAGCCTCAGCTTTCAGGTCTCGGTGGCCTTTAGCGCGCTCGGCTTCTTCCTCGTCTTCATCCAGAAAGAGATCCCGCTGCGCGACAAGCTCGACACCAAGTACGGCATTGCTGACAAGGACACCAAGAGTGACAGCGAGGCCGGCCTGAGGAGCAACGAGAAGGCACCAGGCACGGGAACCACCAGCGGGCCAGATGGCGACAGCAGCTGAAGGGTTCCTGGGGTACTACTGGACAGGATGGATCTTGGGATCGACAGGTAATTACGGTGAGGGAGGCTGCCAAGGCCGAGGTCAATATCATATATGTTATTTGGTTGTAATCATTGCAAAAGAGAGTGGTATTAAACTGGGCAACTGGAACAAGCTCATTGGGTCAAGACTAATCTGTATGTCTGTAGTAATAATAGCTTAGAGATAGAAAGTTAACGTCTCCCCCGGCTTGTAATTAGCCCTCCTTTGAAAGCACGATACCACGACCTTTCGACTTTCCTCGTTGCAGTATGGTGCCACTCTTAGCCACCGGAAGGCATTTAACTATCTCAACACCGCACGGCAGAAGCTGCGTCTCAGAGTCCAACGGCATATGCGCCTCGCTACGAGCTGCACAAAAGAGCTTCTGTGTCACACTCGGACGAGAATCCGCCATTCCGCGGCTGTCGTTGACACTTGGTGTCGTTGGCACTTGGTAGCACCAGCAGGGCTTGAAAATCACCAACGACATGGTTACACAGCATTAAAGGCTCGACTTGGGACCGACAGTTGGCATGCACGGTCTGGAACCTCCAGCTTTGACAAGCGAGGGGTTGAGTCCTTGGAGATAAAGCCTGAGATGGTGGTAAAGGGAAGCCTGAGATGGTGAAGGGAAGCCTGAGATGGTGAAGGGAAGCCTGAGATGGTGAAGGGAAGCCTGAGATGGTGAAGGGAAGCCTGAGATGGTGAAGGGAAGCCTGAGATGGTGAAGGGAAGCCTGAGATGGTGAAGGGAAGCCTGAGATGGTGAAGAGAAGCCTGAGATGGTGAAGGGAAGCCTGAGATGGTGAAGGGAAGCCTGAGATGGTGAAGGGAAGCCTGAGATGGTGAAGGGAAGCCTGAGATGGTGAAGAGAAGCCTGAGATGGTGGTGAAGGGATGCACGGGTCTTGCAGGATTGACAGAGAGGTGGATGACGAGAGGGTGTCGCTGCGTTGAGCCCAGCCGAAGAGAAGGGGTGCTCGTTGTTTACTCGGTGGCCGTGCCGAGTGTGCGCACGATCTGACACTAAACCCGGGCGGCTGGTCGCGCCAAGGGAAGAGAGAGCTCGACAAAAACAGAGCCAAGGCCGTGATTGGCTTGTGGGCATATTCAGCATGTTACGCGGAAGTGCCCACAGCTAACCCTGGCCAGGAAGTGGAGGCAGGCCGAAGTACGAAGCACGTGGACGTTGGTGCCTGGGAGGGATTTGGGGAGGAGGGGTACTGTACCTACTGTATTCGTATGAACTGTAGAACTATACGTACTGAACTACATGTGCTGTACATCCCCCACACTCTGGGCAGTTGGTCTGCTTACGCAACCCAAACATTAGCAGCACCACCTCACCCGCATACAGGGTAATCTCCATCATGACCAGCCACGCAGCACACAAGCGTCTCGCCTGTGACCGGTGTCGCAGCCACAAGCTGCGGTGCCCGCGGACGGGGCAGAGCACCGAGCCGTGCGGCCGTTGTCAGCGCGCCGGCGCCGAGTGCAAGACGGGCAGTGCCCGCCCCATCGGCCGCCCCCGCGCCCCTCACATCCCGCCAGCGCTGTTTTGCGAACATGGACACCCGGCTGCTCTGGCGGCACCACCACCCACGCCCGGCGCACGAGACACGGCGCTGTCGACACCCGATGCAGGTGCCCAAACCGACACTGCCATGACGGCACCCACGGCGTCCCCCCAGCCTCGCCTGTGGCCAATGCAGATCGACTACCTCCCCGATCTGCTCGATAGCCCGCCGCCGCCCTGGGAAACCACCATGGACCACATGTTCGGCAGCCAAATCTTCGACGGCGGCGACATGGCGTCTCCGTCCATCTTCACCGACCTGCAGTACCTGGACCCAAGCCTAGACCACCAATTCCCCACACACCGGAGCTTCGACGCCAACGGTGACGCGCCCGTTCCCACGGCTCACGGCGCCCTGGCTCGCATCACGTCGACGCGGAGCAGCAGCACCAACGACGTCGACGACGAGCCAAGCGTCGACGACGAGCCAAGCGCCGACGACGACGGCAGCGGCAACGGCACCGCCACCGGCACTGGCACCGCCACCGGCCGCACGGGGGCGCTGATCGGGCTCTCGCGGCTGAACGAGTCGGTGGCGCGGCAGCTGGCGGCCGTCGACACGTTCCAGTGGGCGCAGCCCGACACGCTGGACGCGTGCTCGGGCAAGCTGGACTCGTTGACAGAGAACCCGCTGGCGTCGGCCCTGAAAAGCGTAGCGCAGTTCCACGTCATCCTCGGCAGCCTCTCCCCTCCTCCTGGTCTACCAGACTTGGACCCGCTCAGCACGTCGACGCGGCTGCTCGTGCTGTCCGTGTACCTGCAGGTGATGCAGCTGTTCAAGGCCATCTTCGCCGTGGCGCGGCGGCTGCTGGACACGATCCCGCGCGCCGTGCTCGACGCCTTCACCTTCAAGCCCGGCCTGCCCATCGCGGGCATGGACGCGGGCCCCACGCCGGGGATGCTGTACGTGAAAATCGTCGTCCAGGTCGTGCTGCACCAGATCGAGGGCATGGAGGCTTTGTTGGGCCTGCCCGGCGAGTACCGCCTGTCGTGGTCCGCGCCGTGGGGACGCAGTAGTATCATCACGACGACGGGAGGCGGCGGTGGAGGAGGAGGGGGAGGGAGGGGCGGTATCTTTGGCGGGCCCGACGCGGATGCGCTGTTGCAGACCGTTCTGGCTGGTGGGTTGGCTGGTGGGTCGCCTGGCTTGGGGGGAGGAGGAGGAGGAGGAGGAGGAGGAGGGGTGGTGCCTGTGCAGTCGTTGAGAGATGACCTGGCCAAGGTGCTGGGGAATATGTAGACAGCTGACAGACGACTTTGAAGCAAGCCACAGCTGTTTCGCACGTATTTTGTGGCATTATCACTGGCTTAGCTAGGGCTTGGTGATTTGTGTTGAGCCTCCAAGGAGGATTAAAGATGGCCTGGAACTCACCGAGGCCCAGTCCGGTGATTAACCCGGCCCGCTGCAGCGCCGACGACCCGGGCGCCGGGGGCAGCAGTGCAGCATCACACCTCCGTTCGGATGCAACGCACGTTGTCCGTGAACGAACGCCCTTGGCCTGCCTCACACAGCGGACCCCGGCCCTTGAGACGCAACGCAGCGGCATGCACGCTCACGAAGAGTCGTCTCTTGATAGCTGGCATCATCATTCTATCAGTTGTATGTGCTTGCTTGGTACGGCAGCCTCCCTGCCCTCGCTCTGTGAGACAAAAGACCCTGATCCAACAGACAAAGCTCCGTCTTGTACGTCTACTCCTTAAATGTGCCCTGACCGTCATTCAAACCCAACAGCACCCGCTCGTTGCGCCAAAAACAACATCACTCGCCTTCTTCCATCTCGTCCCCGTTGCCGTCGTCCTCGTCATCGCCCCCGCCCCCGCCCTCGCCGTCCTCCTCCTCCTCCTCCTCCTCATCGTCATCATCGTCATCATCGTCGTCGTCGTCGTCACTGCTCTCGCCCGAGCCCTCGCTGTCGCCTTCGCTGCCCGGGTCGTAGTCTTCCTCGTCCTCGTCCTCGTCGTCCTGCAGCAGCTGCTCGGCCTCCTTGTGCGCGCGCTCGAGCACCGTCAAGCCGTCGCCGTCGCCCTCGCCGCCAGCAGCTCCATCGGCGGCGTTGTCCCCGGCATCCGCGCCGTCGCCGCCCGCCTTCTTGGCGTTCTCGGCCAGCTCGCGCTTGGCCTTGCGGCGCTCGGCCATGCTGCCGTCGGCGAGCCCGTGGCGCCGCACGTACATCTCGTCGATGCTCTGGTAGTCCTCCTGGTCGAGCATGCCGAACTCGATCTCCTTGTCGGTCGCCACGGCGTCGCTGCCGCTGCCCTCCTCGAGCTCTACCGCAATGTTGAAGGTGCGCTGCAGCACGTTGGTGTAGCTGACGGCCACGATGCGGTCCAGCGGCAGGAACAGCAGCGGCTTCTTGAAGCCCCACAGGATGCCCGTCGGCAGGAAGAACAGGTAGCCGTCCTTGCTGCCGCGGAACGCCTTGACGTGCACCGCCTTCTCCGCCGGCCGGTACGCCTGCCGCGCCGCGCTGTGGAACACCTTGGCGTCGGCCGCCACCAGCGCGCACCCCAGGTTGCCCGCCGCCCGCAGCGACGTCGTCAGCGCCCACTGCAGCAGGCTGCTGTACGTGTCCGACACCGTCTCGGCTGTTGCAGCCGACAGCCCGCCCACGCTGCCCGGCTTGGGCGCCGTCGCCGGCACCGTGAACACGAGCGGCTCCTGCGGCGCCGGCTGCGGCGCCTGCTCGCCTGCGCCGGGCTTGGCCGTCGGGAGGAAGCTGTCGCGCGGGAACAGCACGTAGTTGTACTGGACCTGGCTCTTGTCGGGGACAGGGAGGTAGAAGGCGTGCTCTGTGACACAGAGTCCGGTCAGCGGCAAGTTCCGGCTCAGGATAGCCAACTACCAACAGCAACAAGAAAACATACCGACGTCCCTCCACGGATACACGACGCCCGGCACCGGCGTCGAGGACCCCGACGCCCGCGCGTATAGAAAGTTCTTGGTGAAGCACAGGTCGTACTTCTTGCGCTGGGGCGCGACGATGGAGATGTCTTTGATCTCGAGCAGCACGGGCTCGGTGGCGGCGGCGTCAACTGAGAGCAGCGCGCCGCCCGCGTTGTGGGCTGTGGCGTGGCGGCCGTTGACCTGCGACTGCGGTATTATGTCGACACGCCTCCTCTTGGATGCGGGCTCGTCGGGCGCATTGTTGTCGGCGGCAGAGAGCTGCTCGTGCACGAAGCTGGCGATGTGGTTGAACAGATTGACGCGGGCAGGCGTGTCTGGGGGTTGGCCATATGCCGTTAGCCATTGTTCCGTCGAGTACCTGAGTAGGGGGGTGCAAGTCTTGTGTCGCCGCCGTGCAGATTGTCTTGTGCCCGGAATGACGAAATAATGGAAGAACAGGGAAAAGGGGGCATGCAAGGGCTGGAGCAGGATGCCAACATACCGGCAGCCTTTTTGATGTCGGCCAGAATGTCTGGGCGGCCCTGGAAGACTAGCTCCAACATGCGGTTGTCGAGCTTGGCCGCCATGGCGGGCGGGCAGTTGCAGGCGGGCAAGACACGAATCGTCAGGTCACGGATCGAACCGTAGATTGGGAAACTCGAATGCGGGCTGCTGCTGGGCTGGAATTGCTCTCCTGGGGGGACGGCTGTGGATGGGGACAGCTGTGGATGGGGACAGCTGTGGATGGGGACGGCTGTGGATGGGGACGGCTGTGGATGGGGACGACGTTGATGTGTTTTCGTCGACGAGTAAATGAGTTTTCCCCAAAGCCCAAACCCTGGCCGTTTTTAAGCGGGCGTTTGCGACCGGTTTGCACGCCAAAGTTTGTGGTAAACTTTGGTAGCTTGCCTGGCAAACCGGCCCGCGTCATGTGACGCAGCTACTTCCCCTTTTCTACAGTCACCATCACGATCAAATTGTAGAGAACTACCTCGTACGGGTCAAGTGTCCGTACCAACCAAGCATTTTGTCTACCAATTGATCTATCGGAATTATTTTCCTGCCAAGACCCCGGGAAATCACGCCCGCGGCCCATCCAAGTCATTCATTACCATCTTCGGCTGGGAACATGTCAATCCGCTGCGACGACGGAATACAGTACAGTACCAACATCACCAACATCTGAACCTCGTCGTAGATAGACGACACCTACGCTGAAATCATGGCCCTGAGCACCTTGATCTGCTCCAGCACGCTCGACTTGCTGGTGCCGCCCTTGGCGGACCGCATCTCAACGCTCTTCTCGTAGTTGAACACGTCGGAGATGTCCTTGTCGAACCGCGCATCGACGCCCTTGAGCTGCTCGTACGTCAGCTCGTTCATGGGCGTGCCCGTCTGCTCCGACAGCGCCACGCAGCGTCCCGAGATGTGGTGCGTCTCGCGGAAGGGGACGCCCTTGCGGACGAGGTAGTCGGCCAGATCGGTGGCGAGCATGAAGGGATCGAGCGACGCCTCCATCTTGGCCGGCTGGATGGCCAGCGTGGCGAGCACGCCGTTGGCTATCTGGATGCTGTCCGACACCGTCTTGACGTGGTCGAGCATGGGCTCGACGCTCTCCTGGAGGTCCTTGTTGTACGTGCTCGGCAGGCCCTTCTGCGTCATCATGAAGCCGGCCACGTGCCCGAAGGCGCGGCCGCTCTTGCCCCTCAGCAGCTCCAGGCTGTCGGGGTTCTTCTTCTGCGGCATGAGCGAGCTGCCCGTCGAGTAGGCGTCGGCCAGCCGCACGAAGCCGAACTCGGCCGTCGAGTATATGATCAGGTCCTCGGCCCACCGCGAAATGTGCTGCATCAGCATGGAGCCCCACTGCAGCGTCTCGGCGACGAAGTCGCGGTCGGCCACGCCGCCCATCGAGTTCCACAGCAGCCCCTCGAAGCCCAGCTCCTCCGACATCATCTCGCGGTCGATGCCGAACGGGTTGCCGGCCAGGGCGCCGCAGCCGAGCGCGCTGCGGTTGACGCGGCGAATGACCTCGCCTAGGCGGTCCAGATCGCTGGCAAAGGCGAAGCCGTACGATAGCATCCAGTGGCTCCAGCGAATGGGCTGGGCGCGCTGCAGGTGCGTGTAGCCGGGCATGACCACGTCGATCTCCTTCTCGGCGCGGGCGGCGATGACGCCCAGGAAGTCGCGCAGGTGCTGCTGGATGGTGCGCAGCTCGTCGCGCAGCCACATGCGCATGTCGGTGGCGATCTGCTCGTTGCGCGACCGGCCCGTGTGCAGCTTGCCGGCTATGTCCTTGCCGATCATCTCGCCGAGGCGGCGCTCGTTGGCCGTGTGGATGTCCTCGTCGACGCCGGGCACGATCTTGAAGACGCCCGCCTCCCACTCCTGCTTCACGAGCAGCAGGCCCTCCTCCAGCTTGGTGAACTCGTGCTGCGAGATGATGCCCGACTTGGCGTTGGCGCGCGCGAAGGCGATGCTGCCGAGGATGTCTTGCTTGTAGAGGACCTTGTCGAAGTATATGGACTCGTTGTATTGCACCATGAGTGGGTCAAGGCCGCCTGAGCATGTTAGCCGTTGAGCCTCGCGCCTTGCCTTGCGACTGCCATTGATCGCACGCCCGATGTGGGATTGAGCTTGGATCTGCCATTGAGCAGGTCTGCCGTTGAGCAGGTTGGATGCGCCATCGGGCGGAACAGGAGAGCACAGCATCATCTGCAGATGCAACACGCACCAGTGAAGCGGCCTCCCCAGAGCATGTTGCCGGTGGGCTTGTCGTCTGCCATATTTGCTGTTTATTCGTATGGGCGACGCGGTTCTCGACTCGGCTTGGGTTTGCAAGAGATTGCGCCTGTCTCGGGGGTCAAGGATTGCGATTGACCGTTTCCCCGGGTTCTAGTTTGACTTTTGAAGCTGCTCGAGGGAGTGGGGCTGGGCGCGGAAGCTGTGCGATGCCGGCTCACGAGGGCGGAGGAAAAAAATTCAATCAACCTCTCGCAATTCCTTATCGCGTCCAATGACTCAATGCGCCATTGGAAGGTCACTGGGCAATGCAGTGGCTGACAGGGGACCGCCTGGACGGCAGCCTGCAGGCGCTAAAACGGAGCCAATGCACGCCCCGCAGCGGAGTGTGAAGCTTTGCTGCACGCGGCCTGGAACGTTTCCCCGCCTTCCATTCCATCTTGAGCCTCGCAAACCACGACCACGTTGGCATAACCCTCAATACGGGTTTACAAACGCGGTATATCTTTCGATATTCCATCAGCTACCCGCCGTGTTTATCTCGCTCGAACAGTAGGCTGCATCATATCATTTCAATTCGCATCAACAGTGTTCGGCACATCCGTATGATTTCTCCACTACATTAACCCCGCTACCCCTCACCCACGTCTGCCCCGACCTTTGCCCTTTTCCAATATCCCTATTTTCCCTATCAACATGCCCGATTTTGCAATCGACACTCCCGATTTTCCCTCCATTACGCGTCACCTGATTCCCTTTGCGCGGTCCACCATCGGCACTCCCGATCCTAGGTAATTACTCTCCCGCTAGACACGACCCACAAGCGCAAGAAGACAGGTGCACGCCATGTCCACGGCGCTGTGTTCCCCGCGGCACCCCCGCTGCAGGAAGTTGGGCAGCTGCCCTTGATCCATCGGTGGCCCTTCTCCGCCCTTGCCATCGCCGGCTGCCCGCAGACAGTAGGCAGCGGCGCGCACCAGGTTGCGGCGCTCCCGCATCGCCCGCAGACACGGCGTCGCCACGCGACACTCGCCGCCGTCGCCGTCGCCGCTCTGCGCCGCCGCCAGCATCGCCCGCTTCAGCCCCGGGTGTACCTGCTGCTCCTGCTGCTGCTGCTGCTGCTCCTGCTGCTGATTGTCTACGTCTAGGTCGGGCTGTTGCGGGGTTTGGTATGCCGTCTGATCGAGGTCATCAGGGGTTGCGCGGCGGTGAACTGCTGCTGCGCTTTTCGCCGTGGCGGTGAGCGTCGTGTCGGTGAGCGTCACCGTGACTACGGGCACCGTAACGACCGTCGAGACAATCGTGATGACAGGTATCGAGGCAGAGGTCGAGTCTGACGAAGTGGAGGCGCTGCTGCTGCTGCTGCTGCTGCTGCTGCTGCTGCTGCTGCTCGATGCGGATTGGTTACCGCTCCACGTTACCACAACGGTCTCGGTCTCTACAACCGTGACGACAGGTACTGAGGCAGAGGTGGAGTCTGTTCCAGTTGTCTCGGATCCAGAGAAAGACGCAGACGCAGAATCACTGCTGCTGCTTGGACCGGACGGGCCGTATGTCACCGTCACTACGGTTGTGGCTGTGGCTGTCGCGATAACCGTGACGACTGGTTCCGGTGTGGAGGTGGATGCGCCGCCGCCAATACTTGGACCGTATCCGCTTTCGCTTTGCAGTGCCGGCGTCGACTGCTCCGACGACTCGACGCTACTGCTGCTGCTTGGCCCGGACGGCCCATACGTCACCGTCACTACTGTTGTAGCTGTGGCTGTGGCTGTCGCAATAACCGTGACGACTGGTTCCGGTACAGAGGTAGATGCGCCAGTGCCACTGCTTAAACCGTATCCGCTTTGGCTTTGCAGTGCTGGCGACGACTCGCTACTGCTGCTGCTGCTGCTGCTGCTGCTATCCGGCGGAGCCACCGTGGACCCGTCGATTATGGTGTAAGTTGTTGTAGGGTTCACCACGATGACCGTCTCGGACGACTCGACTGGGATGGTTATCTGGGCGCTACTGGTCAAGCTGTCTGGGGGGTACTCTGACGGCTGCCCGTACCCTGGTGTTGCGCTTGACTCGGGGCTCGACGACAATGGGCTCTCGCTGTACCCCCCTGAATATGAGCCGTCACTGCTGCATGGCGACGATGAGGCGACGCTGCTCGGGGCTGATACCGAGCTGCCGCCGTATGCCGCAGTTTGGCTGGCACTGCTATCGCTACTCTCGTCACAATCGCTGGCTCCGCTGCTGCTCGCCGACGAGGCATAGTCAGGGTCGGTCGAGAGCAGGGACACGTGCGCCGTCAGGGTTATAGTGCTCGTGATTGTCTCCCAGGCGTTGGTGGCCGTGTATACGATGATGGTCGACGACACGCTGTAATCGGGACTGTAATCTGGACTCCATGTGTGCGTCGGCCGGCGGCCGGAAGAGCTCGTCCAAGTATGTTCGTGGTCGCTGGTGGGGCTGGCTCCGTATGTGTACTGGTCGTAGCCACTGTCGTCGGGCGGGAAGCTGTGGCTCGAAGAGGTTGGACAGTTACCACTGGCTGCCTCTGTGTCGCTGGCATATGAATCGCTAGAGGTAGGCTGATACTCGCCGCTGGTAGCCAAAGGATGCGGATACGCTGACAAGGACTCGGTGGTCTCCAGCTGCGTGCTGATGGCATTGGTGGTCCACAGCAGCGTGCTGGTGGTGTTGTTCGTCTGCAGCGTGCTGGTGGTGTTGTTCGTCTGCAGCTGCGGGCTGGTGGTGTTGGTGGTCCGCGGTTGAGTGGTGGTGGTATTGGCCCACGAGGTCCTCGTCGACGAATAACTTGCGCTTGTGACGTTGGGGAAAACGCTAATGCTCAGGGGTCTAAACGCATTGCGCGCGCTTTTGACCTGGATTGCTGGCCGTGGGAACAGGCTCGGATTGGCATAGAAATCCCACCACAAACTGCTCGCAAACGTCGGCACCGGGCTGTAAGTGGCTGTTGAATACGACGCGCACGTGGTAGACAACGGTGTTGGTGACGGCGCTGACGAGGGCAGGACGAGAGGATCCTCGTATCGAGCCCGGACTTCTGGTTTCGGGCCGCAGTCGCCGTACAGGCCGTCGATCTTTCCGTGCGACGACACGACGTTTGTACCGCAATCATGGTGCTGGGCGAGATATATCATGTGCTCTTGCTGGCGGAAGACGGCTGGCCGTCGACAAGTCTTGTTAGTCTCAAGTTGGAGAATAGGGGTCATGGGTCACCGCGCAACGTACCATAGGCAGCACGCAGGAAAGTATCGCCGAGAACGAGAATGTCGCCTGAAGCCGGCATGGCCCCAATAACACAATATGTCTCGTTTCCCCTTTCCGTAAATACCGACGGGACCCGTACAATGAAGTCCCGGAAGGGGATGTGGATGGTGAGATCATCGAAGGAAAAGTCAATACTTCCCTGATCGTCCGCATGGGAGCAGTCGAGTATGTAGCCGAGGTTTGTGGCTTGCGTTGAGGGAAAGTACTGCAAGAGATTGTTGAAGACAGTCTCTGGCAGGTAGGTCAGGGTAGTGCCTGTGTCGGGCATAAAGGGCCTTGGTAACGATTCCGGGTCTGTCAAGGGAACAGAGAGGCAGGAGCCAGGCGGTGTGATGGCTATTGACGACACGTTTATCCAGTATCTGAAAGCATGCACGTGCTGTTAATGTCTGTAATCGTAAGATGCTAACCGGGTAGCGGCAAGTCCATGATCCTACCGATAATAGCCCTCAGGGCCCTCAACCTGCCGGGCCAAGTGAAGACCGTGGAGGGGCCCTGAGAACTTGCCCAAGTCGATTCCGCCAAAGATGATCTCCCCTGACGTCCTAGTCAGTGTCGGGGCTTGGGTGGAGTGGGGATGGAAATCTGCAAGCAGAGAGACTTACCCCCGGTTTCGTTTATGCTACCGAGGCCGATGCTGAAGTCCTTGTCTTGGATCAAGCCCTGGTCGTACATGGAATCAATGATTCCGCTGTAATTCTGATTGTACCCGATGCCGTAGCCGGCCCCCAGTATTCCCGAGATGAGCCCCTCGGTGTAGAGGGCAAGGCCAAACTGGGCAGGCGCCTCGAGCTTGAAGGTCTTGCCGACGTTCTTGACATCATAGGGGTCTGCCAGTGTAAAAACATCCTCGTAGAACCGAACCAGAGCGGCGCCGGTGCCGTAAAAGATCCAGCGCGGCTTCGCCGTGTCGTTGAGGTCGACCACGGTGGCCGACTGGTCGGGAACGAAGGTGCCCTGGCTGCGGCAGAGGTCAACCCACGCGGGGATCCCCATCAGGCTACAGGGGGGATCTATCCATGTTTCCGAGGAGCCAGTGTCGAAATCTAGCGTCACGAGCTGAGCCGGCGTGCCGATCCACACTAATAGCAGTGTGTTTTGATGCACGTTAGACACTTGAGCCCATGCATTTCTATCATGCGGCTGTTAGGGGGGTTCTACGACGTACGTTCCACTCCATACGCCACATCTGTAAACATTGCGGTCAGGTTCATGCCGTGTGGTCCCGGCGTTGGTGTCGGAGTTGACGCCGTCGCCGCCGCCGCCGTGGCTGATGATGCGGACATATCGGATGTCGACGAGGCTGACGGAACAGGTGTGCTACGGTTTTGATATCGCCGCTTCATTGGTAGTCGCACGACATTGTGGGCCTGTTGCTGATCTGCGCCTCGCTTGTCTACAGAGCGAATAGCTGCCGGAGATAGCCACGCCGTGGCCAGCAATGGAAAGACTAAGGAAAAGGCCAGGACGGTGGGAATCATGTTGTTACGTGGCATACCGGGCTGCTGACGCCGGCCCTGGATGGACCTAGAGAACGGGCGATTTTGGGATGGTACGGCAAAGAAACGAAAGACATGAAAGCCAGTCGGAGAGGAGAAAGACTGAGACAGACAACATGGATGAGATATATGAGCACGCTAAAAGCATCCATTGCGTTGAAGCGTGTACATTAAACACTTTCATTTGTCTGCGAGTCCCTGAGACACATTGACGGGCCGGAGTTGTACACGGGTGCATGACATGTGGCCGGCGAAGACAGGGTAACTGGCCATGTAATTACGTGGTCGGTAATCCGTAGGGTATATATATTCTGACAGCTCTCCACGTTTTGGTCTAATTTTCAAGCATCCAATTCAATTCGAACGAGAGTCAGCATAGCTGCGGTGTATGAGGAGAACTTAACCCTTTTTGAGTTTGTGCAGAGGCTGATATGGAACCAAGTTCTATTCTGTTCATTATGGGGCAGCTGTTGGTGTCTCTGTGTAGCTCACGCAACGTGACACGGCTTGGATTCAGATTCTGACGCCGTGAATCACACAAGATGTTGACATCACACAAGATGTTGACACCTGGCATTGGCAATCTGGCTGGTGTAGGAAGGGTTAGGCGAGCGTAGTTCGACGATGCACACCTACACGATTAAGAGGGTGATGAGAAGGAATGAGTTGCTCCAGGATTGCCCATCAAACGATACGACTTTTTTAAAATGAAAGGGAGCCAGTTACAAGTGAAACAATTAACTCGGCCGCTTGTGTGGAAATTACAAAGAATAAATTAAACCCATCAACGTGTGCTTGGTCAGACCTGAAGAAATGAACTCCTGTGCTCAAGTGCGCCTGGGCCCATTTGCGGCAATTACCGAAACTGCCCCTGGGTTTGTTTCCTTTTCAACACATCTTTGTGTTATTACCGCAGCACCTTCTGCGAGACATACTGTCGCTATACCATCCGACCTGCCGTGTCCGTAACATCACGCTCGTGATACTGAACAGTAATCTCCTGCGTCTGCAAGATTCTCCCCGGCACAGCCTTCTGGGGGTCCAGAATATGCGGTATTTCCCAGTTGATCGAACTGGAGGAGCTGCTCGAGTCGAGGAGCCGGTCCTGGTGTCCGGCGGTCACCATGACGGTGCTGGACCGGTGAAGCGTGCCGCCACCAAAGTTTTTCTTGTGAAAGGTTGTGTCGTCGCTCGCCGACTCTGCGCCCTGGCCGTATCTCCGCCGTGTTGCGATGCGCACCTCGCGGACGAGTACGCGCAACACGGGAACCGAGGCGGCCATGATGGCAACGGCCACCTCGACGTTTCCCCATATGATGAGGTTGTACCCCTCGTCTGTGCACCGTGTCAGATTGCGTGTGACTGCATGGATGGGCTGTTTTGTGCGGGTTGTACGAACATGTGAAGTCGCCGTCCAGCACCAGGAGGATCTTGGACGACTTTACAAAGGCCGCAGAGCCAGCAAAGACTCCCATGCTCATGGCGACGGCCACCCCGATCTTTTCCTTCCTCTTCATTTGTAGATTCCATACTATGGCCCAGGGGATAATGCTCAGGACAATATCCATAAGGCCCGAGTAGACTGTACCCGGGGGGGTCGTGTCAGTAGCAAGAACAGCCACGGATATGGGCTGCGAGTCTGGGCACATACCTCCGGCAAAGACGCCGTAGTACGCGTTGATCTTTGGGTCCCAACAAGATCCAGGGATAGCCATGTTCCAGCCCCTGGGGATGGGATTGCACTGGACCCAGTTTAATATTACGTTGGTGGTCATAGTCAAGTTCATGGTCAGTATGATGGACCACACCGCGACCTTCATCTTCTTGCTGGTTGCGATGCGGAGCAAAGTCAAAGCAAAAGAAGTTTTGCTCCAAACAGCACCAAGCATGGAAAACGACGCGCCCAGGTAGCCCAGGAAGGCAAGAGTCGAAAGATTGTCCGGGTCGATATCGCGAAGGTGCATACCCAGCCCGAGCGGTTTGCATATCGTATTGACAATGGCGTCTGCGAGAAGAGCGAGCTGCCCCGGAGTTAGCCTCGTCAAAGATTTCCACTTATCAATCACCGCCGCAAAGGTTTCTGAGGAGGCCGGTTACTCACCCACGCGGTTGTCAGGATCCAATCGTCCCACCACAGACCCCTGTGCTTGAGGTGCTTGCAGTAGACACGCAGGCCGAGGAACAGGCCAGAGATGGCGACCAGAAACCAGCCAGAAATCTCGACCGCCGGCCCCGTCGTCTCGACCGGTGCCCTGCCCGAACTGCCGGCATGCAGGATGCCGCCGCTCCCGTCCGACGGAAGTGGGGAGGACATGGTAGGACAGCAAGACAAAAAATTCGCGCAGCAAAACGACCGAAAGAGTGAATAAGAAGCGAAAGACGACCGTGGCACCTGTGCCGCTGGTCTTGAAAGAAATGAGTGGACAGGCCGGACCGGCCAGGGGTGATTCGGCGCACAGCGCAAGCGAGACCCAGTTCAAGATAATGAAGAGAACGACGAGGGTCGCCAGGACAGAAGCAGGCCTGTCATGGGGAGCGAGGGGGGAACGAGATCCGCGCCTGGGGCCGGTGCATCACTTGGGGGAGGCTGGGATAGATATGCATCCCGACCAGAGACTGTAGATTACGTCTACATGAAAAGAAAGGACGAAAAAAAGAAAGAAAGCTGCCAAGGAATGTGGGGAGAGGGGAAGGGGGAGGGTAAATGGAGATCTCTCACGACAAGCACGTCTCGTTACCGGGCGATCGTTGCGCGCCCAGCACAGGCGGCGGCGCGACGGCGGCGCGACGACGGCCGATTTCTTTTTTTGTCCTTACCTGAACTTAGGAACCCTCGAGGCAGGACGCACCAGGAATCCTCCGCTGTCGTCCGCTGCCGCCAGAAACGGCTCATGCAGTTTCCGGGATTTAGGAGCCGCCAGATTTGCCGGCAGCTGTGTGGGCTCCCAATCCGGGGGCACAGCAAGCAAGCCATGTTTCTCATCCTACTGTTTTAGAACGGACTGTTTAGGATCGGATTGGTAGGAGCTGCTGTTCTTTGTAATCACCTTGGGAAGTAAGTCGCGAAAGGGGGTATGGGGGTGGTCTGGCGAGCTCAGCGGCTCGATGCGGAAAAAAAGAAAAAGAAAAAGAAAAGCCAATTAAAGATAAAAATCCCCATCCCACAATGCACACACAGACATCTCTCAATCCAGCCGAAGAACGCTGCTTCGATCTGGGGGGGCCAAGCAGGGCCCCGAGCAAAGAGCTGTCCCGATTTGGGAAGATTTTTGTTGGACCCGGAACCTGGCGTCGCATGGAACGGCCCGGCGATCAAACCCCCTCAGAAATGCCCTTCCGTGGTACCGAGTCTGGAAACGTGGGATGGCGACTTTTTTTTGCCCGTCGTCGGGTGCAGGGGAACTGGTAGGCTTTTTTTTTTCTTTTTTTTTTTTTTTTTTTTTTTTTAAAAAAAAAAAGATTAGAATATTGAAGTCGAGGTCGAGGTTGACTTGATTAATCCTGGAAAAAAGGGGCAGACCAGACGCGCCAAGCCAGCTCCCCGTCGGAGTCGGTCGCACAAGAAGTAATTACATACCTGCCTGCCCAGGCAGTTTGCAATTTCGCAGTCAGCCTCGACACGTCTGCTGTCTCGACCAGGCTCCCGGCCTGCAGTTTGCAGTCTGCCTAGTCTGCTACCTAGCTCGACGGGTAATGTTGTTCCCAGCCAGGGCGCGTGTCTGGATGTGACCGATCAGCCGTCTGATATTTGGTGTCACAGCGTTGCATTTCCGAGAGGCGTGCATCGCTGGCGGAAACCCCCTTCGCGTCATCATGCTTGCCATGCTACGCGCGCACGTCATGCTCTATCTTGCTTCCCCGTTGCCCGATGCGTCGATTAGCGGACCGGGAAGGCCCGTGGCGATTTTGGCTCGCTTCCGCTTCTGGCAGTTATCGATCAGTCATTCATGAATGGTGGCTGGCGGACAAACATTGATCAGATTCCGAATCTCATTCCCCCCTGCCTCGAAGTTACATTTTTTCCTCGCGATGGCTTGGCGCATTTTTGGGGGTCACGCGAACAAGAACATTGCTACGTTCCAAACAGATTGAATCCAGCTCCATACCAAGCCGTGGACCTCTATTGTACAGACACCTCCAAATCAAGTACAAATGAGTACCTAAGTAGTTAATTATTTATCGTCAGGTAATATTTGGTCTGTGCCTGTTCCAATGTGCAGCGATTAGTGCTTGGCAAGTTCTTACCGTTTACTAGCAAGGTGTTTGTGACGTACGCATTCATCTTCCTACATGATGACTCCAATGCCCCCTTGTCTTTACCTTGCTCCCTTGAATTCCTATTCTGCCATGTTGAGGAAGGAAAGTAACAAAAGGGCAGTGCCATAGGCGACTGAGTATAAGGAAGCCTGGCTGGCATGTGCTCAGGGGTGCTGGGTACTTCTGGGTATTAAGTACGGGACAACTGTGATTGAGGGAGTCTGTTCAGACTGTTAGAATCGTCTGTTTGGGCTGTAGACGAGGTACAAGATGCTTCAATTATTTGTGTCAATTGAGGCCTAATCTAATAATAAACAAGTCCAGAGCCTAGCCAAACACTACTAAATACCCCCCACAGCCGTATTTGTAATACTAGTCAAACGACGTACGCCGTCATATTACCTATCGCGTCCCTCGCCCGCTAGCACCGCCTCCCTGCACTAGAGAGTAATCTAAGAAGACTCGACATCGTACTGACTCTTGTCTGTCTGGCTTAAGACGACCTCGCTGGCCCCGGCGGCGTTATGGGTATATTCCGCTCCACGCGTTCTAGTACGGCCGCTACCGCCAGATACACCGTCGCAGCGGGCGTACGCCGACTAGGCTTGACGAAAGTACTAAGAAGGGCTTTCAGACAATTACAAGCTATTTTGCGTTATTTTAGTCTCTATTTTAGTTGTGGACCATGTCGGTAGAGTGTTTAGCGTACTGGAACCTCCATATTATACTTGGATGAACCTGCTAAAGTCCCAAAGGTAGCTCATACTGATATTCCGGCAACCCCCCCCACAGCGGGAACGAATTTCCAACGAGCAGATGCTGCTTGATGGGCATGACGCTTTGCAAATCCGTCCTGAACGGCCCCTTCTGCGCGAGAGGCTCGCCAGCAAGGCGGGCCTCGATCCAGCGCAGCCAGAACTGGCGCGTGGCGTGCAGCACGGGGACGTGGCCGACACCCGCAGCAACCAAAAACTCGAGGTCGCTCTTCGGGAGCAGCTTCTGCGTGTCGGCGACCGTCTTGTTGGTGGCGTCGAAGGGTATGTAGAGGTCGGCCGTCCCTTGCACGACGAGCAGCGGGCCGGCGAAATCGCGGCGCCCGACGGCCGACAGCCTGGCGAAGGCAGCCGCATACCACGACGCCGTGTCCCAGCCAGGCCAGTACGTGTCGTTGCGCCCAAAGTACAGCTGCTGCACCGCCGTGATGCCGCCCTCGACCTGCAGCGCCAGCCGCGCGCGCGCCTCGCCCAGCGGTGTCAACCAGTCCGAAAGCCGGAAAGCTGGGAAGATGCTGTGCAGGGCCTGGCCGACGGTCGGTAAGATGAAGAAGGCAGGCGCGCGGAACACGTCGGTCGGCGGACTGGCGGCCACGGTGCCGCGGTAGCCAGACAACAAGTCTGCGAACGCCACCTTCTCCCTCGCCAGGGTCTCGGCGACGGCCCACGCAGTCGCGCCGCCCTGGCTGTGGCCAAGGACCACAAAATCGCTGCCGAGGTTGGCGGGGAACGCGGCGAGCGCGGCGCGCATGCTGTACAGGGCGTCGTGGGCGGCGGCGGGCGCGGCCGAGTACTGGTGGGGGATGTGGCTGCCGTCCCACGACGTGGCGACGCCGAGCCCGGCGTAGTCGGGCGCCACGACGGCGTAGCCGGCCTCGGCGAGCGCGAACGGCGCCGCGTGCTCGTACCACAGCGCGCGGTGCGCCGACGGGGCCCAGAAGCTCGAGAAGCCCGACGTGCCGTGCGTCCAGAGCACCGCTGGCACCTTGCCCTTGGCGGAGCCCGAGGGGTTGCGCTTGCGCGGCCCGGAGCTGCTTGGGAACTGGTGCGGTGTGTACGGCCAGAGGATGAAGGCGGACGCGGGAATTAGGGTGCCATTGAGCGTCGTCGTCGTGTACAAAAAGCGCGAGAGAGCGGTGGAAGGCGGGATCGCGTAGGCTGTTGGGTCGGTGAAGGCCTGGACCTTGAGGAGCTGGCCGGGCTTGAGGTTTTTTGTGCTGCCAAAAGGCGGGACTCTGTAGAAGTCGTCCTCGGAGGGACCGCCAAACGCCAATTGAGATCTGTCATAGTTGATGATGTTTTGGAGAGTCTCTACAAGGGCGCTGTCGAGCTGCGCGTCCTGTATTTGGGCGGGAGAGAAACTAAATGAAGAATTGAAGTCGGTTGTTTGAACAGCGGCCCTCGCCAACTGCGCGGTGGTCAGAGGGATGAAGAGGGCACCCGCCAAGATTGCCTGGGCGATCATTTTGCCGTGGGTTCAGGGGAGAATGCCGAAAGGCTGTGGAGGCTGATGAATGTATTGTGTTTGAGAAGCCGCCATGTGGTTGATATTTATATCACGGCTTGATGTTCAAGATGTCTCTTCCAACTCAAGGTATGTACATACCTCCTGGGTTTATAAGATCGACATGCAAGGCTATTTCATCCCGGAACCGTGCATCAGATGGCGCTAATTCCAGTGCCCGATAAGTCCAGGCTTGGACGAATCGGAATGGGATAGGACAATTAGTAATGGAAGAAGGGAGGGATGTTACTCAGCCATGTCGTTCACTCCTGATCCTTGTTAATAATTTGACATCCTTTACTGGACTCGGCGCTCGCCAATGTGAGAAATAGAGCCCTTCTGTTGACCATGTCAATCTCAGTTTGTATTCACGACTTTGTAATGTTCGGTCCGTGTCACTAGAGCAAGTATTTCCAGCTTCAAATTCCCAACAATACACAGGTGGAAACACTTGGCAATCGCTTACAAGGATCGGAATAAGGGACCCAGCAACACGTATCCGTTTGGAAATGAACTACCCTGCAAGGTTAGCAGAGCTTATCGTTCGTGATGCTCGCCAATTGCCGCGTAGCTGTCGTACTTTTAAGCGTGTTTCTAAGAAGTTAAGTCAGATGGCTTTCAGAAAAGGAGAAGTCAATGGATAAAGCCGCGGCCAGCAAGTTCCACATCAAATTACATCATCTTTGGTCCAATGTAACACTGGAAATTTCCGCAGCGATTACAAACCCGTACGCGCACGGGATTACCAACAGCACTGAGCACTCGCACTCGCTTGATAATTCTAGCCTCGGCAACTGCTGATTTCCCGTCGCTTCTAGAATACTGATCTAACGCTATTGCCTTGGTCAGCTGGCTTAGACACTTCTTCCTGTCCTCCTAGACGAAAGCGGACCCTGGACTCGGCTTCTGTCTCTCTCTCACGTACTCCAATGCAACCTTGATCATCGTTTCGGGAGTGACAATTGACACGGCCGGATCGAGATTGAACTCTGTATATTCCTCCTCGTGCGCGGCGGGATGCATTCTACGAGGAGCAAGGGCGCTCCTGTGTTTGGGCTGCTCCTCAATGTCAGCAGGGACCTCTTTGCGGGTGGCTCGTTCTCGGCCACCTCCAAGCCGGTAGTCTCGTCACTCTTGTTTCTGTGGGGGTCCTGCGCATCACCAGCAATTGAGGCCTGGTTGGCAGGCGGCTCGTTCCCGGCCAGCTCGTCTACGGGCCGTTTGTTATTGTCCACCTCGAGGCTGTCAATTGAATCGATGTGTTATCTTTGGTGAGACGGAGCGTGATGGAGTGCGACGGTAGGTCTGGGCCAAGTTAGCGTTTGATAGCCCGATACGGCTGGGAGTGCAAGGTCTGGCATACTTACTTTGAGAATTCTAGTGTTGATATGGTTGGGTTGAGGAAATGATGTGAATCGCAAACAATTGGCTTTGAGACCTCCGATACAGTGAGGATGCTGCTCCAATTTTGCTGACAAGACAGTGCAGCTGACAAGGCAGTGCAAGGGAATTGAGGAAAGCATTGAACTGGGAGTGGTTTCGCGTGGGAAAATTTCCATTAATACTGTAAGAGGTAAATACAACTTGGAAGGCAAGAGCGATTGGCAACAACCTACAGACAACTCCGGGCAGGCGCCAGGTCCAGGCACCAAGCGCCCCAATTACAGGTAGTCGTCTCAATTCAGCACCAAAACCATCCCAACAATGCCAACAATGCCAACAAGGCCAACAATGCCAACAAGGTCAACGGGACCTCGCGTCCGCGCGCTGCCCGCCGTGACGGGAACAAAAGTCGACGTCGAGATACCACCAGGAGAATCAGGAGCAGTAGTAGTCGCGCCACTGCTGCTCCCCCCTCCTACCGTTGGTGTCGATGGAACCGGATTAGGCCCGCCGCCGCCGCCGCCGCTCCCAACACTGCCAGAAAGAGAGCCAGCAATACCACTACCAGAACGAGAGCCAGCAATACCACCACCACCACCACCACCACCACCAGAACCAGGACCAGAACCAGAACCGGACCCAGATCCCGAACCAGATCCCAAACCCGAAGCCGCAACAGCAATAGAACTAGAGCTGCGATGCGTTCCCTGGACACCACCGCTGGTGCTAGGACCAGTGAAACCAGGCCCGCCCGTGGGCGAGATGGCAGACAACTTGCTACACGACGAGTAACACGGGACGCCCAGGGAGGTGGTGTGTAGCCCAGTCGAGACCGAGGTTGTCGACCCAGCAGCGTTTGTCAAGGGACAGTACGTGACGTACACAATCTCAACGACCGTGGTGGATACCGGTCGAGGGGATGGCTGACAGCCCGCGCACGCCGTGGTACCCCCAATGCCGCTGCCGCTGCCGCTGCCGCTGCCGCTGCCGCCGCCGCTGCCGCCGCCGCTGCCGCCGCCGAGTCCGACGCCGGTGCTGGTACTAGGGCTGGTACTAGTCGCGATCGGGATTTCGCTTCCGCTGCTGCTTCCACCTCCACCTCCACCTCCGCCGCCGCCGCCGCCGCCGCCGCCGCCGCCGCCACTGCTGCCTCCTGTTGCAGTACTGAAGGTGCCTCCACCGCCGCCACCTCCACCTCCACCACCGCCGCCACCGCCGCCACCCGGCCCAGTGCTCGCTGTAGAATTGCTAAATGGAGCGGTAGCAGTCGAGGTCGAGTTGCTGAACGGAGCGGCGGTGGACGAGGTCGAGTTGCCAAAGGGCGCCGTGGTAGTACTGTTACCACTGGGCGGAACCGTGCCGTTGAAGGCGGGAAGGGTGAGGATTCCTGGCAAGAGGCGCTGAAATGCGGCTCCAACCGAATCCTTGCCCACAGCATAGATGTTGAACGCATACGATGGCACTATGTTCTCACCGTAATAGTAATTGGTCGGCACAGAGAGGTCGTCGCCGCCAGGACCGTTCAGCATGGCGACCTGGCCCAGCACCTCGCCGGAGCGCGCGCGGAACTCGAAAGATGCGCTTGCGTAGTCGCCCTCGATGATGGCATGGCCAAACGCCGACGAGCCCGGGTCCGGCGGCGTCGACACAGCGAACCAGCCCTCGTGTTTATCGCCAGAAAACTCGACAAAGTCAAATGTGGAGAACTGCAGCGTCGACGTGCCAAAGACGGATAGCGAGAAGGGTACGTTTCCGACCGCCTCAACCGTCCAGATGCCGACGGCTGGGCTGCTTACCGTGAAGGTGGTTGACGACGTGGCGCTAATCACAGTGACCCCAGGCGAACTGGCCGTGAGTACCTGGCCAGCCGGGCCCTGGATTACCATGTTGATGGCCGTGTCGTTGAGGCTGAAGCTGACCTTTGTCAGCGAGCCGTCAACGGGTACGTCGAACTTGACCGAGCGGTCCGCCCGGCGGTGTTTGAGAGACCCGCCAACGGGACCATAGACCCCAAAGTTAATATCAACTATGTGTACCAGATTTTCATCGATTAGCAGACCAGCAAGGTTCGCCGTATCACCGGCACTGGCCTCCGACAGCCCCGTATACAGCTTCCCCCCAGTCTCCGACACGACGACGTCAAACCCACTGGGGTCGAAACAGCCCTCGGCAAATGGCCCGCTGTCGTCAAACTGGAACAGGTTCACCTGCAGCGACTTTTTCTTGGCCGCATCGGCCACGCTGCTCGCGAGGCCCGCGTCCTTGGCGGCTGCGTCGGTCCACACAAAGATCTGCCCCCACGCAGACGAGGCATCCACGGCGTTTTGGATAGCGGCCATGGCAAGCTCCGGGCAGTCGCCGCCTCCGTCGGCCCCGAGCGACAGGATGGCAGATATGAAGGCATCGGGGTCCGTGAACGTCTGTGCAGGCGGCACATCCGGATCCTGGATCTGTGACAGAACGTAGAGGGAGGGGAGATTGGCGGTGGCCGAGCGCCTCGCGCTAACAATCTCCACGGCGGCAAGCTGCACACCGGCGATCACATTGCCCTTTGAGATGTTAGTTTCCTGCATCCTAACCACACCACTCTTTCCCGGTTGGGTTCTTACCATGCTCCCTGTAGTATCTATCACGAAATTCAGAACAGGGCCGATGCCCAGCAGGAGCTTCAGCAAGCCACAGTCATTTGGCGCGAGGCTACCGGGGTCCCCGTCCTTCCCACAGATTGTCTGCCGGAGGTCGTCCATGTACTGTATGGTTGCCTGGTCGGCAAGCCCAGCGGCCGCCTCATGCTCAAACCAGTGGGGGGACATGAACGCATAATTCGTGTCCTTCGCGATTCCCTCCTTTCCGGTAGCATCTCGATCGAAGGGGCCGCCGTGCGAACACTTGTGTGTCCCTGGCTTCGTCGAGTGCAGGGCCAAGTGCGTTCCAAAATAGCCGCTCGTCAGGTATTGCTGGCCCACCGAGAGACCGGGTAGCAGGTTGTCGTGGCAGTCGGGATCGACGTGTCTGACCGTCGGGTCGATCCCGGTGAGAAAGCTATCCGTCATGCACAGGAAAACCCTGGCCTTCGAGATTGAACTGAGGGGGTCGGAGCTCGACACGTCCAGGCGACACTGCTCGTCAAACTGCCGCTCCTCGGGCCAGTCGCCAGATGGAATATCGTCGTATACGCAATTCTGGCAGGTGATCACGCCTATGGTGGCGAGGGGATACTCCAGCGGCCATTCCCTGGAGAGTTTCTGCGAGATCTGCGCCGCGGACCGATGGCCCATTTCGACCCAGTTTGTGTGTGAATAGAAATCTATTTTTATCAGTTGATATTTACCCAAATCTTGGACTCGCAGCACCAATCACTTTACGCACCTTGCAGAGTGTGCAGGACTCGGCCAAGCTTGTTCCTGGCGTCCGTTACGTCGCCAATGGCAAGGAGACCTTTTATCTCGTCCTTGGCGCTCATGAGCCTGGTGTTGCATTGTTGGAGAGTTTCGTCGTCACAGTGAGCCTCCCCCAGCTCGGCCTCGCTGTCGCCATGCTGGTCGACTATCTTTGAGCCCTCTGGGTTGTTTGGTTAGCAAATGAATCCCCGATGGTGGAGGCCGAGGGCAGACGTGACACACCGATGATCTCCTTGCGGGCTTTGTCCATGGAAGCTGTCGCCTTCTCGATGTTGAACCAGGAGTAGCCCGAGCTAACGCCTTTTTTGGTCATGGCCTCGTGCGGTCGGCCATAGCTGCTGATGCCGCCCGGTGTGGTGACGGGATCAGAATCCGGGTACTCGATGCCCTTCACCAGCAGCCAGGAAGGGTTGAATGCGAAACAAAACTGAAAGAGAGCGAGGGCAAAAGCCGCCACGAGCTTGAAATAGATGGCCATCGTTGTAGGAAACGACTAAACGAGCGACTGCGGCCAAAGGAGTGTCAAGCCTGTGCTTGCAAGCGAGTGAAGCAGACAGGTCGAAGCAGACAGGTCGAACGAGGGAGGGAACCACAACATGGCTTCAGCAGCTGCCAAGAGAGCGAGATTTCCATGGTATTTTGTATTCCTTCTTCAGGCTCTCTCCGGCTTCCAGCACGAACACGGCGGCTACCGAGAACAAACGTGGACAATGTTGCGGGGGAACTTGGAAGTTAATTTGGGTTTGGCGCCGGATCGGCCCCCCTGGATTGCAGCTACGTATTGTCGTCACAGCTTTTCGTGGTTGTGTAATTTCCACCGCGCCGAACCCCTCCCCACAGACAACTGACCACTGCTGTGCATGGAATATTGAAAAATATTGACCCCGAAACAGCCAAGACTGAGGCTCTGCACGGCCAAGGGACGCCAAGCCATTCCCGATTAGATCGCGACCGACCAGTGCACGTTTGATAGCGCGTCGAGCTGGAGACGAATTGCCGCACAGCTTTCTGTTCCTGGACCCCCTTTTTGGGGCGAGACGGGCGATGGGCGCGCTGTGAAAATGAATTGGTCACCCATGCAATTGCTGTTCCCATATTGGTCAAATGAACCATTCCCATTCTGCGGCCGAGGACACGTGCTCCGCCCATCGCATCACTCGCATTTGCTATTGGGGGTCAGGATCTTCGTATTTATTGGGCGCGTGCACATGTTCCGCGCTCCCCGGAAGGCTGCGCCATGAATACGGGGTTGTTTCTTCGACTGGGAGTGACGAATTCTGAACGATGTTGCTTGATTCAGGCTTTTGGCGCCCGTTTCCACCACGCCGGTTCACTCTCCAAGAAGGAACTGGGTCTATCAGCGACGCGCTCTGCCTCGCCTTGGCGGTCGCAACGCATTGCCCGGCCATTAGGGATGCTGAAGTGACGCCTCTAGTGCAGGCCAGGCTTTGCGGCTGCTCAGCAGAGCTGTCTGTCGCACAGGAGATAGTCGTTAGTTATCACGACTAAGGATACAGGTAACAATTGATCTTGCCTGGTAAGCCGAGAGACTGGTATTTTGCACATACCAGTAATGATTTCTCCCTGTCAAGGGAGGTTTGCAATTACTGATCAAGTTGGGAGAAAAAAGGATGATCCCAGGTTGTTTCAAGATATGTGACACCGGCACGTGTTTACGTATTCTAGATCCAGGCCTAAGACACTATCAACTCCCACTACTTTTACTAAGCAGAATTAGAACGGGTGGAAGAACCGCGGTGGCATTCCGTATGTACGAAGTAAAGATGTGAATCCCCCTCAATGGAGACGCCTAAAACCCGCGGGCCCGCGGGTTTGGGGAGCCCAGGGGTTACCAAATCCGGTCCTCCCCCAAGCCTAGCGTGGATTCCGTAGCCGGAAAACCCAGCTCCTTCATTGGGGTCCACAACTCTCGCGATACGGATCTTGTCATCCAGCGTCCCCACGAACACGCGGATTCGAGATTCAGCGGGACCTCTCAAAGCCGATGAAGACTATTTCCCTCGCTAGCTTCAAGATGGCCTGCGCCCTTGGAATTGGATATAAAGCGAGCTATGGTCCGGGAACTGGACGTGGATTGAATCTGCATCAATCCACACTTCTCTCGAGGGCACCCCAAAGCATCCAAAAACACTACAATCCAGCCTTCTTCTACTTATCAGAGCTCATTATTTGTTTGATTAAGTACCAACATCAACGCAGTCACAATGGCACCACCGGCATCTCTCCCTACTGTCAAGCTTGGCAAGACCGGCGTTCGGATACCCAAGCTTGGGTTTGGCATGATGGGCCTCAGCCTGGCCTATGGAAGCGTAGGGTAAGCAGACAACTGTTCTGTTTGGGGATACTCGCACTAACGCTCAGCCGCAGAACCATGGAGGACCGTCTCGCCGTGCTCGACCGCGCCTGGGAGCTGGGCAGCACTAACTGGGACTCGTCCGACTTCTACGGCGACAGCGAGGAGCTGATCGGCCGCTGGTTCGCCCTGCACCCCGAGCGCCGCGCCGATATCTTCCTGGCGACCAAGTTCGCGGCCAAAATGACCATCACCGAGACGGGCGAGATGGCGACGAGCGCCGACTGCAGCCCCGAGTACACGCGCGCGGCATGCGAGCGCAGCCTGAAGCGGCTCGGCATCGAGTCAATAGATTTGTACTACATCCATAGGCTCGACGGCAAGACGCCCATCGAAGTGACCATGAAGACGCTCCAGGAGCTCAAGCGCGAAGGTAAAATCCGGGGCATCGGCATCTCAGAATGCTCGGCCGCGACGCTGAGGCGCGCGTACAAAATCGAGCCGGTAGAAGCCGTGCAAGTTGAGTACAACCCCTGGCAACTCGACATTGAGAACAGCGTCGGCACCCACCTTCTCGCCGCTTGCCGCGAGCTCGGCGTCACCGTCTTTGCCTACTCGCCTCTCGGGCGCGGCTTCTTGACGGGCCAGATCCGGACCATCGACGATTTCGCACCCGACGACTTCCGCCGTGTGGTTCCCAGGTTCAGCCCCGAGAACTTTCCCAAGAACCTGGTGCTTGCCGACAAGTTCAAGGCCATGGCTGCTGCCAAGGGTGCGTTTTTATTAGTCCCATGTGAAAAAAAAAAAAAAAACCTTCGAACTAACTAACAGTCACATAGGCTGCACTTCGGGCCAGCTCGCTCTCGCGTGGCTGATGGCACAGGGGCCTGACATCGTCCCCATTCCCGGCACGAAAAAAATCGGGTATCTTGAGGAGAACATTGGAGCCGTCAACGTCTCACTCAGCGCAGAGGAGGAGAAGGAGATCAGGGCCAAGATCGAGACGATGGATATTGCCGGTACTCGTGCCCCAGTGGGATTTTTTACTCAATTTGCTGATACGCCAGAGTTGTAAGCTTGCTAGAAGAGGATGGTTGTACTTTGGATACAGAGGAATCAAGCTTAGGTGGCTGGTGTCTGGGAACGTCATTAGGTACCTAAGGGAGCAACTGCGCCCCGACACGGAAACATCGTTTGCTGCGGTCTCTATGCCCAAGTAAGTTCCAACAGTGCGTTACTATTGCTAAATAATATAATAACACAATCCTACTCTAATATCCATTTTAAATGCCAATGTGTTTCCTCGCTCGTAGGTTGTCGAGGTGGGAGAGGGCCAAGATGGCCGGCCGTACCTTCCTCATGTTCTGGGACTTCACATACATAATGCTCTCGACTCGAGGAAGGAGCCCCCTAATAAGGAATGAATGAGGAATGAGAAGGAGGAAAGTTTCTCTGCAGCCCTCGAGAATTTGTAATTCTCTCTACAAGTCACCAATATCCTCTGTCTTTCGAAACTGCTACCAACCAATCAAAATTACAATCCCTAGTATACTATTCCATCTTAACGATGTCTAATAGTACTAGACGAAACCAGAACGCCCTTGGGGGTGCGGCAGTTGACGAGAATCGAGGCGGCTTTGAGTTCGAGGCCGTTCCTCGCGTTAGGAGGAGCTCGACGCGCCTCGAATTCACAGCCCTACTCGCAATCATGGAAAGCAATGTCCACAACGAAAAATTCCAAGTCTATTAGGCTATTTAACGCCTGAAACTTTGTTGGCGTGATGCAAAGAATAAAGATTATCGTAAATAAACTGTGTAGGAAATCCTTTAGTACGCATTTCCACGAGAGAAACAGGCCCCCAGGATTCTATCATAGGGGTTCTAATAGCAATTACCTCCCTCGGACAGAAACACTTAGGTCTCAGCACAGTCTAATTAGTCTCTTTCCCAGCCTGGGGGCAGCAGTTGGTTGCGTCTCTTTCCAAGTACGAGACCAAGCCCGCGTGCAGCGGGAGCTGGAGCACGCCCAGCGCTTGCGTGCCCGCTTACGGGTGCGTATTTACACCCTGTTTAACTCGCCTTCAGAGCTTTTCAGTTGCCCTTCACGTTTTTTTCACCTGTCCTCAATGGCTATTTACTAACGTATATGCTTGTACTTTGGTGGAGAGGCGCGTGGAGCTGAAGGGGGATTCCCCCAGTACCCAAGCATAGGTGGCGGGCGGGTTTTTTGTTCCTTTCTTTTGTTCGTTTCTTTTTTCTCTGCTTCTTTTTCTTTGCTTCTTTTTCTTTGCTTCTTTTCTTCACTTTTTCCTCTTACTTTGCCTTACTTTGCTTTACTTTATATAATTAATCGATTATCTCCTCCCCTCTCTTTGTCCACAACCAATCTTATCAAGTTGCTACCGAGCAGATGTCGCCAACCAGGAGTTCACGCAACGCAACAGGGCAGGCCCAAATATCGACGTTCAAGTGGGTCGCTAATAATAAGGCTTCTACGAAACAACACGCGATATTCCCGCTCGATTTTCGTCCTGTAGCGGCAATGTAATTTATCCAGCGATTGCGACTGTCATCCGCCATTCTAGTGCGTGAAATAATCCAGGCGGCAGGACGTGAGCGCGGATCACTGGATCCACACCAAGTTCACAAAAAGTGAAGACGAACCAGCCGCCTCGTTCTTCCCTCGCGTCTTCCTGTCGTTAGCTGGTGAGCACTATCTCAATCTTTCCTCCCTAACCTTAAGACTTGTAATTCTGGTCCTTATATTCAAGCTTAAAGCACGGAGAAATGACGCAGTGGTCAAGATAGCAGTGTATCGCAAGAGGTTGTGACTTCGAGTCAGGCTTTGCTGGAGTTTCCGCTATCTTGACCTCACGAGTAGTGGCCAGTTGGAATACGCTCTTTCGAGTGATGTCCAACTGGATCTGCTCATGCGAATAATGGCCAGCTGGATCCTCTGCGGAGTGATGTCCAGCTGGAATCGCTCAGGTGTAAAGGCCAGTTGGATCCTCTACGGAGTGATGTCTAACTGAAGCCGCTCTGCCGTTCTCCATTTCCTTTTTTAATTCCCCCCCTTCCCCTTTTTAATGTCCCCTCTTTCCCCCTTTAATATCCCCCTTTCCCTTTTTAGTATCCCCTCTTTCCCCCTTTAATATCCCCATTTCCATTTTTAATCCTCTTCTTGCTCTCCTGATATCGTCGAACCGTCACTTTGCCCTTGGCTTTCACCTTCTCTTTTGGTACCGCTGCAGCTTCTACTCGGTAGTTAGCATAGATTAATCTCCCCACGTACTCTTTGTATTTGCTGGCGGTAATGAAGGTTCTATTTTTCTAAAAGCTCTTTAGGTAGGGTTTACACGGGGTGAAATCTTACGACATTCTAAGCATCAACCGGCCCCAAGTGGGTTCTCACTGCGTGATTGCACGCCCCATGGTAAGTGATGCTGTCCTTGACTCGAAATTGTTTGCCCCAGGGTTGGGGTTGCGCACAATCCAGAGCACAATCCGTCCATCGGGGGCGCTAAGTGCGCTTTGGCTTGTTGTTGTGGATAAGCAGAAATTAGCCGTACCCCTGCCAAGGTGCGCTAGCAAAGATTACGCAATTGAGAGGAGCCATCAACATGCAGTCCTCGATAGCGCCTTCTTGATGCCGGGATCACGTCCCAGCAATGTGGTTAGTGGCTTAAGCCCTGATCGTCGAGCACACGTAGTGGGCCTGGATATTTAAAGGAAAACATGGGAGGGGATTTTTATTCCCTCTTCTCTTCTTTCGTCCATCAGAACCAATTCGGCCTCGATTTGAAGCCTGCCACTCTTTTCAGGTTATTTTCGCTGAATCGCCAGATTCCCGACACTCGTTTTCTTCATTTAATACCGCCATCATGAGGCCCCAGAATTTCCGTCGAAAAGCGTGCCATGCCGTCTCGATTCTGTCGTCAATCACGTCGAGCGTGCTCCCTTCGGCAACCTCAGTTTCGGACTTGTCGATCGCGTCTTCGCTTCCCCTATCCAGCACCCCCGTGTCAAGCGTCCCGATCTCCAGCGCCGTGTCAAGCATCGCCATCTCCAGCGTGCCCATCTTGAGCAGCACGGCGACAGCGACGAGCTCGGCCCCTCCAGCTGCTACGACCACCGCCGTGCCCTGCATCGACTGCTCGACGAAGCTCATTGAACACTCCAACTGGGACAACGGGCTTCTTTACACGGGCAACTACTACGCCCCCGTTAAGGGCGCCGGCTGGGGCAAGGGGACCAGCTCCAACGGCGACGGAACGCTCGAGCTGAGGTCCGACGCTAGCGGCTACTACGTCTATAGCATGTGCCCTAAGACGCACTCCGGGTACTGCAGGTCGTATATTAATACGGTCGTGTCTCTGACGGCGGGAGTCGAGTACGATTTTACGACGATTTACTCCATGAGCAACGTGAGAAACCAAGGTGAGACGGCTTCGTATTCTTCAGAACTCTTTTTTTCCACTCGTGTCGCTAACAGAACATGATAACAAGTGGACATACTCGAGATATACGTTGAGTCGTTTGACAGGAGTACCCGCTACTTTGACCACTGGATTTACTCTGGCAGCACTGCCGGGTGGACGACGTTCCAGAGCCTGACTTTCACTGCGACCAAGACCGAAGACGTGGTTTTCACCATGACCTGGCGCAACGACCCCAACGATGCCGTCGTCTTGTTCAGAAGCATTTCCATGTCTCCCACGGAATGCCACACCCCCACCTCCGACAAGACATGCTAGAAGGCAGTGACTTTCACTTGGGCGCCGATGCGCGGTCCAACACAGCACGTAAATATAATTACCAATTAGTTAGATTATTAATCAACGCCCTTTCTGCTTCAATGACCGAGCTCATGTGTTCGCCTCCGGGGGAGCCTGTTTTGAGGCGGGAACTGATGACTGTATTGCTTGCAGGAAGGAGGGTGATGGGTGATGGGTGGTCTAGGCTCTTCTAGACTGGATCCCAAAGTGGATCGACATGCCTCGGCTCGGACCCAGGTGTGGGGCTAGCCAAATAGATGTTGAAAATTTCTGTCCTCACCGCTTTCGACCGACAGCATCCTGATCCACCAACGGGGCAGATACAAATCCTCTCCAGATGCTTACAGATGTGACTTTAAATGCTGGGCGGCACCAGTTCAACACCAGAGACCAAGCAAGAGAACGCATGTCTAGAGGTGGTTGCTAAATTTGACGAGTGAATAAACCGAAATCTTAATTACATGTGATGCAACGGCATTTTTAGCTTGTACTGAGTAAGCTCCATGGACGAGTGGCTGGCGGATAGCCCGCGAGATCTTGTAAGAAGCCGCAAAATAGCACAGTCAGCAGATCCCGAACTTACATCACGGCAGGTAATAACGGAATGATAACGGCCACGACCCAGACAGAGGTGGAGTTGAATTAAGATTTCGCGGCTCTAAATGAATGGGCTTCCATCCTACCCATTTTACCACTTCGTTGCAGTCACAGCTATGCTGGACCCACCTCGGCGTGTAAGGTGCAACGGTACCTCACATCTTAAAACCAGGGATGATTGAAGGGGCACAGGTACCCAATTACTGGACGGACGGCTGCCTTCTCGCAGCCAGATTGGCTGATGCTGCTGCAACCCGATCATCATCCAAGCCATGATGCAGGCGTCAGGAGTAGAGAGAAACCACAACATCAAGTTCATCTCTTGAATACGTAGCTGCTGCCACACGCACACACGCACACACACACATTTCGTTGTCGGTAGGGAAAGCTGCCTGTTGCTGACCCAGGTGACGACGGCCTGAGACATGCTTATCTTCAGCTCGCCACCAAAGCAGCGGGCAGCCGCCCCAAGCCCGACTGCCCGGCCCAATGAACGAGGCCTGTGGCGGCTGTGGCGGTGTGTGCCAATACAAGAAACAGGGCTGACGTGGTGGACTCTGCGCATTAGCGATACCGCTTCTTCTCGGCGAAGTCGCCTTTGCACTAGCGGTCTCAGGGATTAAAGCCACCAAATTTCGCGATCGGGATCGTGGGGAAACGAAGGAAAAGTGGGGGAACCCTCGTAATGAGCAAATGAACGACGAGATGTCCCCTGCTAGTGCAAAGGCGACGTGGTTGAGTAGAAGCGGTAATTGCCCGACGTCTCGCTGGCTGGCCGTCCCGTTTGATCCTGTGCCCTCGTGTCGATAAGCCAAGACGAGGCGCAAAGGATAGACAACAAGGAAATGAAGGACGCCGGCTGCCTGCCAACTCGCTCAACGGCAACACGGAAACATTAAAAGGAACACGCAAGCCATGTTTTGCGCTTCCCAAACCGGCTGCCATCAAGTGTCAGAACACGGGCGATGCTGCCTATCTGTTTTCGGTTGCTTAACTTGTGGCGTTCAATATTTGCGGCACCACCAGGGGGGCTGCCTGCGGCCCGCAAGCTGAAAAGCCACTGCCGTAGCACCCCGGTGTATGGCCGGCACCTCTGCTCCACCGTGTAATCTCTGAAACGCCTCTGTACAAGCCTAGTATTCAAAATGTCGTCGGTGGCGTTTCCACGTTTGTTTCCATCGGAAAGGATGCGGGTTGGTGAGATGCACCCCCACGCTTGCTGTTTCGTTGCGGCTCTTTTACCTCAGCCCTCCCCTTGATGTTGAAATTCTCTGGTCCATACCCTAGTTGAAATTCTCCGGTCCATATCCCTAGTTGAAATTCTCTGGTCCATACCCCTAGTTCTTATTATCTTTCTTTGTTGGCCAAAGGGACGTTCGTTTGCCTCACATGCTGTGAGGGCTGCTTGGATTTTCTTCGTTGACCAAGTCACGTTCCACTCGTTACTGGCTAGGTCGTCTTACCCTCTTTACAATGTGGCCGTCTCTTGCGTGGGCGGTGCTGGTGGCTCTACCGGCACTTGTTCTTTCGGTCTCGCCCACTGACGAGCTGCAGGATGCTGTGAGTTGTTCTCTTGAGGCCGCAGAAGCCGCACTCAACGGACTCGCCGCACTCGCCGCACTCGCCGGCCTGACTGACCACGCTCTCAGGATGTGCCGCAATCCGGATACCTCCCTAATCACAATGTCGACCCTGCGAACTTGGGCTCCTACGTGATGCAGTGGAGAGACACGTTCAACACGAATGAGATGTTTCACGCAAAACCCTTGGTCTGGACTCCCCCTGGCGGCGCAAACGAATACGTCACTGTAGTGTCGAACCAGAACGTCATCCGTGTGCTGGATGGCCTCACGGGCGCCGTCGTCCAGCAGAGGACTCTGGACCCGCCGTTCCTTGCCAGCGATGCTCAGTGCGGCGATATCCCCAACACGATCGGCATCACGTCGACTCCAGTCATTGACCCCAGCACCAACATCACGTATCTCTACTCCAAGGGCTACAAGAACGGCGCCGCCGGTGGCGGGGCTATCAACGGCCAGTACAAGCTCTACGCCGTTAGGCTTCCCTCGTTGTAGAATGTTGTAGGGTTTCCCATCAGCCTCGAAGGTCACAACGCCGTTAACGACCGCTCCCGTTACTTTGTAGGCGGGACTGTCCTGCAGCGGCCGAGTCTCGCCATGGCAGGCGACTACATCGTCGCTGGATTTGGAGGCCACTGGTGAGAATTTCTGTCGACTCTCGGATGAAGTCACGGGCTTGACTAACCGCTGTTTTCTTAGTGACAATTTCAACTACTCGGGAATGCTGGTGACGGTGTCCAAAACCACTGGCAACGTCGCCAACATGGTTGCCATGGCAGCGGTCACCTGGCCCCCCGTCGCCGCAGCCCCTCGACATCAACGATCAGTCAGGGGGCAAGGTCGGGATCTGGCACAGCGGCATGGCCATTTCCTGGGATGTGCCAAGCAGCAGGATATTCTTTGCGACTGGGTCCGTAGCTCTAGCCCTATCTATTCCTTGAGAGAACTCATTCCTATTCAGCTGACTTGACGAGCACAGAAACGGCCGCGGACAGGGAGCTAACGGCGCCGGAACCCCGGCGAACGGCAAGGAGCCCTTCAGCACGCTGCCCAACGCCGTGTGCAACTTTCGAGTCGACCTGACGAGCGGAGCTCTGACGCAACAGGTGAGGGCCATGCGACTAACCCCTTGAACCGTGCTGTTTGTAGGAAAAGTCTGACACACTTCATGCAGGACTACTGGGAAGCGTACAACTACCAGAACATGAAAGGAGGCGATAAAGACCTCGGCAGCTCAGGCGTCACGCTACTAGACCCAGCCACGTTCTCTGGCGGAGGGGTCGCGCGGATTGCCCTTGTCGGCGGCAAAGGGTCTGGGGGCGTGCTGAGTGTTTTGAACGCTGATGACCTCGGGGGGTTTGCGAATGGGCCGGGAGGTACTGACAAGGTGCTTCAGCAAATCACGGTCGGGACATCCTTCTATGGAGGGATTGGGAGCTACCCAGGAGAGGGCGGTTATATCTAGTGAGTTTTGACCCTATAACGTTCCCCTTTCTCTGGAATCTTGACTAACTCTGTCCAGCTTTGCCCCGACAAGTGACGCCCTGTATGCCTACAAATTCAGCATCAGTGGCGGCAAGCCCCTTTTTACTTTGGCTGGCCAGAGTTCGATGACATTTGCAGGGCAGGGAATACCAACTGTGACGACTCTCAACGGGAAGGCTGGTACGGGAATCGTGAGTCTCCTCTCCAGTCATCCGTCCTGAGACGCCGTTGACAATGGGCAGGTTTGGTTAGCCGACGTCAACCAGGGGCTTGTTGCGTACAAAGCCGTGCCTGTGGGCGGAGTCCTGCAGCCACTTGCACTCGGAGTCGCCTCTAGCCGCCTGCAAAAGTTCCAGCGGCCCGCGTTTAGGAATTCTAGGATCTACACGTCTAGCTCAAACAATATAATCGCCATAGCTCCTCCCGGACCCCCACCTCCCATTTCAACCAGCTCCACGTCCTCGAGCAGAACTTCTTCCACTAGCAGCACCAGCCGGTCCTCGTCTAGCACTTCGTCCAGCAGAAGTAGCTCCACTTCTTCGACAAGCTCAAGATCGTCATCATCATCGACTTCGAGGTCGTCTTCGTCCAGCAGGTCATCGTCTTCGACGAGCAGAACCAGCTCCACTTCCAGCTCTAGGTCGTCATCCTCGTCTTCGAGTTCGAGGACGTCTTTAAGCAGCAGCAGCAGGTCGTCCTCAAGCAGCAGCAGCAGCATGTCGTCTTCAAGCAGCAGCAGGTCGTCTTCAAGCAGCAGCAGCAGGTCGTCTTCAAGCAGCAGCAACAGGTCGTCTTCAACCTCGAGCACGAGAAGCAGTTCCTCATCATAGTCCCGGATGAGCTCATCGTCGTCAACATCTCGGGGATCATCGACATCTTCCAGCAGTTCAAGGACCTCTACCCTCAGCACCTCGACCAGATCCACCCTCTTCCCCTCGGCGACAGGCACCGTCAAGGTACCCAAGCCCATCCTGGGTACCTTCAACTGGAACATCACGTGGGTGCGGGCGGCGCCAGACGGGTTTGCGCGCCCTTTTGTCGGCATCAACGGTCAGTGGCCCTGCGCGCCCCTCCTCGTCAACCTCGGCGACCAGGTCAAGATCAACGTCGTCAACTCGCTCGGCAACGAGAGCACCGCCATCCACTTCCATGGCATTTTCCAGGAAAATACAACGTATGCCGACGGGCCAGCCATGGTCACGCAGTGTCCCATACAGCCGGGTGCGTCCTTCGTCTACCAGTTCAAGGTCTTGCAGCCTGGGACATATTGGTATGTTTTCCGGTCTCGATGCCGCTGATTGCCTCATCGCTTACGGACATTGCTCGCAGGTACCATGTCCACATTGGCGGACAATACATTGGTAGGCGCTTCCCGCTTCAGTCCCATCCGACCCCTGTCGAGCTTCTGTCAGCCACTAACAACTTCCCTTTGAACAGACGGCTTCCGCGGCCCGCTCATTGTCAACGACGTCAAAGCGCCGTACGGCATCCCGGACGCCGAGATTGCCGTGACGCTGTCGGACCTATACCACACCGAGGCGCCCTTCCTGGTACATCAGTACCTGTCTTCGGACAACACGGACTCCACGGGCGGCGCAGAGCCCTTTCCCAACTCCGGCCTGATCAACGAGGCGCAAAATGTCGAGTTCAGTATTGTGCCGGGCAAGACGTACCTGTTCCGCATCATCAACATGGGCGCCGTGACAGCGCAGTACTTGGAGTTTGACCAGCATGACATGACCATTGTCGAGGTGAGTGTCTGCGGGCTTATTGCCGTATTCCTGCTCCGCTGACTCCAACTTCGTAGGTGGACGGTGTCTACACGCAGCCCCTGACCGTCAGCCAACTGTTCGTGGGCGTCGCCCAGCGCTACAGCGTCCTCGTCAAGGCCAAGCCGACTGCGAGCCAGAACTTTGCGATAGTGGCCTCGATGAACTCGCAAATGTTTGCCATCTCGGCGACGCCACCTGGTCAGCAGGCATCGGCAAGTTACCTACTCGGTCCTCACTCCTTGGCGGCGTTCTGTGATAATTAAGCAGCGGCGGGTGCTAACTAATCCATGATCCAAGACTGCCGGCTGGCTCGTCTACGACCCGGCCAAGCCGCTCCCGCAGCCCTTCGACCTGCCGTCCAGAATCAAGCCGTGGGACGACACGCAGCTGGTGCTATATGACGTGATGCCCCTTTTGACGAACCCAATCACTTGCGTGTTCCTCACGGCCGACTTCGGAACCAACAGCTGGGGATCAACCAGAGCCTTTTTCAACGGCGTCACCTATCTCGCGCAAAAGGTAAGACGCTCTGACTCTCTGCTTCGATCCGGCTCGCCTAACTCGCTCGGCAGATCCCCACGCTGTACACGGCGCTGACGGCACCGGCCGACGTGGTCAAGAACCCGGCCATCTACGGCCAAAACTCCAACACGTTCGTGTTCCCCTTCGATGCCGTCGTCGAGATCAACATCAACAACCACGACGACCGGGCGCACCCGTTCCACCTGCACGGGCACAACTTCCAGGTGGTCAGCCGGGCCGACGGCGGCACAAACTTCCCGGGGCTGTACAGCGAGCCGGCGGTCCCGATGCGGCGCGACACGGTGATCGTGTACGCGGGCACGTCGGCGACGCTGCGGTTCGTGGCGAGCAACCCGGGCATCAACCTGTTCCACTGCCACACCGAGTGGCATGTCGAGGCCGGGCTGACGGCGACCTTTGTTGAGGCCCCCGACGTGCTGCAGGCCCGCGCCCCCTACATCCCTGTCAGCCACCGCAACGTGTGCGACGCCCAGGGCATCAAGCGCAAGGGCAACGCCGCCGGGAACGCCAAGAACTGGCTCGACTTGACCGGCGCCCCGACCGAGTCCGACCCCGGCTACTGGGGCGCCCTCGTGCACCCGCCCGCTTGAGTCCGGGTGGCGGCCTGGTTTGTTTTCTGCTTCTCGCCTGTCGTCTCCACTGCGCCAACTTTGTAATATGGTAATAATGCTATACATGTCCGCATGCCCGGTTGATGGTTAATAAAGGTTAGACGTGCAAATACCATCCGCTCCACGTATATCAAATCATGGCCCATGCTCAGAAATCCACACTCTGCGGCTTTGTTTGACTTGTCGACGTGTTTGCGAAAATAACTACAATAGACACGTGGTTGGATAATTAGAGTTATGGCTCCCAATTCCCAGCACGCCGGAATCAATACTACTATGGAGAATAGAGAAAGGACCCAGACGGTCAAGGCTCTAGGCCAAGCCTTTATTGACAACGCTTGTCCGGCCCCAATTTGGATCGAACTTGCGGGTAGGTCGACGATCAAATGAAAGAAAATTTAATTTCCGCGCTTAAAATAAAGGGGTATCATGGGTACAGGTCCAATCTGTATGGATCACACACACACACACACACACACACGCGCGCGCGCACACGTAATCCGATCACACAATGAAACCCCGTGCCGGGTCTAGAAGCCTCCGGAAACAGCTTCCGTACCGCCGATCCCCGAAATGATCCGAAAATAAAACGCCGCCCCAATCCCCGTTCCCCAACAAAAAGAGAAAAGCGAGAGAAAAAAAGAAGAAAAAGCGAGAAAAAAAAAAGAAAAAAAAAACTGGCATTATAATCTCGCGTTCCAGACGCGCGAAGTTGGTTCTCCGATTGCTTTTCCGACCCAGACCGACAAAGGAAAAACTCCAACCCAGACCCGACCCTCGCATTCAGTGCCGGAGGGTAGTCGGGCTATGCAGCAAGCGCTGTATCCAGCCGCGCTTGGTTCCCTGCGAGGCGGCCTCGCCCTCATTTTCCAGGAATCGTTCGAGCTCGCGCTTGGACTCCTCGGGCAACTGGTCGATGCTGTCGTTCAACAGGTCGAGGCAGGTCCTAGACGCTGTGTTGATGCGAGCGCATGTCAGTCCAAGAATCCTTTGATAGCCGCGTCGCCAAATTCGATTCTTGTAATTTTTCGCCCATGGCGCAAAAGAGGATTTGGAACTAATGGTTGCCAGCAGGGGGGACTCACGAATCAATCTCTCGTCATCAACGCCGGCGTCGAGAGCAGCGCGCATGCGCGCAGAGTTGTAGCAGCCAAACATGCGCTGGATGGCGAGCATGCGCCGCCACAGCGTCCTGGAGTCGACGCCGTCGCCGTTGTTGCCGGCGTCGGGGGGCTCGCCGCCGTCAAGCCCGTCGAGGCTGCTTGCCGCCAGGCTGTTGCGCCAGCTGGGCGGCGGTGTTGTTCGGGCCTGGCCTTGGGGTGCGCCGGCGGGCCGGGTGCGCCACTGCTGGGCGGCGTGTGGGGCTGCGGAGCTGTCGACGGGGCACGGCGTGATGGCCAGGTCGTTGTTGTCGCTTAGCGAGGATGTCGAGCTCCGCCCGCTGCCCGGCCGGCCGTAGACGGCATGTTGACCGCTGCGGACCGGGTTGTCGGTCAGTGACATGGCCATTTTCCGCCCCGGCTGCCGTGCGTGTTATCCCTTCAAAAAGCACCTTGTGGTGCGCCTCCCGTTCCTAGGCGATATGTCGACCTCGGCTTATTTAGTAAATAGTGTCAAGCGTTGCAAAGCGTGGGGTCGATGTGCAATTGTTCGGCCCAGGTAGGAAAAGTGGGGTTCAAGTTGGATGACCACATCGGAAAGGGGCTCGAGAGAGGGGCGTGGAAATGCAGATTGAGGATCGCATTGACGGTATTTAAGTGGCAGGATGCAAAGTAATTTGTCTCGAGCCTCGTATGGTTCCCACTCACACCCGACAGCAAGCGCAGCGACTCGGGAAAGTTAGGCTTTCGGCCGACAGACGGACACGTCAAAGACGGACGCAACAACGTTGGCGAGTTCCGGTGATGTGATGTGATCTCGATGCCAAGCGGGCCGTGTGGGTCACGAGAGTGGAGATGGCCCCACTTGCAGCCCGGCCGCCCCAGAAAACCTTGAAAATGCAACTTCGGGATTTGCTGCAGCTGCCAGCCGGCATTTCATCCTCGTGCGCTTGCGAATTTACTACTGGACGCAAACGCTGAAAGGCCAAGGAAGCTCCGTTGGAGCCATTTTTCGTCTTGTTGGCCCTAGTGGTGGACAGGCCGCTTGCCATTTAACTTCCGAGCTCCAAGCTTTGGCTCCCACCCAGCTCGGTACCTTGGGCGCATACGGTGCATACATACAGTAAGTATGTACTGTACACATACATACCTGCGGTAGCGTCTCACTGGACGTCGGGCGCTGACGGTTAGCCCGCCCCTGGGCAGCGACCAGCTCATCAGTCCACCGCTCTTCACACAAGATCTGCATCCCGTTTCACGCAAGATATCGCATGCCACGACTGACGGTGATGTGATTTAACGAGCGCCCTCCCCATGACCTCATTACACCCCCCCAGTCGCCCAGCCAAGGGGACCAAGAGCAACCCTCCCACCGAGCCACTCTAAAACTTTCCGCCCTCCCTTCAAGACCTTCAGGAACAAGGCGGATCACCCGCCCTCAGTAAGCTTTACGCTGGTCTGCCTCATAACCTTGCCCGTGCATTTAATGGCATGTGTCTGGGGTGTGTACCCTTTCGCAGCCGAAAACCTCGTGGCTCTCCCGTCGCTTATCAGTAGAAGAGGTGCCGTTGAAGCAAATGTCTGAGACTCCGTGGGGCGTTGCAACCCGCTGCCAAACCGCCGTTGCTTGTGATCACGTCGTACGCCGATAACGGCCAGGGCCGACGCTTGCTGATGCCAGATTGGAAGCGACTGCACCTTGCCCAGAATAGCCCCGAAAAGTAAATCGACTCCGAAGTTTAGTGGCATCGGAACAAGCGGCACTGCCGGGCCAGCAGCGGCCGCCACCCGGCCAAGATGCGGGGGCGCCAATAACGGCGCCCAGGAATTCCCAACCCAGAGGCGCGTTAGTCACGCCATCCCATTCCCATCTGCGTATCATCAGTAAGCCGCCTGGCGTTTGGCTGCGTTCTCTACCGGAAGCACGGAGTGTATACGAAGCAGCTGGGGCTTCATATCCAGCGTCAAAGCCCGCGGTGCACGTCCTGGCGCAAAGAAGTCGCACTGCTGCTCTGGCTTGGAGAATGTTTTGCAGGTAATTCCAGGTCCAGGTTAGCCAACTACCGTCATTGCCGGTTTGCATCTGTTGGTGCCGCGGCAGTTGGCAGGCGGAACTGTGAACGGGTGTATCGGATACGACGCTGGGTGCTTTTCGCAACACATTCGGCTCGGGTCACCAAAACCAGCCGTGTTGGCCCTAGTTAACATCCGATCTGCTTCCGCGACTCGGAACGATTGATTGGTTTGCACTTATCGAGAATTTCGATCCCTTTTCCTTTTTTCCCGTGTTGTTCGAGGCGGGCATCTGCGACCCAAAACGAAAGCCACTTGTGGCCATAGCGACAATTTTCAAGCCCCCCCCCCAAAGAAACTTTCCGACGACAGGAAGTCGATAGAAATGACTACCGAGGCCTCCCGGTTGCGCATCGGCTGTGGGTCTACTCTTTGCATCTATGAGCTGCTTATCACGTAATTGCCAGTCTCTGCAGACGGCTTGCATCGCTTTCGCGTTCCTTTCGACTAACGGGGCATAGGTACCTTAACTTACTTGCTGAACCACTCGGGTTCCCCCTTCTAAACCGCGACGCGTCACGCCTTGGTAGCCCGGCGCACAGGCGCCGGGATTGGAGGCCACTTGTGCCCCATGGAACCCGCCCGCCAAGCAACCGCATCGTCCGGACAGTATGTACATTGAGAGCCGCTGAGGGCCGCTGAGGCTGCAAATCGGCACAAAGGAGAAAGAGAGAAAGAAAGAAAGAAAGAAAGAAAGAAAGAAAGAAAGAAAGAAAGAAAGAAAGAAAGAAAGAAAGAAAGAAAGAAAGAAAGAAAAAAAAAGAAAACCTACAATTCGACTACTCAGTCATTTGCTTCAATTTACTATATTCATCAGCAGCATACTAATTGCGAAGAATTCCACGATTTTCGTCAAGCGACCGGGAATTGCAGCTGACAATTGTCGACGGCAAATCGTTCGAAGATGCGCGCTAGTTTCTATACAGCCTTTGGTCAATTAGCTGCCCTCTCTACCTGCTCTGACCCTCTCTAACCCTTTTACTTTCTCGTTACACATCAATCTGCCGGCTACTTGCACGATGTCTAATCTTCCGGGCAAGAGCACCGCTACAGCTTGTCAACAGCAGGCTCCTTCTTGGTAGCACGTACAAGCAAAAAGGTGGGCTTAATCGTCTCGTTCTTGTGCTCGTTCGCCCATTCAGGATAGGCCTCGAGCTCGGCGCTGGTCGGGTACCACTCGTTGAACCCCGTGAGCTCGAAGCCGGCGTCGAGCAGCATGTTGACATAGGTGGCGACGGTGCGGTGCTGCTTCCGCACTCCGTCGGCCAGCCAGTTCGTAACCCGCAGCCCTTCGGACTGGTAGCTGTCCAGCGGCCACACCCTGCGGGTTTGCGGCGCCGCCACCGTGTGGGTCCCGGACCGAGGCGGCGCCGGGATCTCCACCACGCCCGGTGCCGACGGGGCCGTGAAGATCGGGTGCTCCACCGAGAACACAAAGACGCCGCCGGCCCGGAGCACGCGGTGCACATGCGCGACAAGACGCGGCAGGTTCTCGAGGTAGTGCAGCGCCAGCGCGCTGAACACGACATCGAGTGTGTTGTTGCCCGCGCCTGGCAGGAGTTGCTGCAGCTGCGCGTCGGACCCATCGAGATCGGCGCGCTCGAACATAACGCCGCGGTACTGGCCGGCGTCTGTCATGAGCCGCGCCTGGCCTAGCATGTTTTCGGATAGGTCGACGGCGCGGACTTCGACCGCGCCGTGGTCGTGCATCCAGCGGCTGTACCATCCAAACCCGCAGCCGAGGTCCAGGACCCGTGCGCCTCCCAGATCAGGGAAAAACGACTGGAGCCGGGGCCATTCCGGAGCACCCTGCAGCCCCTCGCGCGAGCGCAGCAGCTTTGAGTAGTTGGTGAAGAACCCGGGGGTGTCGTAGATGTTTTGTGGCATTTTGTGTCTGATCCGAGGTACTTGACCGAGACTGCCTCGAGTCGATACCCCTTTGGCGCGACTGATCCATGGCCTTGCTGAACAATTGCACACTATATCATATGAGTATTTGGACCCTCTGATTCCGGATCTTTCTCGGCTCTTGGCTGCCGGCATGAGTCACCGGGCTCAAAGTCGAGCACCCACTTGCATCCCGGGCTTGAAGGCCGACGACATTATTGGCTCGTCCGCGGTCCGCACTTCGCACGCCATTGAAACCGCGGTTGACGCAAAGGGAGGCTTAAAGGCCCGAATGTCCTCGATATTCTTCTCCAAAACGACTGAAACGGGCTTCATTAATCTTTCCCTCGATATTTGCTACCCTAGGTAGTCAATTCACGACGGTTGCAGTGCAGCTCTTGGCCTTTTCCGGGGAGGACTCATAAACCCTCAGCCGCTCCGAAAGGGCCACCGAGCCAGCCAATTGATGAGAATGCAATTCCGATAGTAGAATGTAACTGTTTGTGCGCAGCAAATCGGCTGGCCCGCCTCGGGTTGGATCAGATACGAACACACGCTCTGGCTGAGGATTTCGGATTCCGGCAAGCAAGGGCCAATATGCTCATAGACTGGTGAGTGAGCTTCTTTTGGCCAGCAAGGTAATTAGCAGGCAGTTTTTGTGTCATGATCTGATCATCGTTTCTATTGTCCGATCTAATATAGCAAGTGATAATACAGGTACAGGGCAAAAAAAAAGAAAAGGCCAAATTCAACAGACGACTAGACAAGAGTTTGTACACTTAAACATGGTTCCTGACATCTTTCCTGCTTGCCCCATTTGTCACCTCGGTAGTGACCTCTGTTATGACTTGAATTCGGCCGTGATCCTGGGTATCCCAGGCCTCGGTCCTCCCGCCAGTAACGCGAAGCTGGCTAGAAGGCAGGCCAGGATAGCCATCGTGAAACTCCCGGGGTGCGCTGCCGTGATCTTCAAGCCGGACATGCATGTCAGTGGTAGCTGAGACCGCCGCCGTTTGGTACGGGTCGTCGTGCAACGACGCATTGGCGCTGGAATTGGCCCGCCCTTTCCCATCCTGTGTATACGCAGGAGTGAGTTCGAGAGTGTCGTCGTCCGGGCGAGCGGCAGCCTTTCTCGGCCGCGATCCGCCTGCTGAAGCCGAAATAGTCAAGGTATGCCGGCTGACTGACTCGACGGCTTTCTGGAAGCCGTCCTTCAGCCATTGCGGCGCAAAGTGAGAAACCAGGGGCCGCATTGACGACAAGCAGTTGGCCGTGATGTAGCAAGACGACTCGACGACGGACCAGCCGCAGAGAAGCACAGACGCCCCTGTCCATATTTAGTGGTCAGCTCCCTGAGGAAATGGATGAAGTATTTCCGGCGGTATAACTCACATGTCCTGTCATCAAATGCCGAGTTGCTGAAGAATATCGTCGCGCGCACAACAGACGCAACGACACCACTACAGCTCGGTGAGCAGCCACACTCGCAACAGACATGTCCTGGACACAAGAACTCACAGACTAGCCACTAAGAAGACCAGGACAAGAGCCAGCCTCTTGGCCGTGGGCATGGATAGGCCCCAGATGGTGCGCAGCGGGAGGGCCATGATGAACAAGTCGAGCACGACCCCCGGGATGCTCTGGGCGTGGTAGAAGGCCTGGACATCGATGCAACGGCCGCCGGGAATTGACCGGTCCCACCAGAAGGCGATCGGCCGGCACTGAAAGCACACGGTCACCATCATGGACAGCCACGTGGCGGCGACGAACCCGAACAGGGCCAGCGACGCCGTCCGCATCGGCCCGTGCGCCCACTTGAAGACGCGCAGGTATAGGCACAGGATGGACATCTTGGGCAGAGCCACGGCCGTGAAGTAGACAAACTCAAAGGCCAGCAGCACCTTGGCCCACCCGACGAGCGCGCTCGGGTTGCGGAGCTCGAGCGCCTCGACGTGCTGCCCGACGCCACCGATCTGAACCATGGCTGTGGACTGTTAGCATGACCCTCTGAGTATGTGTTCGTCGAGATGTCGAAGTACGACCAGAGCGGTTGGCGGCAACTGTCAATGCCAGAACTGGGGGAAGGGGTGCCGTCTTACTTATTCCCAGAGCACACAGGGCAAGGTTGAAGATATAGGCGGCGAGGATCAGGAAGTCATCGAGGCCGAAGCTTGCGGGCCGTAGAGTACGGGCATAGAACCGGAGCGGCACCACCACGCTGGTGATGACGGCAAAGCTGATGGATATGCCGACCAGGGCGCCGCCCCTTGTCTCGTTGAGAAAGTCGTCCGGGAGCTGCGCTGCTGCTCGCTTTGATGCGGCCTCGGCCATGACGGCATAGATACCAGGCATAGCTCACCGGGGCTGGGTGGTGGTCTTGGAGACTGGCGTCTGCTGTGTAAGGGGAAGTCAGAACAAAGATGGGTTTGTCGTCCCACGGTTGCTTCTTGCTTCACGTTGCCAACACAAGGCCGAAGTTGGAGCTGGTGGGCGGATTCGATGCGAACGTTGACTACTTCTACTTTTCAGACAGTGAACGCGTACCCTCGTCCAACCACCATCCCCCGGATCGGCGGGTTACATGACATAATACGGACTTCTCAAATGAGAACCGCATCTCCTGCCGTGGCAGCAGCCAAATAATCTTAATCGGCAGGAGAAGCCAAGCCTCTATCTCAACTGCCGATCGACATCTGTAAGCGTGGCGCCCTCTGGCTGCGGCGTGGGAGGGGTGTGAGACTTGCTCTATGGATACGACCTTTGGCGGTGGGTTTAGGTTGCAATGCGCCCGTCGCAGCACCGGCTCCGATGTAGAGGGCTGAACCTCCAGCCTCCAGGCAGACTCCGGCCGAAGGTGTACATCCCTGGATGGCCAGCCAGCCAACCCTAGGTACACGGCAAACCCCGAAGGCCTTCTTCATGGCCAAGTCGAATTAAGCTTCCATGGGGGAGGCATGGAAGGCCCCCCGCAGCTGCAGCGACTTTTTCTCTGTGGGTTCCTACATAGGTGCCCTTCGATCTGTCATCAAATCCCCGATCACTTTTGCCACGGTCTTGCAGGCGGACGAATGAGATGGCCCCCTTTCAGTCGCTTCAGCTCGATGAATAAGCGGCTTCACACCCTCTTCGGCCCTGTCCATCTCAGCTCCAGGCCTGAAAAAGGCGCAAGGCAGCATTTTATGTAATTCGAGCATCTCGCGGGCTGCTAGGCGCCTGCATTAAATACCTGATTGCTGCACACGGGTAGGCAGAGAGGAAGATGGGTGTGCAAGTGTCGATCGCGACATACGGCAAAGTCCGGTCAGCTAATTATGTCGATGTTTTCGATTAATTAGTGGGTGTATATGGTGATTGTTTCACACGCCGCCGGGTGCTTGGATATGCACATATATAACGTGTGTGATAAGCGAGATGAACAGACAAGCGAGTTGAACAATTTCCACAACCTCACCACAACTACCCTCAATTACACAACCACAACACTAGGAAATAACAATAACTGAATCGGAAACAGATGAATCAGACGATTCTGCAGCCTCCTTGCACGTACGTGCATTATGGCCAGGCTTGCCGCATACGCCACAGCATCGAATCTTCGTACGAGACCCCCCTGCACCACCACCATTTTGTCGTGTTTCCTGGACCAACTGCCCACCCACAGCCTTCTGATCCAGTAGATCCTGTGCCTCTTGTACAGTAAGTGATCCTCCAAGCCGAACACGTGTTTTCTTGGCTCTCCGTCGCTTACTAAGCCCCTCATTGGCCTTCCGAAGTGCTGAGACCTCTGTACGCAAAAGAGCCACCTCGTGCATCATAGCCATCGTACCTTTAGCTAATCGATCCACAGCAGTCAGCATTGGTGTTGGAGAGCTGCCCTGATGGTTGGAAATTCGAGTTTTGATGAACGCTGACTGTGAGGCAGCCTCTCTCGGGTTTTGTGGCGTTTGGGAGACCCAAGGTAGCGATGTAGTTGGGCTTGTAGCTGGGGGTGTTGGAGTCCGAATACGCACATCCAGCTTGGATATCACCCTCTCTGGATCGTACGGCACAAGGCCGGCTCCAGCAAACCCCCCCTGGATATTACTTTCCGTAACCGAAGCAAAAAACGCCTCTCTAAACCCACAAAGAAACTCCAGCTTGCTAATATGTGTGATGTTCATCCGCATCAGCTGCTCAATCTGACAGCCGTACGCCTTCTTCAACAGCCCAAAGCAACCAACATCCAATGGCTGAAGTAGGTGTGAAGAGTGCGGAGGCATACAGAGTGTGATGATGTTGTGCTCCCGGCAGTAAGTCTCGAATTCTTCGGAGTGGTGGCTATCGTGGCCGTCGAGAATTAACAGTCGGTATATTCCCTTCGTACGAGATGCTGTGTGGAAATCGAAGTGCCGAATCCAATCCATGCCTTTCTCATTAGTAGTCCAGCCATTGTCGGTTGTTGCGATACGCCAGGTACCCGGAAGGTTGCACTCTTGATACCAGTTAGCAAGGTGATATTGCCCAGCTAAGATAATGAATGGTGGGATAGTCCAGCCTAGAGCATTCACTCCTTGGATGACTGTAGCCCACTCTCGATTACCAGGCTGGGCTTGCTTAGCCCTACCACGGCCATCAGAGGTAGTAACTACCATAGCGGGGATGATAATGCCCATCATAAAGCCGGTCTCGTCGAAATTGTACAAATCTTCGTCAAGGATACCGTACTTGGCCTTCGTGTTGTGCACAAGCGCAAACCACTCGCGAATAACTTTTGGATCTTCGCATTTGGCCCTCTGGTAGTCGTATTTACGCGTAAAACGCGTCCGAAGTTCTGGCTGGCGCTTGACGAAGTTGTGAGCCCAGCGTGTACCGACAGAGGGCGCGTCGCGTTCGCGTAGCAATCGATTGGCCATATCTTCTACGTACGAAAGCCGGGGATGAAATGCGCGCGCACATAGCTCAATGATGTACTGAACAATCGTTTTCTCTTCCAAATCCGTAAGCTTACGCGAATTGGCTGGAGTATCACGTCGTGCAGGTTTGCCGTCGCGTCGGTTGCGTATAGTATTTACCGTGACTTGATATGTTGTTGCTGCAGCTCGAATACTGAGTTTTGGGTCGTTTTGAATAGCCCTGAGAGCCAAATTCACCCTAGCTTCGTATGAAGGAAGAGACATTTGAGTTTGTTGAGGAATTTGGTGTTTTGTAGAGAGGAGGCGCGTCGCGTCAAAAGTGTTCAACTCGCTTGTCTGTTCATCTCGCTTATCACACACGTTATATATTTGTCCCAGAAAAGATGGTGAAGTCTCTGAAAACGAACGGGTCTTGACAGTCCTCCCCCAAACTCAACCATAGTCAAGTCGATTTCATAGTCTTGGTAAAGAGGCAGTATCCAACATTGTATCAGGGCCGGCTGTCCGTGTAACCCGGGGTGACGCCGTAACAATCGTATTCTGCCAGCATGGAAATGGAAAAGCAACTCGAAATCTGGATGGCTCCAGGATCCGCCAGGGTAAATTGGCCAGAAAATGAGAGAACCGAGAACCTCGGTGGGCGACGAAATCAATCCAACGAGTGTTGTCTGACAGATTTTCCATCCTCTCATCTCCCAGGCTAATAATTATGACCTCCTTCCCCGGCCTTGGAAACGATCTCTTAGCAATAGAGTTCCATGATCAGCCTGCGTCAAGCCGAAGTAAAGAACATTTGGAACGCTCTGGAACGCAGATGCATCAATGGGATAGGCTATCGGGATTGTTAGGGTGGAAATCGGGAAGTATGAGACCAAGGCATTGACAAGATTGTCTGGAAGTGCCGGTAGGCTAGGCACCTAGGTAGTTATTTCGTTCGAGGGTGGCAAGCGACTATTTCCGTCCGAGGAAGTTGTGTTTAATCACAAATTCAACAAGGTGGGAATGGAACAAGGCCAAAAAAAAAGGGAGCTGCGGCGCCTCAAACGGACGATCCAACAAATTCCGAACGAGTTTGTGCCACCCCTGTGTAAAGAAGGAGTGGCATGCTTCTTTGGTCTAGTTGGGCGGGACTCAGGAGTCAGTTGGCTAATTCTAGTTCATTCCATTGTCGCAAGCAATTCCCGCCGGCTATTGAACAAGTAGGCATTGGATCCACGGGATATATACAGCTGAGATATGGATAACTAATATTTATACAGTTGTGAATTGGTATCTCGCTAACTGTGCTCAACAGACGTCCGCCAACGCCATGACCCCATTCAAACCGTTATCCCCAACACCCATAGTTACAAGTGCGCTTGCCACGCCAGCCATATCATACCGCCCCATTCCACCATCATCGTACAGACATGCAAAACTCTCATGTTCATCCCAGCATTACTCATTAAACACCCCAAAATCATGACCGAGTCTCATGGCGCCCCACATTTGGTTGGGGTTGGTTGGCATCCAGGTTGCAGTGCGTATTGTGCAAAGCCGACCGACATTACTGTTTTCTCTCTCCAACCAATAGAAAAAGAACGGGAAATCGGACGAGATGAAAAAGACAAGAGCAAAGGAAGCGCCAAGACAAACAAACAAGAGGAGAACCCCGCTACCGTGCGTGGTTCGGCAGAGTTCTCAGCTCGTGCACGTTCCCAGCGTCGCTAGAATCCCGACCACGGCCGCGGTACTCGACGGCATACTCCTGGGTGCGGACTATCCTGACGTTCTTGCGGCTGCCTGAGGGCGAGGACGAGTCTTCGTTACCGCTGCTGGCGGCGTCCTCGTGGACGATGGGCAGGATGTGCTTCTCGCTGCTGTCGTCGGCGCTCAGCGGTGGGCTGAGCGGCGGCTTGGCTGCGGCCAACGAGATGGCGGGGGCGGAAAAGACCAGGCCGGAGCGCGGGCGAGTGCTGCTGCTGGTGTGGCTGTTGCTGGCGCCACTGCCGCCAGTGCCGCTCATGACCTTCCTCTTGTAGTAGTAGTTCTCGTTGTTAGAAAGGGCGCCGGACCGGGCGATGGTGCGCTCGCGCACCTCGCGCACGAAGACGCGCAGGATCGGGATGCACGCTGCCATGATGGTGGTCGCAATCTCGGCCGCGGCCCACACAAGAAGCTCGCACCCGTCGTCTAGCAAGTCGAAGCATGTTAGCGGCGTTGAAAGACTAGGAGGGGGGTTGCAGAAGCAAGTGGGACAGTAGGGACGTACAGCTGAAATTCGAAGTGCCCAGGGTCAAGATCATGTGTGACTTGACAAAGGCAGTCGCACCAGCGCTGTGGCAACAGGTAATCAGCTCATGTCACACTTGGGATGGCGCCTAGAACAGGACGAGTTCGGCAGAATGGGACTCACAAGACTCCCATGCTCATAGCAATACCGACACCGATCTTCTCCTTCTTCTGCATCTGCAGGCTCCACACAAGGCGCCACGGCAACAGGGCAAGGATGATATCGCAGACGCCCGAGAAGCAGCCGGCAAAGACGCCATAGACATTGACGGGGTGGCTGCCCCAGCAAGTTCCCGGCGTGCTAGGCAGCCACGTCTTGGAGATGGGCGTGCATTGGACCCAGACAAAGAGGGCTTCGAGGAAGAAGATGATGTTCATCGAGACGATGATGCACCATATGAAAGCCTTGGTCTTGCCCTCGGTGAGGCGCAGCAGGGTAATGGCAAATGAAGTCTTTGACCAGACGACAGCGAACATGCCGAACGTGGCCCCAATGTTCTGACCCTCGAGGCCGATGAGGGGGAAGTTCCTCGGGTCAATGTCGCACGGGTATCGACCAAAGCCGAGGTCGACAGCCCGCTGAGACATGGCGCCATCAATGACGAAGCATACCTAGATGTGATAGTCATCGTCAGTGTTTGTGTCCCCGGGCACGAAAGCTAGCGTGCGATTAGGTAGTTGAGGCGGGGATCAGTACCCAACTGAGGAACAAGACCCAATCGTCCCACCATAGCTTCCGCAGCCTCCATATCTTGCAGTAGATGCGTAGAGCTAAGAACAATGTTGACAGAGCCACGAGCGACCAGATGGCGGCGAGACTTCGTTGGCCTTGGTCGGGAATGGGCCCGGATGTCAAACCCGCATACTTGAGGGCGCAGTAGTCGGTCGGCAGTGGCGTCCCTGGTGAAGCCCCGAAAGGTGCGTTAGTAGACACGGCGCCGGTTGATGTTGTCGGTGCGGCGTCCGCACGTGGGAATAAGAGCGCCGCAAGGTGGTCCATGGTTCCCGGGATGCTTTCGGGTCGATTAAATTAATAATGGGATGGAAGATAAGAGACAAGGTGGATTGTGCGCGGTATAAAAATAACGAGTCCTCGATGGCAAAAGATCTGGACAGCGTCGGGCAAGTAGGCCGGAAGGATGAGATAGGATAGGTAGATATATCACTCCATGTTTGGCGATGTAGACATATCATGTCGGCCCCCCTCTCCCCCGCCAAGGGACCAAGGGTTCAGAAACCACACCAAGATGGGAAATGAACGATATACGCGTCTAGTGGGAGGAGACGTTTGTGAGGGAGGAGGGGGATGGAGGGGGACCATGCAGTCTAATGCCGCCAGGTGCCATGGATGTGTCTTCCATACATATCCGAACCTTCAGTTGCCAGGTACCTCGCTACCTTGGTTGAGGGATGAAGTAGGGGTCGCACAGCAGTCGAAGCCACCGGCTTGCAGAAGAAGGGGGCTTAAGCCATGTGGTTCATCTGCAATAGCCTCGAGCAGTACTAGACGTGTGCAGAGTGGATGGCCTCTGCTCTAGCACTGTCTGGGCGGCCCCCGTGTTACACGGCAACTCGGGCCTCTGTGTATGATATTGCTTGGCTAATCGATCCTGCAAGCACAGCTGCGGCGTTGCGGCGCCGGCCGGCATGGCCTGGCTAGCCAGGGGCAGGATAGACGGAGCACATCATTTCTCGTCCGGCAAGATTGATGACAGGAGGAAACACCTAGCCGACCTGGCGCGTCTATCATGATGGCGTTGCTCCCCCGGGGCCGGCGCCCGGGCCCGGGGGGCTTGGGGGTGGGGTTGGTTTTCGCGCCTAACTTGGTGGAGTTGGCGTTTGTAGCAGAGGGGGGAGGGGAAAAGACGTCTATTTTCTGGGCGGAGCAGGGTGTGCTGGTGGTGGTGTCCTGACTGGGGAAGGAGGCTGGCTGGCGTGGCAGCAGCTTGGTCATTTTTACTCAAGAAACTATCACATAGGTGATGCGACGAAAACGACATCGCGGCCGCTCATTAGCAAACTTGGATGGGCGCTGTGATGGGCGAATGAAGACTGCTGCATCTTTGTGAAGAAACGCACCCTCTGCAGCGTCGAACCACAAACCCCTCCAGCCAGGTCGGCCGGGGTTCGCCCGAAGTGCAGATGCGTGGGAGCAATGTTGATAGCACGACAGGTAATTGGGGTAAGATACATGTACATGTACGTACATAATGTTCATACAAACACTGTATGCACTCCGTAGTAAGTTCTCGCTAGAAAACTCGCCTGCAAGATTGCACCCTTCCTGGATCGAGATAATTAGCTGACCCTCGCTGAATGCAGCCTGGTGGGGAATTCACGGCCGAACTTCAATAAGCAGACAGACAGCCTGAGCCGGTGCAGAGCATGGATGATGTGCGCCTCTTCCTCCTGCTTGCCGGCTCACTCTCGGCCGGGACACGTATCCATGATTGCACCTGCAAAACATGTTTGCCAGTGGCGTAGCGTTGTGCAGTTGCTCTGCGGCTGTTACCGCCGCGGCAAACATGTCGGGCTCGACCTGGCTCAACTGGAAAACACTGCCGGCCAAGGCAAGGGAGAAACGAGATGCATCGCTCTGGTCCGTAATAGGTACAGCTTCGTAGGGGTTAGTATGGCTAGGCGGGCGCACTAGGGCCTGCAGACCCCCCGGGAACGCAGCGAAACTACCTGATTTTGTCCATTTTTATTGCCTCCGCGCACTTGGCAGCGGTGCCAACCGGGTCCAGGTCGGTTTTTGTGCACAGCGGTGCCGTTTTTACGCCGGGTGGGTGCCATGTGGGAGCAATACGGGATGGCTGACAGGCTAGCACGGCCGCCTTGGTTAATTTGCGGTCCCGAGGTTTTGGTCGTCCCGCGATCAGAGCGAGGCAGAGAGGCCATTTCCGGGGAAGAAAGACAGTTCGGAAGAGCTTGCGAGCCGCGCTGACGGTGGAATGGCTGGAATGGAGGGTGGATGGCGGCGCGCGAATTTCTTGTTCCCCAGGCCTGCATCCTCTTTCCACCTCAGTGCCCGCGGCAGGCAAACTGGAGGCAGGAGGCAGGCAGCCAAGCAGCCGTTGGGCAGGCACCAAGCCAGCCCCCAAACTCTGCCGAAGCGAGAGACAGAGAGGAAGGAGAAACAGAGCCTGCCGAAACTTATCGCATCCCGCCGTGTTTGCAGCCAGACGACATATTCCAAGGTAATGTATGGACGAATAATGTATGGACGAAGCACTCCGTAGTTGGTGGCTCATCCAACATCTGTGCGGGTTTTTGGTTCCGATCAGTGCCCAGGGGCTCAAATGTTTCGTCTGATCGCGCGTCTGATCGCGCGTCTGATCAGTCATTTTTTTATTCCACGCATTCCACGCCTTCCACGTGTGGCAGTGGGGTCAGATCTCGTCCGTCATCTTCTACAGGGTGCTCATCGTCTAGGCGTTGCAGGAGCGCTGGATTGCTCGCAGGAGCCCTTGTCTAGGCGGGGCTTGGCTCAATGGGCTTGGCAAGAGCGGCGGCTGGCGGGTCGCTGGGCTGAAGGAAGCTCACATCATTCACCGAACTCTACTGTTACGATTGCGCTTGCCCCCGCACTCCAGTCGATTCCATTGCCTAACACAGAGATTCCGTACCTGCCCGTCGAGGTCGAAAAGGAATTGGGGGCGGAGAGATGCTGTTCGCTGAATTTGTCTTCTTTTCCCTTCGCGGAGATCATCTTATCAAAAGAGCAACGGAGTAGGTGCAGGCCTTCTCCCCCGCTACTACCCAAGTTCAGGTAATCCCAAACATGGAAGACGTGGCGTCTTGCTTCCCCGGTTTCCACACACAGTGTACATGGAGTATTGTGTGTGCCTGGAGCTAATGACAGAAGCCCGGACCTTCTAGAAACCCCCTCCTTTCAGTCTGAGCCAGAATGCCGTTTGGGCGGACATGCGTTACACAGGACAGCCACGTGCCTTGGGATTACTGTCAAAGCGCAGATGGTCCCAGTTACCCTACTAAGTACACTTTCCCTTCCTCACAACCCCCAATACGTAATACACGTATGTAATGTACTGTACGTGGTAGCAACCCTGGCCCTGGTTTGGCTAGCTTGCCCAGCAATCCACGGGGACTACGTCGTGTCCCAACCAATCCCAGGCTCACAAGCCACGATAAGAAGCAGGCACGGGCCACCAGTCGGCGAAATCGGCCACTAACGCCAACATCCAGACTGGGCTCAGAAAGAAGTCTGAAGGTGGCACAGAACATTAATGGAACACAGTCCGGCCCTGTTCTGATGCCAATCTACCCCCTCGTCCCCCAAGAAATCCAAGAAACACGACGATTTGTGGCTGCGATGCTGGTTCCTGGCACAGATCACACTACCGAAACGCGGCACCCAAACACCCGAGGCCTGCCTGAACGGGCTTGTAAATCCGCGAGTCGAGGCCACCTTCCCGTCGAGCATGTGCGTGACAATGCGTCTCTGTCCGCAGTACCATACATTCAGACACTTCGGGAGCCCATTGCACGTCAGCCTTTTGAAGCAATTCGAGTCAATGCGCAGAGTCGTTCGGGGAGAAAGATTCTGGAACATGGCGCTGAGGGGCTTACCAGACTGGTCTACTATTTGGGCCAGCACGTCCCCCCTTTTGCTGTTAAGTAATTCTCATGTTAGACACCGAGTTGAGCACCTCGCCGACCAAAAAGCTCATTACGTGATACTTACGGACGTTTAAGCCGTAGTTCTGTGAACCAGGTTGACGGGAGGCACGGGGTTGGAGCTCCCTACCCACCTCGCGCGATGTCGGCTTGCGCCTCCCGCGCTTGTTTAACTAGCCTTCAATTTCAATATGAGAATTTATCAGTCTAGCCGCTTAAATTGCCGTTGGGTCGCATTAGCCTCGGGATAGACGAGCGCCAAAGGGAAAGAAATCGCCAACAAGGTTCGCCAAAGATAGAACGCGGACGACAAAGAGCGGGCCAATCCTCGGCCCGCCTCCTTGGGGCTTGATCCATGGAGTCATGGAGCAGACTACAGTAAGCTTCAAGGGACAGTAGTGGCGCCCGACTTCCCCTGGCTGGGGCTGGCTGCAGCTCCTCCTCAACACCAAACTAGACGCATGTGGAGACTGGGCCCCCAAAAAGGAGACTACAAGGTTTTGGACCCCAACCGACGCCAAGGGTGCTCAAAAAGGCTTTCCCTGACTCTTCGTCTACCTTTCCTACTTACGATTTCGCAATAATTACCTACCTGCGCCTTTAAGCTCCAATCAGCGAGGCACTTTTGCAAACGCCTCCTGGTTTCCCCGCAAGCAAATGGCAGCGGCGCCCGGCACACCACTCTGAGTTTATCTTGGCTCACAGCGTCACACCCGCGTCCCCTGTTCTCCTGCAAGATACGTCGTTGAATCCCGAAAATTTGCAGGGAAAAGGAAAACAATAACTATGAGGGGTGCGGCCGCGCAAAATGAGGAGGCGGTGTTAACCTCACCGCGAAGTAGGCAGTTGCTCTCCGCCTATCCTTTCTGAATCCGGGGGAGCGCAGAAAGAGAGGACACCCACCCCCCTTGTGCCGTTGCCACGAAACCAGCCAACTGTAGTTAGGCGGGTGGACAGCCAGCCTTGGGAATGCCGACGGAGCACAGAACAGAGAGAGGCCCCCTCATCCCACTAGCCGCCATCACCAAAGCAGCCAAGTGTAGCCCGGCAGGCAGAGCTCTCGAAATGCCAGCGGCGAGGTGACAGCCCATGTACTGATTTTGATGTCGCGCCACTACCACCAGACCGGAGACCCCTGAGTCTTGGCCCACCACCCAAGAGGAGACAATATTACGGCTAACATCTAGGAGGATCAAATGCACCGAGTACGGAAGACAAGATTCCCAGCCATTGACTCACAGGTTTCAGTCAGGGGATGTTCGCTAAGTCACTGAGCAAGGTAGGCAAGTACCGTACCCCCTTGAGGACGCTTCCTGAGTACCAAGGAACAAAGCTTAAAGGGGGTATCAACACCATTTGAGTGGCAGCCATACCAACCACCTTTGCTCCGCTCCATATCAAAGCTCAGTGAGTGGATTTTTTGACCCTCCACTTCGCGATAATAGCTAGAATATGCCCTATACCTCCAGGCCTGCTTGTTTGGTCACTATGCTGAGGAACGCCGACGGCTGGTTTGAAAGGTTTCCCTAAGTCCAAGCCCATATGTGAGTAGTCTGAGGGGGTATGTAGAATTTAACAGCAAGCTTTGCGCCTAGCGATCCCTAGCAACACAGGTTTGACATTCTCCGATGCCAGCTAGAAGAGCCCAGAGTTCAAACCACCATTATCAAGAGATCGGTGGTGATAATGGGAAGCCGATCATAAGGATCAGTCAGCATGAAGCCTTGATTGAAATTATGAACCAATCACGGTGATCCGTCGGAAGTAATAGAGCTATTACCTCATTTCCTTCTTGAGGCTGGAGGATGGGCAAATAAGAAGATAGACATATTACGAGACGAACACAATGCGTTAAATTATGAATGATATCATCATAGCAGCTATGACTTAAACAAATTTTCAAACCATACTCCATAATCCCGAACCCATGATGCACATGTGCAATTTCGGTGACCACTGTCCCATCCATGCGTTGAAAATCCGACATCCCCCTAGCCCTGTGCTGTAAAAAGATGCATTCCCATGCAGAGACTGCTCCGAGTAGGGGCCATAGGTTGTGCCACACCAATCTGCCCACACGAGCTCGAAACGCCAAATTTCAAGCCAAAACGTGAAAAGAAATTGCAGATTTAGGGGTTGACTGTCTCTTTGTGCTCTTGGTAGCCAACCTTCTCCTCGGACATCGGTATTTCGTTCCGCTCTTGCCTGAGAACCAGATTACGTGTGTTCCTCGTTTTCCAGGCAGGGGTGCCAATGTACTTGACGGCTATTGTCATATCTTAGTCAGAACAACTACTTGCAGAAAGAAAGGCCAGCATGAACTTACATCCAGGCTTCGAGTCATCGAAAATCTCCTCCACCTCTTCGAGGGGCTTGTTGGCGGTCTCAGGGAACATGAAAAAGACATGAAGGAACATGGCAGCGCAGAAGGTGGCGAACAAGACGTAGGTCCGCCACGTAATGGTCGCGAATGCGGGAGGGACAAAGTAAGCGAGCGCAAAGTTGAATGCCCAGTTCGCAGAGGTGCAAAGGGCCACGGCCTTGCCACGGAGGCGTAACGGGTAAAGCTCAGGAGGGTAGGTCCACGACACGGGGCCCCAGGTGGGTGCGAACGAGGCAACAAAGAGATATGTTGATGCGATAATCGCTTTGGCAGGTGCTCCAGTAATTGACATGGACTCGGCCGTCGAAGTAAACTCGCCGTGTCGCGCAGGTCGCGAGTAGGTAGCAAATAGACTAGCATTGACGCACAGCCAAAGGCACATGAAGAATGCGCCGACGAGAAGAGTTGGGCGGCGCCCCCAACGATCCATCCAGAGAAGGGCTGGCACCGTCATAATGACGTTGATAACGAATTGGATGCCGCTCGGGAGCAGGACTGCATTGCCACCTTTGTGAACCAGTCAGCAAAAGAACAACTGTTAAAGGGCGGGACAGACAGATAGACTAACTTCCTTCAGCTAGCCCTGCCATGGTGAAGACGTAGGTGATATAGTACATCTAATCAAGCGACGAGTCAGCAAGGGGTATCGAAGTCGAGGGCTTGAAGAGATGTTACTTACCATGACATTCATGCCAGTCAATTGCGACCAGATCTGCGTAAAGACGCCGATAGAGGTCCGATTGACCATTTTGGGCGTGAACAGCTCGAAATAGCTGACATCGGCATTGGCGCGCTCGAATTCCACCACCTCGCGGATCTCGTCAATCTCTCGATGCACCCAAGGAGAGTTAGGGTCCCCTTGGCCGTGAACAAGAGTCAACACTTCATTCGCCTCCTCCCAGCGGTCATTCTTCGCAAGCCACCGTGGTGACTCGGGCAGAAAGCAGAGGCCCAGCAAAAGCAACGCGGCTGGAACTGCTTGAAGACCCCATGGCAACCTGAATGTTGCGTTTCCGTCGAGGAAGGAGCTGCCGTAGCAGATGAAGAACATGATCAGGATGCCCCAAGTGATTGCCCATTGCTGAAACCCAACGAGGCGGCCACGCTTGGAAGGGGGAGCAAGCTCGGAGATGTAGACGGGAACTTGGGCAGAGCATATTCCGACCGAGAACCCGTTGATGATCCGACCTACAACTAGCATGGGGATATTGACCGACGCGCAAACGATGATGGAGCCGATAATCCTAGGGAGCCGTTAGCCCCAGCCCACTCATCGCCTGCCTCGACTGTTCCTCTCCACTTGTTGGACTCCAGCACTGACCAGACCAAAGAGCCCATCTGGATTGATTTTTTGCGCCCGAAAGTATCAGAGACAATGCCTGAGATCAAGGCTCCGAGCCACGAGCCCCCGGGCATGGCAGCCGTAATTCCACCCTGGACATCGTCCGTAGGTCCCATGCATTGGCCCTTTTCGTTGAAGCCCTGTTGGTTGAACTGGCACAGGTATGGCTGCGTCGAAATCACTGCCGACATGCTGCTGATATCGAAGCCAAAAAGGCCACCGCCTGTGCATCCGAGCCAGTGTCAGTATAGCCATCGTGGTGTTGCGACTTGAAGAGAGGTAATTTTAGGAGGCGGTGGGTCCGCCTCGACAACAGCCCGGGAAAAGATCTTCCGCACACTTACCAATGACGGCGATGGCCGCGATAAAATAGATATTTCCGATCTTGTACATGGCAGTCGCGCCACGGTAGTTATGGGAGATTCGAAGTAGGTGATGCCCCTAGGTGAGTGTGATTGGGTGCAAGGATAGGAGACGGAGGGGAGGAAATAGACGCAGGATGAACGTGGTTAGGAGCAGAGAGAGCTGAAGAGAGATGGAAGTAAAAAAGCGAGCTTGGTTATTTGTAAATGGGCAAGTTGGAAGGTGCGAAGGGGATAGTTAGCGGAACAAGAAAAGTGAAAACTAACTTGCATCAAGTACTAATTATGGAAGGAAGGCTCTACTCATCCCACGCGGGGGCGGGCCGCAAGTCTGTACAAATAAGTGAGCTACACCCGGCCTGTGCTAACACGTAAATCGGCACAAATCATGTCTTCAGTCATCGCCAGAATCTGATCCGGCTTCCAGGGTGTCGGCAGATCATTTGGGCGGAAATCGAGTCCAGGAAATCCCAGTCAAGGTCACACTGTCTTAGCATTGAGAACTGGTGGCACCAAATACGATGCTGCTTTCATTTATGTCTCGCATTGGAGGGCGGATCAGACACCGAGTTTCCCAGAATGGCGGGCCGGGCAAGCCGCACCCGGCGTTCGGAGAACGGCCTAGCATCATAGCCACGGTCTAGGCTTAGAAGACACCAAAATGCTTCTATCTGAAGCCGTACCTAATTCGTCAAACCAACAAGCGTGTTCACGTCCTGTGCTTGGGCCCCGAGCCTGACATGAGCCTGATGTCTGAGTGTGCATGTTTAGAGCTAGGCGCCATCGTCCCGCCTACTTGCAGGTGACGAGGGCTGGTCTGCTTGCTTGGCCAAAAGTTTGTATTTTCTTCAAGTTTGCTTCCTCTTCTGCGATACTTGAGCAGTGTCTCACCTGTTGCATCGGCAGTTCATAAATACCGAAGGAATGTACCTACCTAAGCAGCGCATGTCTCTTTACTTGGTTGCAGTGTAAAGTCCCGCGCGGGTCGTTACTCGCTCTGCGTAACGGCCAGAATTTGGGTGCGCAGATAAGGCGTCGAACCACAGCCCCTGTGGGTATCTGCCACAAAGTTTCCCGACGCAGGCGTACAGTACAGTGCCATTTCGGGCCCGAGGAATGCTGCAAGCCTCAGCCATCAAGCGCAAGGCACCGATTTATTTCGATGAAGGCCTTGTTGGTCAGGGGTATGTGGGGAGCCCACCATGATTGGTCACAGGCTAATGAAAAAAAAATCTCATATTCACATTTCTGGCGCAGGGTTATGACGTCACGCCAGCCGCCTACATCGTGTGAATCGTCTCGATGGAACTTCTCTAAATCCAGGGTAAGGTGTGGTGGTTCTCAAACGCAAGAGATGCTATGGGTCTCAAGAGAACAGTACGAAGTTCGCAGTTTTCGGCGAGCTTGCCGACTTAGACCGGTCCGACGGGTTTGGCCGTCTCGTACTGTAGTTCTGTGGGTATCAGTGATCCGGCTGATAACACACTGGGAGTGGAGCACAAAGCCTGAAACTCGGTATTACACTTCACCAAGTCCAGGATGAACCAACCGCGAACCCGTAAGAAGTATGAGAGGAAGCCTTGGTAGCGTTTCTAGATTTCTAGACTGTACGTGGTTGGTGAGTGTCCCTGATAACGGCTTCGGGCGCCAAGAATCGTGAATGGCAGCAAACATGGATCCGCGGCACGTCACGAGTCGGAGCGGAAACGGAAACACGGAAAGTTGTGGTTGTGACCGGGTGTTATCTCTGGGCCAAAAATAAACGGACGGGCTACTTGTAGGGCAGCAATAGCTACGCGCCCACGGCATCCCGACTGGAATGATAGGATCGGGCGGGGTCTGTCGCTTCTGGTCAAGCGGAGAGCAGGATGTCAAGTGCCTACCATGCCGGATTATTATCCACCCCCCGGGCGGAACCGAAATGGGTTTGCAACGCCGGAACACGTATATCTGCCATACTAGATACGGCTACGATGGCCGTGTTTCGGTTAACACGTATGGAGGTTGGGAAAAAAAAAATGCACACCGCCACACACCGCCCGAAGCGCCCGTCCAGACGAGCCATCTACCGCGTCCGTGTACACGTCTTGTTTGTCTCGTCCCATTCCTCGCTAAAACTATCCAACCCTAGATATGGCTCCACGTGTTCGGGTTGTAGATGTCGGATTAGATTGCCGTACATAGCCCTTTCGGTGAGACGCTCCATAGGTAGCAGTTACCTTGCTGATGTGCGTATTTGTTCTGCGAGTGCGGCGGTGGGGACTGGAGCCTCGTAAGGCGCACTTGAGAAACGTTGAACACGCAGAGGGGCACGACAGAATCGTGGCGATCGGCAGAAACAGTCCCTCCGCACACCTGGAAGAAAACGAGTTGGTGATGCGCAGTTCAGAGCTAGCCGGCTGACACGACAAAGATAGCCAGCCGCTGACAGCTGGGAGCCCCACGACCCCGCCAAAGACTAGAAGCTTAATCGATGGAGGTCACATGTTTTCGCTGCAACCCGGGCGCGTCGGGCGCGTGTGGCGTCCAGCGTCCAGCGTTCAGCGTCAGCGTCCAGCGTCCAGCGTCCAGTCTCAGTTCAGACGAGCGGTCCTAGCGGTCCCAGAACACAGATGATTCCTTCGGCAGCCCCCATCTGCAATCATTAGTTTCCAGCAAAAGCAACAAGGAGACTTTCTCAACTAACTGCCCATCGTCATGGCGCCGCCTTTACCGCCAAAGATGACCAAACGCCCAGCTTCTGACGGCAAGGACCGATCCATCTCTCCACCCCCACTCAAGCGCAAAGCTCAGAGCGCCATCTCCAGTGCGTCCATGCCTCCCTTCCTATCTCGCTCCTCGTGCGCGATCAATCTAATAGAGACCCGTCGTAGAGAGTGCCGTGGCGAATTTCTTCACACCAACGTCCCAAAAGCCCAAAGACCGTACCACCTGGATCGAGAGAAGCTCCGACGAAGACACGCCCGCCACGTTGTTGGTTGGCAAATATATCCCAGAGAGCGGGCAGAGCGGCGCCAGTCTTCCGGCTGCAAAGAGGCGGAAAATAGCAGCTTTTGATCTTGTACGCAATCCGTCACCTACTCGCCGGGGCGCCGTACTGATGCGGCAAGGCAGGACTCGACTTTGATCACGAGCGCTTCTGGCAAGCGGCACGCCGGCGATGCGGGAGATTGGAAGTGGTGGCACCATTCCGTGTCAGGACGATTAAGGCAGCTATACAATGATGAAGAGTGCGTCTGCTGGCAAGGTCTTCGTTTTGTGTTTTGTCGTTACCCTGAAGACTAACCAACGCTAGGTACCAGGTCGTCGTATTCACGAACCAAGGCGGCTTAACTCTCCATCCCGATCCCAAAGCGAAAGAGCCCAAGAGTCACCAAGCGCGAGTTCCGGCGTTCAAGCAGAAATGCAATGCTGTTCTCATGCAGCTGGACCTCCCCGCCACCGTATATGCCGCGACTGGAAAGGACATCTTCCGCAAGCCGCGGCCGGGCATGTGGGCGGAAATGAAGAAGGATTATGACTTGACCGAGTCGGAGATAGACTGGGAAAACAGCATATTTGTTGGCGACGCCGGCGGTCGCACTGCCGAGCTGCAGGGGGGTACTGCCACCTCTAAAGATTTTAGTTGTGCGGACCGGAACTTTGCGCACAACGTAGGCATCAAGTACCAAACCCCCGAGGAGTTCTTCCTCGGCGAGGCCCCGCGCCCTTTTGCGAGAGACTTTGATCCAGCAAACTTTGAGTATTCCGAGGACGACAAACTCGAAGTCCGATTCGAGAAAAAGAATGAGAAGGATATCATTCTGTTTGTCGGGCCGCCTGGTGCTGGCAAGAGCACCTTCTACTGGAAACAGCTCGAGCCCTTGGGCTACGAGCGGGTTAACCAGGACATTCTGAAGAGGTTTGATTTTTGCGAAATGTTCACAGTCGCGACCCGTACTCGTTTTAACTCTCAGCAGTAGGGACAAGTGCCTCAAAGCGGCGGCGGATTCGCTCAAGGATGGTGAATCGGTTGTTATTGGTAAGTTGAGCGTTCGCAGCATTCCACTCCCTGTTTTTCTAGGATGCTGACAGTTCGAAAAGATAGCACCAACCCAGACCCCGACACTCGCGCCCAGTGGGTCGAGCTGGCCATTAAGATGAGGGTGCCTATCCGATGCATCTGGTTCAGGACTCCTCTCCAGGTGTGCGAACATAATGATGCAGTCCGCCATCTCAACAAGGAGGTGTGTCACCAATACTCTCGTCGTCCATTGGTCACAAATGCTAACCCTGGTTGCTTAGCTAAATCCCGAATCTCGCCAGTCTCTTCCGAGACTTGCCTTCAATGGCTTCGCGTCTCGGTTCAAGGAACCCAAACCCAAGGAGGGGTTTCAAGATATCTTCGAGGTGCCATTCAAGTTCAGAGGGGCGAAGCAGGAATACGATATTTGGGCACGCCATTGGCTCTGACTTTTGATCTTGATTCGTTTTAGCGAGCGTCATTCATGATAGCCACGAAACCCTTCGCAGTTCTCGCTTGGCAGTTGAGAACAGGTTCTTTTTTCAAGCTAGTTCTTCCCCAATCGTATTCCGCGCTCTATTTCGTGAAAATTTATCCTTAATGGAGTAATTGCATAGAGGCCACATGCTGAAGATATATCTCCATTTCATCTTGGCTGTTCTATCACGAACGCACTGACACGAACGCACTGACAACTAAGTAAAACTTGGATGGAAAACTTCCAAGTGAATTCATCTGTTCTTATTTCCGGAAACATGCACCATACGCTCAAGAAGGGCAACTTTGATTTAATTGTCCTCTAATTCCACATTTCGTTCCATCGGCTCTCTTTGAGCGAACGGTGGATCGATACTATAGACCATTCTTCGACACCGTCCTCGGCCAATTCCACATCAAATATTGCTTGCCGCAGTTTTGCGACCGAAATATTCAGCATGAGGTATCCAGGGAGAGCCATTCTGGTTCTCCGCCGTACCAACACTCGTGGGTCGTAGATATGCGCTCTAAATTGCTCATCTGGGCTTGCCAATGGCAACATGGTCTTTGGATATGTCGAGGATTTGTGTGCGTTTGGGTAAGAGCGGGGGGTGAGGTTTGAATCCCCCATAACTGAATATCCTTCCGCAAGGCTCGATATTTGGGCCCCGCCTGTTCATTTGGTTCGAGCCTTCTTGCTTGACGGGTTTACGGGCACTTCGCTGCCTTCCGGGGTCTCGTCGGCTTCTTGCTCGCGCTTTGCCGACTGGAAGTTTGCGCTCCTGCTCCGGATCCCCCTCAGGTTGTCGGCGGCATCCGTCCTTGGAAGGTCGTCCACGTCTCCTCCTGGCTGGCCTTCTTGCTCGCCATCCACAACACCGGCGAGCGGCGGTGGCCCCGCCGCGATAATGCCGCGCAGAATCAGGGTCGCTGCCTTGGCACTAATCAAATGATCCCGGTGGGGACCAGTAAAGTCGGTGTTTTGGGCCATTTGAAGTCGTCGAGGGCGAAATTGCGGGGAAGCAGTCAACTCCAAGGCGCTAATTAGGACAGATAAGCCTGGACAGCGTCAGCATAATGCAAAGCAGGTGCTCAACAGGCGACGGTAATACGTAGTCAAAAGTATTTGGTGCCAGTGTCATATGTCTTTTCGGCCCCTCTCCATGTTATGAATGTCACACTCCCTGATCTCACACGCCCCGGTAGAAAAGTGACATTTGCGGTTCCCCTCTTATCTCGTCGCTCTGGTGATGTGGAGCTCAAATGTGCCTGGTCTTAGTTCGTTGTGACTTTGTCTGACGAGCGGTTAAAGAGAAGGGGTGCAAAAAAAATCAGATTTAAAATTCCTTGAGACGAAAGGGAGGAAATTCGCCTGGATCGGCGCGAGTAAAGTGAAACACGCGTTTGACTAAGGTCATCGAGTAACAAGACTCGAGACTCCCACTGCAGTGGAGTCTTGCCAGGACCAGGTTAGGCGCGCATTGGGAGGAAGCGGCACTTCATGCAAGCGATCTGGCGGGCTGTTGGCAGCTGTCATGCACTGCAGAGCATCTCGGTCCTCGGAGCCCAAAATCTGAATGCGCAACGCCGCGCCCGGAGTTTATACTTGATTTTCCCGGATTCAGAAGGCTTAGTCAGGGAATGCAAAGGAACTCAACTCCGGCGTGCAGACATCCCGACGTCGTCATTTAGAGCATTTCCGACTCTCCCGACACAAACATAAAAGTCGACTAACAACAAGTAGCTCATCGCGGCTCCTGTTTAGACTTTTAGAGTACATCTATAAAGGTGTTCGCGGGTGCGCCATTCGACAAAGAATCAATTGGCCAAGTCGTTTGAGCGAGCAAAGCCTTGACAATTGAACCTTAGTCAAACCTCTGAATCATGAGGAGCGAATATCTGACTCCGGTCCTGTCGGGGCTGGCTAGCCTCCAGAACCACGCCCAGCAATGGATTCTCGACAAAGGCATGACATGGCCTGCTCAGCCGCCCACGAACAAAATCGACCTGCATCACCACTTTGTGCCTGATTTTTATGCTCAAGGTGAGTCGGTTCTTCATTGATGCCATGTTGAGATGCGAGGAACCAAAAGTATATGCGCACTGCGAGGAATGACTGAAACGCTGACCACTTATTGTTCTCTCGTTTAGCTGTGGCAGACGCCGGAGGTACGTCGTCAACTTTTCATGTTCCCCGAGGTGCTCGGCGGTACTCAGGGGTCACGAATTATCTCTAGGTTGGGTGAGTCCCAGAAAACGATGCTCTGACAAGTGCTCCTGGGCTATTCAGGAGACCCTAGCGGCTGGCCGACGCCAAAGTGGTCGCCATCTTCATCTCGAATGATCATGAAGCACCTAGGAGTCCAGACGGCCGTTCTATCCGTCACGGCGCCTGGGCCGTGCATTATCAAGGACCCTGGGGCTCAGGCTAACCTCTCCCGACGCCTGAACGAGTACGCGGCGGCTCTGCGTGACGAGGACCACTCGACATTTGGCTTCTTCGCGACGCTGCCCGACATTACCAACGCATCGGCTGCAATCGCCGAGATAGCCTATGCGATGGACACGCTCAAGGCCGACGGCGTCACGCTATACACGCGCTACGGTCCCAACGCGACGTACCTTGGCAATCCGGTGCTGGAGCCGGTGTGGAAGGAGCTCGACCGGCGCGCCGTGACCGTCTTTGTGCATCCGACCCACCCCGTAGATACAACCCGGGTCAACGACTACATGACGCAGCCGCTGATCGACTACCCGCACGAGACAACGCGCGCGGCCGTCGACATGATCACCAGCGGCACGCTCAAGAAGTATCCCAACGTCAAGGTCATCCTCAGCCACGCGGGCGGCACCTTGCCCTTACTCATCAGCCGCTTCCTGACGCCCCTGCGCAAGGCGCCTGATGTCCTGGCCAACTGGAACATGGGCACAACGCATAATGACGCAGCGAAGGCCTTCCGGGCCTTTTACTATGACGTTGCCCTGTCCTCGTCGCCCCAGGTGTTGCAGACGCTGCTCGATCTCGTGCCGCACGACCATATCGTCTACGGGGTAAGATCATCGTCCCCGGTATGGTCCACATTTACCTTCATGCCCGAGCTGACTTTTTGTGTGATTAGAGCGACTTCCCCTACGCGCCCTCCCCAGCGTACCCAACATTCCTCGAGGATCTCGAGGCGTTCGACTTCACGCCTGAGATGCGCAACAAGCTAAACTTTGAGAATGCACAGGTGCTCATCTCTCGGCTCGGGAAGCACGTGGCCGAGCTTTAAGTGAACAGTCTGAAAGCGGATAGCTTGTCATCGTTGTGATTTCAACGCTCTCGTGCGCCTGCTGGGGTGCAGTTCGAAGTCTCGGAGGGAGATGGTTCGAACGTTAGATTTCTAATATGCGGAGGTGGGTGCTGTTCTGTTATCCGGTAAGTGATAAGTTGCTATCAGCTTTGGTCTTTTTTTTCCTCCTCTCGTGTCATTTCCTTCGGATTCTCTTATCTTTGGTCCTATCTTTCGGCCCATTTTTCTCCGTAAAGGCCTGCTAGTTCCTGTGGTTTCATCGAAGTGGGTTGCGCAGACAGGCTAGTGATGCCGGCTCGGCGGACTGTTGGCGTGGAAAGTCGAAGCGTGTATGTCTTAATTAACGAGGTTAGACGACCCAAATCAAGCCATCAACGCAAGCTGCCTATTCACAAAGCGCGCCGGTGGCCAACCGCCGTCTTTATCATCATAATCCAGAGCAGCGGGACTGCCCAGGAGGGCGGGTCCCTGCAGTTCATCAATTGTCACTCTAGGTGCCCGGGATGGTCTCATGCGTACTGCGTGCCTTCTGCTGGACCCTTCTTGACACGTGGAAATGTCCCTGCACATCCTCGGACTCTGGGACCTCGGGATGCTAGGTAGGGTTGCCTTGGGGAGGTAGCGATGCAGATTGGAAGCAGCTGTGTAATCTAAAAGTCCCCCCCCCCCCCAAATTGTTGCCTTGATGCCCAGATCATATATCCGTCTGATAAGAGCACCTTGTTGCGCAAGCGCGAAACAGAAAGACCCGCTGTGTTGGGCAGGTGATTGAGCATTTGGCTTCAACTTCCTCTATCAACCTAATGTCATCGTATACCGTGGTCTAGCCCAGAGGCTCCTCAAGTAGACCCTCTAGCTTCCGAGCTGAGCTAGGGTCCAGAGCACTTTCTGGGGTACATGCGCTTCGTCAATGGCAATCCACAACGGTTGCAGGGCCTCAATGAGGAAGGTGTTGCTGCCGTAGAGGATTCCTAGGTAGTCGGGACTAAGCGAGCGCCCCGAACTACTAGCAGCATGGAAAGTACGGGATTACCGGTTGATTGGTGTGGCGGTTAACGAATACGCGTGAAGAGAGCGATCAAGAAGTCCGCCGTCTCATTGTTTTTCCAGTTACCCCCACTAGTGTGCACCTTCTTTTTCCTTTTTGGGTGCACGGAAAATCCGCCCATGCGGAACGATATCAAATACCTTGCCTTAGTGATTATTCTAGCGATTCCCACAGAGATGCGAGCCGAATGCTGCAGGCGCGTTCTAGCCTAGTCTGGCCATCGCCACAGGACCTGGTTCGGTCTCCAGATAAGATGCGGCCGATGAGGTGGGTGGCTGAAAGAAGAAGGTCAGAACGTCCAGCATGGGTTCTAATGGCTTGGCACGTCCTCCAAGCCCTGCTCCGATTAGCGATGGCCTCCAACGGCGAACTGGCTTTCGTTCGCCTCTTTTGCGGGGCGGCCGTCCAAATTGACTTTGATTGGCCAATTAAGCCGCATTGGCTCGATCTGCGGTATCGCCCGAGCAAGCCCCCTAGGCAGGGCGAGCTCTTGTGGGGCTTGGCGGATCCTGTCGCGTGTCACTCGTCAGAATCCGCCTCTACGGGATATGTCTTCCTCGGTGGGAGCACAAGGGAGGCAGGCCAGTATCGCGGCCCCACCGCGAGTAACACCGAGGTGCTACAAACAACAGCCGGGAGCCAATGGTCTCGCAGGCTAGCTCTCTGCCCTCCTTTCCGTGCTAAGATAGCTATCTCCAACTTATCTTCTCTATCGTGCGTGGCGGGGATGCCGAAATTTTTTGTTTGCGATTCGTCGCGGCGTCGAATTAGCAGTCGCCGCCGTCCATTTGTAGGTATTACACGTACCCCGAGCGGGACTGTATGCTATCAGCGGTGCTGCTTTCGTCCCTTCCCACCTGCTTCTTCCTGCCTTAGCCATCTCCAGTCGTGGCCTGTCCTCCGTTACAGGGTCTTGGCATTCCACGAGCACAAGTGAGGTGGCCAAGTCGTGTGGGTATTAAAGTTTCGCCAGTGCCCCGCCGAGAGACTGGAAGCTGCTTTACCTCGCTCGACCCAACTCGAATTGACCGTTTGAGTTCCAAGTTGCGGCAGCAGGGCCCTCAGGTGGACATTGCTTACCCGCGCCTCGCCCAAGGCACCTAATCCACGCGCCGCTCCGAACCGCAGCCCAAAATCCGCCATGGTCTCAACCACCGAGACGGGCGCAGCGCCCGCTGACGGGGCTCGCGCCCCTGAACACCACGATTCGGACACCATCCAGCCGAGCCCGCAAGTCGTTGGCAGCAACACCAGCGAGAAGAGCGAGGTTCTGCCGGCGCTGCAGCACAAGGCTAGCTCTAGTATCAGCGGCGGCGACCGTGACCTGGACGGAAAGAACGTCTCGTTGCCAGCTGCACAGTATGACGTCGACCCGGAGAAGCAGAGCACGCACGTCGGCTCGGTTCACGATGGCCGGTATAGAAATGCAAAGCCCTACACGTACGGATATTACCGGCGGTGGAGACATTGGAGGAAGCTCATTCACTTGATCGTCTTCATTGTGTTTACTGCGTGAGTCTCTCCCTCCCCGCCCTTTCGCTGTTTACTTTTCGTCCATTTCCTCTGCACCGTGATGCTCGGCCTATTTTTATTTCTTTTTCCTCCCGTCATTTTGGGAGCCTGAGATTGCTGCGATGCTAACTTGTCGAGGGTGTTGTCAGATGGTGGATCTTTGGTCTCATCAACCACCGTTTCAGCGATAACATGGGGTGGCTGAAGCCGACGTTGCTTTACATCGGCATCCTGATTCGTCTCATTACCTTTTACGTCCCGGCTGCCCTCGCCTTGGTACCCGTCGCCTGGATCTGGAACCACTCGGTCTTCAAGGTTTATGAGGCAATCCCCGCCCGTCTGCACCAGCCGCTGGCTGCCGCCGGTACTTTCGCAGTATTCTTGGTCGGAAGCTTCGTCCCCGAGGAGACTGGAGACAACACGCGGTCTAATCGTGCCATCTCCATCTTTGGCCTGCTCGTCATGATTGCCCTCCTGACTGCCACATCGCGCGACTGGAGGCGCATTCCATGGCATACTGTCATCGGCGGCATGCTTTCACAGTTTATCATCGCCCTCTTCGTGCTGCGTACTCATGCCGGTTACGATATATTTGCCTTCATCTCCGAGCTAGCTCGCGCTCTGCTGGGTTTCGCCGACCAAGGTGTTGTCTTCTTGACCGACCCGACAGTTCCCCCTTTGCATTGGTTTATCAGTGGCGTCGTGCCCCCCATCATCTTCTTCGTCGCTCTCGTACAGATGGCCTACTATTTCGGCTTCATTCAGTGGTTCATCGGAAAGTTCGCTGTCTTTTTCTTCTGGGCTCTGCGGGTATCGGGTGCTGAAGCTGTTGTTGCGGCTGCCACGCCCTTTATCGGCCAGGGCGAGTCTGCTATGCTGATTCGGCCCTTCATGCCTCACCTGACCATGGCAGAGCTCCATCAGATTATGGCTTGCGGTTTCGCCACCATTGCCGGCTCCGTTCTCGTTGCATACATCGGCCTCGGCCTCAACCCCCAGGCTCTGGTTTCCAGCTGCATCATGTCCATTCCCGCCTCTCTTGCCGTGTCAAAGATGCGCTACCCCGAGACGGAGGATACACTGACATCGGGCGAGGTCATCATTCCCAAGGATGCCGAGGCGGAAGAGAGCGTCAATGCTCTCCATGCTTTCACCAATGGCGCTTGGCTCGGCATCAAGATCGGCGGCACCATTGTCGCGTGTATCCTCTGCATCATCGCCCTGGTTGGTCTGATCAACGGCTTGCTGGGCTGGTGGGGCAGATACTGGAGCATTACCAACCCCGAGCTCTCGCTCCAGCTTATCGTCGGTTACCTCCTCTACCCAGTTGCCTGGCTGCTTGGCGTGCCGAACCAGGATCTCCGCGCAGTCGGCCAGCTCATCGGCACCAAGATCATCATCAACGAATATGCTGCTTTCAGCGACCTCACCAAGCTGGAGCCGTTTATCAGCATGGCCGCGCGCTCGAAAGTGATCGCCACCTATGCTTGCTGCGTAAGTTACTTGTTCCTCACCCTATTGAATTCAGACGCGGTCGGTGAATTGGCAGATTCTGACAAGATACCTTATGCAGGGCTTCGGCAACATTGGCTCCCTCGGAATCCAAATCGGTGTGCTGTCTCAGATTGCTCCCAAGCGCTCTGGTGATGTCCTGAAGGTCGCCGTGTCGGCTTTGTTCTCGGGTGTTCTAGCCACGTTAACGTCGGCCAGCATCGCCGGCATGCTGTACACCGATGGTATCGGTTCGTAAGAACGTAATGACATCTATATGACAGTGGCCTTTTGTCCTGATCTCGGGCGCTATAGCGCACACATAATAAAAAAAACAATTGGCTGTTCTGCTCTGAAGAAGTAGCCCAATGATACTTTAATACTCAATAACTTACTTTGACGTCGTATTTAAGTGATTGTGTAAGGCTCTGATACTTGATTATTACTGGTAAAGTAGAGGCCAGCTAATGTCCAGGCTTTATCTTACTCATATCAGGTGTGCTAGTATGCCTTGACTATTTAGGTACATGTTTAGCCAGACCGCTGAGCGCGAGAATATTTGTTTCATGAAACAGTTCTTGTATCAGTTCCCTGACATCAGCGCTAGATATAAAGGTCTATGGTGAATCAGGCATCGACCTAGAGCGTTATACAATTCTGCCTCTTGAAGATCTCTCTATTTGCTCTGTCTTGGCAAACAAAGGTACTTTGATAGCTCAGGCACATCGTATGTATCTGGATAGCTTCGTCCTGGGTTTCCGGGAATTAAGCCTACATTGTTGTCTCGGCATATTTGGTGTTCTAGTCTCAAAGAGCCAAAAGCCAACGCGCGGCTGCTATATCATTGCTTGAAGTTGTTATCAAGTCCAAAAACCGTGACTTCACTTCTTGCCCTCTCATGCTTATGCCTGAAATGAACCCCTTGGATAAGGTAAGAGAGAGTTATGAATGCTTCTCGTCTGTTAGTTGAATATCGGACTGCGGAGGTTTGCCTGTCTATGCCCACCTTCAGCTATAGAGGGCCGAATGTAACTAATGTAAAGTTGAACTTTTTAGACAGATAATTAATTGTAATTGAAATCACCAGTGTTTCGAGTTGTAAGGAGTTGCAACAAACTTGCAGCTAAATAGCCGCGTGTTTACTTCCTTCATCTCCAGTCGTAATATGCTGGACATTTTGCCGAGGTGGTGATAGGTACCTTGCATTGCTGCCCTTGATTTACTATCGTTCTGAACATGAAATCGGGAAGAAAGTGGGCAGATCATGAGATTTATCCCATTATTGTTCCCCAAAGTTTAATAGAGCAGTTCATTCCCGGAAGACATTCTCGTACATTCGTTACGCTAAGATCATGGGGATGTCCTCTGTGACTAGTTGACTAGCCTCAGGTGCGTGGGGTGCATATTAGAGCCTAGTGGTAATTGGACGGAACGATCTCGATATAGACAACCGCGATCGGAGACGCACGGCAGAACTTTCACTCGGTCAACTCCGGTAGTGTGACACGGGAAGGACGAAAAAAAAAATTGCACCCGCTTCATGCGCGCTTGTAAATATTTGCAGTATCAAGACATGTGGCTAGAATGAGGTGGTTTGAAGTTACATTCTGCGTGTTGAAAGAGGGTGAGGGAAATTTTGGCCCAGTGCATTGGATGCCTGGCAACTGAGCGTCCGGAATGGGGCGGCCAGGGTGCGTGGTATTCTGGTTTCAGGCTCGTCCGTCCTACGATTTTTCTGTTTTAAGATGCAACACCTAGCTAGCTCGTCTTCGGCACGCTGGGAAAGGACAAACCATTCTTACCATGGAGTGTCTCACGCAAACTAAGCCCTGGGAACTTGGGAAGGAAGCACGCTGCAGGCTACGCGGGGAAGGACGGGTCATCACAGCCCAACATTCAGCCCTACTCCAAGGCACTTGTGAGATAAGGAGTGGGCCTCTAAACCCACTAATACACTCTTACGTCCTCCCAAAGATAAGTAAGGTACGGAAGAACGGAAACAGGTGGGAAGAACCAGATCCGATTATGGACTTCAAGTTCCATTTCCGTGCAGCTAAGCTGCTTTCCGTGCAGCTAAGCCGCTTTAGTCCACGGTTTTCCATCTAGTCCACGCAAGATCTCTAGTAGGCGTCGGTAAAAAGGAAAACGGCATCAATTTTGCTGCAGCTAGAGACGTTCCGTGGAGTGCAGCGCGAGTGCAGCGTGGGATGGCTGCATCGCTGAGCATGGCGTGGTTTTGGCGCGAACTTGCGTGGTGCACCCCTCCGGATTTCGGGGTTTCTGGTTTCGGGGCCCGCCGAGGCGCATGGATTATCCCGTCTGATTGGCCGAGACCGCCCAAAGACTGTGGGTGACTTTTTCGTGTGTGAGCAAATTTGGAAGCTTGTGAAAGCCCCCATTTATCAAGCCTTCATCCACCTCCCCCATGCAAGCAGCGTTCTTTTCCACCTAGGCAATCCGCTCTCGACCACTTCACCCTGCCAATTCTCCTCGCTCGACCTGTCCTTCCGCCGTTGTGGCAGAAGCTGACGTGTGGCTATCGCTTAAGTGTGCTTGCCCACTGCGCTCCGAAATACACCAGGGACAGCAATCGTCGCGAGGAGAAAAGCTTGTGTGCGAGCCGCCCGTCTCTTTCCAAAAACACCTCGTTAGGACCGAAAACCCCCGCCTCGTCTTCGCGTAAACCCGCCAAAAACCTACCCAGCCATGTTCACCACTAGAGTCTTGCGACAGGCTGCTCAGCACGCTGAGCGAACACCCTCCATCAAGTTCATCGGAAAGAGAACGATCCCTGGTGCGTGCCATCGCCAGAGGTTCCCGCGCTTCTCTCTTTCTCTCAACCCGACATGACTGACATTGCTTGCTCTCTTGACAGCATCCATCGACCACGCCCCACAACCGCACCCGGAGTCGCCCACGCATTCGCTCCCAGCTTCATTCACCCAGCCGTCGCACTCCACATTCAGCTCGTACCGCGACCACGCCCAGCAGTTTGGGCCTCTCCGCAAGACGATCAAGTCCAGCGAGGTGGGAATTGGCGGTCTCGCCGGGTCTGACCTCGGCCCCGTCTCCCCGCCCAAGGGCGTCTTCTTTGACCGGAATGAACTCCCCTCTCGGTTCCACCGAACGCCCATTAGTCTCGCCGAGATAGAGGCGGTTGAGACGGGCGGCGCCGCGGCCTTTGCCTGAGAATACGTGCACAGTGTTGCTATGACGGGGATGGGACGGAGATGGGCAGGCCGACGTTGAAAAGCATGATTCCACGCAGGGGTTAGGGGTTCTTTCTTTATCCAGACGAATGTTAAGATACGGGCGAGGTACAAATGGAAACGAAAAAGGTCGACGCATGGAGCGCGAGATCACGTCTCATAAAGAGGCTTGTCTGGAAAACGGGATGCATTCATCGGTCGGCTTTTCGAACATATCTACGCAACTTTCTTCGGCAGGGGGCATATTCCTTTTGTTAGTTTCATGGGTGGTCCGAGCTGGCGCGCGAAGAGACCGACACCCCACGCACAAAGGTCAAGCTTGGAGCTTGGGAAGCGGGTGGAACCCTGAGATGTATATCTTCTACCCAGAAGCCTCACCGCGCCACGTTTGGCCGGGTACCTGTTGAGGTGTAAGAAAATTAGCCACAGAGCAAGCAAAGCAGGTTCGCTCTCCACTTTGTAAACAACATTCCCCGTGCATGCAACTGAAAACTCGACGAGCAGAAGATATATTGCGTGTGGTCTCCATGACGGTACAGGCGACGGAGCAGAGATAGCCGAGACACCTTAACTTTTGCACGGCTGTGTCACGATCCCAGGGCCTGGTTGACCGAACCTGGCACCCAACCAGCACGGCCCATCAGAAGTGAATCTAACCTTACCCACGACTACTCACCAGCCCGGGCTACTTTAATTGATGGGCACCGGGCCTATGTCAGGTTGACCTCTAAAACCCCCTAAAAATTGAGCGCCGTTCGTCGGTCTGGGGTGGCTTCTTTGGTATTCGAGTGGTAAAATTACACATGGCTCGAAGCCCTGGACCGCAAAAAGCCAGAGACTGCTCGTCGATCTCACAAAAAGACAGGAGTATCGGCAAGTACCAGATGACCATTTTATAGATTGCTTGATTCCCCGGGGCACTGGGACCGAAGGCCTGTGAATTGTTTCAGAAAAGGCTGATGAGGCGCTTCGGCCAAGCGGGGCCAAGCCACTACGGGTAGCCGTAGTAGCCTGCCGAATGGGACCCGCCGTTCGGGCCGTGGCTGGCGCTGAAATTAAATTTCCTTACTGTGCATGTACTGTAACCTGCCCTTCCCTAAATCCCGCCACTGTGCACTTCTCTTGTCATCGCGACACCGCGACCAACGTAGCGCGTCAAGAAAATACGGCAGGAGCGCCGGAGAATGCCATCATAATGCACACCGACCTCCTCGACACAGTTCTCGTCAGCCAGAACGCGTCTGCTCTCGTGGGCGATAGCGGCTCCATAGCAACCGCCAGCATGAAGGAGCCAAAGCCCGACACAGCCGCAGCTGGGGCAGCAGAAGAGCGATGTCCCGTCGACCACAAGACTCGCGAGATGTGGTTGCAACAGGCACGCGCCACATCCGCAGCGGCAGAGCAGAGCGGGAAGCTTCAGACGCCGCCAGCGGCAGCGACAGCAACAGCAACAGCAACAGCAACAGCGGCAGCAGGGCCCTTACCCACCACACCCAACACTGCGCAGCCCCCTACGTCGACCTGGTCGTCCTGGCTGCGGTCTCCTTTCGGCACGCAGCAGCGAAACCCCGAACCTACCACCACCACGGCAACCCCTACACAGACCTTGCGGGCCGCCCGACCGAATGCGCCTCTACCGCTCGGCGAAGACCGCGAAGTGTCGAGCATCCCGCGTTCGTCGACGCCCGGCCCGTCGTCGTGCCCGTCCAACCACGAGCAGGAGACGGGCGCGTCGGTCAGCGGCAACTGGGTGTACCCGTCAGAGAAGATGTTCTTTGACGCCATGAAGCGCAAGGGCTACGGGGCGTCGGCAGCGGCGGACATGAAGACGGTGGTTCCGATCCACAACGCCGTCAACGAGCGGGCGTGGGGCGAGATTCTGCGGTGGGAGGCGCCGTACGTGGCCGGGCCCGCTGGCGGCAGCAGCACGTGCGGCGGCCCGCGGCTGCACAGCTTCGCCGGGCTCAGCGAGAGGATGAGCCCGCGCGCCCGCCTCAACACCCTGCTGGGCTACACGGCGCCCTTTGACCGGCACGACTGGGTCGTCGACCGGTGCGGCACCAGAGTGGAATACATCATCGACTTTTACGCGGGGCGGAACGACGCGTCCGGGCCGGGCAAGCTCAACTTTTACCTGGACGTCCGCCCAAAGCTCAATACCTGGGAAGGCGTCAAGATGAGGGCCCTGCGGGCGACGGGGCTGGCGTGAGCCCATGCGTGCCAGGATCTCGATGGCAGTTCTGTGCCCATTATGGCTTTGTATTAATATAACCTGTTTACAACACTATGTATAATCCACTCTTACCGTCGGCGGAAACACGGCCGAACCATCTTTTGTGAGCGGCGTTTAGGAAGGCGTGGGTTAACACGGGGGACGTGAGGGGAGGGTGGGAGGATCCCCCCAAAAGTATCATGGCTTAGAGAATTAGATAAAACCAAAAATCTCAAGAAAAAGTTTGCCTCATATTCGCATGGTATCTCGTATAAAATGCAACCCGTTCCAAACCCACATCGCGTTCCATATCCGGTATATTACGCAGATTCGACCTCTAAACGCGCCCCCCCTTATTATGCTTATCAAAATGTTGGTACAGACGGACCCCATTGCCGCAATGCTGTGCAGCCAATCGCCCGAATCCTTCCATCGGATTAATCGTTCTTGACCTCTTGGTGCCCAGAATGGTGTGCAGGATCTTTTTCCAAGACAGGGAGGGCTGGAAAATAGAGGATGCCATGTTAGCGCGAAAATCGTTGACGAGAGTACTCTAAATTACATCACAAAGGTTGTAGATGCGAGAAAATGCTGACGCAGAGGGCAAGGGGAGGAAGAAGGGGGTTTTGACAATGGGAACCCGTTGACAACAAGTGCCAGCAAGTAATCACATACCCTTTTTCGCGTCGCCAACCCGGACACGAATCGGCAGCCTAGTCTCCAGCGCGTTCACCTCCAGGTCCCAGCCCTTCTTGGCCAGCGCCGCGAAAAGAGACTTTTTCTGGTCCTCCGACACATAGCCCAGCGGCATCTCATTTTCGTAATGGCTCTCCAGCCCGTCCTTGAGCGCCGAATCGAAGTGATATGCGTGGTTCACGGCATCGAACCAGGCCGATAGGGCGCTCGTCTCTCCCTCCTTGACCGCAATGCGCATGTAGAAGCTGCCGCCGTGGTGCCAGATGCCCAAAAAGTACGCAGCCGTCTCGAAGTCGTAGCGATGGTAGCCCTGCGGGTTGAACTTCTTGATATCGCCGTAGGAGCCAAAGTCGCAGAAGCCCGTGTAGTCGCCGCTCTTGCTCGCCAGGTCCCCGCGGCCCCTGAGCAGGATGCTCTCGCGCTCCGCCACCTGAGCCGGGTCGAGGATCGTGTTGTGCTCGAGCCACTCGCGGAACACGATGGTGGCGCGCTGCCGGTTGAGTGAGCGCATCTTGACGCTGCGCACGGCGCGGTAGTTCATCATGAGGTGGACGCCAGCCAAGACCATCATCATGATCCATACCACCTGCTTGTCCTCAACCATGCGCACCACCAGCGTCCCCACGAGCATGCCGAGGAGGCTGACCACCGTCTCCTGCGACGCCTCCTTGGCGTTGAGCTCGGCCAGGTTTCCCGTCAGGGCAAAGTGCGCCGAGAGGCTGGCCTTGCTGGCATTGGCGGCGACGCCGCAGAGCGCACGCAGGACGCCGGCCGAGACGATGACGCTGAGCTTGGGCAGGTACGGCAGGGCGGGCGTCAGGAGATCGAGGAACTGCGCCGAGTCGTTGAAGATGTCGGCCAGGAAGCGGTAGAACTTGCACTCGGGCTCGATCGCCTGGCCCATGCGGTGCGCAAACATGATGGTGGCGATCCGGGATATGGTGTCGCCCGTGATCTTGAGGATCAGGGCGCCAGTAGGCGACGACGACGAATCGCCTACTCCTAGGCCTTCGAGCACCGCGCGGTTCGCGAGCAGCGACGTGATAGACGATGCGAAGGCCTGCAGGGAGTCGTACGTCTGGTACGCGAGGTAGTCATCGGTGACTGTGTGGGGGTAGCCGGCGGGGAGGAAGGCATAGAGGACAGCTTTGGCAAGGGGCACGGCGGTTTTCTCCTGCGCGAGTGGTCTTGTCAGTGGGTGCAAGCTCGACAATGCGGCGATGCGCAGATCGACGCGATAACTACCCGACGCACAGGGCGCGACTGCGATGTAATGGGAGAGCCACTGCTAATGCGAGGTGGCTGCGTGAAGCGCACGGCTAACTCACTGTCTTAATGAGGCCGCCCTTCTCCCCGCCGTGGCCGTCCGTGTACCTGCAGAGTACATTGCCCGCCGGGTCGATGTCGAAGACGCTCTTGCTCATGGTTTCGCCAACATTGGCGGCGACGCGCTGGCCAGGGAGGGGGGGAGTGGCGCCGTAACGACAGAACCGAAGAAAGCAGGGACGTGTGGGGGATTGGTGATCTTTGCCCGTTCATCGCTCGCCGCCCGAGCCAACTTGATGCAGTCGACATTCTCTCCCGTGGTTGTCCTTGGCGTCGCTGGCCGTCACGACGCTGATCTCCCGCCCAGCCTGGAACCGACTACGGATAGTGTGGTTCAATTACCGTCAGCACCTTGGAATGTGGCCTGTAAATTGGTATCCTGCAACGTACTGCACGTTCAATTGTGTATGTATTTACATGGTTGGTACAGTACTTTATGCATGTGCCATGCTCACCTCGGGCCGTCCTGACGTAAGAGACAGGGGCCATCAACAGGGGCTACGGCAACCGTACTCGAAACTCCATGACAAACGTCTTTCATTCACCAAATCTCTTATGCGAACAAGAAAGCATTTTCAAGGCAGACGGTAACTGGATATGCACTGAGCAAATGAACCGAATTTGTATTGCACCTTGGGGCACACGGACAAGCCTACAGCGAGAGGTTCCCAACCACAGCAGTTCATTTCCCGATATTACTTTCGAACATATACGCCATGCTAACGCCGCCTTGACTTGAACGGTCTCACCTCTTGACGGGACTTCCATCCTCGGCAACCAGGTATTCGTCTGTTTTGATGGGGCCTTCTCCAACGCCCGTCATGATGACCCGGCTTACGCCAGCCTTCAATATCCCAGCAGTACCCTCATCCAGGGACACGGAAGAATTCAGGCTCTGGGTTGTGGCCGCCTTCCAGCCATCAATCTCCCCCAGCGTGCGGTACAGGGTTCCGACGACGGCCTCGGTCTCTTTCTCTAGGTAGTAAATCACGGCATTCGGGCCTGCATCGAATGTGTAGGCTGCCACGGTCCGGCCGGCAGCCGTGTTGATAGCTTCAACGGCTCGGATTGCTGCCCTGGACACGTCGTTCATGTAGAAGATGGGCGGGTAGGTGTCGGCACAGGTGGCGTGGAACGAGTTGGAGTCGCGCATGGTGACTTGGGCAAAGGCGGAGAAATCCCGCTCCTTGATAGACTTTTCCATGGCCTCCATGTTGCGCGGCACGACATTGGTGATGCGCTCCTGGAAAAGGCCCGACGTCGCCACCGTCTGCTGCATGCCCGACGTGGAGCTGACGCCCTTCTTCGCGGCCGAGACAACCAGCACCACCGCTCGCATCTCGGGCCAGTGCGACGCCTCGGCCACTTGATCGGCCAGCGAATCGCTGCCGTCCGCGGCGTCGCCCATGCGCCACGCTACGTAGCCGCCGAACAGACTCCGGCATGCGGAACCAGAGCCCTGCCGCGCGATCAGACTCAACTCGGACGGAGACGCGGGGAGCTCGTAGAGATCGGCAATGGCCCTCACGAGCGCTGCGAAACCGGCAGCGGAGGATGCCAAGCCGGCGGCGGTCGGGAAGTTATTCTCGGATACGAGGCGGACGGGCATGGCAGACAGCTTGGGCAGCGACGGGTCAGCAGCCTCCAGCGCAGCGCGATGGGCGCGCAGCTCCCGGAAGCAAGCCTGGGTGCGGGCACCGGCGACGTCAGCGGCTTCGCCGTTCAAAATGAGCGAGTCACCCTCGGAGGCAGGGTACGAGGCGGAACAGGAGGCTGTCGTGAGGGTGCGCAGGTCCGACTGCGAGAGCGTGACCGACAGCGAGCTGTTGGTCGGCAGGTTCAGCTTGGCATCGCGCTTTCCCCAGTACCTGCAGCAGTAGCGATAAGAGACGGGTCAGCCGGCCAGTACTAGACTTGCAAAAAACGACGCGAGCCCTGCATACTTGACCACGGCGATGTTCACGGGTGCCGTGGTGCTGGCGCGGTAGACCTTTTCGGCGGCCATGGTTAAAGATTCGCGGCGCGGCTGGTGACTGACGATTGGCGACTGGTAGAGCGAAGGCGAGGCAGGAGGTTCTGGCAAACTATATGCAGGGAGGAGCACGATTGCAGTGAATAGAAGAGCGAACCGGTGGAGAGTGAGGAAATATCCCATTCAGTTGGACATTTAGAACCTCTGGCACCCTGGCGGTCAAGGGCTGCTGCCCGCCTCCCATCGAGAACGTCTCCGTTTGGCGGGGTAGAAGTGCTAATCGAAAGAGATTGCAATGGCGGTTATCCTAGAAGGGATTAGTGCGGGGGGAAACCCAGGGGTCTTTCCTCTGAACCAGCCCCTCACGACCTGCCCCGCCCAGTCTCGCGCCAACCACCCCCTCCTCTCTGGGCAGCAAAATGCTCTTGGCAACACCCAGGGCAAAGCGTCAACAGAGATATGCATGTCAACCCAACGGCACTACTGACAGCTTCGAGCTCCTAAGTGCTCCTCAAGCACCGATTGACTCGCAACCATGTCCAGACTTAAGGATTGCAATGGGGTATGAGCTTGGAGACTAACCCCGTATAGAAGGTATTTTTGTGTCACAATTAACTATTCCAATTATTCCGTACCTGTTCAACGGTTGCGAGAAAAGCACAATTGTCGGTAGCACACGACGAAACCTCGAGATTTGGCGCCAAAGTCAAGTTCATAAGGTAATTACTCTAAAACTCTTTCACTTGGGTGACAGATTTAGCTGTGAAGTCACTCCTTGAGTTGAAGGAAACTAAACATAATACTCCGGGACTCCTGTGCACTGTGAAAATGTTATAGAGCAGTTCATGAATCTTTGGAAATTTTCGATTTAGGCTCTGGATGTTCAAAACGCTAACAAGCAAAAATTATCCTGCCAACTGGCACAGTTCATACAACCGAAAGACGTATATATTCCAATCCCTGGTTTGACACTGGTCCGGGGCGTGTCTGGGATGATCTCTGCTACCCACCAGTTGATTGACAAGTATAGCTACCTAACCAAGGTATTCGTGGCCTGTGCCAAGTTCCATTAGCAGTTGCGCAGCTTTCTCTTTACACGGTGTTAAACGCACGGTAACTAATCTAATCATACTGAGCGAAGCAAAAAGAAAACATGTAATGCATCTTATTAGGGTCCGTGGCTGGACCTAGGCAGCTGCTATTTCAACTATTCGTTTTACCTTGAGGGTAAGTTTATCTCAAAGTAACTCATAAATCAAGCACTGCTGCTTTCTATCAGAATTCAAAGACCCTTCAGTCCATTAGAGTATCAGCGGACCTTCAGTTTTCGTACAAGTACACAGTAATTCACATCGTTTCCTTCAGATCATCTTCTGAATACACCTACCAAAGCGATGGTGGTGGTCCCCATGTAGTCGAGCGCTCGATGTAATACCCCTAGTCTCTGGTCTTTAGGTCTCTCCCTTCGTCTGCTTCCTTTTCGCAGAGTACTCGACACATGCAAAGATGAAAAAGATAAAGTGCAATCCCCTAGCGACAACAAGGTATGTCAGCTTCACTTCACATACATCATCAAGACTATGTCAACAACAAAGATGGACACGTACGCCACAGCAAAGGCCATATCCATGGCCAAAGTGACGCCGCGGTCAGCTTTCCTCACGATGTCACCATTTTCGCAGTCGTTCAATGGCTTGTCGACACAACCATGGGTAAAGTGAGCCGCTCCGTAGAGGAAAAGAGGGAGAAGGACGCAGATGGCGGCAGTGAAAATCTCGAGGGTGCCTCGGCCGAGCTCTGTGCAGCGACGCAATCGCTTCTTTGGGTCTGCAAGCGCGACCATTTCGGCAACATCTACGCCAAGCGCCCAGAAAGCCTAGGTATGGAATGTTAGGACCGGCGGGATGGGTGGATGGATGATGCAGCGCGTCGCCAATTGTAGTCTTTTTGTGCTTACCACGACGAAGGAGCTTGCCATTCCTTCCCCGTACCCGAACCCAAAACTCGTCGCATAGCTGGCCGCGGCAATGATCGCGATGCAGAGCACCAGAGAAAGAGAATGGAGCACAATCTGCCAGATGGCGTACTGCCCAGTGAGCCCGGAGCGCTCCATTCTGCGATTCTGGAAGGATAAATGAGTGGAACAACAAACAAACCGAGATCAGAATGAACCCGTGCTGGTTTGTCAGTTTGCTCCACCCTTTTAATCGTTTTCTGTGACGGGGGAGACAACCAGCGTCGCATTATACTAATTTCGCTCGACTCCGCTTTGCTTGCCGACCTGGACTGCAATTTGCTAGCCGGAGCGGCGAAGAAATCCTTCGTATTTGGGTAGGGCATAGTTATTCGAGGCGCTAATTATTGAATATGCGATTTTCCCCCTCATTTTCTCCGCGGACACCCTTTGGAATTGAGATTTGATCGATTAATTGATCCCGCCTTCGATCACGACCTGGGGTCACAGAGACGCGGAATGTCAAAGTTGTGGACGTTCGAGTCGAGATCTGCTAGCCTACGCTGGATCGCCAGGTTTTTAGAGCATGCATCCGTTGAGGGCTAGGCCGGTTGCGCTGGCTGTGTGATTGGCATACTTCCAACCACTCCTCTCTGTAGTACGCTAATAGGTACTGATTTGCCTCTTTTCAGGTCCCGAATTGGCTTTTAAGAGTTTTTGGAAACCTAACTAATTACTATGATAAGACCACTAGCTCAAGATTTCAAGCCGTGAGGGGCCGAGGGAAGTCGGCTTCGCTTGCCTAGTGTACTTACTATGCCCTCGTTATAGGTAGCATCTGAATACGAAAGCCGCCCTGTCTTGTGGTGGTCAAGAACAAAATTTCCGAGGGAGGTGCTTTATTTCCCAAAACATTTACGAAACTAATACTCCGTAGAGCTGGTCAGATCCGCGCGGGCGGGAGGTCTCTTCAACATACCCTTCTCGCCTGGTTCGACCACCCCTGGGACTACTCTCGAGGGCTACAAAAACTTCCTGACCAAGGAGCTTCCGACATGGTCAGGCCGGTTGATTCGTAAATATATCTTGGGATGATATAGGTACTTTAAGGTTATATTTAGCGCAGGCCGCTGGTTGGCTGAGTATGCCAAGTAAAAAAGGAAGGGTACTTCGACTTCCTAGTTAATTTGGTAGAAGGTGAAGTCCTTCGCAAATCAACTGACAGCTGCGATTTAACCCGTCTGACTAAGGGGCTTGCGACTTGGTCAGGGCGTTTTTGTAGCCCGAAGAGTACTAGTCTGGTGAAACGGAGCTCTCGTGGGCAGTGCGAGGCCAAGAGACTGAGAGATCGGATTGCGTTTTTCAAGTCTTCCAACAGCCTACCCATGCTCCCCGTGACGCGCTCCTTTGCAACAGAAGAAATCCTCTGTCTCGCCGGCGCCACCGCACCAAGACAGCACTGCTTATACACGAACCCGGATTCATACCAAAACTAGTCTAATCATAATCGAAATTGAAAGCACTCAAGTCGGTAATATAATTTTTCCTTTAGAAATTAGACTTTTCATATTTGCTATCGACGGTTACGTCTGCAAGACCACATTGAAGCTTCTAGTCTCTCTGACCATGTCGGACCGTGTTGTCACGCTAAAGTGTCGGTCACGACAAAGGTAATCTACACGAAGGAGCTGGGGGGAGGAAGCGCAAAGAATACAGGATAGATTCCATCTATCGAGCTTCGAAAATGGGGCGTGAATAGGTCACGAATCGTTTTGCGCCGAGCGGCGCTGCCAGTGCCTCATGGAGCCTCTCGTATCTATGATTATGTCTGCATGACTCTGTTTCGCTGTAATATGTCAGTCACGGCGGAGTTAAGGAACTAAGAGGGGAAAGTGACCTTTCCAATGGGGAGGTTCGTGAACTGCTGCGTGGATTGCTGCGAATCACCCGGCACTGGAGTGGCGTTTCCGTCGCAAGATTGTCTTCTCATGGTCTCTGTATGATCTAGGTTGAGAAACGGACATGACAGATTGGAGCACTCTGGAAAGAGTTTCACTTTCCCGAAGCAGTTATGGCGATGCCCTTGCGCTGGATCGCACTTTGCCAAAAGGCACCGAAACTCTCTTCCCCTACGGTTACCTCCGTCACGGCTGGTTTCACACGGTGGCCCCTCGACCCTTTTGAAGTCACAAAGAGATCACGACGAAGCAACGATGCAGGCTGGGATAGCTAATGATCCCGACTACTCTTAGCTCGCTCCAGCTCTGACAGGATCCTGGGATGAGAAAGCGGATCTCGCTCGCTGCGCACCTATAAGTTGCCTCTAGTATCCTGCTCTCAACAACCAACAGCCACCTTTTGGAGACCATTCTCATCATCAAGAACGCGCTTTGGACTCACCAATCACTTGCGCCTTCCACGAATCCACCCTGGCGGAATCGCCGCGAGCGCACAAAAGTGCAACTCCATACCAGACTGTCCTCTGCAACTCTTGCATCTCGGCCTCACAAAAACCTACAACAATACACTGAGGTACTTGCCCCCTTTGCGGACCAAGCCACGAACCGTCACGACTTTTATACAGATGCTAATTTCTGGTGCTCTCCAGAGTCACGGCTCAGCATTGCGATATGTGTAAAGATAAACATTACCAATTTACCTGCACCCACACAACGTACTGGCAGCTCGAAAGATGCAACGATTTCCCGCTGATATGCCAAGGTGCTACGACCAAAGAGTACCATCCCGTCCAAACGAAATGCTACGATTGCCTGTTCAGAGAGCAGCAGAGCCGCATGGCACCCCGGAACAGCGATTTGTATAAGCAGAAACGGAAGTCTAACAAAAAAATAATTGAGAGATATATAAAAGAGTTCTCTGATGATGCCAAGGACTCGCAATTGGCACATATATCTCTTTCTCGTTCTATAGGGCTTTGCTGGTCCCGCTTAGATTCTACCTTACCTCATCTTTGGTCTGGCCCGACTTCAAATTTCCGCCAGCCAACATAGAACAACCCTGTTTTGTGGTTAATTAGTGCAAATATGTCCGTAAGCCAATGGACGTTGTTTTTTTTGGGAGACTTACCAAAATGGCGCTGACGAGATAGGTGAAGGACACGATAAACGAGAAAGCCAAAACAGCTCTCCACTGACCACACCCATCGTAATTGATGTCGCCGGGCCCTAGGACGGGAAACGGATAGTACCGCTAGCTGCCCCAATAATATTCCCAATAGCTCCAGTACCAATACGAGCCGCATGTATCCGTACCCGAACGCTAGACACGATATACTGGTTAATATCCAGTCATCGAGTAGTTAGGGACGCCCTGTTTCTTGGTTGCTTACCACTATTAAAAGGCAGAAAGCAACAAGCCACGTCACAAAGAGCACGAAGTCGGCTGGAAGTGCTAGGAACGCGTGCATGAACGGCGGCATGAACAATATTGAGTATAGGGTGCTGATTACGGCGAAGGAGATGGCGTATATAACGCGCCCATCGTGCTCAGCTCCCGCCTTGGTGAGCAGATGGAGAAAGCGGGCGAGAATGCCGAGAATAATGACCGAGAGATGAGTTCCCACAACCGCAGGGCTACCATGAGATACTTGGATACGAACCCCATTGTGTCTTCTTTTGTCGTAGTTCTGGATGGCTCTTGAGATCTACCGCACTTCACGTCTTGCGCGGAATTCTTGAGCGAGTACCCTGCCAGGTGTGCAATTGGACACTGCGATGTTTTATGGCGGGGTTTTCTTGGAATAAATATGAATCGGGCCCTAAATTATCAGGAGACTGCTCGTTCTCATATCATTTCAAATTTGTTTTCTTGTTGAAGCTGTCCCGGGCACATCGTTCCGTTTTCGCAGGACCAACTCCGGAAGCAGACGTGACGTAGCTATTTCAACCATAATGCTTGCTTACCACAACAAAGACATATTTGCACCATGTTTCCATGAGGGTCAAAATGAGCGCCTTTACGTTGGAATATTGTTCTAGCATCTGTAAATGTTATTTGTGTTTTGGACGAAAAACCACTGATTCCTCTATTACTCCATGTAAAGCTGAATCTTGAAGTTCATACCCATACATGGGTACTCGCGTACTGTGACTTTGAAATCGGCTCTTGAAATATCATTCCACTCACTCGACGTGTATCTAGCTATAAACAATCGGCCAAGTACCTCACAAACAGCGAAGCTACAAACCATCAAAGCTAAATGAGTAGCCTTTGAGCTATCTATTTTAATTAGTAGTCCGGTTGGCGGGCCGCTCACCATCACCCCAGCTGCATTAGTGAGACCTATGTCAAACTAAAGGCCGTTGAACTTAAACTTACTGGTCGACACGGCAACACTACAGGTGCCCCTACAATATCCATATTTCACTAGGAGCCGATAATGGTGGGGACTCCCAAACCAGGACAAGCTAAACTAAGTGGCATTGCGTCACACAAGCCAGACTTGGTGGCAAAGAGAAGCACTGCCCAGGGCGGCGGCACTAAAACAGGGACCAAGGTAAGCCAGCTGTCAACATGAAACTATAGATTTTGCTTGGTGCGTCATTCAACCCAATTCCGGGCTGGCGGGTTTGTCAGCCCCAACTTTAGTTTCAGCGTCGGAACTATACCCAAATGCGAAGGTAGCCGGCGCGGGAAACTCTGCGTCGGGGGAGACGGGTTTAGCTTTGGTAAGGATGCCCTGCCTTATTAACCTTGCGTTTTTCATAAGACTTGATGTCATTGGAGCGTGGATCGACACCGACACCGACATTTTATGTTTTTTCCCTCCTGTGTGGCATTGCTTAACGGGAGCGGAAAAGGGCCCGAAGAGGAAGGAAAGGAAATTGGGTTGACGGGAAAGAAGGAGAAACAGACATGAGAGGACCCGTGGGGCGGCCGGGAGCACAAGACAAGACCAAAAAAAAGGCTGGTCCCGGAATTTGCGTCCAGTACCGACTGGAGATTACACACACGAAGCAACCCGAGTGGCTCGAACCCCGTCCATAGCTGGCACCAACTAGTACACATGTGGGTTACACAAACCTCCAAAAGCCAAAAAAAAAAGGCACCCCGGGCGGGGACAGAACGAACCTGCACCCGGAACTCCTATTTCGGGCCTCGGAACTCGGGAGAACAAGAGGAGAATGTGAACGAGAACGGGTAAAATGGATCGCAGTTTCCGCTATTGGGAATTATGCCCTCTCACCCCTCCCCAGGGACCAAGCCCAGGGCACATCAAGGTACGTGTGCAGGATGGGTTATTTTTGGCCAGAGGTCAAGAAGGCGAAAGGGCGGGCGGGAGCGCGCAGATCTCCAAGCTGTCTTATAGGCATTTAGATCCCTATCCAATGGATGCTGCTCGGTTGCCGATGTCTGACCGGGACAGTGCAGGTGCCCCTGGTTGTTGTATTTCTAATCTCTCCTTTCCTCTCTCTTTTCCCGAGGTTGCTGAGTATACGGATGATCAGCAAGCAGAAGATTGAGAGTGGAATGGCTGGAACTTCCGTCCTGTTACAAATTCTCGCCTCGACCATTAACATGCCCGTGATAGTAACTCATTGGGGCTGCCAACTTGATCAAGGGTCTCAATCGCTGGCTTGCAAATAAAAAGACGAAGTGCTTCGCTTCTGCAGTTGCATCGCCTTGTACCTAGGTAGTTTGCATGGCGCAGTTGTGCAAAGCTTTCGGGAGCAAGCGACTGATGGGCAGGTACTAGTGCCTGTACACACCAAGGAAGGAGCGCTGCTGGCAAATGCACGATGCATCCATTGGATGGAAGACAGACTCGGGCCAACGCTCGCTACAGACATGTGTATTCTCCAATGGGGCGGCAGACTGTCTGTCCACGGCCGCTCTGTCTGCGTCACCTACCTTACCTTAGTATCTCGCTCAAGACTGGATGATACGGTGCACACAGACCTATGCTGTGCGGCGGCGGTCTCGCGGGTAGGTAAGGTGAGATAGGTTAAAGTACTTCAGTGAGGATACTCCAGGGAATCCTCCCAGGGACTGTCTTTAGCTTGGGACCAGTATAGGCCACTTGCTCGACTGATTGTGCCCGAGTCGCACAAAAGATGCGTCGTGCGTTGTCCACGTCCCATTCCTTCTCACCGCACTCACCTACAAATCCATGTGCCTGACCTACCAAAAACAAGCGACCCAATCGGGGGCTTGAGAATTGGGGCCATTCGGCTCCGGGAGAGGCAGTCGTTGCAGGCCCCTTCCTTCCTGGATCGTTTGCCGAGGTACCCCGGGTACATAGCCTGATACCTTATCTCGCCTTGCGGAGTACCTTGGCCATTCATCACTGCGTACACCTCAAGAAGTGCGACAAGCCCTCCTCAACTCCTGCACTGGGCCGTCTGTGCAATCCGCCATCTCCTCCATCATACCTCCGTCATAAACCCTCTTCGCTCCCAAGGTCTTTCTTGGCTTCTATGGAAGGCTGCAACGGCAGGCGGGAATCGGAAAGCTTGCTCACCCGGGCAACCTGTTTTGTCCGGGTATTATTTGGCGAGGTATTGGATCACCACTAATATTCCCGCACTGATGTACACCAATAACCTTGCTTTTCCCTATAACTGGGGCTCTTATTACACCCCCCCCCCCCTGCGAATGCCGCATGGGTTTCGTTTCGATGGGACAGACCTGGATCTCCTCCCCCGCACACGTGCAACGCGTTCCCGCGTTCTCGCGTGCGATGGGCTGGCTGGCTTGCTGGCTACCTACCTTACCTTTCTCCCTCCCTGCCCCGCGCTGTTAAGGAGAAATACGAAAAGAGTGAGACCAAGCTGCTGGCGCCCGGCCAAGGGCGACGGGACAAGCTCCAACTGGACGCCACGTGTTTCGTATCCCGCAAGCTACAAAAATCGTGACTTTCTCACAAAGAGAAACTATTAAGGGTGCAAGCTTTGCGATCTTGATAAGCTGGGGAAGGTCGTGGCCAAACGGCGAGGGACGTCTATGAGAGGGAGTAACGGTGCACTACGGCTGGACGACCCACGAGTCGTACCTGTTGCACATATCCTCACTTTGTGGCCATCTCTACCCCAGTTAAGACGCCAGTCACTGGCGTGCGAATCGCTGTACGTTGAATGCTTTATACAACACCCTTCTCGTCATATTCAAAGCTACTTGGTAACATTGAGCCCTAGGTAGCCCCACTGCCCCCAAACCCTCCGAGCCTGCCTCAGCAAGAGACCTGCCTCCCTGATGTCTAAGGCCGTACATCCCCATTAAGGGTGTCTCGCTTGTGGAAACACGTTGGACACAACATGGCATGGTGTACAAAATAGGTAGCGCAGACGGCAAGCTGCCTTTCTCCTCCTTTTTTCCCACAAACAACCAGAGCCGAGCCATACCCCATCCCCAAGCTCTGTACAGCTTGACTAGAAACCCCAACCCAAAGTTATGAAATATGCTGTGAGCCGTGGACCCCGCTATCCGTCTATTTCGAGTAGGTCTCATACCATAATTCTTTTTCGACCCGTCCCGCTTCGTACCATCTGAACGGGGAGCCCAGAGAAAGTAAGTAACCAACAAGAGAGATACATATACATACATGTATTTACAGAGAGCGGCACCGCGTCGCCGTCTCGGAACCCAATAATGTCTAGATAACAAATAGTAAATTTTAAACAGTAATGTGTAAGACCCAAAGCTGTCGCAGTGGCAGACGTGTGGAAAGACAAAAGGACGCCGGTACGCCACGTCCAGGCGTTCAAGTACCAAGAATACTAAGGAGCGACGCCAGCATAGGCCGGTGGGGTATCTCAAGCTGGAATAATGACTAGACAAAAGGAATGAGGGAGAAAAAAATGAAATGCGTAATATGCAAAGAAAGGATGACGCATGTCCCACGTAGCGTCGTACACTTCATAAGGTTGTCGTGTGGTCTCGGCGGGAGTCTGCGAGGTTCAGACTTCTCGGGCAAACCACTTCTCCATGGGGACGTGGGCCAAAGGGCGAATCGGACAAAAAGATGGCAGGGTTCCAGGTTGTTCTCACTTCCGAAAACCCACTTTCTCGGCAAGATTCTTGAGCCAACCCGACGCGCTGTTCTTTTTCTCGTCATGGCTGTCTCGTGCCATGACTGCGTCACGCGCCATTGGCCCGACGATGTCCTCGTCTCCACGTTCTGGAAACTTGCCCTCGTCGCTGAGCATCCTGGGGATGGCGGCCGGGAGCATCTCCTCGGCAGCGCGTCGTAGCCGGAGGGTTGTTAGAGCCTCCCCGTTTCCGTTCGGGTCCAGGCGATGGATGAGGTCGTCCTCAGCGCGGCGCCATTCCTGCTCTATCTCCGTCCATTTCGCTTCGGTAAGCAGATAGGTTTTGGAGGTGCAGCTGTAGTGCTCTGCAGTACGCGCGAGATGCTTGGTGTAGTTGGTCCTGGCCTGGTCCCAGTCGGCGCGGAATGCCTGTAGGATGGCGAGGTCGGCTGTCTCCGGTACGTAAGGCTTGGGCTCAATGGTGAAATTTGCATGCCCAAGGCGATCGGACCAAGCGTCGTGGTGATCGAGTAGATATGGAATCGGGGAAGAGACATCGCTGAACGTGCTAGAAACAGTCCCGCGACGGAAGGAGGAGATGGAGGCTTTAGCGCTCAGAGGCGGAGTGGGATAGGGCTGTGTGGGATAGGGCTGTGTGGGATAGCTCGGAGGTGACTGGAGTTCTTGGACTGGAGAGGGCGCGATGGCAGGGGATTGCAAAGGCGAGGCCTGCAGCGAGTGCGCCGGCGCGTGACATGAAGATGTGTCTGTTAAAAGCGGCGGCAGCAGGGGGGTGGTAGCCATGGAGCGGTCCCGTTCCAGGCTCTTGCCCACAGTTGCTTGGGCTATCTCGAGCGGTGAAGGTAGAACTACGCTCTCGGAACTCTCGTAAAACGAGAGCGCAGGGGTTGCTGGCAGGGGCGGCTCAGCAGACCGGTCCAGAGGCCCATGGGTTGGGACTGAGATGGACGAGGACCTGCTGGACGCAGCACGGGAGAAGCTGGGGCGCTGGTCCAAGGAGGGATCCGAAGCCGGGGAAAAGGTAAACTGATTGCGCCTCGATGTGGATCGCCAGCGTGGGAGGTTGCCCAGCCTTGACCCCAATCTCGTGCCCCAGCCCGAGAAACCTGCGTCGGACCCATGGCGCCTCTTCTTTTGCCTCGGGCTCCCATTGAAGTCACTGTCGCTAAGAAAGCCGAGGTCGCAGTAGAGCTCTGAACCCATGTACGGATACATGGACGTGCTCTGGACGAGGTCATTGTGGTCACACGGCTCGTCGCCTGTTTGCGCCAACAGGTTAGCAAGAGAGAAGGGAAGGCAATGGCGCGCGCCACCTACACAGACAGCTGTAGAGACCAAACACGCTCAGTGGAACACCCTCGTCCTCTCTCTCGAGCGGGTCCTCCTGAACGTCTGGAAGCTGCGATTTGGTGTTTTTGGCCGCGTTGGTGGGCTGCGAGGGCGAAGCGGGACTATCTGAAGTGGACGAGGCAGCCATGTCTAGGGACGAGACGGAGCCTGAATATCTCGGGAAGGCGCTGCGTGGGAACGTAGGGGTGATGGGAGACAGCGACGCGATGTCGGACGCGGACGAGTTTGCGATTTGGGACGGCATGCACGCATCTTCGGAATCGTGAATTTGTTGCAGCTCCTGGTGCAGCTCCTGGTGCAGCTCCATGTATAGCTCCTGCTTCTTCCGCTCCTCCACCAGCTGCGGGAGAATCAAGGGTTTCAGTCCCGGCGACATGGCGGGCCGCGAGGCGTCAGTGACACGGCAAGTGCGCGGGTTCGAAGGCGTCGAGAATCGGAAGGGCGGTCATTCAATGTACGATTTCAGAGTTTTGGCAAGTGGTGAGTCGAGATGGGTGGGAATAGAGGTGGCGGGGTAGGTGCTATTTGTTATTGGGGGTTCGGACGACACAGCAGAGCACGGCAACGAGCGCCAGCAAAGTCGTGGCACTGCTCTGATGGGCAGGTGCGTGTGGGGGAGAATTGGGTTCCACCTCAGTGTGCGTTGGGAATTTTTTTCTGCTGTGGGGCTGCCGGGGTGCTGCTAGGGTGCTAGGGTGCTAGGGTGCTGGGGTGCTGGGTGCTGGGGGCAGGATTGCGCGAGCCCGGCACAGGGACTGCCCAGCCCGGTCCAGGCAGCGGGAGGAGGGAAACGCTCCCCAAAACAGGACAGGCCAGTGCGGGACGAAACGCTGGGCTGGCGACTGGGCGAATGTATGACGAAAGAACGTTGTTCTAATTCAGAGCCGCGGCAAAGCAAACGCCGATCGTCACCAACAATAACAACAACACAACAAAAAAGTTATTTTCTGCCCTCTGCCCAAGTACGTAGGTTATCGCGCTCTAGACGGCCGCCAGGCTTGCACTTATATGGTCGCGCTCCACATGCTATGCTTTTGCCGATGCCTCGTGTGCCCGTGTGTCTGGGTCGCTGCTGCCACTCCCAGGCCAGGTCACGTCACGTCAGGATCCCAAGGAGTCGCACGCCGGGAAACACTTGCTGCTAGTTGCAAGTCGGCTTGGTTTAGGCTCTGCCTCGCCGGGTCTGTACGGCGAATGAAGCTTTCCTCGACTGCCCCCCAACTTGGCTGCTTCAGCATGAGAGGGGGTCAGGCAGTGGCTGACAAGAGACCCTTTGCCTTGTCGCTTCTTCGTTCTGCCTCGTCGCCGAGCCCTCGTTAGTCAATGGGCACGGGAATCACGAGTCCATACGTGGGTGGTCGAAAACCGGAGTCTCAGTTGACTGTCGTACCGGACTGGCACCACGTGTAATCGGGCGCGGCAGGCTGGAATGGCGTCGGGCGTGGGGTTGGTGGAGGGGGCTTGGGATGGCTGGCCTTCCGATCTGGCCTTGGGGCTCGCTTGCGGCCTCACTGGAACACTGGAACACTGTCACTGGCAGCCGACGGCCCACGACCAATCAATCTTCGCTAACACGTCGCTGCCCCGACAAAACCTCGGCGCTCCTGCCGCGAGGTTGTCGTGAATCGTGACGGGGGAAGAATTGCAACGTCGAATGTCCAATCGACAGCGAACTCACAACCCCGTGAATTGCGAAACTCAGAAACAGACTGATCCAGCCCGACCGCTTGAAAGGGCCTCTGGCGGCGGCACTCAGGGAAAGCCCGCGACTCCGTGGAGGAAGGATCAGATTCACTGGAGAGTCGGTTGTGATTGCTGTCTGATGGCTGCAACGGTGACAGGAGTCGTGAATGGCCTCGGCCTCAATATATCGTCTGCCGGCGTGCTGCGAGTCGTGTGTTCACGCCAGGTTGGACGAGAGGTAGGGGGGGGGATTGCCGAAAGCTCTGTACGTAATTGCAGACAGGAGTCTGCTTTAGAAGACACACGGGGGGTTCTCGAAAGAAATTGGTGGACTGGAATGCACCTGGGTGAGAGCAGAGGCAACCAAAGGGTGGGACGGAAGAGGCATCTCGACGAATGCATCCTAACAAACAGAACCCAGAGGAAGCTAGACTTCCAGGTCGCGGCGCGAATATCTACAGTACGCAGTTCTCCGAACACGGATTCCCTTACTACCTTGATGTCCTACCCTACTCGAGGGCGGGTGATGCTGCAGCGGGCGCTGGCGGAGAGCCTAGCGCCAAGGAGTTAGGTGATTGCTCCCGCATCTTGTTCGTCCGAAGGAGCTTTGTAGCAGTGACGGGACTTCTCGTCAGGTTGCTGGGTGAGGTGGCTTTGGGTCCAGTTCAGGTTGTGGGGCTTTGACCCAAGCGATCCAGCCAAGGAAGCCAAAGGAAGCTACAGTGTATGGAATTTGCTGTTTGCGCCTTTCCTGTTTAGGCCACGGCTGCCAGGACCGCAAGACCGCAACAGTCATCAGCTGGCAGCCACTGCCATGGATTTCAGCTGACGGGAATGTAAACTAACTGTTCTGAGGCTTCCGGCTCGTTACGTTTGCAAGGCATGCGAAGGGTTTTCAGGGCCAAGTCGAAGTCGAAAAGTTGGAATTCAAGTCACAATTGAGACGCGATCACATGAAACTCCTACCCACGGAGGATCAGGTTTGCTGTCCTGTTTGCTGATGGATCCAAATTCCGGGAAGCAACATTTCCATTTTACATCGTTAGCCGCCCCTACTGGCTTGACCTTTCGGGGAGTACTGTTGTGGCGGAACAATCCCGAAGAGTGAAGGAAAGGAAAGATATAACACGAAGTAGAAACCAAAAGAGACAGTTTGAAAGTGCCAACTCGACTTGTTGGCTATGGTCGGCACTGCCTGGCCAAGCATGAGAGCTGGGGCGGATGAAGAACGTTTTCCGTATGTGATGTGGCCCGTCATGTCGTTCTCTCCTCCTGGAGCAGAGTGCTGGTGGAAGACGACGCGGTAGGGAGGACTCCTTATTCCGAAATCCATAGACCGTCCACCGGGTTTGCGAACTGTCTACGTTTACATTTACGCACGGCTTGATGATTCTCGAGGCCAAAGCCGCCATACCAACGGACAGATTCATGCCTTTGCCTCGGCAGGAGCGAGCTTTCCTGTATTCGTAGCCGGCCACATTAGAGATTTAAGGTAGGTAGCGTGCGCACGCTTATTGCTTATGGAGCTGCGAGACGAAGCCATATGATGCGGTGATGTGATGTGATGTGATGCCGTCCACGCTGCAATAATTGCTCTCATGGGATTGGCGTTGGATGGCGGTCGAAGTGGGAACAAGAGTCTGGAACTGGCCGGATCCTGGATCCGTTCGGATCAAGAGAACTCGCCTTCGTTCCGAACCCCACCTCGGTGAAAATTTGCACCTGGTCGCTAGCGGGGTTCCGACCGAGGATTGAACCGCCCCACCTGTAGCTTCCAGGAATCCACCAAGCCACGCACAGCCCACCCGCCAAAACACTTCAAATCTGCGGAAGATGCTGAGTCCCATTCTGCGTGCGAAAGGGTCGGAGGGTAGAATGCTGAAAGTCCTTTTCTTCGCTAAAAGTCGCAACATAGTCCAACCACACCAGATCCGTCCCGGCTCGATGAATCCCTGGTCGCCCTCGGCGGGCTCCAATGGCCGTTTTTTTTCTTCTTTAGCGGTGTTTAGTCATGAAGCCATAGAGTCCACCATTCCAACAAAACGGCCACGATTTGCAGAGACGGCGCAGTCAAGCAGCCACACTACATCTCCAGCATACCGCTTGAGGTCACTGTTTCTTGTCATGCCCTAGTTCTTCGGCGCCGTCTGCACTTTGAGGAGGCGCAATGGCAAACGGCAGTCCCTCTCTATTTTTGGTGGAGACCAACAGGACCGCCCCCAGATGACAATTCCGAGCACACTTCTCCAGCAACACTTTGCGCCAACTCCACCCGCAGACATAGCATCCATCTCGGGGGCAGCCCCTCAGGTTTGGCACGGAGACATTCCGTATTCTGGCCAGGCAGTACCCATCTCCCATATTGCAGTACCTCGGGGGCAGGAGCCGAATACCTACCCGTCCTAACACAGTAACCTACCTACCTAGGTGCTCCGTACTACGTATATGCGCTAAAACGGTGAAGCCAACTAGTTCTTTATACGTATTGTTGCAGAACCAACTACCTACCTAGGTACGTAGGTCAAAGGCTTTGTTGATAAGATACTACCGAGCCCGTCTTCGCCGTTGTAGCTAAAGGTTTACGCCGCGAGAACGAGACGCCAAAAGCACATGCCATGCACGACCTAGCAGTTAGCTGGCGAGCATGTACTAAGAATGGATTTTGGGCTTGCGGTGTTCACAGGTACCGCGCCCTCTTTGGGCCAGGAGCCAGAAGCCGAGAACCTAAAGGGTCGGGCCCGTGGCTCAACTTGGACCCTTCTTCGACGTTGCCTCCCCAGGACAGCAATCTGGGAGGGGAGGCTCTATATTCGACGCTTCTTATTGGCTAGGCGGTTTCGCGTACCTTGCACAAGCGTCTTTTGCCGATTGTTGGGACTGTGCTGTGCCAACGCCAACCCCCCCCCGCCCCTCCCATCCTTCATCCCGTCTTGCCCGTCCTGTCCGTCAAGAATGACCCATACGACCATTGCGACAAGAGCAGACTCCGACTTTGCCCTGTGCGAGGGACCGTGCCGTCCGGACCGCCTGCCGTCCCCAGCTTGTTGTTGCCTTGTTAAACCTGTAATCTGGACGGCCCGTGCGGCCAATCAATTTGTCCGCCCTCCTGCCGCACTTCCTTCATTCCCAGGTCCCCCGAATCCCATTCGCAACTTCCCCGGCCAGACAAGAGTGAAGAAGCGGGTTGAAGGCTTCCATTCTCTGGATATGGAGTACGGTCGCGTGTTTCCCAAAACCCATGTCCTGTGAGTCGGCGTTCGGAGCCTAAACTCGGATGGCATTGCTGCCGCCAAGACATGTTCCGTTGCATCGTCAGCACCCGGGCTCTTCAGGCCCGCGCCCCATCATATCCCAAGCTTTACTCCTCTGCCTCTCACGGCCGGCAATTGTTCTCGCGACAGCGCAGCCAACATGCAGTCAACATGGTGTAGAATTGCGCAAGGTTCTCGTTGCTCGACGCTCAGTCGAGGCCCCCTGTATCGCATGCAAACAACATTACGCCCTGCCGTAGGGCTCGTTCGCCCTCGCCCTCCGCCAGAGCAGAGCAACACGGCACAGTCACTGCGGCCTCTGTTTCAGCCACCGCAGTGCTTATGGGACCAAGGGAAGAATCAAGCACCTACGCCGCGCGCCAAAAAAAAAAAAAAAAAAAAAGTGGCGCAAGAGGAGGTGCGGAAAGCGCCGACATCAGAAGGACCCGTACATGGTTGTATTCAGTCATCGCGTTGCGGCTCGGAACCGACTCAGTAAACCCGGCGTTAGAGGGCCTTTGTTGGGCTCGTGCGACCTACATTCGCCACGTTCGCCGTCAATATCTTTCTGCGGGGCAAGGCCCCGGCGATGGGACGAGACTGGACAATGGCCTGGGTCGAGAGAGCTCGGAGGTGCAGCTGGCTCCGCAGCTTCAGAGTGCTCACGAGATGCGCCGGGCTCTGCGACGTGGCCATGAACTCTCAGTTCATCCAGGACGCTGCCACTCATGTCTGCCGAGATCGGTACCATGAGGGCCCCAATTTGACTTACTTGCCTGTACTTACTTGCCTGTGCCTGGCTCGAACGGTTTGTCGGGGGAGCGTATCATTGGCCTCCACATTCGTACTCAGTGCTCTATTCCCACCTAGGTACTCACAACCTGATACCACCAAATGGTGAGCACATCGCTACACCAGAGGCCATTACGCCTCCAATGATGGACGGCCCTTGTTCATTATCACCATATGTCCTTCTCCCACCCGCCCCCTTCCGTCTACATACGTAGCACGACCTTGTATGCTGGTAGTTCCCAGCTGCGTTGCTGGGGCCAAGGCGTGAGCTCTCCGACCCAACGGTATGTCCTGCATGCGGGGGTGAGCCACAGTCCAAGCCGTTGCGCGCTCAATCGGGCACAAAGAGCCCTAAGGCCGGCTAAGGTAGCTTCGTCCCTGGAAATTGCCAGAATAAATGGCACGGCCCTGTGTGCCCAAAATGCAGAAGTCGAGACAGAGGCTTCTTAATCGCGCAATTGACAACTCACGCTGCGAAGGAGACGATTGACCGGCCGCCATGTGGTACTTGATTGAGCAGTGTCACCCTCACGGCCATTGCCATTCGGCAGAGCTCGCGTTCCTTGCATTAGCCCGCCTCGCCCGCTGTCTTGGAGGGGCGCCAGCCCTAGCCATTCGCCGCACCGGGTGCCTGGACAATCGGCTTTCAACACGCTTTCCCGCACACCTCCCCCCCCAAGCGGTCAACTTCCCCTTTCCATTTCAGGTTTTTCTTTTTCATGTCTCTTCTTTTTTTTTCTTTTTTTTTAAGGATACCTGCCTGCTCTTGCATCTACCGTGTGCTGTGTAACGAGGGTGGGTGGACAAAGGCCCGTACCTCCTTCCGTACGAGTTACGTTATTTGGGCTCACAATGGATGGGGAAGGGGCGGGGACCTCCCGCTCCCTCCCGCTCCCGGCCATTTTCTCAAGTGGGCCTCAACGTCGCGGTATCCTCATGTCAGATGCTAAGCCGAAGTCGAGCCATACTTTGCCGGCATTGGCGCTCACTCTATGACTGCTGCATCGAGAAGAAAACTCTTTCCCTTCTAGCCAACTAGCAGCCCCCTTCCTCCCCACACCCACCACTCTTCCGCAAGGACGCGTAATACCATTAGTAGGTACCTCTAGACTGAGATGTTTCCCGCCTACTCGCCGCCCTCTCCGTCCAATACGGCCTGCCAATGTACGCCGCCATTATTAACAATACTCTGAGCCGAGATACCAGCGAGGTCCCCATCCCCGCTGAACCGAGGAGAGACAACGACGGCCCTAGTGTGATACCGCCAGCTCACCCACCAAGGAGGAAAAAGAAAATGGTGAATGAAATTTTCAGTCCCACACGTGAACCAGAGCTTGCTACATTGGGGGTCCGATTTTATGTAATTGGATGAGACTGCAGTCACGTCCACACTTTTTCCAGCCACGGATCTCGTGGCAGCACGTAGTCATGTCCACGACTGAGACTCGGTGATTTCGAAAGCTGCCCGTCCGTCGGTAAGCTAAGAGGTTTGTGTGAACCATGCTTGTCGATGCTCATTATTTTTAGTACCCAAAGAGGCCCCCCCATTAAGGGGCTTTCTACGCCATCAATGACCCCCAACCAGCAAAACTTTACATTGCTGCAGGTACGCAAAGGGCGCATTTCTGTGCACATGCATCACAGCTGCTACCCCCCACCCGCAGCCAGCGGCGTGAAGAGCCCCCTACGCCGTTGTCAAGCGCGCCATGTTGTACGTCTGAATAAGCACCGCGGTAGTTGTGCTGTTCTAATTTCCCTGTGCTCGAGCACGTGCGGCGTCTGCATATCTCAACATGTATACTTCATTTGTTTTGTTTTATCTTATCTTGTTTGCCTGTACTAGCCCCCAGCTAGGCCATGAAACACTACTAGAACGTTGAGATCTGGCACAGTCGGCCGATCTAATCGGCTACCGACGTCGACACGTCACGTCACAGATCGGTGTGTGGGAAAGGTGTGTCGCTAGCCACGTGCAGCCACCGTAGGCGTGTCGTATAATCGAGTCTATTGTTGTCTGGCTTGCCAGGATCTTGACTACTTCTGGCTGGTCAGATGCATTCGAAGCTAGCAGTTTGTTACAGTTAGGTCAACGCTCAGCTACACGGAAATCGATTGCACAGATTATATCTTGTTTAGATAGTAGCGGTCTGCTGGGTTTAGCTGGCTTCAATGAGAGAGGGCCAAATGGTTAACTCGCCAAGTTGCCTAAGGTAATTGAGACTTTGTAACTTGACATGAAGCCAGGTAAGGTAGGCAGTTACGGTTTCGTTCATCTGTGGTTCAATGACATTTCTCATGATTAACCTTGCTCCAATGGTTCCTTGTAGCTGGTTTCGCATCAATGCAGAATTTTTCCATGCGAGATTGGGCATACTCTCAGCAGATCTCTGAATCGTCACTCCATTTCAAACGAGTTAGGAATTGGGGAACGAGTAGCATAGCACAAGAGTTTTCAAGAGTTTTTATGAAGGTTAATTATTGTGCCACGTGTTGTTGTCACTATCATCTAATCATCCAAAATAGTTGCAAGTTAATTTTCTAAGTGGCATGGCTCTTAGATGGAGTCTTATCAAATTCAACTGTAGTACGTCTTACATGGAACTATTTTTACCGAGTGTCGTTGTTCCGAGGCTTCTGTTTTATTATCTCTTAACTCACCTCAGTTCAAGATATCGCATAATCAAAGTTGCAATCAGTGCACTAACCCCCTCATGCCTTTGAATAAATAGGTAACGTTATATCAACTCCATTATTGCCTGCCTAGGATATATGCGAGTCCCCCTAACTTGATAATGGCCAGGAAGGTGTTTTACTTGCCTCGCTTGCTTACCTACTCGGGTAAGGCGGCAGCCAACTTTGAGACAGTTTGAAGCTCATATGGCGTCATTTGGGCAAATGATACCCCGCCGGTTCTCCCCGCAACCAAAACACTATGTTCTATGTGAAACACAATACCAACGTCGGAAAGCGGTTTAATAGGGGGTATATGACCAGGTAAAGAAAACACTGGGTTCAAATACAGGTCTGACCCGGTCCAAAGACCAGCGCCGTCGTTTCGATACCTCTCCCACTTGCCAGGCAATCCCGCGCAGCATCGCCGCCAATGGACACGGACGGTGGTGATCAAAAGGCAGGTGCCCAACCAACTTCAACCACATCGACAGGGCAAAACGCCGACTACGACCTCTCAACCCCGCTAGGCACAAATGGCGTAGGCCTGCGGCAGAACCTCACGGCATACGGGGATGCGCACTTCTCGCTCTTCATGCGCAAGCTCTTCATCAAGGCGCTCGGCTACAGCGAGGACGCGCTGTCCCGGCCCATCATCGGCATCGTGAACACGTACTCAAGCTTCAACCCGTGCCACTCCAACATCCCGCAGCTCATCGACGCCGTCAAGCGCGGCGTGCAGCTCAACGGCGGCCTGGCCATCGACTTCCCCACCATCAGCCTACACGAGTCGTTTGCCGCGCCGACGAGCATGTACCTGCGCAACCTGATGAGTATGGACACGGAGGAAATGATCCAGGCCCAGCCGATCGATGCCGTAGTTCTCATTGGAGGTGCGTGGGGACGGAGTGCCGTGTCTTGCTGTCGCTTCCGAGGAAGATCTCTGCTGCAAGTCTGAAGCGCTGGCTGACAGTTGCGATGTGGTCTCGCCGGTGTCGAAGGCTGCGACAAGACCACGCCGGCACAGCTCATGGGCGGCATCTCGGCCAATAAGCCCATCATCCATCTCGTCACGGGGCCCATGATGCCCGGCAGCTTCCAAGGCGTTCGCATCGGCGCGTGTACGGACTGCAGGAGCAACTGGGCCAAGTTCAGGGCTGGCACGCTCGACATTGAAGACATTTCGGCCCTCAACGAGGAGCTCGCGCCGACGGTAACTAGACCCGATATGTGTCCCTATTCTTCTTTTTCCTTTCTTCCACCTCGTCCCCCATGATTCTCAGCATACTGCTCTGCTGCGGGTTGAGAGACAGTCGCTTACGTGCTAGCTGCGGCGCATGGACGTTAGGGAGGCACCTGTGGTGTCATGGGCACGGCTAGCACCATGGCGTGTATCCTCGTAGCTCTCGGGATGATGCCCATCCACGGGGCGACGGCACCGGCCGTGTCATCAGCCCGACTGCGCATCTCCGAATCGACGGGGGCGTATGCCGTGCAGCTGGCCAAGCAGCAGCTGCGCCCGCAGACGTTGCTAACGCGCGAGTCCTTTATCAACGCTATCACCGTGCTCCAGGCCATCGGCGGGTCGACCAACGCCGTGGTCCATCTCATGGCCGTTGCGGGGCGGCACCCGGCCGTCGCCGGCACCATCGGGCTCGACACCGTCGACGACATTGGCCGCACCACGCCGCTGCTCGTCGATCTCAAGCCGAGCGGCGAGAACTACATGACCGACTTCCACAACGCCGGCGGCATGCTCGCCCTGCTGCACGAGCTCAAACCGCTGCTGCACCTCGACGCCCTCACCATCACGGGCCGCACGCTGGGCCAAGAACTCGCGCAGACGCCGTTCCGGCCCCTGCCACCGCACAGCCCTGCCAACTGCATCCACCCGCTCGCGACACCGCTGTACCCCGCCTCGTCGCTCGTCGTGTTCCAGAACGGCAACCTGGCGCGCGGCGGGGCCGTGACCAAGGCCAGCGCGTCCAAGGACCACCGGCTGCTGCAGCACCAGGGGCGGGCGGTCGTGTTTAGCGGGTCGGCGGACCTGGCACGGCGCATCGACGACTCCGACCTCGACGTCGACGCCGACAGCGTGCTGGTTCTGCAGCACATTGGGCCCGTGGGGAACCCGGGCATGCCCGAGGCCGGGCTGGTGCCGATTCCACGCAAACTTGCGGCGCTGGGCGTGGGTGACATGCTGCGCATCTCGGACGGCCGCATGAGCGGCACCGCCGGCGGCACCATCGTGCTGCACGTGTCGCCTGAGGCTGCGGACCCGGCGTCGGTGCTCGGCATTGTGCGCGACGGCGACGTCATTGTCTGCGACGTCGAGCGGCGCCTGCTGAGCGTCGAGCTTAGCGACGACGAGATCCGCAGGCGCCAGGACGAGCGCCGCCAAGAGCAGAAGAGACCCGGTGCCGCGGCGACCCCGTGGCAGACACGCAAGGCCGCCAGGGGGTATCGTGGCCTGTACATGCGCGAGGTGAACCAGGCTGAGCACGGTGCTGACTTTGACTTCTTGACGGCTGCCGGCCCGGGGGGCGCATGAATAGGGGTATTTACGTACCATACCTAATTAGGTAGGTAAGCAAACATTCGCTACACGGCTTGGCTGGTCTCGATTTTGCATTATTTATCAAGAGAGCTCGTGATGCTTCTATGTACGGGCTGCCTCATTATGGCTGGGACAATATTTGCAAGAACAGGTGTGTCAATATGGTCGCCCATGACCAACGGCACTCGAAGATACTCCAGGAACCAACATCATTTCTTAGTATTAGTTCCCTGACCCACGGCGTACGGACTTTTGGCCCGTAGCCTAGGCCCAACCTTCCAGAAGATAAATGGGGCTGGTGCCAGCAGAACGGCAACGCAACCCAGCAGCGCCATGGTCCAGTGAACACCAAGCGTCTCGTACAGGGGCCGGGTGGCTATGACGAGGGCGCCGGCGACGAGGTAGCGCAGCATGGTGATGCTGGACAGAGCAATAGCCGAGCGGCTGCCGTAGCTGTCTACAATGTACTCGTAGCTGCCGACGTAGATCGCGATCAGGACGGCGCCAAAGACGAAGCACGCGGCCAGGCCGCACCAGATGGAGATTCTGGCGTAGTTTCCCCAGCCGAGCCAGAATAGCGCCACGGGCAGCAGCGGCGCCGCCACGATTCCCGGCCACAGGCGGAACTCGGGCTCCAGCGACGCGCCCCGCACGTGCTCTGTCCGCATCCGCGCCCAGCTGTACAGCCCCGGCGCCAGCACGGTGAAGGCTGTGGCCCCCGCGGCGATGGCACCGAAGCAGGAGCCCGTCTGGCCAGTCGACAGGCCGTACGTGTCTTTGAAGATGTAGTCGAAGCCCGAGAGGAACGTGAAGAGCAGCACGTAGAGCAGCACGAGGTAGCCGCCGAGCACAGCGACGACGGGCTCGCTGGAAAAGAACCTTACTGGCTGCAGGAGATGGGTTTTGATGCTCGCGGCGAACGACGACCCCTCGGCATGTTGTGACTTGTAGCGGCAGTCACCCGTGATGCGGCGGAGGTGAGTCGCCTTCCAGTCTAGGATCAACGGCAAGTACGTCTCGGGCAGGAACAGCAGGGCCACGAGGAAAGCGACGGCAGAGATGATCAGCGTGACCCATTCGGTCCAGCGCCATCCAAGCCGGGGGTTGTCAACTATCCACCCGCCCGCAATGGGAGCAATCACAGGGGCTGCATACGGATTCAAGGTCTTTGAGTTAGTTTTGGAAAATTGTGAAGAGGAGAACTAATCTCACCGGCGACATTGGCCCAGGCAATAACGGGAAACACAAACGAGCGCTTGACGGGGCGGAACTGGTCGCGCGCGCTGGAGCCGTTGATACTCAGCGTAGCGCTCGCAAACAGGCCGACGCCGAATCGGCAGGCGATGCGCGCGCCAAAGGACGTGGTGGCGAGGGCGGCGCCGAGCACGAACCACAGGTAGCAAAACGTCGAGACAAGGTACGTGGGGTTGCGACCGGCAGTCTCTGAGACGGGGCCAGCCACGAACGCGCCAGTGCCAATACCGAACAGGTACATGGCCGTTGACAGGCTCTCTGTCACCCTGCTGACGCCGTACTCGCGGCTCGCCGCCGCGTTAGCCATGGACTCGGCCGCCCCAGCCCACGCCTGCGCGAAGATGAGCAGCGACAGGATGGCGATGTTCTTGCTCCGCCCCAGCAGTGGCCAGTTGCGCGGGTCGATGGGGTCGTCGTCGCCCGACGTCCTGACCAGATATTTGCCGTCAGCGTCCGGGCCGTGCAGCGAGACGCCGTGCTTCTGTGCCGATATATTGTCGTCTCCCACGTCTTGGTTTCCGAGAGTTGCTTGCTCCAGAGTGCCGCCTTCTATTATTGGTAGCGTAAAAGCGTCGTTTTGTTTCTCCTTGCTCGTGTGAGTCGCGTTGTGCAGATGGCTTGCGGCTCGCACCTCGTCTTCAACCTGCCTGCCGAGACGGCGATATTGGACCAGCGACCACATTGCTGAGATGGCAAACAACAGACACTAAACGAGGTGATGTCTGGTGTAGTTCTGTGAGCTCATCCACTATTCAAATTTGGATTTTCGGATACCCATGCAACTGCGTTTCGTGGCTCAAATCATGTTTTCTGATCGCGTGCCCACCTGACGAATTGGGGTTTGGATGCATGGTGTGACGTAATTTCCATGTCTAGACCTGGGTCTTGTTGTATCTAGTCAATTCGGCCTGATTTCTAAAACGAGATGTTTGATACGTAAACCCGAGCATTCATGAGAATAGAGAGTGGCCTTATTTATGCTATTAGTGCTGTAAGCGCATCGCCCGGCCTCTATTCTGCGTCGGCTTTTATTGCAGATTTATTCGTGCCACCTGTCACTATCACAGGCTGGGCAAGCCGATGGCAGCCATCAGGTCCTCGCGCGGCATCTCCAAAATGGCCAACAGCGCTTGTGCGTCTGGCACCCCGCCGCTGCCGTACGGCTTCTGCAAGAGGCTCTTGATTGCAGCGTACCTGCTTCGCAGGGCCTCGGAGGCAGCCTGCGACATGCTCTCTTCCAGCTGCACCAGGTCGCTGCTCGTCTCTTCGTTGATGTGTGGATCGAGGTCGACCCAGATGGCCATTAGTGAGGCATCGAAGCTTGCCTCGGCCGGGTCGAACACCAGCATGTGCTTCAGTTTTTGGTTCATCTGTTTTTCAGCCTGTCAGCCTTAATTATGCCTCCCTGTCGGCAAACAGGTAATGGGGTCTGGTGCTGGGCGACTTGCGCTGTCATGGTCGCTGGAGAGCCGACGGTGCCTGTCGCCGCCATTTGCCACGTGGTACTCGAGGGCCGGCGTGACGACGAGATGCTCGGCAATCAGGTAGCGTTCCAGGGCCCAGACGAATCCCGTCACGTCGTTGGGCTTGCGGAGCTCGGGCTCCGTCTCGGAAAGGCGGTGGAAGGCGCGCCTCACTTGCGCATGGTCCTCCTTGATGGCCTCGGAAATCCTTGCCATGGTCGACGCAGACCGTGAAGAATGCGAGGAAATTAATCGTTGATATTTGTCTTGGCATATATTAGGTGCGTCTTGGTTCACCGCCGGCCAGTCAAAGGTGTTCGAACGTTAAGGCTTTGCGGAGATTGTGGTGGGTCTAATCCAGGTGACGTCAGCGATGGAAGACCCCAAAGGCAAAAGAAGCAATTCTGCGAGATCAGATGAGTTAATACTCTTCAGGGCTTCTAAATCGCCCACTTGGCCTGGTTTAATATCCCTTCAAAAGGAACCTCGTTCACACTCTTGTATGAGAGAGTCTATTTGAGCCTGAGCCTGAGCCTGAGCCTGTCTAGCCGAATGAAAATGTCAGTCGTCCTTATGACTAGGTACCTTGCAGACTGGTCCAATCAAAATTCTTGTGACCGCGTTCGTACCCACACAATGCCTGCTTGAGGATTCAACACCAACGTAACTCATGGTTCTCAGGCATGAATGCGGTTGCTATGTTAGACTGCTTGCCCTTAATTTTGCTCTCGCCTTCCAGGGATGCTTTAGATTTTTCGAGGCAAACGGCCTCCACGAGCCCATACCATGTATATGCCCATGTTGAGATTCAGAGATCACCATGAGTTGATTCTAGGACCAAATGCACCAACCCCTTTCAACAGAGCATTGGGATCATTACCCACCCAAGGCGCAGGCGAATAGCCAGGCAAACGGCCACGGTTGCTTTAGACCTGCCGGGCCAAAACCTTCTGCGTTTTTACGGTTCGCCGGGTCGATTAGTGCGGTTTAGCGGCGACAAAGAAAACGGGCCTCAACGCTTTATTTTTCAAACCGTCACCATTGGCAATGCTCTTGCATACATTGATTGTGCCCCCTCAGGAAACTTGCTCACTTTAGGTCTTGAGGATGATCTGGAGTACAACAACATGAGAGGGTGGCGGTATATAGCCAGAATGAGACAGAACTTGTATGAGTGGTATCAGAAAAATGGAGGTAAATAAGCGTCAAGTTCTCAGCTCTGACCGGAGCCAAAATGGGGATTTCCTAAAATAAGGGGAATGTTATACTAACGATGCACTAAAATTAGCTCCCATCGAGGGGAACCGTTGCCTTAGCTCACTACCAAGGTCTAGAACTGTCGACTACGTGCACTACGTGCACTATGTGGGATAATTTAGTGACTCCCGGGTCCCCGGCCGCCAGTCAATGTTCAAGTTTCAGTACTCAACCGCTCAACCGCTCAACCGCTCAACCGCTCGAAGTACTCAACAGGCTTCCAGCTTTCACTTGCTGTCAAGAGACGGTCCAGACTCACCCGGCAAGCAAGTGGTTTAGCGTTCTCGATATGGCTCAACTTGTCTGCGCGTCGTTTATTCTCTTTGCTTCATTGCATTTCCACCCGCTCGTCGCCTCAGCTCAAGCTTACGCGGGCGGGGACCTCGACGGCCAAGTAGTGTTTGGTCTCCCGGCCCAGGAGATCATCGCCGTCACATTCGATGCCGTGTCAAATGCGACATTTCCAATCAAGGGGTACAACACGTCGATCCCGGGAGGCCCCACTGACGGCACCGGAAGCCAGCTTCCAGGTTGGAGCATATTCATCGGCGTGGCAGCCAACGTGGCACTTGCTGGCTCAGACGACGCCTCTGTTGACAAGGGCCAGTTTATTGAGACAACCGGTCTATTCATTGAGCCGCCTGCTGCGATACCAGTCAACTATGACACCAACAGCTGGAGGATATGCGCCGTCATCTTTGCACACGGACTGGGCAGTGCCGAGACAAACACGGCCCAGACGGCGCAGTTGGATGGTAGCTGCACGCCTCTCCTGCCTAGCGAGTGTATCGAGCAGTTGCAAGTCAACAGTGTTGCCTCCAACTCCAGCACAGATGACGGGTGTCCCGACTTGGACATGCCCGACGTGTGTGCCAAGCACTTTAGCGGCGAAAGCGGTACCGCGTATGGTAAGTAGCCGACTGTGCTTCTCAGCCGCCAGCTGGTGGTGCTAATCACGCCTCGCACAGAGATCACGCCGTCAAATGACACCACGGCACCAGCGGATGACCATCGACTTGCATTTTTTGCCGCGGCATCTGTGCCGACGGAGAGGGACAATGACTCGGCGTTTGCGAGCGCTGAAAGGGCTGTATGGCCTGTCCTACTGACATGGACTCATCGTGGTGCGGGCGGGCAGGCGCACGACAGTGCGGGGTGGCTGTCGTGCATTAAAGCTCCGAACCGAATAGAGACGGAAAGAGTAGGGTCTTCGGGAGGCGCCGAGGCTGTAAAACGAGTGTCGAAATGGGCATTGCTATTTGGGATGGGCGCCGCGGTTCTGGCATTCGTTGCATAGTCGAGCAAAAGAGGGACGTGGGCGAAAGGATACCGGGCGGGCAGGCAGTCAACAGGACGGGGCGGTGATCAGGTTCGGGGCGGTGATCAGGTTCGAGGAGGGGATCAGGTTCGGGGCGGGCGGGCGCTCGTCGTCATCCCGCGGAAAGAGACCCCAAGTCTTGCACAGACACACTGGACCTCAAGCAACTCTTGTCTATACGTGTATTTCTTTGCTAGTCATCGGAAAAAGCGGCTTTTTTGTAATTGCGTCGGTATCTCGTGAGAGTCGGGCAGCGCCGTACCAACGCCAAAGAGTCGTGACGCGTCGAAGGATCGAGGTGCTGATCGAGGTGCTCTGTCTCGGCAAATGTGCAAGTTCGCCTGCGGCTCGTCGATTGCAGGGAGGAGGAATCGCAAACACGCGGGTCGGGGCAAAGTTCTTAGCAATGCTGACTGGGTACCGTACCTGCCTAGGTGCCTTGGGTAGGGAAGGCAGGTGAGCTGTCAATGGCAATCGGTCCAACACTGCATTCAATTGTGGTGGATCGCCGTGGAAAAATGCCAGAAGGCGCTCGTCAAGTGCTTCAGGAAGTGCGGGCCACAGAATACAAAGCGACCTGTGGAGCTTGACGGTGGGATTGCGCAAACGCCAAGCTCTAATGCAACAGAAAGGCAGGCTCTCGTGTCGCCGACTGCGACGTCGCCGACTGCGACGTGGTGTTCGAACTCGCGATGGAATCTGGAAGGAGGGTTTCGGTAGAGATGGGCCGATTCGGAAAGATTCCCACCAGTGATTTCTGGTCCCGCGGATTCGTCGACTCAGCCACCGAGAAATGCGGGGCGTGATGCTCCCATGCGTATTATGTAATCCAGGAGAGGGGAACATGAAATTTCGAGTTTGTCAACTTCTAGGGCTCACATCAGACACCAGACATGATTCAATATTGAGCATCTCGTAAGACGGCCGACTGCTCGAAGCTGACTGGCTTTGAGGGCATCCGAGGGGGCCTCATCGGCACGGTGGCACCAGCGGCGCTGTTCAACAGGTGTGCTGTCCTGAAGGGGTTCCCTGAAGTGTACATATTACCTACCCCTCTAAAAATAGCGGGCTGGGCTGGAACCTGGAAATCACAAAATGGGACAGCGGATGCTGCTGACGTGCGGGAATTCCCAATCTGACAGACACTCCAGAAGGCAGGTAACCTTGCGGTTCCAGGCCCGCTAAGACCGCCACAGTGGGTTGTACAGTATGTGTCTGTCTTGGTTGAAATCCAGACTCTCTGGACCAAGATCCCACTAGACTCGGATTGAACACCCGGAAAGATTTAGTGCTACGGTTATCAGTGAATCAAGGAGCCCGCTCTGGCCTCTGGCGTGCACGTTTTTATACTAAAGTTGTGACTGCAATACCTTTGTCTCGGGTCGTTGCGCCGACCGTGGTAGCCTGAAAAGGTGGCTGGATGGCTCCAGAACCCGTTTCGCCCCCATATTCTGGAAACCTTTATGCACTTCGCGCCGCTGCGCGGGCTGTGTGAAGGAGCGAGGAACCTGAAACACGCGGACTGGCTGTACGACCCGCCGTGAAGCATTGTGCGATGACAAGATCTCCGTCACGCCATGTTTAAAAGGGGTGTGGCAATTCCTAGTCCCGATGCTTTTGTACATGTATGTACGGAATACTCCGTACAGTTTTCGAGTCTCGTCGTGTGCCATCTCCTGCCTTTTTTTTGGCGCCACTTAAACCCCGCTAAAGTGGGTACCTACCTAATTCAGCTCATCAGTTTTGACATGAGCTGGCGGTTGAGCCCGTAGCGCCTTGACACCTAAGAAACATCGGCACGGCCGTCCGGGTCGCTATGCTGTCGAGCTCCGCCTTGTTTCTTTGCACATCGGCACGGCCATCCGGGTCCTATGCTGTCGAGCTCTGCCTTTGTTTTTTTATGTTGCGTTTATACGGAGTAACTGAGGTGCCATCCCGTAGGTGTCTGCTTACCAACCACCTCAACCCACCAGGTCCGCCCGTTGTTAAGATCGGATGCTGTTCAGGGAGGCTCCACAGCGCGTGGTAGGGAGATTCGCGTGGGAGTGGAGCAATTAAGGTTCCGCTCAGCACCTGCCACCTGGAAGCCCCCGCGCCGTCTTGTGTCCCCGGAGCAGGGGCTTGGACTTGTTGGAACTTTTTGAGGAGCTGAACACAGCCTGGGCTCTCTCGTATTTGCTAACCCCTGTCGGGCGGCACCCACCCACCGAATCTGGAATACACGTCTCCGTGCTGGATCTAGTTCGTTCGGATGGTTGAAGGAAGTGTGTAAAATTCTCCTCCTGGTTGGTTGGTTAGTTGGTAGGCCCGTGTTCGTGCGGATCGTCGGGCTATTAATCGTTCTAAATCTGGTGCCTGCCCTTTCAGTGATCTTGCCTTCTGCACCTTCCCTCGCTGTCGTGCCTGCATCGAGCGTACCCACCTCCAGCCCACCTCAGGTCCACAGAGCCGACCCGACGCTGCCTGCCCATGAGGTGACGGAAACAACAAACCTGAAGGGGGCCGCCGCTGCCTCGTCACACCTACCCAATGATCAGAACCCGCGACTCGTTTCTGCGCTTGCCCGCGAAGATGCCGAGTCGAAGGAGCCTCGCGGTTGTTGTCTTGACCGCGACGACCTTGCTTGCACTTCTTGTGGCCTACCAACGGCTCGGCGCCTGGTCAGGCCTTGGCGACCCTCCCTACCATCGAGATCCCCACAAGAGCCAGTATGCACCACAGGGCACTGGAAGCTTCAACAACGGCGGGCACACGTATCCCGCGTCCAACGGCAACGGCAACGGCACCGACACGCGACGCCCGCCGCCCGGGCGCGATCCCATGTGCCATGGCTTTCCCGAAGCGAACAACGTGTTGGTTGTGGTCAAGACGGGCGCGAGCGAGGCGTTTGCGAGACTGCCGACACAGCTGATGACAATGCTCAAATGCATCCCCAATTTCCTCATTTTCAGCGACATGGACCAGGAAATCGCCGGATACAAAATCCATGACAGCCTCTCGACCGTCTTGAAGGAGGTACGAGACGGAAACCCCGATTTCGACCTATACCGTCGTCAAAAAGCCTGCATTGTCGACCAAGACAATTGCAACAAGCTCGGCGATCCAAAGAGCGAGGGCTGGCATCTAGACAAGTACAAGAACACCCACATGGCTGAGAAGACGTATGCCATGAGGCCGGGCTTCGACTGGTACGTCTTCATCGACGCCGACACCTATGTCTTGTGGCCTAGCCTGGTGCACTGGCTGCAGAAGTTGAAGCCGACCAAGAAGCACTATCTCGGCAGCGTAACCCTGATCAACAACTTCAGCTTTGGCCATGGCGGGTCCGGCTACGTGCTCAGCAAGGCAGCCATAGAGGATTTTGTCGTCAACCATCCGGGCGTCGGGAACCTCTATGACGCGCGAGCCAAGGGCGAGTGCTGCGGGGATTATGTGTTTGCCATGGCCTTAAAGGAGACGACCGAGTTGGGCGTCAACCAAGTGGTAAGTTTATCCGATCCCGATTGTTCCCGTCTGAGAAGCGGTTCGCTTCCCTTGAACCTTGCTTGAGCCGGTGCTGCCGCGCGGTACGGCTCTTTCGCATGCGACCGCCGACTCCTGCGTTTGGCCTCCCTTCCCGGCCTCCCTTCCACGCCCACACCGTCCATTGCCCTTGGTATTGTAATGTTGACCATCCGCTTGCAGTGGCCCACTATCAATGGCGAAAAGCCTTCGACTATACCTTTCGGGCCGTCCCATTGGTGCCATCCCATTGTAACGATGCACCACGTAAATAGCGAGGAGATCAACAGTCTCTGGGATTTCGAACGTCGTCGATACAACAAGCAAGGCGCATTTTCGCGACCTAGTCCGGTTCTGATCCGAGATATCTTCAACGAGTTTTTTGCGCCGAAACTCGCAGCGAAGCGGGACGACTGGAACAATCGTGCAGATGACCGGTTCTATCTGGATACGAAAGACGAGAGCCGCAAGTGGGACAAGTGGATGCTCGACCGGATGAAGAAGGCCGAGGACTACAACCAATTCGAGAAGAAGGCGCACAAGTCGTTTGACGATTGCGCTGCTGCATGCAAGAGCCTCAGCGATTGCTTTCAGTTTCTGTATAAGGATGGTCAGTGCAGTATTGGCAAATCATTCCGACTTGGCCAACCCGTGAAGAAGGAAAAAGATCAGAAGAAGCGCCCCTTCAGCGGGTGGGACGTCGACCACATCCAAAACTTCATCAAGAAGCAGGGTGACTGCAATAAGATCCATTGGCCTAATGTCAAAGAGTAAGGCGACCCATTAGCGTTTTTGGAGTTTCTTCTTTGGTTGCACGTCGCTTCGGGCCCTAATTTTTTGGGCCCCTGCCACCGACACCATATCGTCGAGGGATGCCGATAGGAAGCCCGACTCCCCATACTTGGGCCACCCTCTTCTGGGCTGGGACTTGTGCGGCTCTCGGCTTCTTGGGAGGGAGGGGTACGGTAGCTGCTTCCTTTCAGAGCTCTCGCAAGGAGGTGCCGCAGTACCGTCACTGCGTCGTCATCGAACACGACGCAATTGGACCGTCTTGGACGACCAACGTGGAAACATGACGACGGGTCGAGAATTCGCGCCGCGCCGCCTTCTAAGCACTGCAACGCGTTCGCAGACGATACGTTCATTGCGCTCGCAGGTACTCCATACCGTTCCCGAATTTGTCGCTCGCAATAAGCGTTGGGGAGACGGCTCCCATCGCTCGTCTTAGGCACATGGGGGCGCATTGAGCCTTGATCAAGCACTGCATCAGAGCCGCAAGATGATCGGGTCTATGCTATAATGTACCAGACACAGATGGGCCATGTAGGAGGCAAATAGACGAGGTAGATAAAATGTAAAGTAACAAACCGTAGACGATGGTTGGTCAGGGGAAGGTCTGTTTCGGACAATGGAGTGGCCACGGACAAATGGAGGGAGAGGCTTGGGTTTATCCCTCCCGCCACGGACGGATGTAAGACAAAGTCGGCTGCCGACGATCATTCTGGCGTCGTTTCTTCGTCAAGGGATCGTCTTTCATTGGCGCAGCGGAAGTTTTAGTTCAAGGATCAATTTGACTTAACGATCTACTTAGGAGACTAGTCAACTAACTCTCTAGACTGCTAATCAACAAGCAGCATCGCCACCACCTGTATACCATTCAGTTCTGTTCTGTTTCTAATTTGGTTATGGGGTTGGAGACAATGCAACCGAGTTTGTCGCGTCTTCGCGTCTTATGGCCTGCTCTCGAGCTGCGGGTAAGAGCTGCACCGTCGCGACCTTACTTAATACATACTTGGAGATTAAGGTAACTAGTGAGCCGGCTGTCAAGAAGGATGAGACTAAGTAGGTAGTTGGTGTCCTGGATGTATGGGAAACTCCAGTAATTACGGTTATCAGGAATCAACACGGCACCGATAACTAGAAAAGCCGACGTTCTAGCTTCTTGGCGTAGGGAACCGGGTGTCGCGGAGTAAGCTAGGAAAACTATTTTTTTGAGGGGCGTTAATCTATTCCATCTGTGTCTTGCGGCCTACAGGCTACGAAGCAGGGCCAGCTTCATGACCAGAATTTGGTGGGTATGTAGACGGGAATCACATTACGGATATCAGACCCCAGGCAGAAGCGGAGATCTGCCCCCCGATGGCCCTGCCGTAGGTTATACGCTTCAAACGAACGTTGTGCAAGCCAGTTATTCTATACTATTGGTTATTCGCCATGCCAGGATTTAAGGCTATGGTTATTCAATGCCGATGAGTATTAGTTTGAAGAGCCCCCTAGGAGCGAAAATCCCGTGGGTGAATATTGTGTCACTCCCTACTATTCGGGTGATTTGGTGACATGGTGAGAACCTCAAGAGTGAGGGCGGCCAACAATTCTACAAAGATACATTAACCATCCTACCTGGATTCCACAAAAGCACCGGACGACAGTTAAAGGTTCAAATCCCGGCCCACCTAGATAGGTATAGCACCGGCAGGCCCGGATGCTCAAAGGATAGCCCCTGACGTTATCCCTCCCAGCCCTTCCGCCGCTAACATTCCCTTTGCAATGAGTCTCACCATCCTGAACTAGTCAACACTCTTTGTTTTTGTTTGACGAGGGTGGGCGCGAGTTGGGTGCGTAACCGCTACTATCATTACTTTAGGTACCCTGGTCGAAAGACACCGAACCAGCATTGGCGGCGCGGCCCAGTGAAAATTTCATAATTGCCAGCCCCCCCAGCCATTTACCTCAAGTCTAGCTATATGGTTGCCCCCGTGAGCTGGACCTGGTAGTCGACGCCTGTGTTGGTCTCGCTCGTCAGGTTGAACGGGTCGAAGAGCACGAGCGCGGCGGGCGTGTTGACCACGACTAGCATGGCCTCTTCGCCGCTGCCCAGCGTCGCCTGCCCAACGCCGTTTGCCAGCTCTACGTATCTAACCGCTCCGCTCCCGTCGCCAGCCCGGATTGCCAGAATGGCTGTGAACGGCGCCGAGGCCGCCGTGACGTTGACGGCCACGACAGGACTGCCCGCCGTCGTCCTGAGCGGCGTGATGTTGGCGCCCATGTACCGCGGGCGCCGGGCGGTCTTGACGCGGTACTTTCCGGTGCCGCCCTGAGCGTCCCAGTTGACATAGTTGAGGCTCTTGCGCTGGCCTGCGAACTGGGCCTGCGCCTTGGCGTGACCAATGTCGACAAAGGCCATGCGAGCCCAGTAGCGCGCCACGACCGTCTGGATCTTGGTGGGCGACACGATGCGGTCCAGCACGTGGAGCGGCGTCTCGTTGCTGTTGCGCTTGTACCGCACCCACACGGCCGGAAACATGGCTGGGCCCAACCCCGTGATGTTGTCCGGGTTGTTGTGCATGTATGTGAAGAAGGGCCAGGCCTGATAATAATTCCCAGAATCTCTTGTGCCGTCGACGATAACCTGGTACGAGTCGCCAACGACCTTTTTGAGGTCGATGAGGGTGTTGCCGTTGTCCTTCTGCTTGAACTTGGCCCTGGAACTGGCGCAGTAGCTGGACGTGATGTACGTGTCGGCGACAAAGTTGGCCACCGTCTCCCACCAAGCACCGGTGCGGCCTTGGTCGATCCAGTAGCGCTCGCAGTAGGTCAGGGCGTGGCCGAACTCGTGCACCACCACGCTCGGCTCCGCCATGTAGTCCTTGACTACATTGAGCCACGCGAGACCCAGCGTCGGGTCCGTCGGCGTGTTGGCCGCCGCGCCGGGAAGGGTGTCGACCTGATACACGTTGAGCTTGTTCCACGGCCCGTCGTCCGTGTCTTGCTTAAAGCTCAGCCCGGGGCTGCGCCACCCGAGCCCGTCGACGAAGCACGCATACGCGGCCTCAAGCATGCCAATAGCCCCGTCGGCCAACGAGTCGTTTGTCGCCCCGTACACGCGGAAGTGCGCAGAGTCCTTGTACTTGGTGCCCCCGGGCCCGACACGCGGGTTGGGCGTGAACTGGGCCGGCGGTGCCGAGGCGAGCGAAGAAGACCCTGAGACGACGCCGCCTATCGATGCCGCAGCCACAGCTATTACAAGTCGCGCCAGAACTCCCATTCCTGCTGTGTCAGTCGGCGACTTCCAATGTTGCTGTGTCCGGTTCCACGCCACCGAGTATCTCTGCTCGGCATCGTCGTCGAAGGAGAGAGGGCTGCTACATTATGTACGCCATACCCCCGCTGCAGCAGACTGCATGGTAACCCGGCCGGCAATATGACGCTGGAGGTTGGGGGGGGAGGGGGGGGGGGGGGGGGGCGGTGCCGGTTCCGGGATAAATGAGGCTAGTCATGGCTGATATGGGGTTGCGGCTCTCGCCTAGCTCGGAATGCGGAGCAAATGTGCCGCACTGCCCAAAGCCTGGCTGTTCATTAATATCAGTGCCAGATAACGACTGGGGGAACCGAACTTCCGCGGTATCTAGGTAGGTAGGTAGGTAGGTAGGTACCCAGACTGCCCTCGTCTGTCCCAGGGGTAGCTCAGCAAAGATACCGAGGCAGGATGCAACCAAGGTTCAAGGTAGGGTAGGCCGAGCTCGGTTATAATTTCCCTACCACCGATAATAATTACCATAATAATTACCAGCTACAGCCTCGTTTAGCTTCAGCAGTTTATAGATGTCGTGAGTGGCGCAGCATAACACTTTGCTCAAAATTACAAGTACATGCGGACGGGCGACATTCGAAGTGCTGGAAGTAGAGACGAATTAAATATAAATATAATTGTGAACTATTGGTAGGACCCTAAAGTCAGTTTGCAATTCACTGTCTCTTCGCTGGGACCGGCAAGGTGACGATGCTGGAAACGAGAGTGCTGTAGAAGCATGTCAGCTTGGTCAAGTGATCTAAACGGGCAAGACAGCGAACGTACAAGACTCCGACAGAGCACACGAGCAGAAGCTCAATCTTGGGTCTCTTGGAGAGATTCAGACTGCGGAGGATGAACCAGGGCAGCGACAGCATGAAGATGTCGGTTGCCATGTTCAGGGCAGCGTCGGCGTAGAGAACTTGGGCTGGTCGAAGCACCTGCCCTCGATCGTCTTGTCAGTAGAAGTTGAGGGGCCGGCACTGGAGAAATAGGGCGACGGTAAATGCGCTCTCCGAGCACACAGCCCACGCGGCGAGGCCGTACAGCGATTTCCGCCAGACATGGTCCTTTGTGAGGACACGCAGGAGGAACCTGATGATTGACAGCGTAATAAAGCCGAGGACGACGGGTACAAGACCGGAGAGGTGAAGCTACACTGATTACAGGCGCAACTGTTAGCATAGGAGGCTGGCAGAGGAACACATGTCGGTACCGAGGTAGTTACCTTTTGCATCGAGACTTCGGTCTCGAGGGGAACATCCCAAATGTTGAGACCGAACCCATACTTGATAGCTGTTATCCCCCTTAGCCTCTGTACACCCGGATACCCACCTTTTGGTGGAAGATCAAGGGGGACTGGAAGAGAGACCCACCATCGATGGCTGCAACTATCAAGCCAGTATATAGAACCTGCGACCAAGTTGTTAGCCTACCTTGATGGGCTGCATGCAGGTACCGATGATGGAATTGCGCCGAGGAGGCTGGATGCTGGAGGCCAGATGACAGGAGGAACAACAAAAAAAACAACAACAAAAAAATGCGAATCCGACGCTGATGAGAACATGGGCCGGCATGCCCATGGCGGATCGCCGTCAATAAGTATTTGGCAGGGAGCAGCAGGGCAGGATTACCATTTCGTTTGGACATTGTGGATCATTTCTTCCTCTCTTCTTCTCCACGAACCGCTGCTCGCTGGCGAGTGAGTGATCTGCAGCAACGCTCAGACGCCTTCGACATACCAGAGCTCAACCGAACAGCAACGGCAATGCCCCAGCAGGCACGGCACGAATCCAAGCAAGCTCCGCATGTGCTCCCAAGTGTGGGAATCGGTGCCTTGCCGTGGCCGCTAACTAGAGGGACCCGAATGTCGCTTCGTGCCGCTCCTGACAAGGCCATGGCTAGTTGGCCGGAGCGGCAGTTAACGACTCGATTTGTGTGTTTGTGGTGTTTTCCTAGACCTCTACTGGGTCAAAGCTCAGAGCTCCCGTCGCCGTACTAGGTGTCGCGGGGAACATCGTGGCTGCACGGAGACGGGACCGGTGAGGGCTCTGCAAGCGGTACTACCTACCTACATGAGAAGATCTCGTCGTCATTTCTATTGTCAGAGGTCTGGTTCGGTCTCTTGGAGCCGCTGTTTGCCGTGTGTAGGCGGGCTGATCACGTTCTAATTGCCTTCCAGCATTCTGCTAATCTGGATAGCAGCTCGTCAACGATGTGGCTCACTGACGTGTTCTTATTGCGCATAGGCTATCCCTCGCAGTTCTCGTCAACAGTGTGGTAGAGTGCGATCTGGCGATCTGGTCGGGGAGACCAAAGACGTGACCTGAGATCCGGCTGTCGATCTTCCCCGTCCTCTCTCCACGTCGGCACATGTCGAGCTTCGAACTGTCAACTGGGACGTGGCCCAGTTTCGTGCGCCTTTGCCAGGTATTTGGGTCTGCCTTTGGGCGGCTGCTGGTGGAAGCGGGGGAGGGTGCATTGACAACGCCTAAGCACCTGCTGGTATTAGCTGGTCATCCGGAGTGAGCCAAGCTTTGGTCTGCAGTACTTGGCGTGCCATCCCGTCAGCAATGGTCGGGAAGTGGGCCCTATACCGCACTGGCTCTCGACTAACTCGTGGCTCGCCGTACCTTGCAGTGTGAAAAACTATCGATAGAACGGGTTGTTTTTTCTAAGTTCCTAGGCCGAAGGCTAGAAGCTACGAATGCCGGATCAATCTCCCAATGCGGGGTCAACCCTAACCCTACACTAACTTCCCTAGCGGAGCTTTCAAGTGTGAAAGTGGGCGAGCTGCTTCGTATCTGTCAGTTTGCTAGCTTCCGGCCTGCGAACAGGCAAAGGCAAGGCTTAACGGCGGGTAGTCGGCGTAGAACACAGCTAGAACACGAGGAGATGAGATGGGAAGTGAAGTGATAGTTTACCTTTGCCGTTTTGTCTCTTTCTTTCCCCTTTGTCTCTCTCTACCTGTTCGAACGTTTGTGAGAATAACTTGCACACTTGCTGCTGGGATTGGGGGCCCTATCCGGCGGCTAAGTCCCAGGGCCACCAACCACAAGCCGTGGCTCGCCTGGTGGGCTGGCTGATGGGCACCCCAAGACCCGTGTCATACAGTCCTCGCATTTCGTTGATCTTGGATCCCGGTAGTTTTACCTCCAAGGAGGCTGGGCAGGGCGATGGAATAGGTAATAATAGTCGACCGCATATCCGTACCGAGTTTGTTTTGCTGTTCTAGTCTAGGCATCCAAAATATGTATTGCCAGCTAGCACCAGCAGCAGTCACCGCCGCCGCCGCCAGTTACTTGATGGTAATAATAACTCGGGTTCAACGCCTTGGCTAGATCCGGGATCTACTGGCGCTTTTAATAGCGAGGCAGACCTAGAGTATAACATTTATTTATTTAGTCTGGTAGCGAAGTCGTCCTGTCCTCCCTCTTGTCAAACCCCCAACCAGAGGGCCCAGCCCGTGCCTGACGATCTCCAAGTTTGACTTGCACACCCCGCAACCCGCTCACATGCTTTCGCCCATTGGTGTAGCGGCCTTTGCGGCACTAACATATTTGGTCTGGTCTGTTCCCACAGTGTGCGACAGTGGGCGACCTCAGCGCCGTGATCCTGAACCCCTTCTCGCGTGGCTCCGTCACCATCTCGAGCGCCAACATCGCCGACCCTCCCGTTCTCGACATGGGCTGGCTGACGGACACGGTCGATCCCGAGGCCGCCGTGGCCGCCTTCAAGCGCCTGCGCGAGGCATGGAGCGCGCCTGCCACCAATGCCGTCAAAGTGGGTGGCGAGACCCGGCGCGGCCCGGCGGTGCAGTCCAACGCCGACATCCCGGCCTGGGTCCGCGCCAACGCAATCCGATCTGGCACGCCTCGGCCACCAACGCCATGAGTAGTACCAATGTTTCGGCCGGTGCTGTTGTCGACTGGCGTGCGAAGGTCTTTGGCGTGCGAAGGTCTTTGGGGTGCGAAGGTCTTTGGCGTTAGCGGCCTGCGCGCCGTCGATGCCTAGATCCTTCCCTTTGCTCTCCCAGGCCACCCTCAAGCAAATATCTATGCGCTTGCCGAGAAAGTCGCAAATTCTATTCTCACCGGCGCATGACGTGGCGGCAAGGCGGAGCTGGGCTATTTGCGAAATGTTTAGTTCTAGATAGAAAATAGAACATTGAAACCATAGGTTCCCGTTCATTGACTCCGTTTCAGAATGAACGCAATTACCACTGTCCCTGTCAAGTGAGGATTATGTGACCCTCTTTCTTGTCTTTATTGTACTAAGTTTGCAAACTTTAGCTATTATGTTAACTGCCGTGCCTGAAAGAACTGGTGAAGACAGCCCCTGGTCCAAGACAGCCCATGAACAACAAGCAGTCAGCTGATTATTTCTCAGTCACGCAAGGCCGATAACAAAACTGAAACAAAATGCCAGTTGGGAAGCTGATGTTCGAGAAGCGTCGACCGCATTCGTCTGAACCTTGACTTGCCGGCCGGCCCGCTCTCCACGTCTCGGCTATGTTGGGGGGGGGGAAAGGGGGAGGGGGGCGGATGAGATGTCTCCGAGCAAGCGCAATCACCCCACTAACCCCAACTTTGAGCAGCCCGCGACTACCGGCTGTTGGGGTGCTGTTGGCGGGAAGACTGGCCATAAACGAGTGAAAAGGGGAAATAATAATTAGCAAGTATTTCCAGACTGCCCAGCTCTACCCCACAAACCTAATTAGGAGTTTGACATGACCCTGCTCAGCCAGGCCAATGCCTGAATGCATAGCGACGACTCTAAATCCCCGGGACGGCGTGCCCCTTGCAACACGGCACCTTGGGACTGTGCGTCCCGGCCTGTGCAGCCCGGCTCCTGTCATTGAACCAGCACTCTATCTCGCCGTTAACGAGGGCGGAGCAACCAATTCCGCCCGCATGGTGATGCCTTCAGGTGAAATGAGGGCCGACTTGTGCCTGGCCCTCGAAGCATTGTATAAAGAAACCAGACCCAGCAGAGCCGATGCAACTCAATGCGCGGGCAGTCATCTGGGATCAAAACCCTGCTCACTATCAGCAGCCCAGCAGAGGTAGCCAGTACCTGATTCAGCCATGCGGTTCCTTGACGTCCTCGTCGGTGCCGCTGCCATGGGCTCCGCTCTGGCGGCGCCGACTGGCGATGCGCCAACCCCTACCACCAAGACGAGCAAGCGCGCGAGCAAGTTCCAGTTCGACGGCGTCAACCAGTCGGGTGCCGAATTCGGCAACAAGGACCTCCCGGGCCAGCTCGGCAAGCATTATACCTGGCCCGTCCATTCCTCCATCGACGTGAGCACAGCCCCGACGGCGGCGAAGTAGACTAAACGAAACTGACGGCAGAGATAGACGTTGATGGGCAAGGGCTTCAACACTTTCCGCATTCCATTCATGATGTAAGGCCAACATCCCAGACGGCAAGAGCCACGAGTGGGAGGATGCTAAACGAAACACGGATAGGGAGCGTCTCATCCCCACAAAGTTGACCGGGACAGTAAACACGACCTACTCACAGGGGCTAACGGAGGTATGACGCCAACTGGCTCTCCCCGCCGTGTCCACTTCTCTACTCGCCCGCGGCTGATGATAGTTGAAATGCAGATCGTCAACTACATCACTGGCAAGGGCGGCTACGCCATCGTCGACCCCCACAACTTTGGTAAGTCCCGCTCCCTAATCAGTCACGCAGGGCCCAATCAGTCACGCAGGGCCCAATCAGTCACGCAGGGCCCAATCAGTCACGCAGGCACCCTTGAGATGTGAAGACCAAAGAAAAATCAAGCACTAAAAAAGCGACCACGCGCTGACGCCGAACTTCCAGGCCGGTACTATGACAAGGTTATCACGGACGTAGACGGGTTCAAGGCGTGGTGGACAACGACGGCCAAGCTATTTGCGTCCAACTCCAAGGTTATGTGGGACACCAACAACGAATATCACGACATGGACCAAACGCTAGTCAAGAACCTCAACCAAGCCGCCATCGACGGCATCCGCGCGGCGGGCGCCACGTCCCAGTACATCCTCGTCGAGGGCAACTCGTACAGCGGTGCATGGACCTGGGTGCGTTTCCTCCTCCTCCTCCTCTTCCTCGTTTCCTCCTCCTCCTCTTCCTCGTTTCCTCCTCCTCCTCTTCCTCGTTTCCTCCTCCTCCTCTTCCTCGTTTCCTCCTCCTCCTCTTCCTCGTTTCCTCCTCCTCCTCTTCCTCGTTTCCTCCTCCTCCTCCTCCTCCTCCTCCTCCTCCTCCTTCCCCCCCTCCCACCCCTCCGCTCTCCCCATTTTCTGTAAATGCTAACATACATGCCCACGCCAGACAACCACGAGTGGCAACACGAACCTGGCGGCGCTCAAAGACCCACAGGACAAGATCATCTACGAGATGCACCAGTATCTGGACAGCGACGGATCCGGCACGTCGGTCAACTGCGTGTCGTCGACCATTGGACAGGAGCGGATCCAGGCGGCGACTGCGTGGCTCAAGGCCAACGGCAAGAAGGGCATCATCGGCGAGACGGCCGGCGGGGCCAACGCGCAGTGCATCAGCGCGCTGACGGGCATGCTGTCGTACATGGCCGCCAACACCGACGTCTGGACCGGTTGGCTATGGTGGGGGGGCGGTCCATGGTGGGGCGACTACATCTATGGAATCGAGCCACCCAGCGGCACCGCGTACAAGGGCGTTCTGCCCAGTCTGTTGCCATATATCTGATGACTGTGCAGGAGGCGAACTGGGCCGTGGAGAGGGCCCTGGCGAAACGGATACGTCGAGTGTTGTGTCCGAGCTTAGTTCCTTGAATTAAGTCGACTCTGCAGACGAGAGGCACAGCTCGCAATCGACAGCCCCCCTACGGACACATTCTGGTTTGAAACTTTGCTGCTGTATGTAGCTACTGCACAGTAAATGTCAGCGTCCCTATGTACCAACGTCCCTATGTACCAGCGTCCCTATGTACCAGCGTCCCTATGTACCAACGTCCCATGTACCAGCGTCCCTATGTACATACGTTCATATACCTAGGTAGGCGATTGCGTAGTACTGAGGTGGGTTACCGGGCCAGCCACGTGTCGCAAAGGGCGCATGTACAGATACGCCCTGCCACCCAGCCTCCTCCCAGTGTTCTCGTGAGCTAGGCCTGTGTAACGGGCGACGTAACCGCCAAGACGTAGAAAAGGGTCCTGGCCGGGACCCATCCATTCCAGTTGTAGCCTGGCCGATGCCGGATTGTCCGGAACCCCGCCCTGTACTGGGCCTGCAGTAGCTTATGCCCTCCTTTCCAAGACAGGTCTCGGAATGCGAGGTACTCCATTCTCCAGAGGACTCCATTCTCTAGATTCACGAGCTACCGTCGAGAATTACATCATACACGTACATAAACGATAAGACCATCAGTGCGACAAGCGCGGGTGGGACTCCAAACGTTGCAGCAGTCGCTATTAGTGAATAGTGAACGGGGTGCGCTGCAACCTGTCATGCCCGCATTAGCTACCGACAAGGCGGGTGCCAAGTGATCCGGTGCCCGATCGGTATTCTGGTGGAAGCGGCGTGGTGCGGAGTGCGGACAGGGGTTAGCTAGCTCGTTCTCGCGTCCAATCCGTGCATAGCCGTGTTGGACCTTCCACTTTGGAGACACTAGGCCGGCCCCCGAATGGATTATGGAGCCGCCCTATCAGTATTACAAAACGTAATAACGGCTTTTGGTATCTTTTCTCCCTGGCCGGGGAGGCTGTCAGACGCACGCTGCGCTCTTTGACCGCCAGTGCCCTCGTCTGAAAGGGAAGAGTGCTCGGAATTCTCAATCCAGTCTCAACAATCAAGATCAGTCATCCAGATTGCCAGCCTGACCATGATTATGGTTAGGCAGGATCCGAGTTGGCGAATGCCACAGCCCACCTACGCACCCACTCGGCAGCTTCCGAGGGTCGCCCGCTTGCCCAACAGGCCCCGACCAACCTGGGGTCTGCATACCTGCAACACGTAGATACGCCCGTATTATATATCTCGCCTCTGCCCTCAATGTCAGTCCCAGTAGCCATCGGTTCCTTTGTCGCTATCCATGCACGCCCGCAGCAGTCTCTCAAACTCCCAAAATGGCTGGTCGGCTCCTTCCTCTCCTCGTGGCCGGCGCCAGCACCGTTGCCGCGCTGTCTAACAACCTGCCCGTCAAGCTCGAGACACGGACCGCCGTGACCTCGCGTCTCGCCAATGTGCACGTAGACTTTGCCAGGGTCGTCGGCGGCGAGGTGCTCGTCACGTATGGCTCTTGCACATCAACCTCGCCAGACCAGGCCCATCACGTCCTCGGCAAGACTGAGGGAGGCTCGGCCACACGACTCGTCTGGGTGCTGCCCGAAGATACCGACTCAGACGGCTGCATCTCCGCCTGGGACAGCAGCAATGTGCTTGTTGGCCGTAGCGAGCCCCAGCTGCTTCATCAGCGCCACAAACGCAGGGCGGAGAAGCGAGCCGGTAGGTTTCAGCTTCCAGGCACCAACTTCCAGGCACCACTGAATATTCCACTAAACCATCGATAGTGGGCATCGCCATGAACAATGCCACCGGCATCGATACCTTGGGGCCGTGGTTTGAGGGCGTCGAGCTCCTCAAGAACCGGGAGCCCGGCCCTGTCGACGTCAAGGCCGCCAAGGCCAAGGAGGTCGCCATTGTCGGCGCCGGCATGTCGGGATTGATGAGCTATCTCGTCCTCAGCCAAGCCGGCATGAAGAACATCAAAATCATCGAGGCCGGCGGCCGCCTGGGCGGGAGGGTCCACACAGAGTATCTCACCGGCGGTCCGTTCAACTACTCGTACCAAGAAATGGGCCCCATGCGCTTCCCCTGGACCTACACGGACCCTACGACCAAAGAGACGTTGAACATTTCAGACCACCAGCTGGTGTATCAGCTCGCCGAAGAGCTCAACAGCCTCAACAAGCACAGCAAAAACCTGAGCGTCGATTTCATCCCGTGGATCCAGTCGAACCCCAACGGCCTAGTCTACAAGAATGGCTTCAAGCTCCCCAGCGGGCTGCCGCCGACGGTTGCGCAGATTTCCGCAAACCCGGCCTACGGCGCCCCGACGCGACCCCTGGACAACTCGACCCTAGCCCTCGCTGCAGCGGTGCAGAGCTACCTGCCCGGTCCCGAGTTCAATGTGGAAATGGCTAGAAACATGTTCAAGGCCCACAAAGACTGGCAAGGTTGGTTCCGGTTTTCCCGTGCTTCAAAAACGCGGCTAAAATACTAACGTCTCCGGTTCCCAAATAGCGAACGGTCTTAAAGGACTTGGCGGCGATGTCTGGAGCGAGTTTGCCTTCATGGTCAATTATCTGGGAGGCTCGCTCAACGACACGGATGTGAACGGCGGGGGCAGCGAGACGTTCTGGGATGCCGTAAGCCGTTGTTCCGCATTTTATTCAGACATCCTCGTCTAACTAAGCTCTGGGGGACAGGAAGCAGCTAACAGTGTGGCGTTCCTCGCTCTAGATGTACGAGACAATGTACTTCTCGGCCGGGACATGGAAGACAATCGACGGAGGCTTGAACAGGCTCCCGCTCGCGTTCCACCCGCTTGTTGACAAGGTCACGTCGATGAACAAGAAGATCGAACGAGTCCAGTTCGCGACGCAGAACGGCAAGAAGAAGGTCAACCTGCAGTGGCGCGACGACTTCAAGTCGCAGAAGTTCCACACCGAGTCGTATGACTATGCCGTCATCACGGCGCCCTTCACCATTGTGCGCAAGTGGCGGCTGCCGCAGCTGCCAACGACCATCTCCAACGCCATCAAAAACCTGAACTACGTGTCGGCGTGCAAGGTGGCGCTGGAGTTTAGCGAGCGCTTCTGGGAGCACTACGACAACCCCATCGTGGGCGGCTGCTCGACGACGACCGACATCCCCGGCATCGCGTCTATCTGCTACCCGTCCTACAACATCAACGGCTCGGGACCGGCCACAATGCTCGCGAGTTACTCGTCTGGGGATTGGGCCGAGCGCTGGGTTGCGTCAAACGAGACCGAACACGTCCAGTACGTGCTGGACGCCATGGTCGAGATCCACGGCGACAAGGCCCGCAAGCTGTACACGGGCAAGTTCAACCGCCGGTGCTGGCTGCTCGATCCTCTGACCTCGGGCGACTGGGCCAGCCCGACTGTCGGACAGCACCGGCTGTATATCCCAGAGTACTTTAAGACGTACGACGGAGTGAGTCCCCCGTCATCCGAGGCCCCTAGGTACCTAACTAGTTTATGAACTGATCTCTGTCTGCTAGCTGATTTTCGTCGGAGAGCACACCTCGTATACGCACGCGTGGATTGCTTCGGCACTCGAGTCTGGCATCCGCGGATCAGTCCAGCTGCTCCTCGAACTGGGTCTGGTCGACGAAGCCAAGGCGACAGTGGAAAAGTGGATGGCCAGATGGATCGACATTGTGAGTTTTGTCTGCATGTCCTCGCGCTGGATCGAGTCGCTGACTAGGAGCATAGTAAACGCAAAAAACATCCGCAAAATTATCCGAACACGTACGCAGAGATTACCAAGTCTCGTGGTACACACTACCAATCCCGGGGTGACCAGGCTCGCGTGAGACCGAGATTGTAAGCAGGGAACAGCGAACGAAATTGATGGTTACAAGGAAACCACTATCCACCCAAGGTACTATCTTGCAGGCTGAATTAGAGTCTCCTATCTTGTAGGCTGAATTAGAGTCTGCCCTTTGCGTGTCCAAGATAACTATTCTAGTTTTTCTAGTTTTTCTAGTTCAAGTAGATACCAATGCCGCATCGAATAAATATCTGATTCTAGCAAGCTGGGCGTCGGCTAATTTCATCTTTTACTGGCTGCTGGGAGTACCGCCTACCATCTCTGCACCGCCCTTCTCCTCAGCACCTCACCATCTCAGTGCAGATCTTGGAGTAAGACATTGACCAGCTTGTGGCTCTCGGCCTCGGCCTCGTAGCCTCCCACGTACTGCCCCCACTCCTGCTGCCAATTGTCTAACGCCTTTCGTCAGCCTTCGAGCAAACCACAACGCAACCTCCATATCGAGAGCAACCACAAAAAACAGGCAACTCACTGTATGTAGAAGCCGGCTTCGTCTGGCACAGCCAGATGATGGTCTCGTTGACGCCCTTCTTGAGGTCCGCGTTGGGGAATTGGCGCAGCACCGCCGCATACTCGGCCTGCGTGACGCCGAACGCGGGACCTGCAAAGTCCATCTGGATGCCCTTGCTGACCGTCGCCACCACCAGCTCCTTGTAGTACGAAATCGCCGGCTCCGTGTGCAGCGCGATCGAGTCCCACAGCAGCTGCACGCGGCGCTCATCCCACGCCTTGCTGCTGGCCTTGTTCCCGAGAACAAAGTCGCGCGCGGCAAAGGCGCCGTCGACCTAGATTAGGAATAGCCGAGGTGTCAATGTTGGCTCATCAGCGCAGTTTCATGCGTGGCTGGCACAGATGGGTAGATAGCGAGGTGAAGCAGAAATTCACACACCTCGAAGCGGCGGTCGGGGGTGACAAACGGCGAGGCGGGCGAGCGGTCCCAGCCGAGGTCGTGGAGCAGCGCGGCGACGGCCTGCAGCTCGAGGTCGACGGCGCCCTGTAGCGTCGTGTTATGCCTGACGATGAGGGCGCCGAAGAGCCACGACCGCATGATGTGCTTGTAGGCAAAGTCGGCGCTGTGTGCCTGCGCGAACGCCTGCGCCGCGCGCACTATCGGCGTGTCGACGACCGACACGCCTGCAATGCTGCGAGTCGCATACGACGGCACTGCGGCGGCTTGGGTGGTTACGGGGAGAAGGAGGGCGAAGAAAGCCCCGGCCAGGTTGGAGTAGTGCATCGTGTCAGAGTTGAAAGCTGCTTTATAGGGATGAATCTGAGTTGCGAGGCTCAAATCTGAGTTGCTGGCTTGAATCTGAGTTGCTGGCTTGAATCTGAGTTGCTGGCTTGAATCTGAGTTGCTGGCTTGAATCTGAGTTGCTGGCTTGAATCCCGAGCAGCGGTGCGAGTTCAACCGTCTGCGCAGCTGCTATTTATCCTGATCTGCTCTCTCCGAACCGCCACCCCAACAGTCCTCCACGAGCACATTTCCTCGAGAAACAATGCGCTCAAGCTTCGCACAGGACTTTCGTCATCAGTGGTGATGTGATTGTCCGAAGGGCTGCGGAAGTTAGCCCCTTGACCACTTGGTGGTTCCCGGATGTAACCCAACCTTTGTCAACGGCCGAGCCGTTTCGGGTCATGGAGTCCACCGCTGCCGTCGTGGCGAGTCTTGCATTACAAATACGAAATGGAAACAACGTGCAATAGCCCATGTTTAAAATCCACCCGGCCCCCGGTGAGCGGTCGGTAGACCGGAGACCGAGAATATCATCATGTCGGAAGTTCTTGGGTAATGTTTGTCCCCGTGAAGAGCCGGCTCATGTAAAGACATTCCTAAAGGGGATAAAGCCCCACCACCCCTCATTTCTTCATAGGCCGTGCGAAAGACTGCCCGCCCGCTCCCTAAGCCGAGAAGAGCAAACGGCCGTGGACGTTCCCGTTGTGTTCATAGGCTACCAGCACTGCGCCGTCTCCAACCCTCTCGGCTCCAGGCCATGCTCCCATCTCGCTCACGATCTGCTTCCGACCCCACTTTATGTTCTCGTGACGAGGCGGAGCACCGAATACCACAGAAATACCAGCCTTCCTCGGCCAGTCTGGCACCCCCTCAACTCGCTCGTCAGTCATGAAAACAACGGCCAACGTCCCGTCCGGAAACGACGCAATCTGCGGCGCACCGGCATTACGTCCTGGACTCGCCGCATACACCGTCTGGCGCGACCCAAAGGTTGCTCTGTCGTCGTACGACACGACACACTCGATCGAGAAGGTGCCACGGCGCGTCGTCTCTAACGCCATGACCAGCGCATCGCGGCCCCGGTCGCGTGTTGAGGCAACGCCCACCATCCCGTCGCGCAGCCGCTCGCCCGCACCCGTTACCGCCACAGGGCAGACCACGTGCGGCCCCTGTCCGGGCTGACGAGGAGCATCGTGGCTTGGCCCGCCGCTTCTAATTCTTGTGAGAAGAACAATTGACATCCCCGAGCCAGCAGAGGACGGGGCCGTCAGACAGCCGGCAGAGGCGCGGGTATGTGCCCGGCGCGTCGTGGATGAAGTGCTCGGCGGCCGCGACTTGGCATTTGTCCTCGGATGAAGCCTCCTCGTTGGCGCTGTGGGTGCACCCTATGGTTTTGGGGCGCTGGCCAATGCCGAGGATGTAACGACCGAGGGATGGCAATTGATTGACGACCGAGGGGTGACGACCGAGGGATGGCAGTTGATTGATTACCTGATGCGTGCTTCGACGGGAATAATGATCTGCAATTTCGGAAAGAGGGGAGGTCTATGAAATGGCAGGGTGCACTTGAACCGTTGGTGGCGGTAACAAAAGGTAGAAAACGAGGCAGGTCGTGAAGTTGCCTTGCGTGACAAGCACAAACGTAGAAAACGAGGCAGGCCGTGAAGCTGCCTTGCGTGACAAGCGTACGATGCAACAGATGAAATTACTGTACAAGGGCACCACCTACCACCCTTCTGCGTTTGTCATCCTATCTCGCAAAGGAGGTGGGTGGCACATGACTCGAGAGCAGATCGAGAATTCTTCGGTATTAGAGCTGCATCAAAAACCGCGCTCATTAATCACTGGCTAGATAAACTCACTAATTTAACTCCATGCCTAATTACCTGCCTTACCCACTAGTTCACTATCATGCAAGCCGCCTCCAACCACTTCACGCGTAACAATTCCTCCACCTAAAAAACGCCATATCATAGTGACTCTAGAATAGTACAATGTCTTTCCAATCCATCCGTGCCTTTTTAATCCCAACGCCAACAGCCCAAGACAACCAGATCTCGAAATGAACAAATATTTTGACAATCTTTTTAAACCCCTTTTCCCCACCTCCCCTTTTCCCCGTCTCCCCCTTTTCCCAACACAGGCTCCTCACCACCAGATCGTCATTGTCCAGTCGGCACTTGCACCAATATGGCTCACTCAGCGGGAGGCGGGGTCTTCTTCTCGTAGTCCTCCAGCCCCTTGACCGCGACATAACGGTGAATCAGCTCGCAGTTGCAGTCGCCGGGCCTGTGGCGTGCCAGTTGGCAGGTGAGCGTGTGGCGAACGCCGACCAGGCGCGCCTTCTCGGCCCTGAGCCGCTCGTGCTCCGCCGTGACCGCCACCGCCTGGCGCTTGATCTCACTCTCCCTGACGCCGTCCCGCTGCCGCTGCCTGCTTGCGGCTAGCCGGTTGCGCTCGCGCGCGTCAACCGGCTGCTTCCCTTTGCCTTTGGAGCTGTTGCCCGCGCTCGGCTGCTCGTTCCCCGGCTGCTCGTTCCCGCTGCTGCTGCTGCTGCCGCTGCTGCTGCCGCCGCCGCCGCTGTCGCCCCATCCCGAGGCCGCGTCCAGAGGAGACGTGGCTTGGGCGTTTAAGTAACTGGTGGCGTCGGGAGGGATTATCGCCGAGTCGGAGCTGTAAGACGACGGGCCTGCGACTGGCGCAAAACTCGGGATGAATTGCGGGTTCACGCCAATGGCGGCTCTTTGGTCTTGATAGCCTGCGAAAGCCGGCGAGAAAATGCCGTCGGCCGTATTTGCCTGAGGCCACGCAGAAGAGCTGGCCCATGCCGAATAAGGGTCGGCAATGGTTGATTGGGCCGGCGAGGACTGAAAGACTGGCTGCGCAGAACTCGGCTCTGTGTAACCGTCGAATGGCGCATACGTCATGGCGTTGGAAGCGGCTTGGTATGTGCTCCAGGCCGAGGGCTGCTGGGGAGCCGCAATGTCGTAGTACCACATAGCGGCTGGCAGGGACCCAGGCTGACTGGCAGACGGCAATGATGCCGGATCGTCAGGAGAAGTAGCCGGGTATTGCCATAAAGGTTCGCCCGGATCTGGCTCCATGATAGGCGCGTTGCGGGAGCCTGCAATTGCGAGCCTTGGAAATGTTGTTCCAGCAGGACTCGAGGTCTTGTTAGAAGCGGAAAATGTTCACAACAAAAAGAACGTGACTTGGGGAGAAATGGCGGAGCTGGGATGCACAATCTATTGATTTCCAGTCTCTGAGCTCGTGTTTTTATACTCCAAAACTGCAGAAGTATTAATGCTGCTTGGTGAAGCCGCAACGTGCGACCTGTGCCTCGACAATCAATCACTTGCTCGCCACATCCGTCTCGTGCCATTCGAATAGCCTGTCCTTACGGCTCGGATCCAGCACTTTGAAAAGTGCACAAATATCAAATACAAGGTCCAGTTGCAGAGGGGCAGAAACTCAACCATAGCCCTCCCGTCGGAACATGGCGCTGAGAGAGAACCAGTCAGATCCAGCCTGTCACGCGGCACAGCTCCCCGTAACACCAATTGGCTGGCCGTGAGGGAAGGTGAGATTCAAGGATACCTGGGTTTACGAGGCGGTCAGGAGAGAGCCGGAGAATAATCACGAATCTTTCAGCCCGAGTTGACACAGAAATGGGTCAAGGAGCGAAATTCTAAGGCTATGATGAACAAAATAAACCTATTCCAATCTATCCAACCACTAACTCCGTGGCCCCCCTTTATCCATCCGTCCAACCAATATTAGTCTCTACCTTAAAGCAACCTAAAAATAGACACGTGGCTCAATTTCGTGTTAAAGATCAAGGGAGTTATAGCTACTTCAGTCCGCCGTCCTCTCATTACCTCCAGCTATCACGAAGTGGGGCCCAGCGACCTATGCACAAGGCAAAAGAACGCCCAGGTACTGACTTCTGGGTAAGCAGTAAGGTGCCTAGGAATTCAACTGCCTCCACCACTCACATGATGCGGCAAAGTCAGTAGAAGCGGGGCCACACCATCCGGAAGTGTGACCCCCACTCCGTTGGCCTAGTTACCTCGTCTATCGCAGCCCAAGAATACCGGACATGCCCAACAAGGGCTCAAGTTCGGGACTGGTGTCAGCAGCTTGGGCACCGGCGCTGAGGTCGGGCGCTTTCGCGTCGAGCATGAACTCGGTCGGCCAGTCGTAGTGGAGGCCCAGGCTGCATTCCTCGTGGTTGATGAGGGAGTGGCGGAAGAGATGGTCGACGCTCTCGGGCCGCACCCGCGGGTCGCCGAGTGGCCGCCTTACGAAGTCGAGCAGCTCTCGCGCGGCGACGTGGTGCCGCGATGTGCCTGAGGCAGACGTAAGCAGGTACTGTCTGTCGCCACCACCCCCGCCGCCGCGGGGAGCCTCGCTTACAGGCAGATTCGGGGCTGCGTCGGCACCCGCGAGGCCCCTCTCCGCCGCCGCCTCTTGGAGCAGGTCAAGTTAGGCCCGGAGTACCCGGCAGAAGGACTGCGCAATCACATCGGCCTCGGTGCAGAAGGTCGCGAGCGACTCTATCATGTGGGTTATCAGGACATGGTCATCGTACCACTCGGCGTCAGCCGTCTCAAGCAGCAGTTTCTGATATGACACATGGAGCAAGATGCAGCTAGCCACGTGTGAATGGAAACCGTAAGACAAAAACCGAAGGTCAGCCTACCATCTCATTGGGAGCCTCGGATTACGAGTGGAATAACAAGGGGCAAGGGACACTAACACTGAAACCCAACAGTGCGTCTCACCGAGCCCCGCTCCGTCTCCAACAGCAAGCAAAATCTTGACGAGTGGCGAGCCGACAGCAGTCCGTCGCTGAGACAGGCCGTCAGTTCCTTGGGGACGGCCGTCGGCGTCTCGGCATCTCCGAAACGGCGGACGAGGCGGCGAAAGAGCCGCAAGACCGCGCCCTGGTGTGAGATGTGCAGGCAGTAGAGCTTGAGTCGGTCTGGTGACTGGGGTTGGGTTTCAGCAATGCTAGATGACTGGGCGTCAGGAGGAAGGGCATCATATCAGGCCAGAAGCAGCCCCCTCGGAGACGTGTAATGCGACGTCTACGCACCCTGTGCAAAGTAGTGAGCATCAAATGAAGCCTAGTGGGACTGGGGACCTAGTGGGACTGGGGAGGGTGATAGCTGCTGCCAAAGTGTTGAAATGCGATCTGGTCGACCTGCCGACTCACGTCTTGCGAGACATCTTTTGTTTCAAAATAGCCATTCTGGCCATCTCTCGACGGAAATACTCGCCCCCGTTCAGGCGCTGCAAATCTTCGTCCTGGCCCGACGCGAGCACATCGGCAGGGCCCAGGTCCACGAAAGCCCAGCCCAGCGTCGACCGCAGCCAGACTCTTATGGCAACAAGACAGCGCCAGACACGCTTCATCTCGCCCCACTCGGCCGCCAGCGCCGTGGCGGGACGTCGGTCGCCAAACAGCCCCAAGATCCGCGACAGACCAAGGCCCCTCTAGACGTGAGCCAGAGCCACCTGGGTCTGAGAGCCCACATTGCTGGCGGCAAGCAGGCAGCAGAGCCGCAGAGCCGTCCTCAGTGTTGTCGCCGTGCTCGGTGTTGTCGCCGTGCACTCTTCCAGAAACATGCAAGCCACCCGGTAGTTGTCGTCTTCGGCTCCGTGGGGACTGCTCACGAGAAAAGACGATTCCCGCCGAAGCAAGCGCGCAGAGCTGGCGCAGCAGCGGCCTCAGCAATGGCTCGGGCGCACGGTTGATGCTATCCAGAACGGCAGCAGCGTCAGCATTGGCGTTGGTGAAGAAGAGCACGTCAAGGTGGCCCCGATAATAAACAAGACACTTCTCCACGACATCTAGCCTCTCACGGAGAAACCCAACAATGACTCTTGGGCCTAGTAGAGACGGCCCTGGCACGGTGGCGGGGGCTGCAAGCGCACCCAGTGCTGGAGTATCAGCTCGAGGCAGCGCAGGGCGCAGGGCGTAGAGCAAGAACATGTCGCGAGGGGCTGTGACTCTCGGTCGGGCGGGTCGGGTGGTGCTGCTCAGCATTAGACGGCTGGAACGGCGTCGAGGGGCCAGCAATAGCTAAGCCCGCAACAGAGCAAGGAAGCATGGAGCTCGAAGATGATGCCGCTGCGTCGGGCACGTCGGTCCGGTTCGATATAAGCTCGCTTCTAAGACGAGCAACTTCAGCTCGCATGCCTGCGTAACGCGTCATGCCGGGCACTGCAAGGTACAAACACTGTCGACCGTTTAGTCTGCACTCGGCATGTCGGCCGCTGACCATCGCACTGCCCAGAATAACACGTACTCGTTAGTATCGCGATGAAATCCAAAGCCCAAACTCGATCGAGGTCGACACGTCATACTCTAGTCTTCTTCGACCTGCATGGCTCGCACGCCGACTGGGTCTTCCTCACAGGCGGCAGCGGGCCGGCTCTCGGGAAGGAGAGGTCGGAATGCCTCTCGGGACCCTCGTCCTGCTTTTGTTGTGGCTGCAGCAGCAGGTATGATCTTACTTCCATACGCTCGTAATGGGCTCGGTCTCTCGATCCAGCTGCCGTTAGGTTGGCAGGAACTCGACTACGGCATGTCGATGGGAAGTGCTGAAAGTTATTAATACCAGTGGCGCCAGAAAACAAGAGAAGAAGAAAATAAAAAGAAAAATGACCAACTTAATGCAGGAGCGTCGTGTTGATGCTTTCAGCCCGCTGCAGCAGTTTGAAGGGGAATGTGCATGACTGCGTATCAAGCTCGTCACGCCTAGTGCAGCCTCATTAAGCCTCATGTCAGGGTCTCCTTCCGATCACAGTGTATATTTTGATTCACAGCTGTCGTCGAGATGACCCGAGGCCGAGGCGTGGAGATGAATCCAGGCATTTCGAGTCGTGGAAGTCGTGCCCAGCGTGCAATCAACGCCGACGTCGCTGAAGGATTAGCCTAGTGAAGCACATGAGTGCTACTCCCGTGAAGTTATGTCGGGTCTGGGGTGGTAAGGAGCTCGCCCTAGGCTGTAGAAGTGAGAATGATTGGCGAATGCGGGGCGCCGGGGCGTGCAGCCGTCGACGAAAGAGCCCTGTTGGTCCCCTGCTAGGTAAGCACAACAACTCAACAACTGATCAGCAAAGCCCGCCCCGATCCAGGGTCCACAACAAATTGTCACAGGGTGCCGATCCCCGACTCACCTTGTCATTAACAGCCTCACCTGTCATCAACAGCTTCACCTTTGCCGTGCAGGCCCGCGGTCCCTGATTTTTCACACGAGGATCGCTTGCAAACGACCCCACGCATTCGACGTAAGGGGATCGATCCCCAGTCCGCTCAACAAAAAAAAATGACGGACCAAGATGCCTAACCGGATCTCGATCCAAATCTCGCGAGGGCTGCATAGTTGCCGAATTGGACAAAATGGGCAAATTCGGTCCCAGCGAGCGTTCCATGATGTAATTAAACGTTTCCAGAGAGCAGGGGGTTTTCCAGAACAACTCGAACCTAGGGTCAACCCCATGTTAACCCCCACCTTTAGTCCTGATACCATTTGACCCTGCTGCTAGCCGCCATTCGTTCCCTCGTGGCAAGTTCCTGGAGTTTCTAGACACCCCACCACCCAACGACACGCTAAATCTCATATTCTACTAGTTAATTAGCTTTGTCCAATTAATTATTCCGTACTCCGTCGCTGGTTTCTTAATTAGCGCTCTTGCTAATTAACCCAAGCCCCTTCGGCATCCAGAACGTATCTGGCCTGATTCATATGGCGTCTTCGGGTTGACAAGATACCGTCAGTTGACAAGATACCGTCAGAGGCTACCCAATAGTAATTCACACGCATTTCCTAATTTATGCCCTAGATAGCTGACGCGTGAGGTGCTGTTCCTCAAACCTCCAAAATACTATAGCTACGAGAGATACGAGAATCGGTCGAGCAGGGCGGGAAGCAACAGCCATCGCAGCACGGTCTTAATTCCGCCATATCAGCATCGTGTTGCACTGCCGGTATTCGTATTACCAATCGATATAATCTTCAATAGCCGCTTTTCAGCTCGACGCAGGGTCTACGCAAGCACATGGTCTCGTGCTTCGACATGAAACACGCTGCTATCAGTGCTACGCATACTGAATGCCTGGAATGGGTATTCGGCTGCCGACTCACCAGTTGGATTTGCTTGAGATTTAAGGTGACGTGGACAAAGTCCCTCATTCAAACAATCTTGACCAAGAGCGGGATAGCAGCATGCAGTGCCGACATGCAGAAAACCAGTTGTGCGCGTCCTAGCAACTCGTATTTCAATGGCAGCTGCAGCCGGTGCCAAGTGCTTGCGGCCGAGGCACGAACCAGCGCGTGCCTTTCCCCAAAGTGCCGTCTTGGCACTCCTTTAATTCCTAGGGATCCAGCAACGCGACACCTTGACAAACGCATCTGTCAGCTTCACTAGCGTCGACTAGCCCAGACTCCGAGATCCAGACTGCCGGCTAATCCTGCCATGTGCATCCAGTCGCTCGTCGGCGGCGGCTCTCCCACATGGGTCATGGAGCGAGCGCTTGCGTTACGACAGCGAGGCGCGGAGGCACAGGGCACTGATCACGACAGACTCGCAAACCAGCGCCACGCACGCCTCCGTGCCATGGAATCCACAGCCGAGCAGGCTCCCGCCCTGTGCCACCTCCTGTCCGACCTGTGCCAATTATCGACCTCGGATCCCATCCAGCCCGTGCCTCAAGCCAGCACAAAGGTCGTCGGCAAGGGAAGAATTAAATAAAGTGCTTATCTTCATCTCGGACTCGAGGCGCGCATGGTGTACCTGAGCGTGAAGGATGCGGAACATAAAGGCTTCGCCATCCTTACACCTATTGTGGCCATCCTCACGCCTATTGTGTTGCTTTTTTGTGTTCAGTCCCTGCCAACTCCATCTCAAAGACTCGACGACTCTTATTGGCAATTGAACAGGCACATCATTACGCGCACACCTAACTACACACAAAACTTTCTCTGTCGCACACGCAAAGGAAAGAAATATGAGGGCATCATCAGTCGTGCTGCTAGGGCTGGCTGCGCTCGTAGCCGCGACTTCGCGCGAGTCGATACACGGGCTGGCGTGCGAAGCCGGAGACGACAGGTGCACCACGGTCTCGACGACCACTTCCCTGAAGCCGACCACAACGACAGCGACAACCCCAACAACGACAGGTCCGGCGGTGACGGGCAGCATCCGGCATTGCGACAGCCATCACCACAGCCGTAGCGGGGGCGACAATGACAACAACAACAACAACAACCACCGCATTCGTACCGATCATGACGATGACGGCCACGATGATGACGACGACCGAGATGACGACGACAGCACCTGCCTGGCAGCCACATCGACCACCTCGGCCTCCACTACATCCAACTCCGTCAGCCACAGCGACCACAGCACCACCACCACCACCACGGCCCAAACGAGCGTGTCTCTCAGCAGCATCGCAAGCGGCAACTCGTCGTCGCTCCCCACAGTCACCTCACTCGGCCCCGAAAGTTCCGGTTCTACTAGTCGCCCGGCAGCAGGCACGAAGACCGAGACGGTATCCTCGACAGCAACCCTCCCCGCGACCACTGCCTCGTCGTCGTCCTTGTCGTCTTCCACTTCAGCAGGCCCGCCAGCGACTACCAATGCCGCGGCAGCCGCTGTTCCCACGAGCGTGATGAGTGCTGTCGGCGCCTTGCTGGGGATGGCTGCCGTGGCTCTGGCGTTGTGACCTCTATGAGTCCATCGTGATTAGTTACCTAGGTGCCTGAACGACGATACGGAGTACGGGTCTGTCTGGGTCTGGGATCTAATTAGCTAACATGAATGCATGTATTTTATTTTGTGGAGGTGAGCGGGTCGTATTTGGCGGCCTGAGATAGGGTAGAGAGCAATGTGGTGAGAGGCTAGGCTTCTTTCTCAGCCCGCAACGTGCTTGTTAGGCAACGAGGCAGTACGAAGTATACGAGCCGCTACCCGGGCATCCTTTCTCGGGACTCATTAATTCACTGGTTCAAGCGCTCCAGTTTTCTGGTACCATCTACGGTCGAAGTGTATTCTTGAAAGTTTAAGAGAGACTCTCACGACCATTAGCTTATCAAACATACGCTCAGCGCCACGTGGCGTTGTCAACCCCGAGCTCCTAGCTTGGATTATTTATCCGTTGGAGGTGAGCCAAGTCAGGTTGCTGACCTATCCTGACTTGTTTTCGAAGCGAGCGTTCTGGCCATCAACGTAGGCCCATAGTAGAGCTCGTTCCCTTATCTTGTATAAAATTAGACCTCGGTATTTTAATTTTCAAGGAACATGACTCGGGCTATGGAAAGTAGCAATTGCAAGCAAGTAGTGCTGCTCGAAGCGAAAAAGAGGTCAATGATTTCATCCTGAAATAAATGGCTGTATCTCGCATAGCTGTCGCTTCTTGCGACCAATCGACATCTGATTACAAGAACCGAACGGACTTTTTTAGGTGTGGAGAATTTTGTATTCATTTTGTATATATATGTCCACTTCCTGTCGCAGCCACATTGACTACGATCTTTTCTCTTCCGCATCATTTACAATTCGTTAAATCATACAAGAATTGCTACTCCATACCTGGTAATATTCATGTGAGGTCAATTTCCACCCATGTGAGAAGACTTCAACATGGTTAAACTACAGGAGAAGAACACGCGGAAAAAGTTCTACAATAACATTATAGCTACAATAAGAGTAAGTGAGCTTATTCTTGAAAACTCACTAATCTGGCTTCCCCTGCCCTTCTTGGAAGTGTGGTCCGAATGCCGAGGTGCCTGGCAGGGCGAGAAGCGGGGGGGTTACGGAGTAACTGCCTACAATACGACGCTATCTGTAAGGCGCCAGCTGGTCTCCCAGCGAGGTTACAGCGGGACAGCTACTGTAGCAGTGAGGTCGGTCCCTTATCCAGTCGGCCTGTGGATCAGGAACCATGGATTGCTCGAACAAGCCGCACAGCCGAACCACGCTGTCGCACACGACCTGAACCCGCCGAATATCCTTGGGTAACCTCAAAATGGCCGAAAACGATGATGCCTCTCTTGCAGCGATGCCGCCTATTCCCGAGGACGAGTTCTGCGTGTTCGGGACGGTAGCTTTACCCTAACACCCGTAACCACGGCCCCGGCCGTAGCTTGTTGCTGACACGGTGCCGCCGCAGGTCTACGCCTTCCCCGAGCACGCCGACGCGCTGGAGGCAGTCTATGCCGAGACGACGCGGCTCGCCGCGCTCGACCCAGGCTCGCTGTACTATTGCATCTGCAGGGACTCGGACGACCCGGCCGTCTTTCACTTTTTTGAGCGCTACACAGGGCGCAAGGCCTTTGACGCGCACAATCAGCAGCCCATCATCCGCAAGTTGCTGGATGAGGACAAGTACATGCGTAAGGTCAAGGCCACATTTGTCAGGGCCATCAAGGCCGCACCTTCCCCGCAGTAGCTGCGTGACGGACGAGGATACCGTGCACGCGTGGCGTCTTAGAACAAACACTTCTTTGATGGCGGTGTGCAAAGGGCATGAAGGGTTGGAATGGATGGATGGATGGATGGATGGCTGGGCTGCTAACTTGCTGCGCAGCGAGTTCATGATGGGTCTGGCGGCGCTGTGTGCTCTCCACAGGCTTAGATTGTATAGAAGTTCGAGTTGGTTACCTGGGTAGGTACCTAGGCAATTTGTTGCAGGCTTCAAACGCCTCTGCCGTCCAAATGCCTCCCATTCGGCCATTTCTCTGCTATGAAATGGAAGCCAAGGCGTCCACGTTAATGCCGGGCCGGGGTCTCCGCTATCCCACCCCCTTCGTCGTGGTTGCTCAAAGGGATCTATCATTCCGGAAGGCTGGGCAAGCGCCTAAATAGCGCACGTCTGCAATTCCGAAAACGGGCAATTTCCCTCTCATCGCGAATGCGAAAATGTGCGACATGTCACGCCTGGTTCCTGGAGTGCAACACGCGTGAATTGAGTTTGCGGCAATTGCCCTAATGTGCCACCAAAGGGTCCTGGTTCTGGCCTGCTCCCGCCGAGCGGGGAAGCCGGCCCCATGTCTGGGTTCCTCCCGTGGGAGACGCCGCGCGCACTCGCGCCGAGACGTGCTACCGAGCCCGCATCGGATGGTTTTCGCTTCTTAACCCTCCCCCAAAGGCTGGGACCGTTTTGGCGATTCGTCCGAAATGCAAAATCGAGACTGCCCTTGCCTGCCCTCGCCTGCGGAGGCGAGTCGTAATGGCTGCGGCTTGATTGGCGTTGGGGGTGCACTAGCAGCAGGTTATGGTGGGTCGGGGAGGATATTCTTAGAATGCGCGAGAGGACTGCTGAAGCCAACGGGCGGCCAGGGAGGACTGGCAAGGATCCGAGGGGTGGGATCGGTGCCAAGCGCGCATTTTCACCTTGGCAATGGGCCGAATCGGTACATTTTCGCGGCGCGGACAGTGTGGTAATCGCGCCACGGCTGCTCTCACGGCCGATCTGACATGTGTGCTGAGGGCGCGGACTGCGATTGCCTGAGACAAAGGCCTGTGGTGGTACTTACAATACATACAGATATCCATCCGTGTCCAGGACTCTACTGTTTTTGTGCACGCGTGCTGTGTCCGCGAGTAGATAGATACTCCAGACTTGAAGTTTTGCATTACCTACAGTTTTGCAAGCTCAGACCGTTGGCTAGATTCCCAGGTCTCTGAGGACTTGCTAAGAATGCAAGAAACTCGAAGCGGCCGCCAGTGCAGGATTGCAGGCTTGCAGCGACGTGGGCTAGTTTCTTTGGCTCTTCTTGCGAAGCCAGGAGACTTGCTGCCGCTGATTGGCATTCACGATTCTGGCCTGCGCAGACTCGCAGCAGGCTTCTGTTGCAGAAATCCCAACGCCACTGTAAGGCTGTGTTGTCAGCGGCTAACCCCAAACAAGGAGGCGGCCACAGCCCACTTCTTGGGTGCCGTCCGCCGCGCCCCCAACCCAAGGTATTCTGGGTCAAATCTCCAACTTCAGTGGGCCGCCGCTGACTGCAACCCTGAACATGTTGTCGCGGGGCGCAAGGATCGGGACACTCGTCCTTCGCCGCACGGCTTTGTTGACTTTGTGCGGCGGGTTTCCAACCAAAGAAAGAATCCGCCGCCTTATCATATTTAAGGCCGACCATCTCACCCTGTCTTCCGTCCCAACTCTTCTTTCGTCGTCGTCGATTTCTGCCAAGCTAAACTGCCAGCCAAGACCACGTCAAGGCTCGAACCATTGCCGTCGTTGAACATTGGCCACTTGCTAACACTTTGTCACAACCCGGATCCCCTCTTTTTTGGTTTTAAATTATTTTATTTTTTTATTTTTTTTATTCCTTTCCCCGGGAAAAGAACTGCTGCTTCAATCCGCAAAAATGGCTGCCGCTGTCTATGCCGATCATCCCTTCTCCCTCATCCCAACCCCGACCTACAAGCTGAAGCAGGAGAATCCGGACTACAAGGTGCGTCCCAGCAGAGCAAACATGGCTGGTTGCTCTCAAACTGACAGGCTGCAGCCCGATCTCTTTGACGACACGGCGTCCGAGATGGCCCTCGTGCACAACATGATGATCCGCGGTCTCAACGCCATCTACCTGCAGGCGCAGCACATCAAGCAATCAGAGCAGAAGGACTTCTGCAAGTTCATTATCAACTGGCACCTGCTGCTGCACCTGCATCACGGCAACGAGGAGGACCAGATCTTCCCCATCATTGAGAAGATGGCTGGCGTGACGGGCATAATGGAAGTCAATGTCGAGCAGCACCACGCCTTCCACGACCCGCTCGACAAGTTCATCGCCTACACTAATGACGTGATCGCCGGCAAGCAAAAGTACGACGGCGCCGTCGTCGTCGCCTCGATTGACGAGTTTGGCCCCCTCCTAGTGACCCATCTCGCCGACGAAATCCCCACCCTCCTGGCCTTGAGGCAATACGGCCTGGAGAAGATGAAGGGCATGCCCGCGCTTCTTAGCCAGGCCGCCGAGCACGCAATGGTAATCATGTCCAGACTGACTGCCCGCGCCCTGCCTTGTCGAAAATGCTAACCGGGCTTTGCCGAACAGAAGGGACTCGGCCTGTCGGGGCTCGTGTGTTGTTTCGCCAACCTCGACTCGCATTTCGAGGACGACATGTGGTTGAACTTTCCGCCGGTGCCGGCACCCGTGCGCTTCCTCGGCCGCACTCTCTTCTGGTTCCTCCATCGCGGCATGGCCAAGTTTGGCTCTTCGGACCGGCACAGCGCAATCAGGGCCCTGTACGCGGCAGGCGACGTCCAGCCCAAGGTTGAGGTCCAGACAGACGACACGAAGCCAGATGCTGCCGCCAAGCCCGAGAACTAGCAATAAGTCGACCTAAATAGGGATGCGGCGGCGGGGCGGTCAGCTGCTTTGATGCCGCGGCCACTGTCCATCTATCTTGTACCTTATTTATCTTTCTTTTCTCTTGTGCGTACTTTGGATACCCTGCTTTTGGATCGGACTGGAGTTTCAAGAGGACAGACAGGACGGCAGGAGCACGCCGTTAATGGTTCGACGGGCCGCATAATATCAGGGACGTGTGAGATCTTCCTACGACCTTGTCGAGGTATTATATAAGCTAAAAAAATTACAACACCTTTACGTAACTCGCTTCTGCAGTTCACGGTCGTGACGCAATTCGGTGCTCGGCTGGGTAAGGTGTAAGATGAGGTCTAGATGATTGGTGCACGGCGAGAATCGCGTGCTGGTTGGGGTTCCCGTCTAACGGCGTCACATGTCGGGGAGGACCACACAAGTCCAGCCCCTGCTGTCAACAACTGAGCCGTGTCACGCATGGCCGGGTGGGCGGTCGTATATGTCCCAAACTCTAAATGAAGCCAGCTGCCGGTCCCCGCACTTTGTTCCCGTGCTGCTGCTGCGTGTGTCGCGAGACGGCCGTGGGAGGTAACGTCGAACATACTTAGCCGAGATAAGAAGAATCCCGCCTTCCTGATGGAGAGACCCAGCGCTCGTCCCGTGGTTATTGCCGTCCTGGACGGCGTGGCTGCTAGACTGTAGTCAAGACACTCCTCGCGACGTTTCTCCCACCACGATTCCCAGCGGCTTTTCGTCTTCATCAAGGAGTATCCTTGTGCCCAGCGTAGCATTTTTATTTTTTATATTTTGTATTTTTTTTTACCGCTGGTCCAATCATGGCCGAAAAGCTCGACACGATTGACGGATCCGGTGGCGGCGAGATCGCGCCCGACCTGTCGGACCGAGACCGCGAGAAGACGCCGACGCAAACAGGGACGCACGAGCGCATCAGCGGTCAGATCCCGCACGAGATGCTGGAGGTGTTGGCGCCCAATGGGGAGGGCGACTACATCTTGGAAAAGGTCGACAGCCTGAGCCGAGAGGAAGCGCTGGCTATCGTGGCCGAGGCGTACCGGTTCTACAGCGACGACTGGAATTTCCCGTCCGAGATGCGCGACCGCATGGGCCGCCTGATCGCCGATGGCCCAAAGCAGTACGGCGAATTCTACGACCGCGACCTGCGTGTCGACGCCGTCATGTTGCGCTACTCGTCGCCTTACCCCGGCGTGCGCGCCGTTGCCGACCCGCGCGATGAGCCGACCGTGCCCATAGAGACTGCGAGGGCCTATTTCCTCGGCATTTCCTGGGCCGTCATTGGCACCTTCATGTCGACCTTTTTCAACAGCCGGTTTCCATCCATATGTGAGCCTGCGCAGCAGTCGGTTGATTGGTGATTGTGCTCTTGTTGTTGACACCAGGCACGTCAAACAGCTCTCTCGGGTTCTGTGATCCAAATCTTGCTCTTCCCATGCGCGAAGCTGCTCGAATTCGTCCTGCCAGACTGGGGCATCACCGTTTTCGGGGTGAGGCACTCGCTAAACCCCGGGCCTTGGACTTTCAAAGAGCAGATGTTCGCTACCATCACGTATAACATCTCCATCTACACGACAAACTCTTACGGCATGATCCTGGTGCAGAAACTGGACCTCTATTACGGGCAGACCTTTGTGACGTTTCCGTATCAACTGGTAACCCGGCCATCTCCATCGTCTATATCCTGACTAATGCGTGTCAAACAGATGCTCACTCTCTTTGTACAACTAATGGGCATGGGCTTTGCCGGATACCTACGTACGTTCATGCCACCAGATTGTTGAGGCTAGACACTCACTCCAAGCAGGGCGGTTCTCGTAAGTTCATGTCAGAGTCTCCTGCTGGCCCAGGCACTTACACCAGCAAGGGTCTACCCTGTCAAGGCCCTCTGGCCGACCATCCTCCCGACCATCGCTATGAACCGCGCCCTGACGCGGCCCGAGCCCCGAGAGAACATCTACGGGTGGACCGTCTCGCGGTACAAGTTTTTCTACATCTGCGCGGGCTCCATGGCCGTCTACTACTGGCTGCCTGGGTACCTGTTCACGGCGCTGTCGACCTTCAACTGGATGACGTGGATCGCACCGCAGAACATCACGCTCGCCATCCTCACCGGCTCATCGCTGGGGCTGGGCCTGCTGAACCCGCTGACCACGTTTGACTGGAACGTGGCGACCACTTCGTACGCCGCGCTGGCCCGCCCCTTCTTCTCCACCTGCACCGAATACTGTGGCTCCATCCTGGGCGCCTTCATCATCCTGGCCATATATTACTCCAACATGTCGTACACGGCGTATCTGCCGATCAACTCGTCGTCGGCTTTTGCCAACGACGGGAAGCCCTACAATGTGCAAAAGGTCGTGGTGGACAACAAGCTCGACCAGGTGCTGTACCAAAACTACTCACCGCCCTTTTACTCGGCTGGCTACATTCTCACAGTAGGAGCCAACTTTGGCACGTTGATCTACCTACCGATTGGCAAAGTGCTGGTTACTAATTAAACGGACAGCCTTCTACCCCGTGTACTTCCTGTACATCATGGCAAATCAGTGGCGCACCGTCGGGCAGGCGTACGTTGACTTCTACAGAGGCCTGCGCCACGGCAAGGGTAACTACGAGGGCGCCATGGACATACACAGTCGCATGATGGCGCGGTACCCCGAGGTGCCCGACTGGTGGTTCTTGGTGATCCTGCTGGGCGCCATCGTGGTGTCGGTCGTGTTTCTTAGCATCTACCCGCTCGACACGCCCGTGTGGCTCGTGTTTGTCATGATCGGCATCAATATCATCTTCGCCGTGCCGCTGTCCCTGCTGTCCGCCACCACCGGGACCAACCTTGGGCTAGGCGCGCTGGTCCAGGTGATCACGGGCTTTGTGCTGCCCGGCAATCCCAACGCCTTCTTGTTCGCGCAGACGTTGGGCAGCTGGGCCCTCGCAGGTTTGCCCCCCCTTGCCCGGCTCCCACTCCTAGCAGCACACTGACCGGTCCAGGGTACGCGGACAACTATGTGCAGGACCAAAAGATGGCGCACTACGTGAAGATCCCACCGCGGGCTGTGTTCCGCAGCCAGATCGGCACCATCATCATCACTTGCTTCGTCGCCGTAGCCACGCAGAACTTCATCCTCGAGAACGTCAAGGGGCTGTGCACGCCGGAACAACCGTCGCGTTTCACATGCGCCAACGACGGTGCGCCGCTGTACGCCAGCTCGCTCATGTGGGGGCTCCTTGGTAGCAGTCGAATGTTCAACGAAATCTACCCCTTGTTCAAGTGGTGCTTCTTGATCGGCGCGGGCGTTGCCTTGGTGTTCCTGCTCGGCCAGGGCCTGGGCCCAAAGTACCTGCCTGCTGTCAAGGAGCGGCTGAGGGTGAGGCTGCGGCCGCGCACCTTTGCGCTGCTCGACCGCACCCTGTTCCCGTTTGTGGCGTCGCTGGTATGCCCCTCGTGCGTGCCTATTACCCTGGTCAACCGCTAATGTGCTCACGTGTCTACAGCTCTGGCTTAATCCGATTCTGATTCTGCAGGGCGTGCAGCATTGGGCCCCGTCCAACATGGCGTACAAGACGCCGGGGTTCTTGCTGTCGCTGTTCTTCATGTACTGGCTGCCGCGGCACCGCCTGGCATGGTGGGAGAAGTACAACTACGTGCTTTCGGCGGCGCTGACGGCAGGCGTAGCCATTAGCGCTCTAGTCATGTTCTTCGCGGTGGGATATAACCCGGTGAAGCTTAACTGGTGGGGAAACACGGTCAGCTATGCAGGCGTCGACGGCAAGAGTGTTGGCGTTCTGCCCATTCCCGATAGGGGTTATTTTGGGCCCGAGAAGGGGAGCTTCCCGTGAGATATCTACCACGGGCCTAGTTAGTACCAAAGCCCAAGCTTCTGGCGGTATGATCAGATCAAATCAGTACCTATTATCACACATATCATCGTGCTTGACATTGTTAACCTAGTTGGGGTTTGACGCCCTACGCAAGTATTTTCTTGGCTTGCCCCACACAAAGGGCGTGGGTGGGTAAGCTGGAAAGGAAAAGTGGACACGCAAAGCCTGCCAAGTTTGACGGCGCTGTCAACACCTCACCGTAAACAATTGTTAGGTATTTTCTTTGGCCCAACAACCTCAAGCACTCCCCCCCCCCAGACACCAGCAAACTCTCTAATTAGAGCCTAGATCAGGGCATCCGAGGTAACTCACTCATGAGAGCGGTTTGGAAGCATCGGCCCCGCCCAATCGAGCTCCTATCGGCACCCATCTCAGGGTCCTCCTGCCCCAAGAGACCTTACCCAGCGCCACTCCGTCTCCCAGCAGCCGCATCTGTCACACGGATAAGACACCCAAAAGCCGCAACCGCGATGGCAAGAGAAACCACAGCGCCGGCACGCCGACACCACAAGATCGTCGCGCTCGAGGGCGGCATCACACCGATCCCAGACCTGACGCCCGCCATGCCAGAAGGCCACACATACGAGTTGGCACTGCACGAGCGCACGCCCCACGCCGACGCGGCGCTGATAGCATCGCGCGTGAGCGACGCCAACGTGGTCATCACGACCGTGTGCCCGCTGTCCGGCGCCACACTGTCGCCCGTGTCCACGCCGCACCTGCGCTTTGTGGCCGTCATGGCCTCGGGCCACGACGTCGTCGACTTGGCCGCGTGCCGGGGGCGCGGGGTCGTGGTCAGCAACAGCCCCGGGAGCAACGTAGACGCCGTGGCCGAGCACTCCGTCGGTCTCTACTTCTCTGTGCGCAGGAGCATCGTGCACACACACGCCCTGACGCGCGCGGGGCAGTGGCCGCGGCGCGGCGGCATACTGGCTTCTGCGATGTACAGCCCGGGCGGACGCCTGCCGCTGCCGATGCGCGACGAGGTGGTGGGCATTATTGGGTACGGCTTCGTCGGGAAGCGCATCGCCGAGCTGTGCCGCGCGCTGGGGATGAAGCGCGTGCTTGTGGCGGGCCGGAAGGGCGGTGCGGCTGTGGGCTCGCCGCCGCGGGTCGATAATGGCGTTTGCCGCGCGAGCTTCGGTGACGTGGTTCGCACGGCCACCGTGTTGTTTCTCTGTTTGCCGCGCGTCCCGGAGACGATGGGGCTGATCGCCGAGGCCGAGTTGAGCGCGATGCAGCCGCACGCCGTGATTGTCAATGTTAGTCGCGGCGGCATTGTCGATGAGCACGCACTGGTCGCAGCGCTGAAGACGGGCAAGATCGCGGGCGCCGCCACCGACGTGTTCTTGGCCGAGCCGGCTGGACCCGAGAATTCCGTCCTCCTGGCCGAGGATACGGCCGGTTTAAATTTGGTGGTGACGCCGCACGTGGCGTGGGTTTCACAGGCGACGACACAGAATTATCAGGACACGCTTGTTGGAAACTTGAAGGCATTTCTCAACGAACAACCTCAAAACGTCGTCTCCTGAGCCGTGTAATTGAAGTCAGAGTCGAAGGAAGCGGCGGTTAATCTGATATGTGTCGAGACGACGTCAATTAAAAAGTCTATTTATTTATGAATCGCGAAACTAGTAGGGGAAATCCAAAGTAGGGGAAGTCCAAAGTCTAAAGTCAAGTCAGTGTGCTCTTCAGTCGTAACCATTAGAGCTGCCGTCGTCCCCATTATCCATCATCAGGCCGTCCGGCTCATCATCACCGCCGCTGTTCGAGCATTCGTTCGCCTCCTCATCGTCCTGAAAGGCTCCGTAGTTGGGAGCGTCGGAGTTGTTCTGGCTCATCTCCTCCATGTCCGAGTGATCCGAGTTATCCGAGCCAGACAATGGAATCGGGTTTTCCTGGCGGTGGATCTCAAGGCGTTGTGCAAATGTCAATGGCCGGGTGCCACCTGCCTCTGGATCTGACCCGTCGATATCTCCACTCATCGACGAGTCTCCAGAACCATCACTCATGTCATTTGCGCTTGCATCCTCCTCGTCCTCATCGTCGGAAACAATGACGCGGGCTCGATGATTCGCTGGAGTCTCTCGAACCCCCCCATCGTCCTCGTCGTCATCCGAATCCACGACACGGGCGCGACGGCTGGCTGGGACCTTGCGGACCTCCTCATCTTCGTCGTCGGAGACCACCGTGAAATTCCGACGATTGTCAATCCGCGCTCGCTTCCTAGGAGCCTCGTCTTCGGAGTCGTTCTCTGAACTGGACTCCCTTTCACGCTTCAGTGTTGAGCCAGAGGCAGCGAGAGGCGCCCCCTCCGAGTCGGATTCGTCAGAGTTTGAGCCACGAAGCGTGGAAGAATCAGGTTCGGGGCTGGAAAATTGAGCCATGGGATACTCGGTGTTGCTTGGCTGGCACCCGACTGAGCCTTGCACAGGCGAGAACCCTCCAAATGGCGAGGTGCCGTCGACGTCCCCTTCGTCTTCGCCGCTCTCGTCCTCGACCACAAGGCCGTCGTCATCTGGCTCTGATTCAATTTCTTCAATCTCACTGTCGTCGACAAAGTCACTTTCATACTCGTCCGAGTCGCTCGAGGATTCTTCGTCATTTGGCTCCCACCCCGACTCGACGCCTTCTCGGACTCGATCCAGAAGACACTCCACGCTTTCATCGACAGGGAACACAACGAGAGGCCAGTATTCACAGCTAGGCTGATCCTCGCTGTCCTGGGGCTCGGACTCACGCCCGGCCAGCATTTCAGTAAAGTCTAGGCCGACCCTCATTTTTACGACTGTCTTCTCAACAGCCTCTGGGTGGCGCTCGAAATCGGGCCAGCAGTAGAGCTCTGGTCTGCCATGTTCTTGGTCTGTCTCGAGACAGTAGCGTTTTGCAATGTCGGAGGCACACCACGTCAGGAATTGAGCCGGGACTGTAGACGGCTCGGTCATAACGTAGGTGGCTTTGAGCTGCGTGAAAGGAGCAAATACAATTCCCGCATCCTCGTCAGCAAGATATACAATATCCGGCGGCATGCAGAGGCGTCGTATTTGATCCGTAAAGCCAGCCATGACTGGAATCGGAGACACGGGGAGCATGGCGGTGACGCGGCGGAGCCCCGACAGGGTGATGCTGACGATATCCCTCTCCTTGTTGAAGCGAAGGAGGCCATGGCCGCTACGAAAAGACAGCGTGTCAGGGAAGCGTTTTAGAGCGAACGAGCGACTCTCATGGTGTGTGGCCAGTACGGCACGCGCGGCCGCAGTTTGGTCCTCTAACTGTGCATCCTGCCAGACGTCTGCCGGCAGGCGGTCGTCGGGATGGGCTGGGAGGACGATGAATTGATAAACGCGGCCTGCTGCCCCAAGATCGGGACAGAATTGTTCCCAGACGCGCTGTCGCACCTCAATTGGGAATCGGCTGAACTGGGGAAAGAATTGCACGACATGTTCGTCGTCGTCGTCGTCGTCATCGCCACGGTTGGCGATGCTGTACCCAAATCCAGACTCGCTGCTAGACTCGGAGTCTGATCCCGATGCGTCGTCGCCGGTCTCGTCTGCCTCGAGGTCAAACAGCGCGCGATTGCCGGGATGGAGATTTGATTGGCTGGATGCCTGTGATGCGCGTGAGCCCTGCGAGCCCGGCGAGCCCTGTGAGCCCTGTGAGCCCTGTGAGCCCTGTGACTCGGCGCCTGACTCGTCGCCCGACTCGTCCACGTCAGACTCTGGGGAATCTTCGGCGGCAAGATATTCGAAATGATCCGAGTCTTCTGACACGTCCGACATGGCGAAGATGCGCGCTGTGGGGTTGTGTTTTCGATGATGAATTGATGTCTGGTTTGAAGGGTTGGTGACGGAAAACGCTGAAACGCCCCACCGTGTCAGAAATCCAAGTGTTGGGGGCGGATGGGGCGGATGGGGGCTAGCATGGGCTTTAGCGGGGCATGCAGCGCACAGGCCATGTGACCCGAAATCGCGCTTTTTACGGATCCGTATTCCGGCCTGCTCACCATTTCTACTTGACCATTACGTTGTCCTACTATCCTCATCAACAATTATTTTGATTGTAGAAAACACGCAGATTCTCTCACTTTTCTTTTGGTGTTTCTTTTATAAATCTAAATAAGCTTAACTACGACTTAGCGTGCAAAGGTCTCGATTGTGTATTCTTCTAATTAATTTTGCCAAACTCTTAAGGGGGACCAGCGTGACCTAGCTCTATCACTATCAAGAAAAGTTTCTATAAGAAAGAAAGTAACATATTACCCATCCCCCCCGGACAGTAGGAGCACTACTCTTAACATGGAAAATTGCCATCGTGAATTACTCATTAGCTGTTTTCTAGCCTGAGCTGCCTGGGGGACCTGAACTTATTTTGCTTTTCTCTTCGAGTGTTGAACCTGTCTCTACGTTAGGTCTAGGGCTAGCTAGACCATGGGAGCTTCCAACACCAGGGCCAGCCGGACTACGCGAGACCATAGCACCAGGGCCCTTGGAGACCTGGTCATCCGACGTAGCCTTAATTATTGTCACTAGACAGGGACACACTCCGGCTGGCCCTTTGTGTTTTGCTAAAATCTGGGGTTTTGATCTTGCGTTTGCCGTCATTGATAAAAGCTTCAAGGAGCCATCCGAGAAAAACTTTTCGCACCTCTTGAGCTCAGGTGGAATTCTTCCCCGCCGACATGAAGCTTCTTCAAACAGGAAAACTTGAATATTACGGTGCTGGGATGTAAGTTAGGTGGGGGAGTAAGCGAACGCCACTGATCCAGAACATTCTAGATAAGCGAGGAACACAACCAACCCTCTTATATAAAAAGCCCATAACTCAACCAATTCTTTTCCAATTCTCTTCATCTTCAATTCGTTTTATTCTTCTCTTGACAATGGTTTCATATACAGAAGAAGACCTCCGCAAGGCTTGCGAGGAAGCCGTCAGAACACATCGATTACGCAAAGTCGCGCGAAAATGGAACGTTCCACCCTCCACCCTTTATGGCCGTCTACATGGCTCCCTACCTCGAAATGTTGCTCATCAAGATAAGCAAAGGCTTACACAGACCCAAGAGGATCGTTTAGTCGAATGGATTCTTCTTCAACAAGATTTAGGATTGCCCCCTACACATGCACAGATCAGGGAGCTTGCACGCCGTATTCTAGCTGAAAGGGGGGACTCCTTACCACTTGGAAAGGGGTGGTGCCGTGCCTTTCTTAACCGCAATCGAATTTTGAAGACTCAGAGGGCCAAGAGAGTCGATTCGGTCCGCGTCAACTGCGCTACAGAGTCAACAATTCGACCTTGGTTCAACCATTTCCAAACACCAGCTATCAAGGCGATTAAGCCAGAGAATCGCTGGAACAAGGACGAATCTGGTATTATGGAAGGCAGAGGAACCAACGGCCTTGTCATTGGAAGCCGTGCCTTTAAGGCGCTTCAAAAAAACAGCCTGGAACCCGCACTTGGACCACTTTTGTCGAATGCATCTCAGCAGCTGGCCGTTGCCTTCCTCCTTTGGTCATTTTTAAGGGGAAAAGCGTTCAACAACAATGGTTTCCTTTGGATATGAAGCCATTTCAGGATTGGTTCTTTACAGCAACTGAGAAAGGATGGACTACCGATGAGACAAGCCTCAAATGGTTAAAAAATGTGTTCATTCCTCTCACCAAGCCAGCAAACTCCTCTGAGAAACGACTCCTTATTATTGATGGCCATGGCAGCCACACAACTGCCGATTATATGTGGGAGGCATTCAAAAACAATATTCACATTATTTATCTGCCTCCCCATACTTCCCATGTCCTCCAACCCCTAGATTTGGCCATATTTGGCCCCCTAAAACGACTTTATCGCAGACGGCTTGAGGACCTTCTTGCTAACGCCTTTGACGACTCTCTGTAGCCGGAAAACGTGCGTTTCTGGAATGCTACCAGATTTCACGCACAGAGGCAATTACTAAGAGTAATGCTAAGTCAGGATGGAAGGCATCAGGCCTTTGGCCCTTGAATGTCAACAAACCGCTAAGAAGCCCACTCCTCCTCAAGAATTCTAATACTTCACGCCCCTTAAGAACTACTATAGTTACCCCAGAGGTTCGCACACTCCGTATGCCAATCCTGGAGGATTATGGAGACGATCGGGTGTAGTGGAGGACTCCTAGAAAGGCACGTGATTACGTTGAGCAGGCAAAGAAGTTCGCACGCATCATCAAAGCAATGCCAGCGTATAAGCTCTTCCTCAGAAAGATTGGTAAGGCTTTGGATGAACAGGCCTTTGAACTGGCTATTAGGAAGCGAAAGATTGAAGGTCTAGAACACACTCTCGAATCAATAAGAGCCAGAAAGAAGAAGAAGGTTGAAGAAGATCCAAATACCACCTTTGCGAATATTCAGACTATTCGTGAGGCCCAGAGAGCTGTAGGGCGTGCAGCAGAGGTTTTAGAAGATGCGGAAGAAGCGGATGATTCAGAGGATATCAAAGATTGTATTGAAGTTTTGTAAATAAAAAGATCACCCTTTCTTTTGTTGGAGGGTTAGTTGGGACTCCTGCTTATACAGAATGTTCTAAATCAGTAGTGTTCGCTTACCCCCCCACCTAACTTACCTGTCCGACTTGGGCAACTCTAGCAATCCACTGATGAAAGAGTCCTCGATTTTCACCAGATCGGTGTTGGACATGGCGAAGAGAGTCGCAGGCGTGAATGATAAGCTTTCCGACTGGGTCTGAGATTGCTGGGCGGAGTGATTATTAAAAGGTGGCGATGAATTGAGGCGATGAAATGGAACAGATTCTAGTTGAATGGGCTTGAGAGTCTGAAGATATTCAGATTCTTTCCCAAAACTGCAAAGGAAGTGCCATCTCTTTATATGTGGTAGTGAAAATAGTATCTAACCAGCGCCTCCAATGTCAGCTACCAGTCACTATATTGAGGAGTGTTGGATAATGAAAAGCCGTATCCGTTGTTCGGGATCTTTGCTCTTTTGGAATCCAAAAGAACAACACTTTGGCGAGAGGCGGTGGCACACAGCTTCAGCATGTTAGCGGCGTTGTTGGCACGGACTTGACATTTCATCATTAGGTAACTGGGTAGGAAGTCACTCGGCGGGTACCGCTGTCAATTATTTATCTGTAAAGCAACCTCGTAATCCAAGTAAAATTGCACGATGGTGGTGCAAATGAGAGGCACACGAGTTAAGACTAGGCATACGAGATAAGACGAGGCACACGAGACGAGGCACACGAGACAAGGCACATAGACCCAGGTACACAAATAGAGGGAAATGAACAGATTCTTGCCATTTGAGAGGGCCATAGGTTGTTTCCCAAATCTTGTTCGAAGCTCTGACGCGTCTGTTTTCTCACTTGTGCGGGGGCCGCGGTGCCTTAGTAACCACACATACATACGCACTCTAGCCGCATATGTCAATCGCAAGATTTGCTCTAGTTAGTCTATTTACGGGTTTGAGGTGCAGATTCTCGAAATCCGCAGTCTCGGATTGGCCAGTCACGTCAGCTGTGGACTGTTGGGAGGGCCAAGTCTGAAATCATGCCCATGCACACCAGTCTAGGAGTGCAGATCCTGTAATTAAATGCCTACACGGGAGTGCAAATCCTTGTTCCTTGGGTGATTGCCTCTCCCACCCAGCAGTTTGTGATCCCACCCCCATATGACCAAGGGAGGCTGGTGGAGCGGAAGACACGGTGAGAAGTACTGCAGATACCAACGCTAGAATATGACGTTGGTCCTTTCGACCTATGACGAGGTAAGCGTTAATTGACTGTCTTGTTGGTGGTTGTCGTTAGGCCTTAATAATGGTCAATTTGGTTTCAGAAAGGTTGAAAAACCAGCAGCCTTGATATCGACGGCGAAATTGGTTTGAGTTAGCACTTCCGATATTACCTAGTCGTGAAAGCAGTCGGTTATGTTCTAGACAGTACCTCAACCCTCGGGAAGTCAACACAGGCTCCGACATAAAGGCCGGGCTTCGCTTCGTTTTATCACACCCGTTCAGAGAGACGCCGCTACCGTCACAAGTAGAGTCATAGTTGCTCACGATTGTCTCCGTGTTGAGCCACAAGTTAAAGATAGCTTCGACAGCGGGGCGTACTTGTTGCTATGCTACCTAGATTCGGACAGGTTCACTAGCCTCGTCGCCAAAGTCTATGATTCCCTGGGCTATCGTCTTGTTAGCAATGACGACGAGGACTGCATATTCCGAGCCGGGAGAGACTACAGTTTTGAGGATGGATTGAGAAGGCTCATTCAGGCGCCTCTTCTTCGGCTTCCTACCCCCTCTCTGAAACTAGTGAACAGGAAATGGGGCCCTGCGAGGTACCCTTAGTGAATGAATAGATCATAGTCCCACTGATTTTATTCGTTGCCGTAGCTTGTATGTACCTAGGTAATGGCAAAGTGTCTCAAATGAGTTGTTGGGTCCTTTTCTGTCAACTCCAGTGATCTTCCTATTGTAGTCTAAGAAATATTAAAGATATTGGGATATGGCCAACGCCAGTCATCCTAACTCACAAGAAGATCGATACCCTTCAGGTCTCGAGCTACTCTGATGCCTCAAGCGAAAACTTCTCGTTCACGAGCTCTTCACTCAGCTTCCACAGCTTTTCAGCAGCAACGGGGTCCTTGGCGTGGGGGACTGGGTCTGCAATCTGGCAATCTGATAAGTAAAGCCCCTTAATGTCTGTATTGCACGTTTGTTAGCACATACAGACATCTATTCTCATCAGAACCGTGAAGGCTAGTTCTTGAAAATGAGTTTACGCACCGTTGAGAGCCGGGTCGAGGGCAGCAACCAAAGTGGTTGAAGAGCCCTCGTCCGGCGTCTTCCAGTACAGTGCAACCTTGTAGAACTGGGCAGTGAGTCTGTCACTTTGGTTGCGGCTGAGGTCCGTTTCAATGGCTGGCGCGGGGCGGCTCTGCTATTAGTCATTGTTCTCACCTGTGGAAGTGTACAGCGAGTCTGAGTGAAAAGAAGAACCTACTTCCGGGGTGCAACACGTATGGCGAGATTCCCAGCTGCGGAAGATGTTTCTGCAGATACAGAGTGAATAGAATGTTGGCGGTCTTGGACTGCGCATACGTGACGATGCCGTTGTAGCCGTCGGGGGTGGTGTCCGCAAAGGCGCCCGGTAGAGGCTTGAAATGGTCCTCCTCGGGGGGCACAGGCTTGCCCTCGAAGTTGTAGTCGGAAAAGCGGATCGGAGAGAGACGGTGGCCAGCGCTGGCGAGCGAGACGACGCGCGTGGCCCCAGGCGGATTCGTTTTGGCCGCGCTGAGCAGAAGCGGCAGCAGCAGGTTGGTGAAGAGAAACGGCCCAATGTGGTTAGTGCCAAATTGCTGCTCAATGCCCTCGGGCGTCGCCTGCCGCGACGTCACCACGATGCCGGCATTATTGATAAGAATGTCGAGCCTGCCGGTCAGCTTGCCGACCTCTGCCACGGCGTCGCGGATAGCTTTCTGCGAGCCCAGATCCAGGATTACAATCTCGACCCGCGTGCTGGGGTGTTTCTCGTTGATCTCATCGACGACTTGCTGCACGCGGGACTTTGTCCTAGAGGCGAGGATCAGCAGACCGGGCGCTTGTGACGCAAAGGCGAGCGCTGTCGTGTGGCCGATTCCTTTCGGACTAACACCTGTGATCAAGACTGCAGTGGAGCTTACGTTAGGAGTAGTTTCAACTGGAGCTACAAGGTAGCTCACTTGTCTTGCCACGAATTTGCCCGGAAAACACTTTGGCTACCTCGGAGCCTGGAGTATTTTGCCCAAATTCAGGATGTGAGGTCATGGCGTTGTCTTGGTAGCTAGCAAGCTAGTGGCAAGTGGTTCATATACGTGACTTTAACTAGTCGTAAGGAGAACGTCTGAGATAAGGAAGTGAACATCTCTATTGTAGAAGCATGCTAGTGTAGAGCACGCGGCATCCTTATAATTTGCGGCTTTAGATTATCTCCCGTCGCATTACTCAATCCCGGATAGATAAAGACCCACTAATAGATCCGGCAATTAGGAAATCCGGCTATCGGTTCTCATAAAACAGCTCTTATATACCCCGCATTACGGCAAACTCTCGGAGGTGTAAGGAAGAGGTTATCCATCCCACCCCACATTCCTACCCGGCTAAGTTTTATCGCTGTACCTCTTTCTTCAGCCGCTAGTGAGCCTCAGGATCGACTCGGACAAAACGTCAACTCGGCCCGCAGGTGGACTAGGGTCGCCGTGCTCGACGAGAGCATGGCCGGCTTCACAGCGCCCCTCCAGCAACTCATCGCCAGCCTCCCGGCGAACAGGCCCGAGTTCGCGTCCGACGCGGCGTGCCGGTCGCTGCTCGACGACTCCCTCATATGTGGGTGGCATCCCACAGTCCAATCATCAGCGTGTCCGGACGGTACGTGAGGCTGCTGCTCTGCACTATCGAAGGGTATTTGGCCGGCCCAATGCACGGTGCGGCCGATTCGCCAAGGGCAGACCGAGACTGTTTATCAGCGATTTCCGCCGTGCTGAAAGCAGGGGTGTCTGTGTTTGCCGAAAGCCCAAAAAGCCATTTTACGTGCCATTTCCTGGGGTCAGCGTTTTGAACGGCTTCCTCTCAACCGCCTTCAACGAGAATCGACACGTGAACGCGCTTGCCGAACCAAAGGAATTCTGCGAAATCGTGGAACTTTTCCTCCAGCATAGCGCTTCCCCTAGATTCCGTTCATTGGCCTCCTCAATCTTCTACTAGCGCTGTGGGGAAGCAGACACCGTGCATGTAAAATGTCTCTGTGATTGAGAAGACGGTACCGCTGTTGAGTTGTGGGAACGGAAAACACCCGCTCCAGTGTACCAACGCCTTCTTTTGGGGCGTACCGAGGTTTCTCTTAGCGACATAGTACATTACCATCGTCCTCTAAACTTGCCCGTGATACAGGAACTATTTCCAGGAGTAGGTGTTGAGCTAGAACAGACACGCTCAGAGAGCAGCACAGTGAAAAGGGTTCTAGACTGGCGGCGGCGGAAAATGTTAGCGCGCCATAAGCTCTGATCAGAATGGTTTTTGTGTTGCGGTTCCGGCTATCCTAGGCGAGGACTGCCTATCTCGATGTGCCAGGCCTTGAACCAAACAGCTTGGGGAAAAGATTGTATCCCCTGCAATATGCCATGCCTAAATCCTGATACTAGAGCACCCCTGGCTACCACCCGAGCCATCTCAGATACCACCACAACCTTAACTTTCTCCCTTTATTTTGGCCGGAGCCGCTGTACTTCGTACATAACATGAGAACCACTATAGCCTCCGTCTCATTTATACCACGAACCCACACATAGGCAAGCCATAACTATCACCACCAGCTTCTCCTGCAGCCACGACGATGAGGGTCACTGCGGCTGTACCTGGGATCATCAGCAACATGTTTACGCTCCTTCTAGGCGGCCTTGTCGTGGTCTACGTCTTTTGTTGTAGAGGCAATAACACTGTTTTTGGTGAGAGAAGTATTTGGCTTTGGGTTTCCTATTCGTTAAGGTCGAGGGGATCTGAGATGTGGAGAATGATGGCGTTGGATGAGAGCTTGGAAGCTTGGGAATCATGAAGGCTTTGGCTTTGTTTTACTCGTTATTTCATGAGGCTTGTGTGGGTACCTGGTATTAAGTGTAATGATTTGTTTTATAGGTAGTAGAGCGCATGGGGTATGATTCATGTGAGATGGGAGAAGGGAAGCGTTTATTCGTCTCCATTTGCGTCTTTAAGTGCGCTGCTCTCCAACAAGGGGGCTGGTGCCCTTGGCGACTTAGCGACCGGCGATCCTGGTGTCGCTATAGGCGTTGGAAAGGGTGCTGTGAAGCCTGCGCGTCTTCACCGCCGTGATCTCATCACCATAATAGCTACCTGCTTCGGTAGCCTATCTCTAAAAAGAGTTCTCTTAGCTTCCGAGGACGGTTGGCCAAAAATCAAGGCCGCTTCAGCCTCGGCTCACCTTCGGCCCACCCCGGCTTAGTCTACACTCATATACTACGAAATTGTCAACTTTATGCGACTCTCTAGGGGACTGACCTGATGATTTTCAGCCACCTTATGCATGAATTCAATTAGCTCATGCCTCGTATAAATATAGCTTGTGATTGGTCCGTCTGGCCATGTCTGAACTGATTGGCGCTTATCAGCGGCCTTTCCGCCCCAGCTGCGGCCGAAGCCCTCCCTTGGCAACCTTGGCATGCTATTTCGCTTCAGGTCACTTGGAGGACTCCAGCCTCTCAGAGCGATTAAATGACAACTGCGGCTAGTGCTTGGCATCTGCCTTCGACATAGCGGCCCGCTCAGCTGAGAGTAAGATACCTAAAAAAGGGGGAGGGGGGGTGGGGGGGTGGGTGAATAAATAGTTACTGACTCCTTCACTTAGTTAGGTGAGCAAACAAAGCCTAACAGGATTTACAGGCTGTCAGGAGTCTAGAATTCAGCCACAAGGCTCGCTCAACAGGTTTGAAGCCTATCGCCCTTCACGTCCCCTGCCTCCCTGACGCTGCGTCGTAAAATGCAGGCAGGCCAGACATCACTGTGTAGAGGCCTCGGAGGCGGTGGCCTGTATCGGAAGGTAGTAGATGAGGGGGCTGAGTCAGACTTCCGCCAAGAAAGGATTAAGCATCAAGATCGACTTTGAAGCGTTAATTTGCTGCTACTATTAGGGGGATACCTCTGTGCAGCAGAATGAGAAATGGTTCAGGGGTAGATGCCTAGGTAGGCAGACATCGATGGATGTGTTGGGATCTTGATTGAGTTGTGTGAGTATATAAACCTGCTCGTGTCCGCCCAACAGTCTGCCTTCGACTTGTCCTGCACCAGCATCCTCAAGCCTTCCCACCTCAACTCCTTTCAGAAGCCTCGCCCAAGACAATAACTTATTCTCCAGAATGCTCCCCTTCACTGCCACCGCCCTCCTTCTGGGCGGCGCCCTGACAGGAGTCGTCAGCGGCACGCCAGTCACCACGGGCGACGTCCCCATCTCGACCCCTTCTTTCATCGAGGCCGTGGACCCGGAGGCCGCCGCTAACATCACCTCGCGCGACATCCGCGGCTCCATTCCCAACCGCGCGCTGCCCATCGAGCACAAGTTCCAGCCCGTGCTCGACTTCGACAAGGACGGCTGCTACTACACGTCAGCCATCGACCCTAGCGGAAACCTCAACCCAGGGCTCAACTACGCCAACGGCGTGCCGCCCAACTGCCTGCGGGCGCAGTGTCGCGACAACAACCGGCTGCAGAATAGCAACGTCTACAGCCGGGCGCGGTGCAACAACGGCTGGTGCGCCATCATGTACGAGTACTACTTTGAGAAGGACCAGATCGTGTGCGGGCCCGCACGCTGGGATCAGGACGGCCACCGCCACGACTGGGAGAACGTCATCGTCTTCACGCAGGGCGAGGCGGTGCGGCGCGTGGCCCCTTCGTGCCACGGCGGCTACGGCGGCGCCACCAACTCGCCGCGCCTGGAGGGCCAGCGCGCCAAGATCGTCTACCACAAGGATGGGGGCCGGACGCACTGCCTGCGCATGGCCAACGCCGCCGACGACAGCATCGAGAACTACACGGGCCAGTGGTTCCTGGGCAGCCTCATTGGATGGACCAACTGGCCGGCCACCTGGCTCCGCGACCGCGTCATGAACAACAACTGGGGCAAGGCCTCGTGCAAGCTGCGCGACGATAGCTTCGGCTCGGCTCTGAACTCGGCTGGCGGCGGCCAGGTCGGAAACTTCAACCCCTGGGTTGACGGCTAAGCGGATTTTCTTCCCTTACGCCTATTAAGGTAGACCGAAGGTGTGAGGAGTGTTTGCCAAAAACTTTTGCATTTGGGGTTTTATTCTTTGTTTTCCTAACTGAGAACTCTGCTATGGGTGAGGAGGACAGCTAATTGACGTGATCTCATCATGTGGTTACGCACCTACTCACGAATAGGATAGCTGGGACTTGTACGAAATGAGTTGATCAGTCAACACATATTAATTATCATTGCTCGAGTTACTATCCCGCTACTCGCTCCGTGAATTACCGTCTAGACTTGACAAGCAATCCCGCCACTCGTTCCGTAAATTACCGTCTAGACTTGACAAGCAATCCCGCCTAGACTTGACAGTTTACATTTAATACTAAGCATTTTCTGTCTCTCATTCTGAAATTCATGGTTAAATAGGCTGACACAAAACTAACGACTCGTTTCATGTCTATCTCACTCTGCTTGTAGACTCGGCTTGCCTTGAGTGCGTATGGATAAATTTTACGTCTTATCGGTCGCTACGAGGAGCGCGGCGACGAAGGGCCATCCCAGCATGGTGAGTTTGCCGCAAGCGATGGCTAACGTCGCCAGAGATGGGCACCTGGTGTTCTGGTAATGGAGGAGGGAATGCCATAGAACCGAACCCACTCAAATTTTGTTCTTGCTGTCCCGCTTGCTATCCCCCTGAGTGCGGCCTATCAGGTCTCCCACCCAGGCGTCGCAGCCCCACTCAACCCAATGGGCGCGCTTGTCGCGCTGGTACGTGTTGGCATTGGGGGGGCAGAGCACCAGTGACCAGGCCATGACGTCAGCCATTGCATGGCGGATTCTTTCGCGCTGGCCACGATTGACAGCCAGACCGTTTCTGCCAGCAAGTGTACGATGAATTAACAAACGTATACGAGGAGCAGTCCACCTCCTGGCCGCCGCCATGGGGCTTCTGCTCTCTGGTGATGTTTCGTTCGGAAGATACGTAGGCTATTGATCTCGGCCAGGGTCTGTCCTGAGAATGCCGGCTCGTTATAATGATTGAGCATGTAATTAGCTACATTTTGCTATATTTGACTTCGAATTGCTTCAGAATTGACTGCACAGTCGCTGTTTTTAAATATTCACTATTTTGGTGTAAAAAGGGTGATGGGGTGGCAGGGTGATGGGGCGGCAGGGTGATGGGTTGGCAGAGTGATAGGGTGGGGTGGGGTATGGTACAGAATACGGAACATGGGGCCAAAAGTCTTCGTCACATTCCTTACGTAAGCTCCTAGGCCCACAGTACCAAAAAAACCCACTTAATCACCACCTGTAAACTGCCCTGTAAGGTCCGCTAGGTTAACTTACCTTCCTCAACACCACGAATTTTATCGCCAATTCAAACCAACCTGCATATTGCAAATCAAGCCGCACATGCATAGATTTGACAGCTTTCTGATTAGAAGCTTCAGCGCATTCGAATAAGGCTATTTAAATTTTTCTTGACGACTTGCGGTAATTTATGCATCTCTCTAAAAAAGGACCAAGATTTGGCTAACTAAGCTACAGGGACCAGGGCATAACCACCCCACCTTACTCGGCCGGTGCTGAAGACGGCAAATTATTTACATAAAGATCACCGAGGTCGTCGTCGTCGGCTTCTTCCTATACCAATTTGACCCGCTTTTCCTTCGTTGTTTTCTTCGACCATTCCCGTCAAATAACGTCAACAGGTTCTTCCTTTCTCGGCTCCAGAGGCGGCGGCCTAGTCCCTTCCTTGTGCTCATTTCCACCCGCCAGCCGGATCACCCCTCAATATGCCCAGGGATTCTCTCTACAAAACGACGAAGCTTTTCCTGTGGATAAGTACGCCACTGACTGCTCCAGTCGATCCCGCCTTTCAAATCCCCCTCCTGCTTTCCAGTCGCCTTGGTGTATTTCCAGCTTGGCTTTCGACCTGGCTTCTTCTTATCACTAAAATTGAACCGCCGTAACTCGGTCTCCGCTTTCCACTGAGCATAGTCTTCGGATTCATGCTTTTCGTTATAGACACCCATCATATCCTTATACTTTTCCTTCATCTTTGCTGATTCCTTGGCCAACAGTAATAATGACCTCTCTTCCCCCAGGTAAAGCAGGCCCAAAATATAGAGGCCATAAAGCCTTTCCAACGACGGTAGATGCAACTGTGGAAGTTCTTTTCCCACACACGGCGCCAAATCCTTCCTCCTTTTTCCACGCGTTGCACCGAGTGCAACAGAGGTCTCGTCGCTCCATACTACTTTCTTCCAGCCTTCGAGGGTCCAGTTACGAACCTGCATAACGAATTCAAGCCTTTTCATCTTTTGGGCTTTTTTCAGGCCAGGCTTCATTGTGGGCTTGACCGAGCTGAATCCCTTGCGCTTGAGCCACCGTAGTGTCGTTCGCCGGATTGGAACCTTAGCCCCGGGGATGCCCTCTATTTTTTCGGCAACTCGGTCAGCCAATTCGTAACTTGAGCATGAACGCGAGTTGAAATCCTTCGTAACCACCTCTTCAATAGTCTGGTCTTCTAAGTCCTATATTACGGGCGGCCGGCTACTTCGAGAACCGCTCGTAACATGACGGTCTTCTATTTTACCGCCCACGATATACCCCTTTTCTTTGCCTTCGTTAATAGGCTATTGAATGTGGTTCTTTTGAGCCCTGTGAGGGCCTCGATTGTTGGAAACTCGACGCCATTCGCATGTAGGGTCAAAGCCTGTACTTGTACTCTCTCTGCAATAGTGGATTCTTTGCGGTGGACCGTAACCATTGTGCCGTTGGGTTGTAGGGATTCGTCGGGAAGTACTTTGTCTAGTTATCTGTGAGCAAATATACTTCTCGGTTAATCTGCACAGCTTCTTGGTACGCACCTAGCCGAACCTGCGCTCCGAAACATCACCACTTCGAATTCGGCTTCAATTTTGGTGTGGATGGGTGAATTCCAAGACACAAGTTTGGCACAACCAATGCAGAACGCTAACAAAATACAGTGCAAACGACTTCCACTCGGCCGGATTCAGGGGACCCCGGCACCCTGGCGAGTGACGAAGACTATTGGCCCCATGTTCCATGGTCGAATGTAAGCACTTCGCGTCAGCTGACACCAGCGGTCAACACGTGACGAGAACTCGATGAAATAGGCACCCAGCAGGAAATGAAATTGTCGAGCCATTTCCCCACAACCAACCCTCAACTGCCACCTGTCGCAAAACCTCCCGCCATGTTTGAGGAAGCGATTGCAACCCTCGCGGCTATTCTTGAAAATCACCCATGGGTTTCCGAGATCGCAGGCATCCTCCCCCTCTCTGCCCTTATCGACTTTGTCGACGTGCCGCTTAAGCTCCATGTCCATTAGCTGGTGAGCGGTGTGCCTCTCTGGAGCTGGCTAGTGACACTAGCGGGCAGTCGCCTCCTGCTCTCCAAGGGTACGCCCCAAGATGGTCCGTGCCTGGACCGCTTCGGTCGCTCGGCTAGCTTGGAGGCACTAGACGTGGCGACCCAACAAAGAAATCGCCCCACAACGAAATCTCTGCCCCTGTCATCTAATTTCCCGCCCTTCAACTTCAACACAACACAACTTCATCAATTCAGGCTCGAATAGCTTCAAAATACATCATGTCGAACCGTCGAGAGCAGCTAATTCAATCTGCAATACTTGCAGTTGAACAGGGCGCATCGCAGAAGCAGGCCGCGCATGACTTCGGGATCCCTCCTTCTACCCTCTGCAAACGCATCCACGGGGCAGAAAATCGAGCACAAAGTAAACAAGCCGAAAGAAACCTCTCCAATGCGCAGGAAAGCTTCCTAGCCGACTGGTGCCTCAATGAGGAGGCTGCAGGCAGGGCTCCTAGCCGTCGTCAGGTGCAGAGATTCGCTCAAGCTATACTCAATGAGGCCGGCACGAAAAAGACCATTGGGGAGCGATATGTGGACCGCTTCCTACGCCGCAACCCGGCGGTAAAGATGAAGAATTCAACCTTGTTGGAATCCTCTCAAGTCTGCGGATCTACTCGTGAAGCTTATGAAGCTTTCTTCAAGCGCCTGGCCTTCCAAATCAAGGATAAAAAGGTCATCCCGGCCAACATCGCTAACATGGATGAGCACGGCATGCAGGAGCTCGAGACCCGGGCCGGAAAGGTCATAGGAAGCTCCCTGACGAACCGAACCTACGTGAAAAGCTCTGATGCAACAACCTGGGTTTCAGTTATCGAATGCGGCACTGCTGAGGGCGTTCGTTTGAAGCCCGTGATCATATTTACCGGGGCCAGTCTTCAAGGACAACACTTTCCTGATAACTTCAACCTGACGAAGGAATTCCGGGAATGGAAGTACGATTACTCAATTACAGGCTGGAGCAACGCCAGTATTGCGCTGAAATGGCTCAAAGAGGTCTACCTGATCCAAACAAAGCCCCAAAGGCCGGGCGAATGGCGTATACTGATCCTTGACGAACATTCGAGCCATATGAACGAAAAATTCATGTTAGCGGCCTTCCAAAATAAGGTCCAGTTCGTCTATTTACCTTCTCATACATCGCACAAGTCTCGGCCTCTCGATCGCTCGGTCTTTTCACCTTTAAAGACCTATTTTAGGGAAAATACCAAGGCCCTCGCGAGCTTCACATCGTCAGCTCCTGTCAACAAGGTTCGGTTCCTTTACTGCTACAGAGATGCCTCGGGTAAAGGCATGAGTGCCCGTAACATCATGTCGGGCTTCAGTAGAACCGGGATTTGGCCCTTCAACCCGGCTTGTTTACTTGATGACCCTGAGGCGGTCAAGGACAATGAGGCACTCCCGGCCCGGCCTTCAACACCGCCGCCGACGGCCCCGAACGACGATGACAGGCTCTTCAAAACACCGCACGGCAGTCAGGACATCAAGAAGTACCAGGACAGTATTCGGAATGCCCTCAGTCCGGCTCAGCGGCGTGTGCGGGCCTTGTTTACTAAGGTCGGGAGGTCCCTGGATCTGAAGAATACAGAGATCGCGTCTTTGAAGGCACAAATTACGCATCTCACAACCGAATTAGAGGCTTCAAAGCCTCGCACGCGTAAGAGGGTATATGAAGATGGAAATGAGCGATTTGCACGTATAGAGGACATCGCCAAGGCACAAAAAGCTAGTCAAATACCCCCAAAGCGGAAAAAAACGGCTCGGGCAGAAAGCCAGCCACATGCAGTCGAAGAAGCCCGGGAAATAATCGCCCGTGGGCTCGAACAATATAGACAGGCCGAAGAAGAGGATTGAGTATTTTTTTGCTAGTTATTTTGTGTAGAAATGGATAATTTGCGCCCGTGGAGTGGGTGTGGGCATGGCGTGGGCCAATTTCGTTGTGGGGCGATTTCTTTGTTGGGTCGCCACGTCTAGATGGCCGCTATGGCGAGCGTTATTTCCTCAGCAGCCCCGAAACCCTTCGTCTCGCGCTCGGGTACCAGCAAGCCGTCACCATTGAAAATGATCACGATAACATGCGCGGCCATGATCTGAGAGTGCAACATCTCGAAGTTGTCTACGTCTCCCGGTTGGGAAGCGGCAATCAGCGTGATGTGTCTGAGACGCGATGGTACCACTACGCGCTCGGCCACCCCGCCATACACTCGATCGGGTTCCTCGCGACTTCGGCTCTTGGATGGGCTACCCTGCTCGGCTGCATCATTGCCGCTGTCCTGTTTCGCCTTTACATCGCCTTGGCCTTTCTCCTCTTGGTGCCGCTAACTGGCGCCCTTATCTTTGTCATCTATGGCGGGCGGCCCCGGAGGCTTCTTGTCAGCAAACCAAGCGAATTCAACCGCATAGTTGTCGTTACAGAGCACATGAACTCGAATGAGTGGAAGGTATTCTACGGAGAGAGTACCATCGTCAACTCACTCCTCAACCGCCCGCTGGAGCCTACCCAGCCAGGAGAGGCCTCCCCCGCTCAGTTGAGAGCCCTACAGTCCATCCTAAGGTTTCTCATCTTCTGCCAGTGGGCGGCAGCGATCGGAGCGGCGACGACAAAGGATTGGAATTCCTTCTTTATCAGTTTCTGGGTCATCCTCTGCAATGTCACCCATGGCTTCTTCATCCCACCCACGGGCCGGACTGGGGAGTGGGCGGCGAGGTGCGCAAAGGTCCGGCTGCAGTGCTACAAAACCAAGCTCAGCTCGCGGCGTGCCTTGCTCAACACCTTGGCTGCCCTCAACCCCGACACGTTCGCTGAGACTCCAGACAAGGGCACCGACAGAACGAGACTCTATGCCCAGGGAATGACATGGATGGATCCCATCCTGAAGCCCTCGGCCAGTAGAACCGCTTGGGAGGCCGCCACGATGGACGCCTTGAATGAAGTGGATTCTTGGGGGGAGAACGACGAGGAGGCTGCTATGAAGTGCCGCAGCAGCGAGCCAAGCCCGTTTGGTGCGCAATGGAACGACAGGTACCAGGGCCGGGATACTTACTGGAAACCATACATCTCGGAGGGTATCTACGTGACGTCCAAGGTCAGACTCGCTGGGTCCTTGCCACGTCGCAAGGTGCTTCGCGATGAGAAGGCCAGCTGCTGAGGCTCTCATCGATCTGGCCCGCAATTTTTGTACCAAGATTCTTCACTACCTAGGTAGACGTCAGGCAAGCCAAAAAGCGCGTTTTCGTGTCTAACCGTTTGGACCTTGCGAGAGTGCTCGTATGATCCCACCCAGCAGGGCCTCCTCCTGCAGCGTAGTCCCTGGCCAGCCGCCCAACCGTCTCAGTTTGACCCATTCAACGAATGGGGTGGCTTCGCTCGGCCGAGCTTCGCAGATGGCGACGGGAAATCCGCGCGGGGTTGAGAACAAGGGCAGAAATACCTGGCTACCTCCATGCCCGCCCGCCCAGGTACAGTACTCTGCCAAAATCTCAGGTTTTATCTCCACTTACCGGCAGCTTCTCGGATCTCTCACGCGATCAGCTGCGGCCCAGTTGAAAGAGACTGCTTCATTTGTCATCCAGTTGCGGTTGTACGACCCAGAGACTCATCGAACTGCCTTGAAGACTGGGAGCAATGGCCTCTTCATTGCTGCTGCAAGCGGTGGGACTGGTGCAGCAGCCAGAACGGAACCCCGACACAGTTCCTGCACTCCCAAGCTCGAATTTGACACCATTGCCCAGGCTTACGCCTACTTCGGAGTCGGCTGGTACTAGGTTAAGATAGGAGGGCCACGTTTAGCAACCGAATGGACGGAGACGGAGGAATCCACTCCAGGAGTTTCTTAACTGAAAGGTGTTGAGCTCAATTAAGACAGTGAGATTCACTCACCTCCTTAAATGAGAAGACTTGAATTGAGGCTTGATTGAGGATGTAAACTGGGTTTTATAGGACCTGGCAGAAGGGAAGAGAAGGAGCGGGCTGGGTGGTCCCAGTTTTGCGACTACAGTCGGGGGCCCTGTTTTCGAACACCCCTGTTTTCGAACAAGCCAAGAATAGTCTGTGCCACACAACCCCCACCACATCCACCCCTACTATCTACACTCTATTAAATCCAATACTTTCGAAGATTCTTTTAAGTTTTTGCGTACCCTGGAGCGCTGCGTACCTAGAACGCTGCGTGCGTACCCTGTACCCTTCACCCTTGTGTACCCTGTAGCTGGAAAGTGGAGGAGTTGGCGCTTGGTTTTCGTGCGACGAGCGGAACAGTTTGTGTGGCCGCGAGTCGGTTTTTAAAGTTTCCCATAGTAAATAGTTTTGCGGAATTCATCACTCACCGGTTGAACCCCGTGTGGCGTGCGAGCCTCTAACTAGAGCCCGTAGGGTATAACTACTGCCCACAACCCCAAGTGTTCCACAACTAGTGCTGTAACCAGTGCCCCGGTGACCAACAGTGACTGCTGAGTCCCCCTGTTATACAGGCCTGTAAGGCCTGTGTTATAGACTGCCTCGCCAGCCTCAGCTCGTGCAACTATGTCACCGGCTCCGTCGTCGCCAAGGACCACGGAATCACCCTCGGCGAATGGGATGTCAAAGTGGAGGGGCTGCTGCCGACAAAAGTGCTGGTGGGGAGGGAGCAAGGGAACCCGAATTGGGAGAAGGTGCTGCTGGACGTAAAAGTGTAGACTGACATCTGGGGTGGGATGGGGGATGATGCGATGTTTCAGCTCTTTGTCAGGAAGGTGGAGAGGAGGTGTCCTTTTTCGCAGCTTTTCAAGCTGAGCGGGGTGGTGTATAAGAGCAGGTGGGTTAATGGGCCTCTTTAAGTACAACATAAGATAAGAATTTGGTTAGTTGGGTTTCTCTTGATGGTTCGGGGCTTGGGGTGTGTGGTTTGGATGTTTTGCTAGGATATCCAGTTTATTTTCACATATGTATTTATGTTCACTATTCTTAGTTGGGTTTGATCCAATGAGCCTTAGTCTAGTTGCAAGAGACCCAAGGTGCTGCATTACGATAACAGGTCGAATACCTTCAACTCCTGTACAAGAGCCCAGATCATGGGCACCGCGGCCTGCCATGAAGGACCAGCGTAAAGCTATCGCCAAAGAAGTGCCGGGCGCAAGCCCTATGTGAATTAATGCAGATACGCATCTAAAGGCGAGTTGCGAATGCCCCCTCCTGGGGCTCCGGGCTTGTAGGGGGGTCGGAAAGGCCCGATGACGAGGCTCGAATAGGAAGAGAGCAAACTCGTGATGGACCGGCGCCTCTACGGCAGGCAGGCACAGGTGGGAGCTGCGGGGCCTCGTCACCGTCGGAATCGTCCTTTTCCTATGGCTAAGACTAGTACCATTCGAAAGCGCATCTTCAAGCGATCAGAGTGATGCATACGAGGTGTTGATTCGCCTTGCTTTGACGATGTTGATGCGCCTTGCTTTGACGATGTTGTTCGCATTCGCGCAATTGACCCAATTGAGCCGTGACGCAAAGAAGTAAAAATCTGGTTTTGCGCTCAGACGTGTGGTGGCCCTGATCCCGTTGCCCAAAAAGAAAAAGTCCATTGATTGGAATCCATTTAAAAAGCGGGTCTAATGATCTATACCTAATTAGGATGGCCCTTCCTCGCCAACACACGTCTGAGTTTACTGAGATAAGGTTTGTGATCTAATGGCGAAATTCTCTCAGCACAGCGCGGTTCAGCCAGCTGGGTGTGTTTAGAGCTAGCATCTGCAATGTAACCTTTGCCGAGTGATATTGGACCGTTGTGAAACACCATTGGAGTGGCACTTCTATAACTGGCCAGCTTGATTGAGGGGAGAATGGCTGGACCCAATGAAGATGATCGAAGCTCCGCAGTCTCCCAGACGAAAAAGGGTAGAGCGGGCCGTAACAGACATGTCCGTTTTTGACACCGTTAGCGGTAATCTGTGAGTCCTCATTACCTCAAAAATGTGCTGGTATTCCAGATTTGGATTTAACAAACCCTGCTGAGCATTCTCTTCAGCATCATTCAGAGTGACACATCTATTGCCCCAACTCTCTGCATCGCTATCAATCTTTCGCCATGCTCGAGCGCGACCCAGATACTGGCCATGTCCACATGAAGACATTCAAGCCGGCGGCCAAACGGGATCCGAAGCAGCTTCTCTCAGAGATGCCGCTAGACCCCAAGTTAAGATCGATCAAAGAGCTCCAGGACCGCGAGCGCGTTCGTCCAAAAGACAAACTCGATCTTGCGCGAACCCCACCTTTCCTTCGAGTCGGACCTCTGGATCCCATCCTCATTCCTGCCGAGACTGATCGGTCCTCGGGATGTCGTAATGCCGAAGACGACCGCGCGATACCTAGGCTCGTACCCGATGTCATTGGAGCCATCGTCAACACCGAGTCGCCCTTGATGAACCAGCTCTTTCAGCTATGCCAGCATGCCCAGATCCATTGCTGTGAGAACCCGGCATGTTCCAAGAAGCGAAGCGAGCTGGCGGAGCTCGCCCCGGAGTGCGACTGGGCACCGTTCCGAGACTGGGCATTGCAGCTGATGGCCTGCCAACTGACCATGATAGACCAGGGCAACTTCACATCGCCCGTCCTTCGCATGTCCCACGCCGTGATGGCGTGCCATTTTTTCCTGGTCAGGGTGAGAAGAGATGTCAGCATGGTTCCGTCTACAAAACTCGCCGGCCCAAACAAAACCACGCGAGCTGTCGACGCCTTTGGAGCGTTCGAGACCATTTACTGGATGATGACGATCGAGCACTCCCTCGACCTACTCGCCATCATCGAGCAGACGTGGGATCCTGGCTTCCTCCCTGGAGCCATCACCGACCCTGACCTTACTAAAGCCTCCCAGCGGGCCGCAGAGGCGGGCATCTGTCCCAACCGGTTTTGGAATCTCACAGTCGCCATGGAGCGGGAGCATCTCGACATTCCCGCCATCGCCCATGCTGCTGCTCGATACCCCCAGTTGAAACACGAGGGCCACGAGGCGTGCACACCGACGTTCTGCACCTTCACCGTGCTGGATAGCACAAGGGTGAAGCAATGCCACAAGTGCTCCGAGCTCGACGACGATCCTTGCAAAAAGGAGGGTAAGCCGCTCTTTTTCGACCCCAAAAAGCTCGACGAGTCCATCCGGTCCGGAAAGCGCACCGTCTGGTCCACCGCGCCCGGCGAGCCCAAAGTATCCCAAGAAGGCCCTTACGTCGCCATCTCGCACGTATGGTCCGACGGAACCGGCGTGGGCCTGCACGATCCCGGCAAGGTCAACGAGTGCCTATTCCGGTTTCTCGCCCGCGTCGTGAAAAGAATCGGCTACGACGCCATCTGGTGGGACGCCATCTCCATCCCCAAAGACGCCCAACTCCGGCAGGAGGAAATCAACAACATGCACCGCAACTACGGCGCCGGCGAGTGCACCCTTCTCCACGACAACTACCTCCTCAACTTCGAGTGGGCCGACAATAGCGAGGGCCCTTGTCTTGCCCTGGTCTTATGCCCCTGGTTCACCCGCGGCTGGACCGCGTTGGAGCTGATCATGTCCAAGGCCGTCAAGGTGCTGTACAAGAACCCCGTGGAGGGCGGTGAGCCGCTGATCAAGGACCTGGACGAAGAAATCCTCGCGACAGACCCCGCCCGTTGCACGCGGGCGCACTGGATCGCGTCGACCATCATCCGCCGCCTGCGACGCGAGATAAGCAACGTAAGCGACCTCGCCGCCATCCTCAAGCCGCGGAGCACATCGTGGGCGCGGGACCGCATGGTCATCGCCGGCTTGCTGGCTAAGATCAAAGTCGACTACACGATGGCGACGCACGAGATCACCAAGGCCATCATCGACCGCGTTTGGAACCTGCACCCGGACAGCCTGCTCCACGGACAGCCCACCATCACCACCTCGGGGGGCTGGTCGTGGTGTCCGCACTCGCTGTATGACATGCCCTCCACGACGGTGGGGGACCTCGCCGAGACGGGAAAGCACCTGGTGGGGGACAGGACGTGCGTTGTGGACAAATCCGGCGTGATCTCTACCAGTTGGTACTGGCGCGCGCTGGAGGAGGCCGACACACGACACGACCTGCTCATACCTAACTCGTTGCACCAGGCTGTGTCGGTCGCCACCCGCCATGCCATCCGCGACTGGCAGCACTGCATGCTCCTCCGCGAGGCCAACATGGACGGTGGGCTCGGCTTGATCGTCAAGCCAGTCGGCAGACGCACCACAGACGGGTTCATCCCCGCCCAGTATGTCGGGAGCGTGCGCGTGCGGGAGTCACCGGAGAAACTGCAGGGGACGCCGGTCGACGCGCGCTATGCCTATAATTGGTTCCGTATTGGGGAGGTCGCCGTCCCCCCACACAGGGCGAGGCGGGCGGTTGCATTCTACAGCAAGCATAATGCCCAAGCACCCATTTCAAAGTCATCGAGCAACAAGACCAGAGACTGCAGTTGGATCGCTGGGGTGGGAAACCTCTGGATGGGCGATCACCCGCATGAGGGGCAGCTTTTGATTTGCCGCCATCGGAGGGCGGAGGGCGACGTGGAGGGGCTTCGCTTGGTTGTTTCGGGGGACCATGAGAAAAAGACTTACGCGTTGCTGCCGGCGGAGGAGCCTGTGTTTCGGGTGAGTGCCGATTCTGGTAAGAGCGTCGTCGTGCAAGGGGCGGCACAGGAGGGAGATGGAGATGATCCTGCTGAAGCTTCGCCTCTTCCCGACCGTGGCGGTATCCAGGTTCGGCTGGTGAAATACCAGGAGCAGTGGCCGCCCGAGCCCATCCCGGCGTTTGGGAGGGTGTACCATTCTGATGCGGTTCCGGCGATGAACAGCTTTAGCATCTTCAGGCTCGAAACGGATGGCAAGGACCGCACGCTATACGCGCTCCTGATTCAGCCCTACCTTGTACCCAATGCCAAGCAGCCGTACGGTGGGATGTGGATTTGTACGTGCTTCGCCCCACTATAGGGGCTCTTTTTTGTCTGCTAATTCTTGGTACGTATGCAGATGTCCGACCCGATACGGTTCCTCTTGTCACGCTCTTTTACCAGCAACACCCCAGCCACCTCCAAGCCATCACTCTAACGGGAGATACGTCAATCAAGCGGGGATCACTGATATTTGTCGTTGACGATCTGAACGCCTCCAAGGACTCCTACCCTGGCGAGGGGGAGTGGAAGGGGATGCCATATGTGGAAATCCCGTGGGGTATGTATAATGCATCGTCCTCCTCTTCCCCTTCTATTCTGTGTTTCAAATTGGCTAACCGATCCATACCCCTGGCCAAGGCTGAAGTATGGGCGCCCTTGTGCTCGCCAGCCAAGATGAGGCAGTTTTCATTATTGATGATGCGAAACGACGGGGTCGGTTCTGCCGACTTAAGGCGGAGGACCAGACGAATCTGGCGGTTCGTAGTTTGCTTGTTCCAAGCATCGCTGAGTAGAGGCTAGCCGTTCCTTGGATTGATAGAAGCAGTACCGTAAAGTCTCACAAAACTGCGAATTACTCTTGGACCGTGCCCGCCCACGAGCCACGCAAAGCTACGGCTCTAGCCTCGGATTCTGAGTAAGCGACCCCTTTAAAATTGCCTGAATCGGAGTAGTGGCTGCAAGGCCCCCTTGAAATCGGTGTGACTAGCTCCCCCCACCGAACCAGGGCCGTTGAACGCGTGGAATCTTATGAATTTCGTAGTGGTTTACTGGAGTTTGCTGGGGCTCACGAGCGTTGTTTTCTAGGCAGTACGGCAGTAGCGATGGACTAAATAGCTTGTTCGTTCGTATAGAAAACTACTAGTAAACTAGTTGTTCTAACTACTTCCTACTATTGCTAATTGGAAAGAATCCGGTTGTGTGCTGGTGGAGGTGGCAGAAAAGAAACCCCGGAAAGTAGTAATTTTGAAGAGGTAAGAACTAGACTCTTTCCAGAACCGAACTAAGCCCTTGCTTAGAATAGGTTACGTGGCTGGAGCCGTGGCTTTGCGTGGCTCGTGGGCGGGCACGGTCCAAGAGTAATTCGCAGTTTTATGAGACTTTACGGTATCTCGAAGGGAATACGATGTCCGGACAAGTTCGTCTTCACGCCTAACGAAGCCTGATTGAAGACAGCTGAGCTTCTTCTTTCTTCTTTCTCGCCAGCATATGTAAACAGCTGGAAACGGAGCAGTGGGCAGTGAATACTAGCTATGCAGGCCGTAAGCGAAAACGGAGGCGGCCGTGACGGTGAACGGCGGCGATGACTCAGTACGCGCCATTTGGGGTACTGCGTATTACACACACTACCCTCCACCCCTCTTTTCTTAGGTAATGAGCACTTTGTGGTGTTCCACAACAGCTAATAAGAGAGCCCGTCCGGCACCTGTACTGCATCCCTTGCAACATGCAAATGCATATGACTATCGCCAATCGGAATCCACAGACCTACCAGCTGAAACTCCTTTGCGCCCTGTGGCCGAGGCCTTGGGTCATTACTGGCTGGGATACGAAGTAGGGTCTGCACACCTCCAAACTTATTGCTGCAGATGAACTAAACCAGCACCGAATCAAGGACATATCTGCGGATTTCAGCAACCACAGCCTGATCATACGAGACGCCACATTGCTGCCTATCACTTGCTGCTGTCCATCGCTCAATAGGCTGTGCGGACTGTGTCATAAACAGACGACGAACTTGCACTGTTTTTTCTGTTTTCTCCAAGTTGCAGTGTGCCTGCTGTTGCATTGGCATGGCCCTCTGGAGACCATTGGTCACACTCTACTAATAATGCTACGACTGAGGAAATCGCGCGTGTGCAAGTGTGTAAAATTGCCAAGATAGCGAATTGGTGCCCCGTCCCTCTGTTCTCTTGTTTCCCCCCTCGCCTGCAGCTCTACGCGCTCTCCATTTCCCCCTTTCAAATACTGCATCCCTTCCCTCGTCTCTACCATACCCCTTCTACAAGACACATCTTGTAGCGCGAACTCGATAAAACCGACAGCGCCATCGCCAGATTCCCAGAGCAACCCCATCCCCAAGCCAACAAAACCCAATATGCCCGAAGACGGCCTATATCTCATTGGCGCCAGCCACACCCACCAGAACCACGTCATCAGCTACGATGACACAAACAATGAGTTCCAGTTGACCCACCTCGACGAGGATCTCGTGCGCAGGTCGACCTTTTATATCCACCACATGGCGGAGCACGCCTCTTACGAGATTCACAACACCCACCTGGACAAGAGCTTGACAAGCTCCTCGGGTGGTGCTGCGCAGACGGGAGACGGAGACTCGGACGAGCATGGGAATTACCGCTGGAGTATCTCGCGAAGGTTTGTGTCCTCCCCACCTAACCCCGGGTCCTTCGCTCTCAGCCGTACACGTCTCGTGGGGTGTACTCGTCGTTTACTGAGGTTTGTTTTCTTTTTTAAAGGCAGTTCATCCGGTGGCCGCACGATTGCCAATAGCGCTCACTCGAGCCGGAAACTCACGGCCAAAGGGCCGGTGCTGGTCATGAAAGGTGGTGGTACTACACCATTTCCCGACTATCCTGGCCCGTGGGACCTCATCAGGTTAGATGGTAAGGATCAGTCTACTTTTCATTGCAACGTCCCCATTTAGAAGACGAGGCAAAAGATTGGAAAGAGATCGCAGCTGATAAGCCATTCATTCCATCGCAGTCGGCCAACAGAACCAAGACGGGGAAGACAAGCTCCAGGGAAAGTCTGCGCAGGAGTGGTTCGACATCGCCCAGGAGGTCTTCAACGAGGGCCTGAAGCTGGTTGACTTTGCTTGCTCGGATACGTGGACCGAGCGGACGGCGGAGCAGCAGGAGAGCTATGTGGACTTGTTTAAAAAGTTTGGAGAGGACAAGGGCCTTGAGTGGTCGTAATTTTTTGGTGCCTCATTCAGCGCTTTGAAGATAGATTTAGTGTCGCCTACTTTTGAGCCACTTTTGAGCCACATTGTCAAGTCACATACCTGCATATCCCTGCATATCCCTTCATTCGTTACTTTCAGCCTGATCCCTTTTTTCGGGCTCCCGGACTTCCGAATGCCCTCTTTTTTCTCCCTTGCTACGGCTGAGTCCCTTACGTAGTAGGACTGAACAGACTGTTGAACTAGGTTTCCTTTGTCCTTTTATTAGAAGCATAAAAGGCCTTCTTTCTGTATTATTAGATTGGAGGGAGACAGACAATTCAAGACCCTTCAAGCCACTGTCAATATTGATCACGGGCCAGATTTAGGGAGTTCAAGTTCGAAAAGAATACCTTTGCTACAGTCGTTGGCACGTTGCTGCGACGGCCCCCCACCTTTTTTCTTCTTTCTCCCTTCTCTTTTTTGACAGCTCCAGACCCTATCAAAATGACTCCGCGTCAATCAACCTTGTAATTCTTTATCGAATTTCCGACGAAGCCACTTCCACGACTCTATGTTTTCGGCACTCGGCTCCGTTTCGCCAAACCTGTACTGAACCGCTAGGACTTTTCTAATCTCCAAACCGATGAACCAGCCCCCATCGTACTCCTAGTAATCAGCGACTTGAACATATCATTCACAGTGGGTTGGGGCCACCTCAGAAGAAGAATGTTCAAAAGCGGCCGGTAGACGACGTTTCTAATCTGGAGGCCCAAGGTCAGGGAGGTGACGACAAGAAATATGGGAAACGCGCGCTGGTACACCGATTGAACCAGGAGAGACAGGGTTATCCCAGGCGTGAATATAGCCTGTATCTGTGCTCGCGAGTGTGCCCGGCAAGGTGGTCCTTGCCGTCTGAGAATGAAAGGCGACAAGCGAAAAAATGGCTGGATAACTGCCATACTATTTTGCAGGCTTTCGCAAAAGATAAGGTTTGTTAATAGGATAACCGTCGACAAGCTTCGAACGGCAAGCCCATTAAACCCCCAATTAGTTAAGCCGAAAGTGAGAATCAAGTCGAAGGTAACTTGAAGTATTAGCCAGATAGAAATAGTTTTACCCCATGGACCTAAGGGATGAGCTTCGAGGTGAGACTTTTTGTAAACATTGCCTGGAGGGATCGATTTGACTGTCGGTGGTGCAACTTGGTCGAGATCTGCTGAAACTAGATCAAGCTCTGCTGACCACACAGGTCCAATTGCCTGGTAATTTTTTAGGAAGTAGCGGAGACGAAAGCGATGATCCGAAAGCGATGTCTGTATTGTCTTGATGCGCTCGTATGAGGGTATCTGCTTCAGGAGGGGAAGCACAGGGCTGTCGGCGATGAGCCGAGCAAGATCCTCGATTGAGCCCACGTCGGCAAGCAAGCCGGACTGTCTTGTCCGAGAGAAGACAATAAGGGCAACACTAGACATGATCACCGCCGCATTAACTCCCTGCAGGCCGCGGACATAAGGTTCGTGGATGGTTATGATTGCGGAGTTTTGCTCCAGGTCTAGGGTCCAAGCTAAGCTCGTCAGAGCGGGCGTCCCGACAGATGCTGCTCCGGTAGAGACTGGACTTGAGGCTAGCCCCTTCGGCCGTCGCAGCTTGGTACTTCCGCACAAGTAATTCGAGGACTCCAATAGACATAAGCTGAAGGCCCATTAAGATAATCAGAAACACCGGGTGGTAACACCAGGGCTTCCAGTTGGCGACAGCGGACTGACTGTCGTCTCCCGTCGGGATGCATGTGTTCGTCTTCGAAGCGTCTGAGCGAAACCCTGAACGGACAAAGTCAGCAATGGCAGAATAAAATGACTTCTAACTTGTGATATATACCGCAGGTAAGTATAGTTTTAGCATTTTGGTTATTCTCGATCATAGGCCCGCTTGGAGAATCTGCTCTTCATGTCGTCGTCTTTGTGGACTCGCCAACCGCATCAGTGGGTTGTCCCGTGTTTGGGAGATTAGTCTACATTTCGGCTGAATACATGATAGCTACCTGCTACACACTCACCGAGCTATCCACCCTCCGGATAATTATGTTGTATGATTAATAATAAGGGGGTAAAATTTGTGCGTTATTATAGGTACTGTGTTCAGCTTTTCCCACTTCCCTAAAGCAGTCGATACGGCTCAATCTATCTAAAAGCCAAGCACCAATGATAACTCTGGCCATTATTACATAAATGACCGGTAGCATCCAGACCCAGGAATATTTCTCTTACCTGCTATTCAAGACTGAGTTCTCTTTCATAAAACCGTCGCATAGTGGCTTAAGAAGCTCGGCAATTCTCGTGCGTTTATTCTCTTGCTATATGGTTTTGGGTCTTTATAGCTCAATCATTATCTCCGAGCTCGTTGCCGGAGGTCCACGGAATGTTGACTCTCTAAGCTGCTAAGAACTGGAAAAATAGAGTCTAGGATGTCACGGAGCCTCCTTTGAAGGGCTGAGCGCGAAGAAATATAGAATAAGAGACAGAAAACTATATATAATGCTGTTAAACTGCGTGCTCCTGGCAGGCCTGAACGCAGCACCTGCACAGGGTTGCTGCAGTGAACTCGGAACTGCAGCCGTGCGTAGCGGAAGCGGTGATGTCGATGGAGACAGTGCAGGGTAGGTCTGTCGAGTGGTGCAGGGTAAGTCCTGCGTGGTGCAAGTTAGGTTGGAGTGACCCGAAGCACTGGTTACAACAGCGGAGCTAAGGGAAGCAAGACGGCCGGCTCTGTGGGACTCTACCACAGAGACTAGACTACAGGGAACTCTGTCCAGTAGTCAAGCTTGCACCAAGACTATAAGGAACTCTGCCCTATAGTCTTCCTTACTAAGACCGTAGGAACTGTGCCGTATGGTCGAGGGTCTCACAGCGGACTGTGTACACTAGGACGACAAAGAGGAGGTGTATTATCCGCGAAGCTGGTGGGCGGAGGGCGGCCATCTTCCAAGTCCAGGCGCCGCGGACCAGGATCGGTGCGGTGTCGCGTGGGAGTTGTCACGGTCGCCACAGGGCTCATGTGACAGGATTGATTCTATTGGCTGCATTGTGCTTAGGGTGTGGCCTGTGCGCACTGAGCACTACTACCTATTTCTCCGCGCCCTGCGCGGACCCGGCGATAGATTCCTTTCTCTTCCTTAGCTTTAAATCCACATTCGTTACTGCCTTCAACCATTGACATCCCTACTGCGTAAGGCGGGCCGTCACAGGAGTGATCTGTATATATAGGCAGCGCGGGGCAAGAGAGGGCGGTTAAGCTAGGGACTGCTGGTCGCTTTGAGAGGCGGAAGATTCCGCACGGATCACGAACGATGAGCAGTTTCTGCTATTTCTTACCATCGGTTACGGCTCAAATCTTGCCAGGAAGGAAGGGTTGGTGGCTTGGGAACTGTTCAAAGATGGCTGTCAGGGCGAAGTTGCAGGCCCGTAGCCGAGCTTCTCTCTCCAAAGGAATGTCACTGAGGCGGGCGTTCTGGCGCGGCGAAATGAGGGACATGTCGTTACTTGCAGATGGTCGTTGCTCCTCCGTAGCAGCTTGAAAGAGGGGAAGTCGGTTGGCAAGTGCAGCAGGGGTACAGGTACAGTCCACAAGGCGGTGATGAGTAGCAGATTAGCGGGGTAAGTGCCGAATTTGACCACTTTGGTTATAATATTTATGCCGCTCTCATTTGCCAGTCTCTTCCTGGAGCACTTGATAAGGCATCGTGTTGGTCCCGCAAGAGTCATGTCGTAAGTGTGGCCGATCGGGCAGGGCAGCTAGGGGAACACGAATTGCCGATAGACGTTGACGAGCCTGCTCGCACACGTTTAGCACTTAACCAGGCGTCGCTGCCGCGAGCTCCCAATACTGTCTGCGGTCGTCGCGCTGCGAGCCAGCTTATGAGACAGCGAGTAGCCAGTTGCGGCGTTGTTGTTCTGGCTATGAGCGGCGGTGTCACAATCTGGACAACGGTGTCCATAGCGCTAGGTCCGGCCTAGGATTGTGGGGTCTGGGACGGCAGAGAGGAGGTGCTAGGAGGCAAGGAGTATCGTGCACAGATCGCGAAAGATAAGCTTTCAATGTACAACCAATATGTTACAATCTGGACAACAGAGTCCACGGAGCTAGGCCCGGCCTAGGATTGTGGGGTCTGGGACGGCAGGTAGGAGATTGCTAGGAGGCAAGGAGTATCGTGCACAGATTGCGAAAGACAGGCTTTCAACACACAACCAATGTATGCTTAACCATATGCATTGATAGCTGCAGAACCGTCTCTCCTAGAGAGCGTCCTGCCAGCTCCTATATAGAACTATGAACAACCAATCAGAGTCTAGCCTTATGTGCTCGGTCGCGTTCAGTCCTGGACGCGCTAAGCCGCACTAAGCTCTCAGCTCAGTGTGCTCAGCGGGTCTTGGCACTGACCCCACTGAGCACTCGCTGTTACAATCCCGGTTCAAAGGTGCAGAGGACGTTGTCCCGCCCGCTACAGATTGGCTGGAGCGGCATTCAGGGCAGGGCTCTCGGCAGGAAGGATGCGGCCAATCAGGTAGTGCTCTGTGCGGTTAGTTGCCAAGACCTAGGAGAGCGCACGGAGCGGGGCGATTAGTGGGGCCCATGGCGATCTGTTGGCAGATCGCCCCGGGGCCCACAGAGCGCAAAGAAGGGACTCTGATTGGTTGCTCATAGTTGTATATATAGGAGCTAGCAGAACGCGCTCTCTCTGGGAGAACGGTTCTGCAGCTATCAATGCATCTGGTTAAGCACACTTAGGTTGTGTGTTGAAAGCTTGTCTTTCGCAATCTGTGCACGATACTCCTTGTGTATTATTATCTCCTACCTGCCGTCCAGACTCCACAATCCTAGGCCGGGCCTAGCTCCGTGGACCTGTTGTCCAGATTGTAACAGTAGGGCCTCAGCGCCTACCGCCGTGCCGTGACACTAATAAGGGTTCTCTATTACAAACCACTCAACTGTTAGGGTCGTCTGTCTGTAAGAGAGCACAGGCTCTGCAAAGTTGGGTGGGTTTAGTGATAATGAAGAATGAACAAAGGGCAAGCTCCTATCGCACGTAAATCAGTCAATCTGGAATGCTGTGCAAAGTGTATGCACACAATGAATGTAATTGCTTGCTTGAGGGATCAAGGAAGAGCTATTTAGAACCGTAGGTACGGTTGTTGTATATATATCACTCCGACTCAACTTGTGAGCCTGGCAGTCGAAGACGCTGCAGTAACGAGGCCAAAAACCCGCCATCCTTCTTCGCCTCGCGCGCGTCGATACGGTGTTCATCTTGGAGGGTGTAGTCGCGGAAGGCCCCAAAGTCATTCCACGCCTCAACCTTCTTGCCCAACCGCTGAGCGTCGACTAGGTCTACAATGTTGACGAGCGCGTTCTTCAGATCCCTTTTGCACTCCGCAATGGAATCGTTCGAGGGGATGCCCACCTCGCGGTATAGCTTTTGGTAGCCCTTAAGCTCCAGATCCTCCTCTGTGAATCCAGCGTCTGTTTCGCTATTGCCGTCCTGCGACTGCGAAAAGTAGTGCAGCTTTAGCTCTTGGCGCATCGCAATTGTGGGCTCTCGGTATACTGCTGCGGGCCAGGGATCTAGTTCTGCGACGACGCGAGACGATCAAATTCATTGTCAAAGGACGCACCATCGTTGGGTGCGAAGTTTTCGAATTTGGCAAAGTGGGATTGCGACGGCGGTGGGAGCTCGGCTATCACGTCCGCGTCCTCTCCGTTTGTGCTTGCCATCTCGTTTGAAGCGGCCCAGGTAATGGGTTTCAAGGTAGCTGGAAATGGTAGTGCTCTCGCCGCATGGCGGTTCAATCTATACCAGTGTTGGGAACTTCTGGTAGCCGTCCGGCTTGTTCGCCTCTGCTGTCGGGTCTGGATGAGGTCGCGTTGACTGCAACTGGGTCTGTATGTTTAGGTGGCGGGACGCGTTGCACATACAGGCTAACCCAAAGTGGATAGGCGCACGGTGGGGTTGATCGCCCCGCCATGGTGTTCAAGCGAGATGGTCTCTTTCATGGTCGTCCAACATCTGTGGTCAGGCAAACTTCTTTCCTGTGTTAGACGAAATTTCTTACTCAGATCACACCGTTGTACGAAATAGTAAGGAGCGCTTACTTCCGGGTACTCTTCCGGACATCGCCCCGAGCCCGAGCGGCGCTCCCCAAATCCCCGGCGCTCACCAAGCTCCCCGCGCTCTCCCAGCCGCTCATCCAGTCGTCGCCGCTCTCATCGAAGTACAGCAATACATGAGTACAACAATCTACCAACTTTTTTTTTGAGAATCCATGCGCATTTTTCGAACAACCGTACAGATGGCGGCGATACGGGTGCTCTATGCTGAGGACTATGAAGTGACAACACGGTGACAAAGACATACATTGCGTTCTGACTATTAAGTACAAACCAAGCCAATGCAACAAGAGGAAAAACACGATGAAGACCGATAGAAAAGGTAATGAGTACCCCTATTCCCGTTGTATCCGCTCCCGCCCTGTCAGACCTCATTACATAATTGTTGGAATTTGTCAAGCAGAAGGGCCTCGAAGGTTCTAGATAGAGACTTCGCCACCCACTTCGCCACCACAATAGTAGTATAAGAACGGGCTTTCTGGCACTGCCAGAAAGCTAGAGAGAGAAGAACAGACATCTACAATCCATCACTTGAACCACCAGTTTTCGGCGTGCAGCCACGCCCTGTTGAGTCCAGTACCGGTACCCTGGTGAATCCAACACTGATCAGTGGTTAACTCACCACTGTTGGGACAACAGTCCTCCGCCACAGATCAGCAAGGAGCAACAGAAGAGACAGCGCCGTAGAGAACGGTCGGACCCGAAGGCCGGCCCTCTCTACGAACCTGTGCTAAGGAAGGCATCCCCAACTACGGAAGAGATGGTATAACGGAGCATTCGTGCCTCGAATCTCAACCGCAGCCCAAGGACCTTCGAATCTACGGAAGAAGTGGCCGTGACCGTCTCCCTGGCGTCACCTAGCCGTAGAGCGTCTACCACGCAACAAACCCTGAAAGACGACCTTCCAGGCCAACAACGACCTACGTGTTGAATCATCATTCTTTTACCTTCATTCATTCTTTTCGACCTTCAACCATTCCATTCTACCATAATCCATCCGGCTTCAATTCTTCGGTCTTTTCAACATTCCTTCATTTTTCGGCCCTTCTCAACATTCTTTCGCATTCTCTCGCTTTCCAGCACTTTCCTTCGACTCCCAGCTTTCCAGGCCAGTCAACAGCCCATCCCTACGTTCCAGGCCAGCCAACGGCTCGTTCGTACACGCCTAAGATGGCCACGGGCACAGAGAACGACGTTATTACGTCCCCGACCCCTACGCCTAGCCAACCAGCGCGCTCAGAACCCCTCAGCAGCCCTACCCCCGGACCCTCGGTCCCTCCCGACCTTCAAGGGGAGGTAGACCCTCTAACCTGGGGCCGGCTAAGCGCGTTCGATCGACTCCCGTCGCCAACAAATGAGCAGATCAATGGGCACATCCACTTCCTGCTACGCTCCTGGCAGAAAAACCCCCTAAAAGGAAGATACGCATGGGTACAGTTTACTGAGGAATTCGAGCACTGGGATAAAGCCGCCTGGGCGAAGATCCCGGGTCGAACACAGACTACCCTACGTAACTGGCTCCGGGGTAACGGAGTCTTCGTTACTATGGATGGTGACAGGATCCACAATAACCTCCAACGAGCAGCAACAGCGAAGGAGTTCCACAGATGGTCTGACGCGGACGTCAAGTACGAGAAAGGACGGAACAAGGCCTTCAAACTAAATACCCTAGACCCTGACTTCCTTCGGGAGATCCAAGAGCCCGACGACGATATAGAGGAGCCCGAAAAACCTCCTACGGCATTTTCACCTCGGGAACCACCTCAAGGACCCCAGTACCCCCAGCAACGCAGTCCTACAAACGGCCCTCACCAAGGACCCCAGTACCCCCAGCAACGCAGTCCTACAGATGGCCCTCACCAGGACTTCCAGTACCCTCGATCTAGACTCCAGTTCGAGTACCCACCCGTACCACAAGGGCCCCCGAACGCGAAGCAGCTTACAGACCTGGCTAAGCTCTACAACGACGAGATGAAATACGGCGGCGATACATACGATGTATTCGCTTCTAAGCTAGTGATCTTCCAGGACTGCTGCCAACGACTGGGTATTACCCAGGGCCAGTACGACGTAGCCTTCCCCGCTATGCTCAAGAGCCGCGCCCTGACCTACTACTACGACCGGCTCTGTGGGCGTAAATACGACTTCGCTACGTTGATCGCCCAGACTAAGGCCCAATTCGAAAGCGAAGAAAGCAACCAGCTACGCCTACTAGAGTGGGGCAACACAACGCTACGTAAGGTCATCGACGAGAACCCAGGGAAACCAAGGACCGAGTGCCTCGAACTCTTACTCAATAAGCTTACCAAGCTTCAACGTACCCTCCCGACCATCAATCAGTCAGAAGAACTACTCCGCATACAAGTCCTCAACGCCTGCCGTGGGATCCCTGAATGTACACTCTGTCTGTACAACCCGGCTGCAACCTACGAAGGCGTACGCAGCCAGCTCCGGTCGGCAGTTAGTATTGCAGCTGAAGCCCATAACCAACAGTTCAACACCTACGCCCCTGAGGAAGCCCGGCAGCACTGGACTGACCGGACATTCAAAGGCAACGGCCGAGAGGCTCGCTTCGGGCGTAAGGACCAGGAAAAACCACGACGTACCTTCCCGGCCCGAGGACCCTCGCCCGGTAAAAAGTGCTACGTATGCGGCAAGCCCGGCTGCTGGTCGACAACCCACACGACGGAAGAAAGGCGCCAGGCCTACGACCGCTTCAAGGGCAACAAGCATATACAGAGTAGCCAACCGTCGGCTACATATGCCCAATTCCTAGCCTGGTACGAAGGAACCCAAAGCTTTGACGATAACGACGAAGACGACAACGTCTCGCAGTTCCTACAGGCCCACGAAGACGACCAGTCCGAAGGTAGTGAGGAAGAGGGATTCCAAAGTACCTTCTTTAACGATTCCATGCCAACCGACGGCAACGCCATCGTTACCTTACTTGCCGATAGGTCAGTCCGCCACGGCCTAACCAAAGAAGACCCATTCCTACAGGCCGAGGATCAGGACCACCAACCCGCTTCAATCTTCACCCTCGAAGGCCGTTACTCAGCTACGGAGTTCCACGGCATCATGCCCGACACAGGGGCGTCCGGTTTTTCAACGGCCGGGCACCCACAGTTCCGTGCCCTACAAAGGGAGCTACCGTCACTACGGCTCGGACCGCCAACTACGGAGGCCGCAATCAAATTCGGCCAGGGCGGCACCCTCACCCCCTTGGGCACTATCACCGTACCTACCCCCTTCGGCTCGGTTGACTTCCACGTAGTCCCCGCAAACACACCGTTCCTGCTATGCCTTCAGGATATGGATCGCTTGGGCTTGAAATTCGACAACCTGCATAACCAACTACGGCAGGGCAACCTAACCGTCCCCGTCGTACGGAAGTGGGGGCACCCCTGGCTCCAACTAACCAAAGAGAAGACCCTCGCATATAACTACCTTACCGACACAGAGCTACGCCGGCTCCACCGCCGATTCGGCCACCCGTCGGTCGCCCGCCTACATAAAGTCTTGAAGACGGCCGGGCACCCTGTGGAAATCGGAGCCCTTGAGTTCCTTAGCCGGGTATGCCACCAGTGCCAAATGAACGCTGGCCGCCCAGCCCGGTTCAAATTCACCCTCCACGACGACTGCGAGTTCAACTACGAGGTTATCGTCGATATACTATATATCGATAGCCGTCCTGTCCTCCACATCGTCGATACGGCTACGGCCTTCTCAGCGGCCTGCTTCCTCAAGGATATATCGTCAAAGACCGTATGGGAAGCCCTCTGCCTCTGCTGGATCAATGTATACCAAGGACCCCCCGACTGGCTAGTTACCGATGCCGGCACTTCGTTCCGATCTACCGAGTTCCGGCAGTCGGCTAAGGAGATGGGGATCTCGATCAAAGAAATACCCGTTGAAGCCCACAACAGTATTGGCAAGGTTGAACGATACCACACACCACTACGCCGGGCATATAATATCTTCAGGGCCGAGGACCCCGAAGCAAGCCCGGAAGCTTCGTTACAAATGGCCGTCAAAGCAGTCAACGATACGGCCGGCCCGGACGGCCTTATACCTACGCTCCTAGTCTTCGGCGCCTACCCCCGGCTGACCGAAGATTCGGCACCCTCGCCTACGATAAAACAACGTGCCCTAGCAGTCAAGAAAGCCACTGACGCAGTCAAACGGCTACAGGCCGTACGACAAGTCAACGGCGCCCTCGCAACGCGCAACGGCCCAAACACCGTACGAACCACTCAACTACCGGTTAACTCCCTAGTCCGTGTATGGCGCGAAAAAGCCGGTTGGCAAGGACCCTTCAAACTGATTGCAGTTGACGGAGAAACCTGTACCCTGGAAATGAATAACGGCCCGCGCATCTTCCGATCAACCGTAGTTAAGCCCTACTACGAAGACCCGACGGCCGTACCAACTTCACCAGCTACACCGACCGCAACAGCTTCGCAGGCTATACCGGTTATACCAACCACAACGGCATCGGAAGCTGGCCTAGCCCCGGAAAGCGAAGCAGAGGACATGATCATCGTCAGACCACGACGCCGCGGTCGACCCCGTAAAGCCTCCCCCCAAGACACCTTCCTTCAGGAAACCGGAACCCCTGAGAGCTTTATAACAAACAAGGAACAGGCCGACGCCGTACTAGCGGTACGACTACGTACCGAGGGCAAGATCACCACGCCAGGCGCACCATTCGAAGAGTCTACCCAATACGAGATCGACAGTCTAATCGCTCGGGGAGTATTCGAATTCGTCAAGGAAGGCCACAACCGAGGCCTACGCATCTTCAAGTCCCGCATCGTTAACGAAGTCAAGGGCAAGAATACCACAACGCCCTACGAAAAATCCCGCCTCGTTATCCAAGGCTACGCAGACGACGGGAAGGAGTCTATTCTAACCCAGTCGCCAACGATCCAACGGGCTAGCCAACGCCTTATACTGGCACTAGCTCCTTCGCTCATGCAACGCAGTATGGTTATCTGGCTACGGGACATTACGCAGGCCTACGTTCAATCAGGAACCAACCTCAACCGCGAAATCCTAGCCTACCTACCTAAGCAGATTCAGGACCAGTACCCCGAAGGCACCGTAATGCGAGTAATCAAGCCGTTATACGGCCTGGCTGAGGCAGGGACCCACTGGTGGGCTACCTACCATAAGCATCACTTAGAAAGGCTCCAGATGATGACATCTACGTACGACCCCTGCTTGTTAATTTCCAATACGGAGAACCCGGAATTTGCCTGCATCGGGATGCAAACCGACGATACGATCGGCCTGTCAACTAAGGCTTTTTCCCGTGTTGAGGAAGAACAGCTGAAAGAGGCCGCATTCAGTGCAAAGCCTAAGCAGATCCTGACTTCAAAGGAACCACTAGCATTCAACGGAGGGATCGCTACGCTTACCAACGATACGATCACCCTACGGCAGAAAGGCCAGGCCGGTAGGCTACGATCTATTAACTACAATGCAGTTGACGCCAAGCAACAATACGTCGAGCAGCGAGCCCGCGGCGCGTATATTGCTTCCATCTGTCAACCTGAAGCCTGCTTCGACCTATCAACCGCAGCGCAACACCAAGAGCCTACGCTAGATGACTTTAAAGCCCTCAACCAACGTATTAAGTGGCAGGTTGATAACCAGGACCGAGGTCTAGCATTTATCCCCCTAGACCTACCTAACGCAAAGCTCTTCGTCTTCGTCGACGGATCCTTCGCTAATAACCGTGACCTCACATCACAACTCGGCTTCGTAATCATTCTAGCCAACGAGACCACAATCGATACTCAATTCACCATTCGTGGTAATATCATCCACTTCTCCAGTACTAAGAGCAAGCGAGTCACACGTAGTATACTCGCTTCCGAAGTCTACGGCATGGTGGCAGGCGTGGATATGGCCTACGCACTAGCTTCTACGATTCAAGTCGTCACTACGCACCTCAATCTACCAACAGTCCCTACGGTCGTCTGTACAGACTCATACTCGCTATACGAATGCCTTGTCAAGCTAGGGACAACGAAAGAGAAGAGGCTAATGATCGACATTATGGCCCTACGGCAGTCGTACGAGCGCCGTGAGCTACACGAGGTCAGGTGGATCCACGGCGACGATAACCCCGCCGACGCCCTGACCAAGGCCGTACCGAACCGGGCCCTAGAACGGTTCATCGACGGTAATAGCCTTACGGTCCGTATGGAAGGGTGGGTCTCCCGGTAAGGAAGACCCGGGTGGAAGCAGTGATCCCGGGGGTGTAGATAGTGGCAGTTATATAAGGGCAGCTTTCCAGCCTCAAAAGAGAAAACTGCCAGTGTTGGAATTTGTCAAGCAGAAGGGCCTCGAAGGTTCTAGATAGAGACTTCGCCACCCACTTCGCCACCACAATAGTAGTATAAGAACGGGCTTTCTGGCACTGCCAGAAAGCTAGAGAGAGAAGAACAGACATCTACAATCCATCACTTGAACCACCAGTTTTCGGCGTGCAGCCACGCCCTGTTGAGTCCAGTACCGGTACCCTGGTGAATCCAACAATAATTGACCTGGCACAGTGGTAGCCCCACCATACTACTCGTCAAAAGAAATTCACGTCCCAAAACAAGCAATTACTACAGCATCAAGACCACCGGTCCGGCTCACCTCCCACCCAGCCCTCCTCAATAGACGAGATAGCCGGGGCCGGCTCTTTCATAACCTCGGGCTCCTCCATAGACGCAGCCTCCTCCATAGGTGCAGGCTCCTCCATGCATCTGTTCTTCTTCTTGTACTTCTTCGTGTACTTCTTTGATGCAGTGATTGAACCCCAGAAATCGTCCTCCTCCTTCTCGGGCTCTGGTTCGGGAATGACCTCGGGTACCGGCTCAGGCTCAGGCTCAGGCTCAGGCTCAGGCTCAGGTTCCTTTGGAAGCTCCAGCTCTGACTTGTGATTCTTTCCCTTCTTCTGTTTCTTGTCCTTCTTGCTTATTGTGGTGCCCCACACTGCCCAAGTGTCATCGACAGCTGGCTCTACCACAACCTGGGGCGCCTCCACTGGGACAGGCTCAGGCTCCGGCTCGGTGATCTCGGGCATCGGCTCAGGCTCAGCTTCCTTTAGAAGCTCCGGCTCCGGCTCAGCTTTCTTTCCCTTATTTTTCTTGTCCTTCTTGCTTGCCGTGATGCCCCAAGCTGCCCACAGGTCATCCGTGGCTTGGACATCTTTCGCCGATAGCTCAATCGACTTCTCTTCGCCAGGCTCTGGCACTGGCTCGGGGTCCCAGATGCTAGGTTTCTTCTTGTCTTTTTTGCTGGTGGTCGTCTCTAATGCAGCAAACCCTACTTCAGTATCAATCTTCTCTGGCTCTGGTTCAACTTGTTTCGCCTCCTCGACAGGCTCTGGCACTGGGCCGTCCCAGATACCACATTTTTTCTTGTTCCTGTCCTTGGTTGTCCTCGCTCCCCACGTAGCGAACTCATTAACAGCCTCAGCCTTCTTTGGGTCGGGCTCATCCTGCTTCGCCTCCTCGGCCGACACTGGTTCAGCGTTGACTGACTCTAGCACAGACTCGGCGGCCTTCTCTTCTTTCGCCTCCTCCTTCATACCGCCAAAGTTCCAGACGCCAGGCTCAGCCATATGATTACCCCAGGCACTGAAATTGGTCGTCTTCTTGAAGTTGTTCATGGCCGTTGAGAAGCCAAATAGGGGAGCTGGCCCAGCGGCAGGCTGAGGGGTAGGCTTGACAGTCAGGGCGTCAATCTTCTCCCTGTAGACCTCCAAAGCACCCTGAAGAAGGAGCTTCGCAAGTGTGACATCTTGTGTCTGCACTTCCGCCCGGGCGTCATCTGGGGTAGTCTCACTTGCTGTCTCAGCAGACGGCGGCGCCAGAGGTGTCTCAAAGGCAGTCCTGATTGTATCCTTGATGAAGATGGGGAACCAAGTGTCGTTGCCTTTTGCACACGGGTAGGCCTTTTTGACAATGTTGATGATCGTGAAGGCATCGACATCCTTGCTCAGGAGGGTGATCTCCTCTGTTGCCAAGGCTTCCAGTTCCTTGAGGTCGAACTCGCGAGCAGTGGCGTACACTTCGAATGCGGTCTCGACCTTGGCGATGGTTTTCTTCTGACTGTCGGTTGGACCAACCCACTTCAGCGTACGGTAATTGTCAGTGTAGAGGTATTGGACGAAGACATGGCCGGCGCTCCGTGAGATTCCCTTCAAGCCAGCGGATTGAGGGTTCGGTACGGGCTTCCCCGTCCAGCGATCAATCTCCTCGGCGGCGTCAAGAGTGGCCAGCTTGGGGTTTCGGTGTAGGAGATCCCGGTGTAACTGCAATAGGTCGCCCTTTTCGAACTCGAGGGAGATCATTGACGCGCAGCTAAAGGGACTTTGACGGTAAAATGTCAGTACTCATGGGTGGGTTGTTGAAGGGGTCGAAGCGGTTTGTTACTTACGACTTCTCAAAGAAGGAATCGGGGTCGTCGGGCTTGTAGGCCCCAAACAAGGTACCGCTCTCCGAGCCCTTCTTTTTCTTCGGCGCCATCCTCCTCAGCATCTGTTAGTGTGTATCTGAATGAACTTAATCCTACTTGTGGTTCAAAACAAAGGATTTTGAGGAGGGAAGGAAGGGACAAAATCTAGAGTGTCTTCAGACGTTTGAGTGCGGAAGGGGCCAAGATCGCAACCCAAAATCCCCCAAAACAGAGCAGGTTCGCAGTGGTATTAATACCCCCAAGTTCCCCGCACCACATGCGCAGCCCACAGGCAAGACAAATGGCACAACCACACCCAACCACAACCAACACCCAACAAGCGACACTTCTGCCTCGCGCAATCACTGGCCTGCACTGATGCCTGATGGTTGCATGCCAAAAGCCGGTTTGCTCACTCGGCTTCGGCGGCTTTGGGGTCACTTGCAGACCACCCATCCCGCGCAATTATTGCACTTTCGGCAGCCCATCGCCGCGATTCGTTTGTTGGAAGGTCGCACCACCTCCGCGCGGGGCTGACGCCCAATGGCAGCCGCATGGGGGCATGCAAACGCGCTGCAGTAGGCCTCTCCACGTCCTGTGGGTTGGGAGTTTTCGAGGCGACCAGTCGGGATCGAGCATTTTCACTTGAGATGCGCCCGATATAACGATAAGATCGTGGTACCGATTTCTGACGTGCCAGCCTTCTATATATCTTTGGAAGGAAGTTAAATGACGAAGAGCGTGGTGTTGCCGCAACCACGCTCGCTAGATGCAGGTTCCGGGAGGTGCGGAAAAACATGTATGAGAAAATTTTTGGTGTACATGCTGAGAAGACTATACTTTTCCTATTGGAGGACCTGTCTTTACTGAGATTATCGCCGAAATGGGCCGTATCTCAGATCAGGGGAGGGTTGGGAGGGGTTGTAGCTAGCACAGTAACTCTGTTGCCGAGTTGTTGCTCTCCCTCCCGATCGCACAGGAGACGACGCAACCTGTGAATTAGTTACAGAGCCTAACTAAAACGCAGAGGTCGAGACGTCTGATCGTGTTCACGCGCGGGCGGCGTCTCCAGAATAAACGGACTAAGTCCGGTACCTGCATGACAAACATTGATTGCGACAAGGTTGGGAGCCCGGCTGCTACGTCTGCATCCTTACTACTTGTTGTGAAGTAGGCCTGCCGAACTCTCTGAATTTCTCGGTAGCAAACGGTTTAATGCCTAGGAGCATGTCCCGTGCGAGAGTTTTTGAGGATAGCAGATTGGCGCTTCTGCGGAGGCTCGTATTCCAGCTTCGTTCCTCAAGACTCTTTCTCTTACTGTTTGCATTATCCGAACTCACATGTGAGGATGAGCCGCACATTAGGTGGCTGAAAATAACCAGCAGATGTGGGACTACTAGGGAATAATATTGGTCTAATCGGTCGCCCAAGTGGGTTGGTGGGTGGGATTTTTGGACGGTGTAGCTGACTAATCCCGAATTTCTGCCGGTGGCTGGTGTGGGCGCGAATCCTAAAGAAACGGGCGCGATTGCGACTTCTTTCGGTTTCTCATCCTTAAGCATCCGTCAATATGACAAATCAGCCGCAGTCGAAGATCATTAAGGAGAATCCTATTGGGAAAGGCCTTGATGCCTTCCGCGCCTCCTTCCATTCGGTCTGCGAAAGCGCAAGCCTCCCCCACTGCCCAGACGCGCTGCAGCAGCTCAGCCGAGAAGGTAAGGAAGACAGCATAGCTTCGTTTCTGGTTACTTTACTCTGACCGCCATGTAGATCTCCAAAACCTTACCCTTGTCCTTCTCTCGACTCTACAGATCCTTCCAGCATCTCGCCTGCTCCGTTCCAGCGGCAGTGGCAAGAACCTCTTCAGCGATCTATCGAGACTCAACTCCGCCGTCAACTCCGACGACTTCGACCTCGACAGCGTCAAACCCCTCCTCAGGTCGGCCATTACCGACGATAACGATGCCCTCATCTGGAAAGAAGTCTACAACGCGGTCACCGAACCTACCCCACCACCCCAGCCCATAGCCTCCTCCCTTCAGCAAACCCCGTGGCTTCACAATACGAGCAGCTTCGCGAACTCGTCCGAGTTCCGCAAAGATATAGACAGAGTCCTCAGAGATGAGTTAGGCGTTATGTCGGGCTCCCTCGATTCCACGAGACATTTTTCGGGCGGGTGGCAGATCTCACGGCAGCATCCGAGCCGTCTTCAAGAAGTGCATGGAGGGCGGCGAACCACTTTTCAGTGATGGGTGGGGCGGATGGCCGAGAGATGCAAATCAAGACGATGTCTTGAGCTGGTTTGCAGAGATGAGCGAGAAGCTGGCGACACTCGCAGAAAATTATAAGTCTATCCTGACACATCGACGAAGGCCACTAGCAAAACCCAACAAGCCGATCTAGGGCTCGACTGCGGAACGTAAGTTGGACGTCGGCTTCGTGGACAACCCAAAGGCCGGGAAGGACTCACGATGCCACTGGTGACAAATCCTGGTACCAGGTGAGCTGAAAAGCAACCCAGCGGCCGACACGGCGGCGAAGGCGTGGTTAGACCTTGGCACGTACGCGAGGGAAGTCCTTGCCGCTCAAGACACTCGTCGCTTTGTTTTAGGCTTCACCATCTACGGATCTTTCATGAGGATATGGGAGTTTGATCGGCTTGGGGCCTCGCATCCGAGCGGTTCGACATCAACGAAGAGGGGTTGCGGTTTGTGTCTACGGTCCTCGGGTTTCTCTGGATGAATGTAGAGGAGCTCGGCTTCGATTCAACATTTGCAACGCTCAACGGCCAGCGGTTCATCGAGATCGAGCGGAACGGCTAGAAGGAACGTCTCATCATTGACGAGGTAATGCAACGAGCACGTTGCGTTGCCGGTCGGGCTACAACATGTTGGAAGCTCATCGCGAAGGGCAGCCACAGATACCGCTAGTCATCAAAGATTCATGGCAGTATCCGGAACGCGGTGAGGAAGGCGAATTATTGCGCGAGGTGACCAGAAAATGCGTCATCAACATCGCCAGACACTATTACCACGAAACGGTTCAGATACATGGAACGGATGACGACGTCCGAAACAACGTCTGAGGAGGACTAGACGTCACCAGCGCCACGAACTACCGGCTGGGACGGTCAGCCCCCCGGTCGAGTGCGATGGCCTTAGTTTCGCGAAAAGGCCGTAGTAGTAGTGTAGCTGCTGGTAAGAAACGATCGTCCAGTCAAGCCGGCGTCCCTCTGCCAAACAGCAAGCGGTCTTGCTCGGCATCTCAAGCCAGCGGCAATCTGTCAAATCGGGTGCATCGTCGTGTCATTCTTCGCGACTACGGAACTCCTATCTACAAGGCCAGCTCCCGGACGTCTCTGCTTGCCGCGCTTGACGGTTGCATTGAAGGGCACGAATCCCTACACAAGGCCGATCTCTATCAATAACCTCTTGATCAACGAGGACGTCAATAATCCCTCTAGCCTTCCTTTTTAATTGACCTGGATCTCGCCATCAAAGAGCAACGAGAGGGCGCATCGGGAGCCAAAAGGAAGACTGGCACGAGGGCATTCATGGCAATCGGGGCGCTTCTAGACGAGCAACATTCCTTCATGCACGATCTCGAGTCATTCTTTTGGGTGTTGTTCTGGAAGCATTCATTGTGAAGGGCCGGACGAGCACAGAGTCGTCGCACGGTTCGACAAGTGGAATTACATCGACACCGAGGAGTTGGCGGAGCAGAAGAAAGGGCAAGTATCTCATGAGGGGGACTTCATCAGGACCGCTAAGGAGAATTTTACTCCTTATTATCAACCATTGATACCTTGGGTCAACTGATACGGAAAGCTGTATTTCCAAATGGTGGGAGGTGGGAGAGAGAGGACGGAGGGCTATATATTCGGATGCGGCAGATCCTTCAGGAAGCCCAAACGGATCCGACTACCTAAGCAAGAGCCAGGTAACCTGGTATTTGTGTAACTACCTTGCGTCTGCTCGTTTCAGCCAATCCCCTATAACATAGAGATACCGTTCTGTCCCTTAAACATCCAAATCAAAGGCGAGCCGCACCATCTCTACCAGTAGATCTACCAGGAGGTCTAGAGTCCTCGCATTTTGGAAATAGTATTTTAGAAATAGGGTTCAAAATCCACCAGTAAATCCACCTGTAGATCTACTGGTAGATTTCGTTCTCAATCCCATTTCCTAAATGTAAGCTTAGACCTAGTGGTTGATCTGCTGGTAAATTTCATTCTCGATCCAATTCCCTAAATGGAGGTTTCTGTCACTGGTAGATCTACTAGTAAATCCGTTCTCTAATCCCTGCGAGAGCTTTCTGTGACTCAGACCACCTTTTCGATTTCAGCCGAGTCGTAACAACTGAAGGCATGACTGAGCACTCCAATAAGCGCGTCTAATAGTGGGATTCAATTGGAGACTGTTGGAACAACGCGCATTCCAGCGACATAGAGGTGGCTGTAGCAACGCATTCATCAGCCACACAGGCGGCGGTGGAGGCGTAGGGGTCCCAGATTCCATATAAGTGGCCTACGGCCACCTCTTTCTTCTAGATAGACATAGACAACAATGACCATCACTTGAACCACCAGCTTTCGGCGTGCAGCACGCCCTGTTGTTTCCAGTACCGGTACCTGGTGATTCCAACAGAGATATTGACGCATATCTAAAAATACTAGCCCAATTATTTACCGCCAACCATGATTGACTAACCTTTTTCTGCCCCAGATGAGACCGAAAATGAGGGATGATTTCGAGACGTTGGAAAAATCACCTATTTTTGGATTCTCCAGGTACATTGCTGATCGAACAGGTGCTGCTCCAACAGGTGCCGCTCTAGCAAGGCTGTGGTCTCAAGCAAATCGATCCGTCATCTGATTGATCAAATCTGCTGCAAATTTGGGTACCTCGTCCAGCAACTGTGGCCACCCTGCCAGACCAAGTACGTCCTCGACGACGCAAGCAGCGAATTGTACCACCAGCTGCTGCAGCTGACATCCCCTGATCGTACGATCATCATACACGCAGCGTACGAGTGCCCCAAATTCTAGAATAAAGGCGGACGGTTAGATAGTCCAATGCACTAGCTCCCAGACCAAGTGTGAGCAAGCGAGTTCCATGAGCGAAGGGATGGAGAATCGCTCGGCAAATCCATACGTCTTCACATTTCCGACAAACATCGCGGAGGCTGGCTCAGTTGGCCATATACTTTGCTCAATGCTCATCCTTGCGCCAGCCTGCCTAGCCATGAACTCAGAAATGAGATTTCGCTTCTTCGGGGACGGACCACCTCCAGCGATGCCAGTAAAGCAAAGCAAATAAAGGAACGACCAGGTTTCCTTTATTTGTTAGATTCGAGGCCCTCTTTGCTTTACGTGATGCCCGCTTTGCTTTATTTGCAAAGGGTGCCAAGACCTCCGGAATAGGTTGTTCCGGCCCGGTCCTCCCAAACAAAACCAGGTCCCAGCCAGCCTGCTCCTGAGTCTCCATCACAACCGCCGCCCTCGCAACAAACACTTGATAAATACAAGTTGGCCAATCTTCTGATCCAACAGCCGGTGTCTCTGACTCGCGATAGTCAATTTCGCTGTACTAAAGACCCGCTCGCACTGGTCACTCATTGCCGGGATGCTCAAGAGCTCAACTGCTACCCGATATAGCAGGGGAAACCGGTTTTTTTGAGCAAGCCACCATTGAATCGGTACATCACAGGGTACAGGCGGGTCTTCAAGGTATGTGGCCAGCTCGTCAGACGATCCAGGTTCCGGCTCCTCGTAAAAGTCTGGTCCTAGAAGGTGCTCGTGGAATGGCTTGAGGTCGGTCCCGATGCTGGCGGTTGTAGTAGGGGGACTCTGGCTGGCTCCTAGCCTAGCTATCTCGCTTTTGATGAACCCCTTAGCGTCAAAAAGCACCTGTTCGGCCCGCCCAATTTCGAGGGTCTTGTATATCAGTCTCTTTCGGTAGCTGGGATGAAGGAGGACAGCCGCCCAGTAGACTGGGCTCTCTCTTCCATGATATCCAGGTAGCTATCAAGGCTGTGGATCGCCTTCGTGAGGCTTACGTCAATAGCGCTGAAGCCGCTGGGGCCAAGATCTGGATCGGGGACGGCGGAAGGATAAAACAGCCCAGTCCTCGGTGTTGAGTAGGTCGGCTGCGGGGAGCCGCTTCTTCACATCTTGATGGCTAGCAAGGCGGTGGGAATATACGTCAACAGAGTCCCGGAGCTTCAACGCCTTCTCTATCATCGAATATACCGAGTTCCAACGCGTAGCGTTATCCGATTTGAGCTGCAAGCCGGCGTGTTCTTTCGCCATGAGGCCAAACTCGTCTAGTTCTTCCTCGGTTATTCCACCTCTTGTGATCTCGATAAACTCTAAACGGCGCTGCGGGATAGCCCTGACGAACTTGGCGACGTTATGAAGCTTTCAAAGCGGCCCAAATGATCGCCACTGCTCCAGTTGTTGATTCTCTAAGGCGTTCCTGTATTCGTAAGTTCCCTCGTTCAAGGACCTGAGCCGCTTCTTGTTATTGCCCTCGAGGAACGCCTGGGCAACGAGGTTGATAATATGGCCGATACAACGGACGCGCTGTTTCGAGTGGCGTTCGTCGACCGATACCGGTGATTCGGACGGATGGAGGAGCTGAAGAAGATGGAGGATACACGTATCGTTCGCGTCTGCGTTATCTGCCTGAAAATAGCCTGTATTACTACTCAAGCCAAAAGATTGGATGACTTCGTGGATAATAGGAGCGAGGTTCTCACCGCAGTGGCTTCCTTTGACGGGCGCAAGCTTCAATAAACGTGCCTGGGTCGCGCCCGAGGTGTCAACGAAGTGCACTACGATACTGAGCAATGCGTAGATATTAGGCGAGGTCCAGAGATCGAAGGAGACGTGTTTTCTTGATGGGAGTGCTGTCTGGAGCTCTGCTTGAAGGTTAAGGACCTCCTTTCGATAGCGGTCGTTGACCTAGGTGCTGATAGTTTGATGGGAGTATGGGAGAAGGTTGGCCGTTGATGCTGGGTCTAGAATAGAGAGTATAGTACGAAAGTCAGTGCTTTGGACCATAGAAAACGATATATCAGAAGTCACAATCCAATTCAATAGCGTAGACTTAAACCTTTCCGCCTGGGTGTTAGATACCGGTGGCCTCAGGGAGACTTGTTGTAGGTCTGCTACCGACCGCTGTTTTTTAACCGGCGGCTCTCCTTCTTCTTGTACAGAATCTTCATATATCAAGTGTTTGGTGTGGAGGTGGCTGGCGGCGCTGGTAGTAGCCTTTCCGCTGTAGAGAATGTCAAAGCAGCGGGAACAGCACCACCAAGAGAGACCTAGACCATTGTTGTCCACCTGCACAAGCTAATATCCATAGGTATTGATCTAGCTGTTCCTAGACCGCCTGGGGCACTCCCATTTCTCTAATATAAAGGCTTTTCCATCGCGTGAGGTTATTTTGGGCCGGTCGAGGAGGTCGGGAGCGAGGTCTGCCTCTGGGATGTTGATAACATCGAGGATTTGCTTAGGCATGCTTCGGAGTACCGGGCGGCGCGTTGCGTTCAGGGTGCAGCTGGGCCTGGCAGTATTCGGAATCGTCAGGTCGATGCGACTACCAGGCTCCATTGTAGAGTGTGGTATTGGTACGGGTTGTTGAGGTTGATGGTATTGATGATGATGATGGTGGTCAGGGCAAAATTTGATGGCCAAGGCGCCCCGCACAGGCTAGAACCAGGGCCCCTGCCACCCCTTTCTTGGCAAAGAAAGTAAATAAAGCAAATAAAGGCCCTGACCTATTTGCTTTATTCTGAGGGTGCTTTGCTTTATTTACCAGTTGCTTTATTTTCTTTGCTTTATTTAAGTTGCTTTATTGGCATCGCTGTACACCAGTGCAAGGCGAGCAGTCGGTGTTGGCAAGCCAGCAAAGCGAGATAAGTAGGTTGTACTGGTTCATATTGGTATCGTTCCGCTGAGCCTCAAACAGCCACCACTTCTTCCCCAGCTTCCTAATAACCCTTGCCTTCGCCTGTTCTGCCCGGGGGAACTGAAAACGGCATGTTGGCTGTGGAGGGGACGTTCTTCAACCTGCTGGCCGGCTGGCTAGCCGCCTCTCTCGCCAGCCTTTCGAGCTTGTTCAGCATCTTTCTTTATTAGCTGAAGACAATATGCTGTAGAGCAGTGGTGAGGTTGACAGCGGTTGACAATTCGATTAAGCCACTCCAATGTGACGTTAGTTTCGAGAGGGTTAACAGATAGGGGGTTACCCTCATTGGCACCCTGGCCTCTCTGTGGGTTCATAGCCGTAATGTGGTACCCCCAGACCTTGGCAAAGCGATCTCGTGACTCTTGCGTCGACATATCTGGATCTGGGCTTTTATCGAACCAGTACAGACCATGAGCATGGCTGCTCCCACGACCCTGCCACTCGTAACGGTACCAAAAGTCAACCAGGTTAAACTTCTTCTCCAAGACAATCTTTCGAAACAGCTTATTCCGGGAGTGGAAATGCCACGCCGCAATGTGTGGGTTCTCTCGTAGCAGCTGGCATGACCTAGCTATCCGCGTAGGCTCGTCTAGAACTTTCCACTCCTTATACCCAGGCATATGCTGGTATAGGCTCTGCCAGTGCAGGTCGGCAGGGCTCTGGGCGATAAACGTAGCTGGTACGCCTAGGCAGTAGGAAAACGCCTCACACTCGCGGCGGCGTCGGTACCAAAAGGGGCGGGTACCTTTAATTACGCCAGCAAAACGCGAGATCCGGTTCAAGATAGCCTGGGCCTCTGGCTGCTCTGGGTTGGCTAGTGCCTGTTGGAGATCTTCTTTTGTAAGCGGCGTACGATGGTGCTTGCCCACGTAGAACTTGCTGCTGCTGCAGGCTTGTTAGCGCATCAATATGTTTAGGGCAATAAAGCGAAAGCTGTGATGCTTTGCAAACCTGCCGTCCTCCCACTTCATGGCGTGCTCAATATATTCCTGGTAACTGATGTTACGCTGCCTTGGCTCAACAAAATCTGCTGTGCCATGGGGAAAGAGAGTAGGGCAAGCTAGAGAGAGTGTAAGAGAAGGTAGGTACGCCTGATCAAGGTGGTCACAATGCAGGCAAGAAGGTAGGGGAGCAATGACTTGTATTGGTGTAAGACTTCAACCTGGCCCTCGCAAAGGAAGATGGGCGAGGGCCATTGTTTATATACCTGCTCAGGGGTTCGGCCCGGGCATCAGTCTGCGGTCGTGGCGCCACGGCGTAGCGTATGCCAGCTGGCAGTGTTCTAGCCAGTTGGTGACAAGTGGTGGGCGCGCACCCTGTGCGCGCAGTTGGTGTTTGGGGTGTCCTTTTCCTTACAGAGAGCAAGGCATAAGTTAGGTGGGGGGGTAAGCGAACACTACTGATTTAGAACATTCTGTATAAGCAGGAGTCCCAACTAACCCTCCAACAAAAGAAAGGGTGATCTTTTTATTTACAAAACTTCAATACAATCTTTGATATCCTCTGAATCATCCGCTTCTTCCGCATCTTCTAAAACCTCTGCTGCACGCCCTACAGCTCTCTGGGCCTCACGAATAGTCTGAATATTCGCAAAGGTGGTATTTGGATCTTCTTCAACCTTCTTCTTCTTTCTGGCTCTTATTGATTCGAGAGTGTGTTCTAGACCTTCAATCTTTCGCTTCCTAATAGCCAGTTCAAAGGCCTGTTCATCCAAAGCCTTACCAATCTTTCTGAGGAAGAGCTTATACGCTGGCATTGCTTTGATGATGCGTGCGAACTTCTTTGCCTGCTCAACGTAATCACGTGCCTTTCTAGGAGTCCTCCACTACACCCGATCGTCTCCATAATCCTCCAGGATTGGCATACGGAGTGTGCGAACCTCTGGGGTAACTATAGTAGTTCTTAAGGGGCGTGAAGTATTAGAATTCTTGAGGAGGAGTGGGCTTCTTAGCGGTTTGTTGACATTCAAGGGCCAAAGGCCTGATGCCTTCCATCCTGACTTAGCATTACTCTTAGTAATTGCCTCTGTGCGTGAAATCTGGTAGCATTCCAGAAACGCACGTTTTCCGGCTACAGAGAGTCGTCAAAGGCGTTAGCAAGAAGGTCCTCAAGCCGTCTGCGATAAAGTCGTTTTAGGGGGCCAAATATGGCCAAATCTAGGGGTTGGAGGACATGGGAAGTATGGGGAGGCAGATAAATAATGTGAATATTGTTTTTGAATGCCTCCCACATATAATCGGCAGTTGTGTGGCTGCCATGGCCATCAATAATAAGCAGTCGTTTCTCAGAGGAGTTTGCTGGCTTGGTGAGAGGAATGAACACATTTTTTAACCATTTGAGGCTTGTCTCATCGGTAGTCCATCCTTTCTCAGTTGCTGTAAAGAACCAATCCTGAAATGGCTTCATATCCAAAGGAAACAATTGTTGTTGAACGCTTTTCCCCTTAAAAATGACCAAAGGAGGAAGGCAACGGCCAGCTGCTGAGATGCATTCGACAAAAGTGGTCCAAGTGCGGGTTCCAGGCTGTTTTTTTTGAAGCGCCTTAAAGGCACGGCTTCCAATGACAAGGCCGTTAGTTCCTCTGCCTTCCATAATACCAGATTCGTCCTTGTTCCAGCGATTCTCTGGCTTAATCGCCTTGATAGCTGGTGTTTGGAAATGGTTGAACCAAGGTCGAATTGTTGACTCTGTAGCGCAGTTGACGCGGACCGAATCGACTCTCTTGGCCCTCTGAGTCTTCAAAATTCGATTGCGGTTAAGAAAGGCACGGCACCACCCCTTTCCAAGTGGTAAGGAGTCCCCCCTTTCAGCTAGAATACGGCGTGCAAGCTCCCTGATCTGTGCATGTGTAGGGGGCAATCCTAAATCTTGTTAAAGAAGAATCCATTCGACTAAACGATCCTCTTGGGTCTGTGTAAGCCTTTGCTCATCTTGATGAGCAACATTTCGAGGTAGGGAGCCATGTAGACGGCCATAAAGGGTGGAGGGTGGAACGTTCCATTTTCGCGCGACTTTGCGTAATTGATGTGTTCTGACGGCTTCCTCGCAAGCCTTGCGGAGGTCTTCTTCTGTATATGAAACCATTGTGAAGAGAAGAATAAAACGAATTGAAGATGAAGAGAATTGGAAAAGAATTGGTTGAGTTATGGGCTTTTTATATAAGAGGGTTGGTTGTGTTCCTCGCTTATCTAGAATGTTCTGGATCAGTGGCGTTCGCTTACTCCCCCACCTAACTTACTTCTGGTTAAACTCATCCAAAGGCGTGCGACGGATAGATGGCATCTACAGCTGGTGTGCGGCTTGAGGATTTGCTAGCTGTAGGGAACCTACTCGGCATCTTCTGTAACAGTCTTTTCAACATGGCCACGGAGCTGGTTAAGCTCGGTCTCTTGGATTAGAAAGTTGGGCACAGCAGCTTCATCTACAACATCACCATCTTCAGGCTCCGGCTCTTCAACTGATTCATCAGCAGGGCCAAAATCGGCAGGTACGCCCGTTGTATCGTTGACCTCATGGATGGTAAGTTGGTCAAATACATTGCTATCCTCGGGGAGCTAAGAGAGATTGTCGTAGTTAAGGGTAAAGTCTCTATAGCCAGGGTGGTTGGCGGCGAGAAACTTAAGCCAGGCCTCGATGGCTACGCGGCAGACGCGGAATAGTTGGCGGAACTGCCGACCCACCTGGGCCACATTCTCAGAACCGCGTGGCCGAAGGATAACAATGTCCAAATCTCTAGGTAAGAGAGGTAGTGTCACGGCATGGCCCGTGCATGACGTGCACGTGGCCCACAACCACCTATTTCCCCGCGTCCTGCGCGGTCTCTGCCATAGCTTCCTTCTTCAGCTTTAGATTCTACGAATTCAGCAATGATTACTGCAGCCTTGTCTCCTTACGTTGACTGAGCCGTGATAGGTAGCTCATTGTAAACCTTGCCAACATCACGCAAGAAATGTACAGCATGCCCACGATATTTGTACTGCTGCCCACGAACCTGCACTTTGTTAGTTGCTACTCCTCGATACACGTATCCCTACTACGTACTACAAATACATTGACGCTGACGTGGACCCTTGCAATAAACATCTCCTCGAATGGCTCTAGCCGGGGAAAGTCTTGAGGTATAGAGCCAAAGTCTAAGTTGTTGGCAGAAAAGAAGAAAGGCTCATCCCCACGCCTCTTATCATCCTTATCGTGGCAGTGCTTGCAAACACCATCAGGCTTCAGCTCTACATCGAACTATTGCCTTTTTGTCACGCGCATTCACAGGGCAACGGAAATGAAGCATTTGATACAGGGAGGTAAGGCTTGAATTGTCTGAAAAGGTCTAATCTCTTGTTTCCTTTGGCAGGGCCAAAAGTCTCTCTTTTATAGTTATGAATAGTGGCAAAAGCTGGTGGCGAAGAATCACATAGCAGCTTCTAGATCTTTCTTGCTCACTAATCCCAATATTGTGACACTTTTACAGCGTGGGCAATACTGCATCTTCTCTGCAGCAAGTGCCTCATCGAATTCCATCTTGATGGCGAGGTCTTCCTCGTCAAGGGGCGACTCCTAGTCGGCCCCTGTAAATTGAGGAGATAGCTTGTCGAATTCGCGGAGCGTGCGTTCTGTGGAAGGCGGTCGTCTGCGGGGGCGGCCGACAGGGTTTCTTGCAAGACGCGGGCGTCCTCGGCGACGGCCGCCAGCAGGCGAGAAGGGAAAGGGTAGTGGCTGCTGTAGAGGGCGGCCGATAGGGTTTTGTGCTAGACGCGGACGGCCGCGGCGACGACCACGAGCCGGTGAGAAGGGAGAAGGTGGTGGCGGCCGCCGCAGAGAAGCAGGGTGGGCGACGATATTTTATCGATCGATATCGATAATCCATATCGATATCGATCGATAAGCCGATATCGCCGATATCGTCGATATCGATTGATTAGTAATCAAATTGATCATTTCCCCGCTCCGAACAACTCCGAACCCTCAATTCCATCAACTCCATCAAATTGATCATATTATCCTCGATATGGCCTCTTTGGGTGACCCTGAAGGGTCAATACTATCCCAGGAATCCATTTCTACTTCATTTACCCTTGAAGATCACACTCGCAAGCCACAGCCATCCGAGCCCATTCATAAGGGTAAAAATCGGCTCTTCTATTGTATATATTGCTCATGGTCCGGTCAAAGTACTACGAATGTACGACAACATCTTCTTCGCAAGCACAATATCGCTCTTGAAGCTTCAGTTCATGCTGCAAAGATTGCTATCAGTCAGACCACTGAACTAGATTCACAAATCTTGAAGAGGGTCCTTGATAAAAATGCAATCAATACAGCTTTGCTATCCCTCATCATCCTTCACAATCTCCCTTTCCGACTAGTCGAAAGTCCAGAATTCCATACCTTTTGCAAAACACTCAATCCCGAAGCCCAGAACCTCATCTCATCACATTCAACACTCAGGTCCAAAATTGCACAATCATGGGTACTTCACAAAGATATCGTACGGAAGAAGCTTCAATCTGCACTTTCAACAATCCATCTAAGTCTTGATGTTTGGACTTCCCCAAACCAGAGGCTATTTCTCGGGATTTGTGCCCAATTTGTGGACTATGAGATTGAACGATTGGTCAAAGCATTAATTGCTCTTCCCTCTATTCCTTCACATCATGCCGAAATTCAATTCGAGACTCTCTTCAAGGCCCTACAAGACTATGGCATCCAGCGGAAAATCGGAGCTATTATTGGAGATAATGCTTCCTCCAATAATAAATTTTGTCGGCTTCTTGGATTGAGATTTCAAGAGGAGGATATTCAGTGGAAAACACACGATAACCGAATCTGATGTAATGGGCATATCATCAATCTGGCAGTCCAGGCTTTCCTTTTTCAAGAAGATAGAAAAGAAGAAGAGGAGGGAAAACCAACACCAGCGTCTTTTCGCCATATCGGCCCACTTGGCAAGCTTCACAACATTGTCGTTCACATCCGTGGATCACCTTCTCGCATACATCAATTCAAGGATCTTGCTGGCCGGAATATTCCTCTTGATAACAGCACAAGGTGGAATAGCTGGCACGAAATTTTGAGGGTTGCACTTGAAAAGGAATCAGCTATTGATTCCTATTCAAAAGCGTGGTTTGAAGAACTCAAATCCGATTTCCTTTCACCACAAGACTGGGAGATTCTTCGATCGATTCAATCCTTCCTTAACCCATTCTTCAGAGCAACAAAGGATACTGAAGGGGACCATACGACAATTGATTGGATCCTTCTTACAATGGACGTTTTGGTTCAACATTACAAGAAGAACCAAGAAGTCTTCAAGTCGAATTCTTTCCTTTCAACCCGGATCCAACAAAGCTGGAAGGCTTTTGACAAATACTATCTCAAGACTGAAGATTCCCCATACTATGTTGCTGCGATATTTCTTCATCCATCAAGGAAAAGTGAATATCTCAAATACAATTGGGAGAAGAAGTGGATTAAGCCAGCAAGCCAAGCAGTCAAAAAGCTCTGGATTGCTTTCAAAGAACAGCATGACATCCGTGAGCTACCAACAACTGTCATCGAGAAGCAAAACCACGATGATGATGGCGATGATTATGATGTCCTTCTTCGGAAAGAGTTGAGAGGCTATATTGCTCCACCGTTGAGAATTATGCCCGCGCCACGGGCGGATGCTTAGACATTATCATGCAGTCGCAGCACAGCGTCTGGCATGGTCCGCAACTGCAGCACATGCACCCCTCCTGGGCGCCAGACTGGCAGCACATTCTTCGGAGCGCCCCTTTTCATCAAAACGACCATGCCCAGATGCCGTGGGACAAGTTCTTGGGCCGAGTTGGCCAGCCCGACACACCTCACTACGTCTTCTCCCCCTCCAAACTCCAACTCGCCATCAATAGCCACGCCCTAGGTTCGTTGGAAGCGGTCGCCCTCGAGATCGACCACCTCGAGCCGGGCCACCCATTCTACGCCGGCGACCAGACAAAGCTGTGTCGTCCGTCATCCGACGCAGCGCCGCCGTTCCGCACCCGGCAGTGGTGGGAATTTCGGCGCGGTGCCGAGGTGGCTGCGCTTCTGGAGCCGCTGCTCCAGCGGATCCCCGCTGGTGACGCGCTGTGGAAGCGGTTCCTCGATGCGTGGCTCTGCGCTGTCGCCTGGAGGCTGCGGATCCCCAAGACGAGGCGGTGGCTGCCGAACAAGGCGTGTGATTGGACGGTGGAGGATTGGCCGCTGGTGGCCGGGGAGAAGCGGTTTGTCGAAGTCGAGGAGGTGGCGGGTGCGGTGGACTATGTTGTGGCCTCTAGGACGCTGGGGATGCTACAGGATGGACGGCTGGTGTTGGCACCGAATTTTGCCGAGGAGGGGGATTCTGTGCATATCCTGGCCGGTTGTTCGAACACGGCGGTGCTGCAAAGGCGAGGGGATGGCTCCATGATGTTCTTGGGGGATTGCTACGTCCTGGGACTGGAGGATGTTCTCGCTGAGGACGCTGGCTTAAGCTGGGACAGGATATTGATATATTGATATTTCTACTTGCGTCTTGACTGAGAGCTCTGGTCAAATTGGCTGCCCCTCATCCTAGTTAAAAAGAAATGATGATAATAATCATGAGTAAGGGACTTTAGCGAAGGTGCTGCGTACCTAGGGCTTTCATTTTTTTTTTGGCACTTTGCTGTGTAGCAAGCGAAACGAGAGATGTCAGTTGCTCTGTCTCGTGCCACACCTCCTTGAAGCGAGAGTCAATCTTTAGATCGGGAAAGACCTAGGCAACCTCATGACTCATGCTCCTGCCTCTTGGTGAGTTGCAGTCAACCTCGTTTGCGGGATTGGCAACCGCGAATGGCACCCAATTCCCGACTATTGAGGGGTGAAACATGCAGCACTGCGGGTCGATGGATCCAGCGTTTTGTAGGTCAGCGAAGTTAAAAGGCGTAGTATTTTACGACGCTCGTTCCTAACGCAATCAAAATGCGAAGCCGCTACGGTGCTTTCGATCGATTATCTTTTCACCCTTAACGGCGTTCTGGCAGTTTCCTCGGCCTTCATAGGCAGCGCGCAGATTTTCGGTAGATTGGCAACTCTAGCCGGATGGTCCAAAACAATGCTCCGTGGCTAGAGCATACGGAAATACGCGCAAGTACGTACAAGCATACGCGCTAAGCAAGCGAGAGCGGCCGTAGTATAGGCACATTTATGAAAGGGGATGTCAGAAGTACTGCACTGCATGTGATATGGGGAGAAAAAGATGTGGATTGATTGATGTTCTATCTTTTGTGGCATGCCAGACACCTTATTCTTATACTTGTTGTGTTGCACGCGATCGAAGTTGACAGCGCATTGAATTTTCTGCTCAATAGGTCTAAAAGTACAGAAAAGAACGCTTCCTTATACTCGTGGAGAGAAGGCAAGGGAGGCGTTGTAATCAGCCCGAAAGAGGGCATTCCGAATGAAATGAGGACATTCCGAGTCAAGAATGAAGGAAATAACAAAGAATGAAGGAAGCTCAGAGGCATGTCAACCAGGGCCTGTCCAATTCCATGAAAAGTGGGTCAATTCCAGACGACATGTTGTTTAGTGTCACCGAGGTGGCCGTAATGGTCACCGAGGCGGCCTTCGATGGTCACCGAAATTGCCTTCTTTCTGACAGGGGAAAGTAAGCAAAACTTGATTCGTAGCTTAAAATAGGCTGTTTTAGTATACCTATGGTTTTGACTTATAAAGTCTTATTGCCGGTAAGAGGGATAGCTCTCTAGTAGTCTTCTGTATAGTTTTTAAGGCGTCCTACTATCACAAACTAATCCCGCCTTGCGGTATCTGTGACATTTTTTATCGATGGGAATTGTCACGGTCGCCACAGGGCTCATGTGACAGGGTTGATTCTTGTCAGAAGCACTGCACGCTGCACTGCACACTGGATTCGGTGGAAAAAATGGAGTTCAAAGTGATTTTCATTGAGATCTCTGCTCCTCCCGTGCTCTTTGGCTCAGTCAGAAAACCTCAATTATAGTTATGAATGGTGGCAAATAGTAGTCGTTGCTAGCTGAACTGACTACGTAAAGTTCAGCTTGCATGAGCTCTTTTTCAGCTCGCATAAGCACTTTTTCAGCTTGGTTGACCATACCACTTGGTGTTCTGGCACGCAGTGCCAGAACCCCCTTCTTCTTGACACTAATCAATCGCGATTGCGCCGTATCAGACATGGAAATCCTGAGCCCCAGAACCAAGGAGACAACCTGCCCGCTCAAAGTGCTTGCGTTCCATTTACTAACTAAGCTACGGCAGAATATGAACAGCTTCAATTCCCCCTATTATCCAACACATCGTGCATGAAAATATCATGCTCATTACTATCGGGAGGGCTAGGAGACGAGCCCTCCGGAGATGGATTCTCACCATTGCTAGTAGGGAGATTAAGAGCCGAATCATGAGTCGAGACGTGAATCATCCTGAGTAGGGTTCTCATCGCTGCTGGTGGGGTCGGGAGGCGGATCGCCCGGAGTCGTCTCGTTAGTGGGATCGTCCGAAGGCGGTTTATCTAGAAGCGAGTTGTCCGTAGGTGGAGACGCTCCGTTGGGCCCATCGTCTGACATCTTGTCTCGGGCTCACAGAATAACTAAGCTCTCTGAGAGAATCTCAATCCAAAGAGTTCAGAAAGATGAGCTAGAGACAGATTCTGGCTTTGGAGCAGATCGAGTCTATACAACCATTTGTCAATATCCAGTGTAATTTCCAAGACATTCACACACCTAGAGATTCTCTCACCTGAGGATGCGGTCTCACCTGAGGATGCGGAGAGCACAGCTTGCTCGGTCAGCCGGACGGTGTGTGTGTAGCAGCGCGTACACAGTGGAACCCGCAATGGGCTGTTAAGCAGGCCTATGAGGTTGGTGTTATGTTAGTCTTGATTCTGTAGAAGCCCTAGGAGATCGACCGCACATGCAGCGTTTCCGCATCACTTTCTTTCTTTCTTTTTCTTCCCTAACTTAGTTTTACACTAACTAAATACGGCATATTAATGGCATTTGTCCCTTAAATCCTATTACCCGTGACATTGGCCAGCTATCCAAACCCTTGCGCCTTCTGCCGACGGATTGGCCAGCCCCACGAATAAGCCAACCCCATCGTCCTCAATTACGCAAACCGACACCCCCTGATATATCACGATATTTTAGTTGTACAATGCTAGAAATTAGTATTGGGATGCGCCAGATTGAGCGCTTTCTATGCATACAACTTTCAGCAATTTTGCCCCCGAAAAGTTCATTGCAGTGAACCCCCTGTCCGAAAATGTGGGTCGAGCTTCCTCCCATTTTCTTTGCAGTGTACTTCACTCCAAAGGAGAATTACGGTTAGGGTGCTTTGTGAGTGTAGAGCGCTCAGGGGGTGTAGCCGAGTGGCTCATACCAACTGGCAGTAGTCTGGCTAGTTGGCGACAGGTGGTGGGCGTGCGTGTTGATTTGTGCATGTCCTTTGGGGTGCTCTTTCTTTACAAAGAGAAACCTATATTTATACAGCTTGGATCGAAATCGGCGTCCGGTCTTACACTCTTTGAGGTGTTTGGGCACGGACCGCATATACTTCGGAGACATTCAGGTACATCGTGATGCCAGTACAGCCAACACTTCCCCGCTTTTGCAAGCTGACATTCCGCCAAGCAAGTACCTTAAAGTACCGCTGGGCGGTGATTACCTGATTTTCTCCACAGTACAACGACGCAGACAGGTACGTGGCTAATCCATCAGCTACTTGCAAACTTAGTATTTCCCATTGCCAAGTACGGTTTGCCTTCATGTCTCCTTTTTCTCAATCCCCTTCAAAGGGCATTTTTCACATTGCCATTCAACTTGAGGAGGGAGGTGGCTAAGCCCACCAGCAACACAGATACCAATCACGATGCTTTGACACGTGCAGTTGGCGCCAGCCGTCAGGCGCAAACGCCACCAAAATGCCTGACATGCGGGGTTGGGGATTCTGACAGGCAGTGACAGCGAAACGCGTCGAGCCCAACGTCGGCCACAACAATCACATCACAGGCCAAAGTACGATCGGGACCACTGTGATGTATACTGCGCGCCTTTGCTGCTAACGGTAGGTGGTATTTCTTGCCTTTGGGATAAATAAAGCTAAGCTACTGATGCGTTGTACCTATAGATCCACGACCTTGAAGCCTTCCGTTTGCGTATCCCTTGAGCACCGTACAAATACATGCTGCGAGCCGAAACCGATAACCTTGCAAGATGCGGCTCCTGGAAAGAGGCGATACCGGCGAGCTCTGCCTAACGAACCCGATTCCGAATAACGCGATCCCCGAGATCCCCCGTTACGCGATCCTCTCACACACATGGGGCGACGAGGAGGTCTCCTTCGAAGACATGGCGGACGGTACAGCCAAGAAGAAAGCAGGCTATGCTAAGATACAGTTCTGCGGAGATCAAGCCTGGCTCGATGGGCTCAAGTACTTTTGGGTTGACACGTGCTGCATCAACAAGTCCAACAGTGTCGAGCTTCAGCACGCTCTCAACTCCATGTTTCGCTGGTACCGTGAAGCAGCCAAATGCTATGTCTATCTCGCGGACGTCCCAACCAGAGAGCATGGCGCCAATGGTAACGGTAGCTGGGAACTGGCTTTTCGGAAATGTAGATGGTTCACCCGTGGATGGACACTGCAAGAGCTTATTGCTCCAACCATCATTGAGTTCTACTCTAAGGAGCACGAGCGCCTAGGAGACAAGAAGTCATTGGAAGAAGAACTACACGCCATAACCGGAATCCCTCTGAAAGCTCTTCAGGGAAGCCCTCTGTCTGATTTCAGTGTCCCTGAACGAATAGCGTGGATGGACAAGCGAGACACAAAGTATGAGGAAGATAAGGTGTACGCTTTATTCGGCATCTTTGACGTACACATACCGGTTATCTACGGCGAAGGATTGCAGAAGGCACTGAAGCGACTGCGAGACAAGATCAATAAGGATTATCTCTGCTTGGCAAAGTTATGGCCCACAGACCCGCGGGACCCGCGTGACGAGAAGGAGCGCATTGAGTTAGAAAAAGGTGGCCTGCTGGTTGACGCTTACCGCTGGGTCTTCGACAACTCCGACTTTAACCGATGGCGCGACTCTCCAGAGTCCCGCCTGCTCTGGATCAAGGGCGACCCTGGCAAAGGCAAGACAATGTTGCTCTGTGGCATCATCAACGAGCTAGAGCGACCCATCACTACTAGCGGTGGCAACTTGGCATATTTCTTCTGTCAAGCTACCGACTTGCGCATCAATAGCGCAGTTGCCGTGCTACGAGGGCTGATTTACCTCCTTGCTCGGCGGCAACCCCGGTTCCTCTTACATTTGCCAGAGAATACATACGCTTCTGACGACGCAATGGCATGGGTAGTTTTATCGAAGGTTTTCCGGCAGCTGTTACAAGACCCGAACTTGAAGCAAACTTACCTAGTCATTGACGCACTTGACGAGTGCGCCACTGGCTTGCCGGAACTTCTCAAACTAGTCGCCCAGATATCATCTTCCCGCGTCAAATGGGTTGTCTCTAGTCGCAACTTGCCTCATATTGAGGAGCAATTAGTTGGCGTCGCTCAAAATTACAAGCTCAGCCTCGAGCTGAACGCCGAGTCCCTCAATACTGCCGTCAGCGCATATATCCGCTACAAAGTCCGAGACCTATCGGATACGAAACACTACGACAAGAAAACAAAAAGGCTTGTGCATGCACATCTTTCTTCTCATGCGAATGGTACATTCCTCTGGGTGGCGTTGGTCTGCCAAGAACTTGCCGACCCGAAGGTTGAGAAGTGGCATACTTTGACAAAATTACGCTCATTTCCCTCAGGTTTGGATGCTCTCTATGCGCGGATGATAGAACAAATTCGTTCCTCCCAAGATGCAGACCTCTGCAAACAGATTCTGGCCATCATCACGATTGTTCGCCGTCCCATCAGCCTTCAGGAACTCACTACTTTTACCGAGATGCCGGTTGACAGTTCGGATATCGAGATGCCGGACGACGGTTCTGATGATCTGGAGTCTATCCTGAACGAAATACCAGACTACGTTGTAGATGATTTGGAGCCGCTAGAAAAGATTATCAGGCTCTGCGGTTCATTCTTAACCCTTCGAGAAGGGATCATTTATTTTGTCCACCAATCTGCCCAGGATTTTCTACTCGGCAGGCCTAATAAGGAGGCATCTCGAAAGGCATTCAACTGGGTCTTCCCTCATGGGATACAACATGTCAACCACATCATCTTCTCACGATCACTCAATGCGATGTCTGCGGTCTTGAAGCGCGATATATACGGCTTGAAGGAACCGGGATTTCTAATCGACGGGGTTCAAACGCCATCTCCAGACCCACTAGCTACAGTACGGTACTCGTGCGTTTTCTGGATTGACCATTTCTACAACTCAATTTCTGATAAGGACGTACTGCAAAACGGCATACTGGATACGATCCAGACCTTCCTTGAGCAGAAGTACCTTTACTGGCTCGAAGCTCTTAGCTTACTCCAAGCTATGTCGGAGGGTGTCATTGCCATAAGACAGCTTAAGCTCCTACTCGTATGTATAACTTACTACCGTCAGAGAGCTATACTAATAGAGATGCAGGAACATGCTGATCAGAGGCAGCTAACGGCTTTTGTTCGAGATGCACATCGGTTCGCTCTCTCCAACAGATGGATAATCGAGCAAGCTCCTCTCCAAGCGTACATATCAGCCCTCATATTTGCACCAGCTTCCAGTCTAGTGAAAAAGAAATTTAAGGCGGAAGAACCTAGCTGGATCAGTACGAAGCCAATAGTAGAAGCGGACTGGAATGCATGCCTGCAAACGCTAGAAGGCCACAGCAATTCGGTTAATTCAGTTGCCTTCTCACTAGATGGCCAGCAGCTCGCATCGGGTTCAGACGACAATACCATCAAGATCTGGGATCCCGCCTCAGGGCAATGCCTGCAAACGCTAGAAGGCCACAGCGGCTGGGTTTGGTCAGTTGCCTTCTCACCAGATGGCCAGCAGCTCGCATCGGGTTCAGGCGACAATACCATCAAGATCTGGGATCCCGCCTCAGGGCAATGCCTGCAAACGCTAGAAGGCCACAGCGACTGGGTTTGGTCAGTTGCCTTCTCACCAGATGGCCAGCAGCTCGCATCGGGTTCACACGACAATACCATCAAGATCTGGGATCCCGCCTCAGGGCAATGCCTGCAAACGCTAGAAGGCCACAGCGACTGGGTTCAGTCAGTTGCCTTCTCACCAGATGGCCAGCAGCTCGCATCGGGTTCAGACGACAATACCATCAAGATCTGGGATCCCGCCTCAGGGCAATGCCTGCAAACGCTAGAAGGCCACAGAAATTCAGTACAGTCAGTTGCCTTCTCACCAGATGGCCAGCAGCTCGCATCGGGTTCAGGCGACAATACCATCAAGATCTGGGATCCCGCCTCAGGGCAATGCCTGCAAACGCTAGAAGGCCACAGCGACTGGGTTCGGTCAGTTACCTTCTCACCAGATGGCCAGCAGCTCGCATCGGGTTCAGACGACAATACCATCAAGATCTGGGATCCCGCCTCAGGGCAATGCCTGCAAACGCTAGAAGGCCACAGCGACTGGGTTCGGTCAGTTACCTTCTCACCAGATGGCCAGCAGCTCGCATCGGGTTCAGACGACAATACCATCAAGATCTGGGATCCCGCCTCAGGGCAATGCCTGCAAACGCTAGAAGGCCACAGCGACTGGGTTCGGTCAGTTGCCTTCTCACCAGATGGCCAGCAGCTCGCATCGGGTTCAGACGACAATACCATCAAGATCTGGGATCCCGCCTCAGGGCAATGCCTGCAAACGCTAGAAGGCCACAGCGGCTGGGTTCGGTCAGTTGCCTTCTCACCAGATGGCCAGCAGCTCGCATCGGGTTCAGACGACAATACCATCAAGATCTGGGATCCCGCCTCAGGGCAATGCCTGCAAACGCTAGAAGGCCACAGCAGCTGGGTTTGGTCAGTTACCTTCTCACCAGATGGCCAGCAGCTCGCATCGGGTTCAGACGACAATACCATCAAGATCTGGGATCCCGCCTCAGGGCAATGCCTGCAAACGCTAGAAGGCCACAGCAGCTGGGTTTGGTCAGTTGCCTTCTCACCAGATGGCCAGCAGCTCGCATCGGGTTCACACGACAATACCATCAAGATCTGGGATCCCGCCTCAGGGCAATGCCTGCAAACGCTAGAAGGCCACAGCGACTGGGTTCAGTCAGTTGCCTTCTCACCAGATGGCCAGCAGCTCGCATCGGGTTCACACGACAATACCATCAAGATCTGGGATCCCGCCTCAGGGCAATGCCTGCAAACGCTAGAAGGCCGCAGCGACTCAGTTCAGTCAGCTTCCCTCTGGCCGGATAATCTAGGGAGTAATGGATATAGTTGGGGGCACGACCAAACTTGGATTAGTTGTGACGGCCGGAATGTAGTATGGTTACCACTAGAATACCGCTCGTCCTGTTCTGCCGTCCACGGGCGGATGATGTCCATCGGCTGTTCATCTGGACGAGTCTTTACAATTGGCTTTTCGCAAGATGTTTAGTATAGTACCTTTTAGCTATCTCTACTTCATCCTCTTTATTTCTTTTTCCTAGCTTGACACCAGAAGGGTCCGGGAGGATGGGTTGCTTTATAGAAACTATAGAAATTCTATCATTTTCCATTGACATCGAGATGACTCACGTAGTTTTCTTTAAGAAGGCAAGATCAACAGGTTCAATTCTCTTGACGTCACATATGATGTGACGGTGGCGAGTTTGTGTCAGATGGAATGGCCTAGAAGGTGCTGGAACCTACGATGCGTAATCTTCGCCACTGGAATTCGTCATGTAATTGCCACATAAGGAAGTACACGAGAGAGTCTTTTGTGGAAAGACTGGAACGGAAGAATAGAAGCAATTCACTCTGCCTTCTCTTCTTCTCTGCAGGCTCTCTTCTGTCTCGTCATTCCTCTCTATTGTGACCACCTTGATCAGGCGTACCTGCCTTCTGAGGCGCCTGCCTCCTGCAGCTCTCTCCGTGGACCTAGCTACTACATTCCGTGATCTTCTTCCTCTTCTATTGTCAATCTCATTATCACTCTTCTCTCTCTCTCTTGCATTGTGACCACCTTGATCAGGCGTACCTACCTTCTCTCGCTTATCTAGACTGTTCTCTCTCTCTCTCTCTCTCTATTGTGACCACCTTGATCAGGCGTACCTGCCTTCTCTTCTCTCCTATCTCTCTCTCTCTGCTCTGAGGCGCCCGCTTCCTCTGGCTGTTATGCCACACCCAGTTCGAGTCGAACTGCTTGATGCGCGCCCGCTGATTGGTCGCCCCAAACCCGTGCACGGACGAATTTGAGTCGAACTGGTTCAAGATTTGCTGGTCAACCAGTTCGACTTTTTCACCGGGAAAACGACGGGCAAAATCTGCTGAGCGTGCGTAGATTGACTAAACAAAGCATGCCGATTTCGAATCCGCCGTCTATTTTCCCCGTAGATGTACGGTTGGCCGTGCATTGACGATTTAGGTCAGAAGGGTGTGTTTTTTGGCGACGGTGACGCACGGGCCAAGCGGCCGACTCACGGGCCAAGCGGCCGACAAGAAGTCGATCCGAGTCGAACTTGGTGCCCCAAGCAGTTCGAGTCGAACTGCTTCATGGGCCGCCGCTGATTGGTCAAACTGGTGGAGGATTGAGCCCGTCAATCAGTTCGACTTTTTGAAAGGGAAAACGATAGGCAAAAGTGGCTGCGCGCACGTAGATTGACCAAATCGAGTGCGGCAATATCGAATCCGCCGTCCATTTGCCCCGTAGACGTATGGTTGGTTGTGCATTGACGATTCAAGGTCAGAAGGTGTGTTTCTGGCGACGGTGACGCACGGGCCAAGCGGCCGACAAGGAGTCAATCCGAGTCGAACTTGGTGCCCCAAGCAGTTCGAGTCGAACTGCTTGATGGGCCGCCGCTGATTGGTCGAACTGGTGGAGGATTGAGCCCGTCAATCAGTTCGACTTTTTGAAAGGGAAAACGATAGGCAAAAGTGGCTGCGCGCACGTAGATTGACCAAATCGAGTGCGGCAATATCGAATCCGCCGTCCATTTGCCCCGTAGACGTATGGTTGGTTGTGCATTGACGATTCAAGGTCAGAAGGTGTGTTTCTGGCGACGGTGACGCACGGGCCAAGCGGCCGACAAGGAGTCAATCCGAGTCGAACTCGGTGCCCCAACCAGTTCGAGTCGAACTGCTTGATGGGCCGCCGCTGATTGGTCGAACTGGTGGAGGATTGAGCCCGTCAATCAGTTCGACTTTTTGATAGGGAAAACGATGGGCAAAAGTGGCTGCGTGCATGTAGATTGACTAAATCGAGTGCGGCAATATCGAATCCACCGTCCATTTGCTCCGTAGACGTACGGTTGGTTGTGCATCGACGATTCAAAGGTCAGAAGGTGTGTTTTTGGTGATGGTGATGCACGGGCCAAGCGGCCGACAAGAAGCTGACCTGAGTCGGACTCGGTGCCCCAAGCAGTTCGAGTCGAACTGCTTGATGGGCCACCGCTGATTGGTCGAATTGGGTGAGGATTGAGCGCGTCAATCAGTTCGACTTTTTGATAGGGAAAACGATGAGCAAAAGTGGCTACGCGCACGTAGATTGACCAAATCGAGTGTGGCAATATCGAATCCGCTGTCCA